CCGCCTGCCTGCGTAATTCTGCTTCCTGTTGCTTCTGATCTTCCGCCTGCCTGCGTAATTCTGCTTCCTGTTGCTTCTGATCTTCCGCCTGCCTGAGCAACTCTTCCGTTCGCTGAAAAAGAGCCTTGTAGTCTGGTGAACTGTCTTCAGCCATTATTGTGCACAAGGGTTAGATCAGATTCTAGAGAGACGTAGGTGCGTGGGTGGTATGAAGATGAGACGCGAGGTTTGGCTTCGTCGCGCATCGTCACTTATATACCATCCTGGCCAATCACAGCCGAAATGTGGGTACCACAGACGGCGTGATTATGTAGCCTCTGCCTATTTGATTGGTTCGAAGGAATGTAGTTCCGCGCCCTTAGATAGGTACCTTAGGCACCCTTTGGTAAATTGATATATATCTATGATCTAATTTATTAAGTCCATAGGTACTTTAGACTAGCTTAAAATACTTAATAATATTACACCTAGGTAGGTAACTTAAGCTCAGTTAATTAGCTGACCTAAGCTATCTAAATTTGGCCTAGTGCGGCCGACGGTCGCGCCTGGACAGCGCCCAAGATGAATAATCAATATCACCGATCTCATGTTTTAGGATCAGGCATAACTAGTAATTAGTTTTTTTACACCCTCACTATACATCATGGCACCAAACAAGGCAAAGGGAGGCAAAGGCAAGGCCAAGGATACCGACGCCAGCGACAGCGGCAAAGGTAGCAAGGGCTTGAAGCCAGCCACTTCGATCAACGTCCGGCATATCCTGGTATGACCTGACCATAGCTCTTCCTGCGCAAGTCTCCGTCTTAGAATGCCCTGGCTTATATAAATCCGGGTAGTGCGAGAAATTCTCCAAGAAAGAAGAAGCCGTCGAGAAGCTTCGGAACGGTGCCAAATTCGACGAGGTGGCGAGAGAGTTTTCGGAAGACAAAGCCAGGCAGGGTACTTCTTCTCTTCACTTTTCTCTTCCCTATACTTTTCAAGGTAAATACCTATTTGTGCTAATTAAATAGGAGGTTCTCTTGGCTGGAAGGTTCGTGGCAGTTTAGACTCGACGTTCGAAAAGGCCGCGTACGAGCTGGAGCCCAGCACGACAGCGAGTCCCAAGTATGTCGAGGTGAAGACAGGGTTCGGATACCATATTATCATGGTGGAGGGGCGGAAGTAGATGCCTACCTTCTACTCGTATCTTAGTATTCAATGGTCTTTGGGACCATGGATTGGTTTCTAGTCTGATCTGGCGTTCATAGTTGTGCATTTGGGATGACTTTATTCAGCATGGGCGTGGCATAAGACAGTATCTACATGATGGCTACTTTGGCTATCTCTAGGAAAAGTAGGCTGTCAATACATTTAGTGGTCGGGACATCACCTAAGATTAAACACACATAAACTGGAAATCATATTATACAATGGAAATAGTCTAAATTAAGATACTGGCTTACGACGCTTTGGCTGCTTTGGCTGCCTTGGCCTTCTTTTCTTGTCTCTGCACCACCGCCTCGGCACCAATGCCGCCGAAGACAAGACCAATGCCCAACCACTGGCCGAGAGACAGTGAATGGCCAAACCAAAAGACGCTCAGAAGCATGGTAAGCATTTTGCGGGTGACAGTGACAGTCACGAGCAAGAGGGACGAGAACTTCGAAAGGGTGTAGAAAATGAACAGCTGGCCAACGGCGCCGCAGGCAGCGAAGCCGAGCACCTCCCGGAACGCCTCGGGGTGTCTTGACAGGAACGAGATGGCCGAGGAAAGTTCCGTCTGCGTAGAAGGCGGGATGGGGAGCGGGAGAAGAGCCATAAGCGTGCTGTTTGAGGAAAGACAGGGCATGGCGACGAGGTAAGCGGTCGTCAGCAGGGTCGACAGAACGTTCTGGGCAACCATCATCTGCGGGCCCGTGAAGCGGGTATAGAGATGCGGGGACGTGAAGACATGGTCTTGGGTTGTATTCGTAAGCCCGTCGAGGAGGAGGTTGACGGAGAGGAGGAAGATTCCGTATGCGGACGACCCGCTCTGCGACTTGGCCGCCGAGGCAGCCACTTTCTTGCTGGTCCCCGGGTGGTGGAGGGTAAACGTTGCGACCCCCAGCGTGACCAGAAGCACAACACCATACTTGTACAGCGGGTATCTTTTGCGGAAGATGGCCAGGTGCAGGAACATGACGGGCAGGAGCTTACACGACTTTGCCAGGATGAAAGTCAGGTAGTCGATATGGGAGAGACTGGCATAGCCAAACGGCGAGGCCAACGACGAAGAGATGCTGACGAGGAGCAAGGGGACCAGGATCTGGCGCGTAGGGAAGGCGGAGGGGACTTTTTGACCCTTTGGTGTCGAAAAATACAGATACGTAAAACCCGTGATGGCCGCAAAGAAGGATTGGATGGTATTCAGCACCACAGAGTACGTGAATCGTTCCGTTGGAGGTTCGGGTTCCAGTGCAGTCGGTGGTCGGACGGTATATGATGTGGTGGTGATGGCTTCCTGTAGAACTCCCCACGACAGACTGCAACAACAAGGTCAGCTTCACTCCAACACCAAGCAGGCAAGCAGAGAGTCTGCACATACAATGATGCGTAAATCCCAAGAACGCAAGTCGCGAGTTGCGTCAGGCCGGGGGTCTCCTGCGCAGTCTCCCGCTCCGGTTTGACAGTTGCGCTTCCATTGGCGACAACAGACTTCTTAGCACTTCCGTTTCGTTGAGTCAATTCTCCATCCTCGATTCCTTCTGCATGCAGATGCACCAATTCAGACGAGGTCACCCGTTGCAAGGGTGTCGACTGCTTCTGTCGCGCCATGGAGAATATTGCCGTCCTCGATACCGCAGCTAGGTCCGCCTAAGATGGCCGTTGATAAATGAGTGTGCAGGAGAAAGGCTCCCTAGGTAGTAAGTATCAAAACAGAAAGATAGCAAGAAAGCAGAGCGCTTGGCTGGGTGAGAGAAACAGAATAATTCACAGAAAGATAAAAGGGACCTGGTTGTCGATGATGCCATGTGTTCTCTCTTCTTCCGCTCTGAAACGCGGCGGATCTCCGCGTTGCACCCAAAAAAAAAACCCTTGCCCCGCAGAGGCTGATCATTGACACGCTTTTGTCAAGACCAGTACACATCAATTCTTGTTTTAATTTACAGAGAACTGACTCCTATGATGACTTCAAAAACTGCTACGATTCAGGCCCCAGAGCCCTCCGCTCTGTCTACTCTCATCGCCGCCTCCAACGACTCGAGTCCTCTCTCGGCAAACACGATCCAGATCCTCCACAACCTTCAACACCAGCACTCTTGGACATCGTTGCAGGTCCATAATCTCTCAGTGGATGAAGCAGGGGTCCCCTTAGACCCTCAAAGCTCCGACACGGCGCCTTTCCCCTTGATCTCGGGCATCCCTCCTCACCGCGTTTACACCCACCCAGACGAGCAACTGTTCATGCTAGAACGAAATCTCCGTGATGACGAGATTGCCCCCGAACGGACATATGTGCTGCCCGCCGCTCAGGGACAATCATGGAGTCTGCAGAAGTTAGCCTTTGCCTTTGACTCCTTGCCGGTACCGGAGACGGAGAGCGACCATCCACAGCCTACAATCAGGGATGGCCCGGAAAACAAGGCGAAACAATTAGCCGAATACTACGAACGCAGGAAACAGGCTCGCGCGACCCAGGAATGGGGTGGGAAGCGACTCTTACTCTCCATGGTGGATAAGCGTATGGGCGGCGAAGGCACGGTGGTATACTACATCGTCCAAGAAGGGGTGGTGAAACCACGTCAGAACTGAAAAAAAAAGGAACCCCTGGCACAACTGCGACTTAAAGGTTAAAGAAAAAAACAAAATTGGAAGCCAAAAGTGTGGCTTATATATATCTATATTATCAACCTATGACACAATATTGACCGAATATTCAGGATTAAGTCCTGTACAAGCTGCAATCGGGGCCGGGTATCGTTATCAGACTTAACAGAGGCCGAGCACAAGAAAGAAAGAAAAGAAAGGAAAGGAAAGAGAGAGCGAAAAGAAAAGCAGGCGGTCTGTCCAATCAGTCTCTGGTTTTCTCGAAAACGTTACTCGGAGGACTTCGGTCGACATGCTCCTGTTCCCGCCGACAACTGGCGCAATACATCTCATACCATTCTCTGACGCCGTCGGTGTGTTCTGCAAAGATCTCATGACCGGCTTCCGCGCTGCCGCTCTCCAACTCATCTCGGTTGAGGAGGGTTTCGACCTGTCGGCACCGTCGCATCTCCTCTCGCAACCAGCGTTCCCATTCGCTCTGGATCACCTCCCGTTCGATGCTGTTCACGACCCGCAGCGCCACGACCAGGTCGTGTCGGTACATGCCTAGCTGTTCACGGGTCTGCTGGAACCGCTTGGTTGCCGCTTTGGTCATGAAGTCCCGGGGTCCTGAGGCGGCGGCCAATGAGAACGCGTTTGTTCGATCCTGGCTCAGCTCCTCTTGGAAGGTGGCGAAGCAATCTGTCGCGTTGTGGTCTGCTTGCCGGTGCCAGATCGTCGAATTCGTGATCGCCTCGTCGATGTCTCTCACATAAATGGCTTTGCTCATCACGGTGTCCGGCCTGATTCCCATCCGGGAGACAAACCGCCCCGCATTGCGCTCGTGCCACCAGTCGTACGTGTCTCGCAGAGAATAGAAGCCGTTGAAGGCCATGCTGGCGGTCAAGAGCAAGAGAATGATCTGGTTCGCGTTCGCTGTTTTCCAGATCCAACGCAATAGCGCAAACGTCCATATCATCACCGAAGAAATGGCACTCTCCAGGAACGAAATGCAAATCTCAAACACCAGTCGGGCCAGCGTTCGTTGGGTCCGACACCGCCCTTTCTCGAGCTTCAAATTGACACCAGCGCCAGTAAATCGTGATGTCTGTGTTTGACGTCCGACATGGCCAAATATCGTAATGGCTTTCTTGGTCCGGCTGTGGACGCCTAGCCTTCGAGCCTGGTCACTGACAAGGTCAACCAAGTCCAAGGCGTCTTGTTCCAGGTCGTTCGCTGCTTGCTTGTCGACGACTCCTAGAGAACAATTTTAGTATTAGGAAATCCAATCTCTATCTATGTACGGGAAAAAAATCGAAAAATCTTACTTTGAAGAACGTAGGGACTGCGTAGCCACTCGACTTTCGTATAGATCGCGAGCTTACTCTTCGACTTGGACACGAACGTGATCACAATCTTGCTCACCAACCTGAAGGATCGCCTAAAGGGCAAGTGCCAGGGAGTCCGTTTGTCAGTGACCACGTAGCAAAGATGTTCATTGAGAACATCGATAATTTGATAATCTGAGACTGCCGTGTCTCGTGAGCGACCTAGCGCTGAAGTCAGTAACAAGACGAAGAGTGGTCTAGGGAAAGGGGGGGGGGGAACTTACCGAGCAAGTCACTTGTCTCGATCGAATATTGCAAATCTCGCCTGAGATGGCGAGATTCGTTACGAATCCACGGCCCCTGTGTGATATCTATATAGCAAGTTAGCAAAAAAGATCGACGTAACACACCAAAGAAATTCGCGATACATACCCTTCGCTCTTCGTTCATGCAATAGTAGCTGCCACACAGCACTTTTATCTCCGAAAAGAACGTGGAAGAGTGCGCGAGGGCTGATGTCCAGGATCTTCTCGGCAGCAAGGTGAAGATTGCCCTGTGGCACATACTCCACTGGCTGAGTTGGCAACCGGAACTTCATCGCGTCTTTACCACGGCCTTCTTTGCCGGCGATTAGATCCAGATCCTTTTCAATGTAGATCGGCACCCGGATATCATGCGTTTGGCTGGAAGGTCCGGCGGCGTTATTAGCGTCCGCAGCAGTATGCAGCGAGATGTCCTCCCAGCTGTCAAGACTTGGGGTTCGAACGGGTGCCTCCGACTCCATTTTGAGCAGAGCTTTGAAGACGGAGTCCAGAGACATCGGCTCGATTGCTGTTGACTCCCGAACCATGAAGTTAAGACGTTTTTGAAGGAGCCGGAGGGGCTCGAGGAACGTCTTGATCGTGATGCGACCGGGAGCAACGGTTCCGCTGGGCGGATTGGTGTGCAGGAACAGGAAATCACAGTCCCGCCCAGGGGCAGCTGTCACCTCGGCGATATTCTTCAATGGACAGCTTGTTGTTAACACCAGGCCATTATAGTGGCTGTAGAAGAACACGTTCTTGCTGGTGACATAGGCGCGCCCGGGAAACTCCTGCTGGTCATTCGGACCCCAGGTTGCTCGGAACACCATGACCAGAGGTTCGTCTCGTTTAACGTTGGGGAAAAGCAGACGAAACTGGGAGTCCTGGGTTTTGAGCCGCGGGGGGTAGTAGTCTGGATATTCAGGGGATGCACCTATGGCGGCGCGTTGGATCTTGGCTGCGCTGTTGTCTAGACTGACCGTTTGACGGTGTCGAGGACCAGACATCTGTTGTCGAGGAGGTGTGGGAGGTGCGGGAGGCTCAGAAAGTTTCACGTCAGTAGAAACAGCATTCTTTGGCAAGTTTTCGGAAGAAGATGACGGCTGCTGCACCGATGAAGAAGCTTGATCGGCTTCATCGGCTTGATCTTTCACGTCGGCTTGCCCGGCTTCGTATTCCAGCTTGTTCAAGAACCCCCAGTTGGAACTACCCCACAGGTTCGCCATCATGCCGCTAGGCATTCCTCCAGTGCTGTCTGCGAGCCCGAGCCCAATACCTCTTTCATAACTCACAACGACGGCGGCTTTGCTCATACTTGTAGGGGCAGGTGGATTGGCTAGGGTTGGCGGTGCGAGAGTCGTTGGGGCGGTTTCGAGAACCGCCAGAGGATGGCCTTTGCTTGCCGTCTCTCCATCAAGCCCACTAAATGGCCAAGAGCCAATGTTTGGCAGAACGTTATGACTGGCGGCGATGAGACTGGCGATCCCACCGCTCGGCGAGGTTGGTGACGGTTGATAATTAGAATTCGACTTGCGATGTAGGTCGAGCTTCTGGATTATTCGGGAAGCATGATCCTTCTCCGGTTCTGTACCAGTCAATCGTCTGGAGCTCCCAAAATCGCTGCTATTGCGTATAGCCAACCCCTCTCGCTCCGGAAGAGGAAGCATGCCATTGCGGTCCGAGGTGCCAGATTCATCATGCGCGTTCGGTGTAAGACTGTCCGCAGGATCAGCGGCGAACTCAGGTGCCGGCGGCTGAGAAATGGAAAAGGCTGGATCTTGGACGGTGACTTTCCCGGAGATCGAGAGATCCGTGCTGGCGGGGTTCTCCAGGGCCTTCTGCTTGGCTGCTTCGAACGAGCCGATCCATTCTGTGAGCTCTTTTTGTGTCTCCGCCTGCAGCATGATGCTATTATTTTTGGTCTTCACCTCGAAACAGAACCGACGCTCCTCCTGGAACGCCGGCCGGATGCTGCAGAGCAACACACCGATTCTCTCACTTTCTTCAACACCTCCAGTCCTGGCCCCCTGAACAAGACATCCGAATATTCCATTCTTCAAGAACGCCCAGCGCCGGACCCAGGTCGTGCGCGTTGGTTTGCCCGCGAGAGTCCGTAGATTCAGCCATCCCTGTTTCTCCGGCCGGACTTCGCCTGTCATGTCCAGATTAGATGGAGGTCGAGTGCCCAGGTAGGGCACTGTGGAGATGGAATAATCGTCTAGTTCTCGCGACGGTCTGGCTGCCAGCTCTGCCGAGTCCTCTATCTGCTTTCTGGCAGCGAGAAGCTCTCGCCGCGATGACCTTTCGCTCCCTTCCATCTCGTGGATCCAGCCCTTGATCCGGTCCATTTCTTGGCCCCATTTTCCAAAAGTTGCACCGTTATTGAGGTGTAAGATCTTGAGCTCTCGCCACTGATCAAACGACACCCGCACCAGTAGTCGATCTAAGGCATTGCGGAGCTGCGGGGCCTGCACCGAAAAGTCGAGCGAAGCCTTGAGATAAGCCTTGCGGGATTCGTGGAGCTGGAAGGCATCCTCCCTCAGTGCCGACGGCTCCTTTGTTTTATTTTGTCCGGAATAGCGCGACTGAAGGTAATCGTAGTGTTTCTGGGCCTGATCGAGAATACGTCGAGTCTCCTATAAAAAGGGGGGGGGAGGGTCAGAAGCTGATCTTTGGGACAGATTTATTTGGCTACCTTGAAATTCCGCAGTTCCCCATTTATGAAATTCCTGATAGGATCAGCCACTTCAGCGTCGAGTCTCTTGCTGGTGCTGATCAGGCCGTTCCATAATTCCTTGGAGCAGTCTCCACATCTTTTCATCGCCAGCAGGGTATAATCATGGTCGATCACCGCCTCGGAGGTGGTAAGGGGGTTGATGGAATACGCGGTGAAACTGCTCACAGCACTCTCTAACGCCGCAAGCTCTGTGGTGAGCTTAGTCGTGGCCCTCGCGTAGCCATCGAGCCATCTCTCCAGGTACTCGATCTGATCCGCAAAATGGACGGTGGTGGCACGGAATGTGGGGGAGTCGAGGGCCGCCTCCTTCAATCCAACGGGACTAGATACCGGCAGAACGCGTAGTCAGCACCAGTCTGAAGCTTCGATCGGATCCCGACTGCTCCGCCAGAATCATTGGGGGGGGGGTTGCATACACAACGCTGACGAGCTTCCCGACCTGGGGTAATGGATTCTGCGGCTGAGTCGACATCTAGCTGTCTACCTTCAGCCAAACATTGATGCCGAACCAGAAAAGGAGAAATCAGCGAGGAGCTCGGTCCAGTCCGAAAGCACCCCAGCAGAAGGACGGTGTGAATGTAGTATATACTTGAGAAGAGAGGTTGTCGCGGTGTGTGAGGTTCTTCTAGAGTCGGTCAGTCGTGCGAAGCGCCGAACACAGAGCGATGTGTCTGGGGTTGGGGCCGACGATGATCTAATTGGCTACGTCAGAGACTCTTGTGGCCTTATAATTCAGGCCATAAATATGCCTCAGGCATATTTATGGGTTCGTCGAAGACCTACTGGCATCCTTCAATAGCCATCTTCAATAGCCATCAGTAAAGAAAATTAGCATCTGGTTGCCTCATAAATATAGAGATTTGACCTAGTCCAAGAGATTTCTATACTGTTAGATTCGAAGAATTGATAGCCTTGTATAACATTTGTATATAACTTCTACTACGGTTCTCTATATATATAAAGGAGAATTCTAATCCGTAGTGATAAGAGAGTTGCTAATTAATAGTTTTCTAGGTATTCCTGCAACTGCATTATCTCCCTATCAATAATACTACATATTCAACTGCAACCAGCCAAGGACATCATTATACCTGGTTATAGAGCAAATAATAGCAGGCTCAAGTGGGATTACCAATTTAGGGAAGGTGCTCCAATGCGTTGGGCGGTGTACACTCAGGTTTTTTCTGCCGTGCATTGGCGACTTTTTTTCTTCTAGACTGGAATACCCACTTGTCGGAGCCTGTAAATAGTCCAATTTCTTAACCTCTTTTCACCAATTAAACAATATCATTACTGCCATGGAGCCACCGTCCAAGAAACCACGCAGGCTGCTCGACGACGACAGCTCGAGCGATTCCGGAGACGAGGCGGGCGGAGTGCTCCTCGGCAACGAGGAGAGCGGCTTCAAAATCAATGAGGACTACGCACGTCGGTTCGAGCATAACAAGAAGAGAGAAGAGCTGCAGAAGTGTATGTCTGCCTTGTCCAGTTTGTTTACCTGGTGCACGTCTAATCTGTCTTGTCATTACAGTAGAGTCAAAATTCGGGAAAGGAACAGCTCTCGGCAAGCGACGCAATCGCGACGACAACGATGACGGGTCTGATGACGAAGAGGGTTCTTCTTCCGAGGAGGATGAAGACGAGGATGGCGAATTGGCGACGATGAAACTGGATGCAGAGATTCAGGCAACCCTTCAAGCTATTCGATCTAAAGACCCCCGAGTCTACGACAAGAATGTGACATTCTACTCCGAGATTGACGAGACGTCCCCGCAAGACGGCGCCGTAAAGGCAGAGAAGCCCATGACACTGCGTGATTACCACCGTGAAAACCTGTTGAAGGGTGGTGATGATGTGGAAGACGAGGTCCCCAAGACCTTTGCTCAGGAGCAGGCAGATCTGAAAAAGTCAATTCTCAAGGAAGTTAAAGCGGTAACGGATGGAAATACGGATGGCGACGACGACGAAGACGATTTCCTTGTCGCCAAGTCGATTACGCTCCCAGCTCCAACTCCAAAGGTAGACATCAAGCAAGAAGTCGAAAAGGCAGACAGAGATCCGGAGACATTTCTCTCCAACTTCCTCTCTTCAAGAGCTTGGATTCCCTCTTCCAGAGAGCTTCACCCCTTCGAGTCCGAAGATGAAGCGGAGGAAGACGCAGCCGACGCTTTTGAGGAAGCATACAACTTCCGTTTTGAAGACCCGAATAAGGTCAATGAACGATTGAAGACCCACGCTCGTGACGCCATCGCCAAGCAGTCGGTTCGCAGAGAGGAGAAGAACACCCGAAAGAAGCTGAGAGAGGCCGAGCGTTCCAAGAAAGAGGAGGAGAAAAAACAGCGGGAGACCGAAAAGAATCGCCTGCGGAAGCTTAAGATCGAGGAGCTCCAGGGGAAGGTCAACCAGATCAAGGAGGTTGCGGGCATTCACGCCAGTGGCTTTACCGACGAGGACTGGGTTCACTTTTTGGATGATGCCTGGGATGACAAAGAGTGGGAGGAAGAGATGCAGAAACGCTTCGGAGAAGACTACTATGCAGAGGGAGAACAGGGAGATGACAAGAAGAAGAAGAAGCCCAAGAAGCCCACGTGGGATGACGACATCGACATCACGGATCTTGTACCAGATTATGAGAATGATGATGAGAAACCTCGCACCAGCCTGTCTGACGATGAGATGATGGATGCGGAAGCGGATAGGGGTGATAACGATGAAGACGAAGAAGATGATGAAGATGAAGGGGAGAATCCTTCCGGGTCCAAGAAGAAGAAGAAGAGCAAGGCCCAGGAGAAACGAGACAAGAAGCGCGAAGCTCGTAAGGAGCGGATGCGCATCGAGGAAGCCGTGGATCGCAACCTGGACCTGGATATCTCGCTGCTTCCTGGCGCGACGAAGAAAAACTCCTCTGGCTTCCGCTACCGCGAAACCTCGCCGCAGAGCTTTGGTCTGACGGCGCGAGATATCCTCATGGCAGACGACTCGCACCTCAACGAGTTCGCCGGACTAAAGAAGCTTGCCTCCTTCCGGGACCCGGAGAAGAAGCGCCGCGACCAGAAAAAACTGGGCAAGAAGGCGCGTCTTAGGCAATGGCGCAAGGACACCTTCGGCGACGAGGAGGGTCCCCGCATCGAGTTCGGCTCGCAGACAGCTGCGGGCGACTCTGCCGCTGGCCAGCAGGAGACCGAGGCCGACGATAACGTCGACATTCGCGAAGACGGGTCCCGGAAGAAGAAGAGAAAGAGGTCCAAGAAGCACTGATCTTTCCTCTTTCGTAATCAATGTTATGTATATCGATGCTTGGTGTTATCGGATATCCAGTTAGTACATTAGCTACACTACTAGTTAACTACTACTTGTACTTTGTTTGTAGTAACTATGTACAAAGTAAAAATATCTTTTTCTATGCATTCTAGGGACATTATGATAGACACGATGCCAAGAAACCAGGGGCGCTATACCCATTCCAGTATTCCGTTGTTCCATAACACGAACAGGACCTGTAGAATAATACCTATTTCCAGCCAGATAGACAGAGCAAGTTTGAATTCCATATTAAATCGCCATATGGGTTTATTCAGGGCTGGTAGATAGCTACTCTATATTAATTGGTAATTATAGCTCTGTGAAGACCCAGAGGTAGGCAGTAGGGAGTGTATCGGGTCCTCAGAGTCCATACAGAGTAGCATTTATTAGGATGACCACTGTATTTATGAAAGAAAATTGTATTATCACAGATAGTGCTCTGTATGGACCTTGAGTGGTCGATAGTTACCTAGTTAGTTGACCTGCAAATTTTTATAGTATGCGCTTTTTTCCTCTTTTCTTTTTTTTTTTTTTAGTCGGAAAACCGGACCAGCACAGGGAATAATAATACTCAGGAAGGGGGCGCGAGGTGGGTAACTCTAGCGGAGGCTCTACGGCACAATCAGCCAGGCCAGGACAGGACAGGACAGGACAGGACAGGACACGGGGAAATGGGACGAAGGGGGCAAACCGGGCCCAACTGTCGTGTGCCTAGGTGCCCACGGCCCCGATGGATAGCAGTAGGATATACTCCGGAGTAGTTAAATATGGAGTCGTGGTAGATTCCTTTGGATAATAATAATTTATTATTATGATTATTATTTCAGAAACCTGTGTCTCCAGGTGAAAGAGAGAATTTGGGATCGGGAGATGTCGGCTCTCGTTGCCTGGGCCGGGCTTAGCGCCGGATCGATTTTTCCTCGCCGTGTCTTTCTTTTGCTGGCCGGGCTGGGAGGGTCTCCACTCGCTTGTCTCCCGCTTACAAGAGCCAGCGCTCGCATTTTTTTCTCCCCCTTCCCCTTCTTTTTCTTCCTTCTTCCTCCATCCGCTTTGAAGTGTCTTGTTGTTTCTTGACACTCTTCTTTTTTTTTCTTTTATCTCCCCTCACTTTTCGTAGCTTGTGTTTTTTATCACAGCCGCAAAAATGGCCGCCAAGGATGACAAGTCCGTCTTCGGACTTCCCGTAAGTGCTTTGAATCCTGCTCCAAGAAGCCGGCTGGGACGCCCGGGGTCCATCAAGAGAATATCCAGAGGAGATGACAATGGGATGCGATGGATGGGAATTCCATCAAGATATACCATTACGATGTCGCTGGATGCGTTTTCTGTTGATGGCCTCTGGAGCCACGTCTTCAACAAGCTGCAATGTTTTTTTTCCCCCTTGGAATGGGCGCGCTGACAGAATTTTCTTTCTCCCCAGGGCTTCGCTGTCGACTTCTTGAGTACGTGCTTTCCATCAGTCCGCTTACCATAATCGCAATCAATCATTCTGCGAATCAACTCTCATCAGCAAGAGGAAAAGAAAATGAAAAAAAAAAATCTTCATTTACTAACTGTTTGATGTAGTGGGTGGTGTCTCCGCCGCTGTCTCCAAGACCGCTGCCGCCCCCATCGAGCGTATCAAGCTCCTCATCCAGAACCAGGATGAGATGCTTAAGGCTGGTCGTCTCGACCGCAAGTACACCGGCATCATGGACTGCTTCCGCCGTACTGCTGCCGCTGAGGGTGTCGTCTCCCTGTGGCGTGGTAACACCGCCAACGTCATCCGTTACTTCCCTACCCAGGCCCTGAACTTCGCCTTCCGTGACACCTACAAGTCGATGTTCGCCTACAAGAAGGACCGTGATGGATACGGCAAGTGGATGATGGGCAACCTTGCCTCCGGTGGTGTATGTGACTTCATATCCCATTCTTTCTCCCTCTTTCATGGATGCATTGACTAATTGTTTAGGCCGCTGGTGCCACTTCCCTCCTCTTCGTCTACTCCCTGGACTACGCCCGTACCCGTCTGGCCAACGACGCCAAGTCCGCCAAGGGCGGTGGTGACCGTCAGTTCAACGGTCTGGTTGATGTCTACAAGAAGACCCTCGCCTCCGACGGTATTGCCGGTCTCTACCGTGGTTTCGGTCCTTCCGTTCTTGGTATCGTTGTCTACCGTGGTCTCTACTTCGGCATGTACGACTCCATCAAGCCCGTCCTCCTGGTTGGCCCTCTTGAGGGTAACTTCCTTGCTTCTTTCCTCCTCGGCTGGACTGTCACCACTGGTGCTGGTATTGCTTCTTACCCTCTTGACACCGTCCGTCGTCGTATGATGATGACCTCGGGTGAGGTACGTACAACTGTTCCAATAATTACATTTCCCCCTTGAGAGTCCCCCCCCCCCCTGACTGACCTTTTCCCTCTGTAGGCCGTCAAGTACAAGTCCTCCATGGATGCTGCCCGCCAGATCATCGCCAACGAGGGTGTCAAGTCTCTCTTCAAGGGTGCTGGTGCCAACATCCTCCGTGGTGTTGCCGGTGCTGGTGTCCTGTCCATCTACGACCAGGTCCAGCTCATCCTCTTCGGCAAGAAGTTCAAATAGACGATTTAACCCGTCTTAAAACCTGCCCACACCAGTGCAGGCCTGGGGAAGGGGGTGAATGGTTCCTGACTGGGGGGAGTCCTCTCGGTTAGGGGCTACGAGAATGTCGTGGAAATAAAAGATAGAGATATGCGTCAAGGACGGTCACGTTTTACTTGAAGCATAGAGAGCAGTGTGCTATTTCCCTTTTGTACCCTTTGTACTTTACTGCCTGCAAGCTTTTTCTTAAATTTGTACTTCCATTTCGTGGTACGCAATCAATATCTGGGTTCAATTGTGCTTTTTTTATACTCTCGAAATCATATTACTCCATTGTAGGACGAATCTAAGGACAGATATCCCCGCCAGATCTCCCCCATCTGGCATCCGGTGGCGATGGTCACGTGACCTGACGTTCCTAGGTTTGAGACTCGCTGCTTGCAGCCTGCCGCAGGCAACTTCCAGCTAAAGACCTCTGCTATCCATCTCGTCCATCCCATCTCACTGTTTCCATGTTCTGCTAGAACCATGTCGACCATCACCGGCGTGCCGACCTACACCTCCGCCCCAATCAACACGACCACCACGGCCGCGGAGAACAGTCCCGAGACGAGGACCGACAGTGCAGTGCAAGGAGACTGGAATCCACCGACTACGACAGAGAATGGTGCAGCTACCACCACGTCTTCGGCACCAGCCCAGCCAGGCAGCAGGGCCAGTATCCCGGTAGAAACAGGCATACCTTTGTCAACACCAACATCTACTTCGAGTCCTCCTCCACCACCACCACAACCAGGCGCCGTCCCAGAACCTACCTACAATACAAATATCAATACCGCACCAACAGGTACACAGCCTCGCCCCTCGGTTCCCCCTCCACCCAAAGCAGGCCAAGTGGTCCCCCCCGGCGGTGGTGCTGTTCCAAACTCGACTTCAACACCGTATACATCCGTGTATCAACAGCCGCAGCAATCATACGCCTTGTCGGGCGCCCCCAATAATACAGACCCCTTCTCGGATCTAGATGATACAGACGGGTTCCTTCATTTAGCTAAATCGTGGGTGCAGAGCGCTGGTACCAAGTTGGCGGAAGTGGAGGCGGAAGTGTGGAAGAGGATCAACGATGCTCATAATTAACTGTCTTTCTTCCTTCTGAATTTCTTTGGTTTTCTATATTCAGGGCATGGCGTTGTATAAGAGTACATGCTTTACAGTCAGTCTATTACAAGAACCGTTCTAGTATTAAGATTATAAGTACAGTAGAATGCAGTGTATTCAGATATACAACCAGTCCCAGTGCGATCAACTAAGATGACCAGGAACTGGCTAGACGAACATCGGGCCGCGGCCAGTGCAATACAATCAAGATGACCAACCAGCATCCCCTCCATGCTCATCAGGCAAAATCTGCCACCCAATTCTCGAACCTGCTCGAGGCTCCATCACATCCTCCCAACATATTATTAATCATAAGCAGAATAGAAAAAAAGACGGCCATGTCGTATATGAACTGAAGAAGACACTCTCCTGTCCGGGGCAAAAACGCAGGATATTGGCGCAGACGCCGTCCGATAAATAACGCCGGCAATCCAGTAGAGAGGAGAATTCATAACCAAGTACCAGCGTGAGTATCGCAGGCCCAGTAAGGTGTGTCATAAAAAAAATTCGTTCGGAGCGAAATCACTCATTTCGCAGAAAAAACGCCGTTGTGTCCCTTATCCCTGTTGAAGCGGATATCCGAAGTCCGATTCAGTATAGACTTCGCAAGTCATTGCGAGAATCTGTGGTTCGAGCCAGTCGAACCAGGTGTGCTTGTTCTAATAAAAAGTTCTTTGTCATGTCGGCTGGGTCCGGCCTAGCTTCGACGGCCTCAAAAAAGCGAGGGAATATAATGAATGTCGTTTGTGGGCTTTCCAAGCGTAAGTGCCCGGTATTTTCGCGAGGGATGGGGTGTTTCTTGGAGGGCCAAAGAAAAGAAAAGAAAAAGCCCTCCCCCCCCCAGAGTAGAAGGAATAATTTATCACATAGAACCCAGTCGTAAAAGGGCCTCGACTGCTGCACGCTCCTCGGTATCACCAACGAGGCCGTCAGGAAGGGAAAATCCAAACTGTTGGACAGGAATGTGGAGCGGTGCAGATTTGACCAAGGTAGAGGAGGAGGACCCCAGGCGAAGTGGTTGCTGCTCCATCCGGGCAGCCAAACTCGTATGTACAAATCCACCACCGCCGGTCAAAGAACGGGCACGCAGGGCGTCGGCGCCGATTTGCGCCCAGTCTTCTTCGTCGGTCACGTCTCCTTCATCCCACTCGCCCTCTTGGACAACATCATCATCGGGGGCTTCGGAGGAACAGTATCCACGTTCATCTCCATCCAAAGACATCTTGTCGGCTTCATGTTCCAGCATGCTGACATCTTCGTGCGGGCCGTAGTCCATTTCCTCTGAATGCGAGAAGATCGCAGAATCACCGGCCATGCTGGTTCCGTAGGTGGTGCTGATACTGCCCCTTTTCATTGCCCACGGGGACATTCCTGGGATCTGCAAACCGGGCTGCTGAAAGGAATTCGAGATACTCGATGGCGGTGACGACTGCATGTGCTGGCGGTCGCGCAGCGGTTCACCCCGGCGCCGCGCATCCCAGCGACCCCAGCCCACTTTCTCAAAGATCACTTCACCGTCTAGACCACCGGCTTCCTCGGTTCCAGCGCCGTTGTTGCCACCTTTGCCTTCCAACGCCGCGACGACTATTCTCCGTGCCTTGGCTGGCGGGATGCGGGAGAAGCCCGGGACGGAGGTGGTGAGGTAACCCATGACGTGGCGAATAGCCAAGGGGCCCTGCTGGAGCAAGATATCCGGGAGGTGATACTTGGCCAGCATACCGGGAGTGATGGCGCCGGCGCTGTCCAAGTCCTGAGGTGGCTGCTGCTGGTGCCGGTGGTCGCGAGAGTCTTGCAAGTCGATGTCCGAATCCACGTGGGTGGCAGCCAGGGGAGGCGACACGGGAGAGATCGCGCCGGGTTGCCTGTTGAAGGCTTGTGGCGGGAGACCCGGCGAGATGGAGTTGGGAGGAGTCGGCAGCATTGCGAGCTGCCCAGGGCGAGAGGAACAGTTGGTGCTTCCCGAAGGAAAAACAGTGCGAGGCTTAGGAATATCCATGGAGGCGGTCTTGCCAGCAAGCGCTATCGCGATGCTAGAGGTCGCAGTCTGAGGAGCCATGGTGACTGGGATATATGTAGAATGATTATTCCTTGTCTGGAGTGGCGGGCACTGGGGTGTCAGATATGAGTCAGAAAAGGTAAAGCCGGGGGACAAAGGGGGCGAATGCGGACCGGCGACCAACAAAGAAACACGAACAAAAATTTGGGAGATAAGTAAAAAGAGGCAGTGTAGAAGCAAACTGATGCGAGGATTTACATGCAGAGAGAGAAAAAAGAAAACAAAAAACAGGAGCAAGAAAAGTATGACAAGAGGACTCACTCACAGTCGACTAGACGCAGTCTGAGCAAGGGGAGTCTGCGTAAGGGAGTAAGTAGTCGCTTGGAGATGCGATTGCGACACGCTAGCGGACGGGTGGATCTCGCGATGGGCAGGATACAGCAAGCAGAAACAACACAGGACAATGTCTGATCGAAGAGGATTATCGACAACACAAAAAGATTCGATAGCGGGATTTCTGGGCTTCTTCTTGGTCAGAAGAAGGGAAGGGGAGGGGGGGGGGGAAAGGAGGGAGGAAAGATGCCGGAGGGAGGGTAGCGTACAAGTACGCAGGCTCAGCATCGCCTGAGGCGTGACTACTGGCAACTGCACGACGCACGTCCTGGGCGTGTCTGGTCTTTCCGAATTGGTACGCTGTGCCCTGTCGGTGGTAAAGTTGGTAGGCAGGTACTGGGCTACGTAAGATTACCGAGGGATTACGACAATACGAGGCCAGACAGGAGGGCGAGCGGTGGTGGTGATTGGCGGGATCGATCTGCTGGCACAGCCAGAGGGTATCCTATCAGTGGGCCCGGGGCTGGATGTTACGCGGTGGATACGGAATCAACGAAACCGTCCAGACGAGTGGAGAGCAGGAAGAGCAAGCCGATAAAGAAAATACCAGCAGTTTGTGCGCGTGGGCCCGTTGATTGGCGGCAGGGTTCCTCGTGCGCGGGAGGGTCCGGAGAGTGGGAATTGGCTGGACAGTACTACCTCATAGGTACCTCCTAAGTATGGATGTCTCTTTGAAGAATCCAGAAAGGGCCAAAGATGTTGCCATGGCATACCATGTGTCTGTATAAGCTTTGGCATTAAATACCTCAATTATTGGAATAGGAATTTGTGAAACTACAAAACTAATTATAACTACCTACCTAGGTACCTACTAAGTAAATACTAGGTATCTAATCTACTCCTCCTAATGGTTACTACAAAGAGTGCCTGAATATCCCGACTCGGGTATATCTTTCTAATGGCACCATAGAGAGTACCTAGGTAGTAGGTAGCGCTAACTAGAGAATTGTACGTCTTTTTGTATGGATGGAGAATAACTTACTACTAGAGGATCCCCCACATTCTAATGATAAGACGTAAGTAGATACTAGATAGGTACAGAGTACGCACTACATAATTGTATCAGCTGCGAGCCACTGTAACCCCCGCTGGCGTCGATAAGCACCCGTACGGAGTACTCCGTATGTAGTACAACCCGTATCAACTCCATATACTGCGCATTACGGGACTGACTACCTAGGTACTAAAGGAGTAGCCCTCCGGATCGACGAGTAGTGGTGTGTGTCTTCCCACAAAGTAAAGTACAAGGCTGTTCCTTAGGCCCATGGAAGGGCTCAACCCTATTGCGCCAGGTGCCGGTTTGACAGCCCTCCATTGCCGCACGTGTACAAGGGGGGTTGCACACTGCGCAGCCACGCTTGTTGGCTATCAAGGACACATGTTCGTGCGGTGGTGGTGACTGGCTGCAGGATCTGAGTGGGCTGGACGTCTTGGGAAGGGGCGGGGGGGGTTCAAAAAAGGATAAATTGAACTCATGACCCCGCCGTATGCAGTACGCGCCTGTGGGACCTGGTCGTCTGACGTCAGTTGTAGAGTATTATTTTATTATTCTTATTATACGGAATAAACCGGTTTGTAATTGTGGTATTCCTACGCTGCATTGGATGTTTCCGAGAAGAATTATGGACTGCCTTGATATGTTTAGTTTTCCAAGGCCACTGGAATGTGCGTTTTGCAGATATTTGAGCTGAGCGCGGAATGCGCTGTATATTTTTAATTGTCAGCACTGTCATGTTTACTAATACTTTAAGCCTAGATCGGCTGCTGCAGACGGAGTACCTAGTACCTGGATAGTCAGCATGTACAATAACCACTAGTCAGTCTACTATAGTATTGTTCTGTAATGATGAATAATGCAAAACATTTATCCTAATTATAGAGTGGGGTAGCAGATCAAGTATGTATAATATAACTCATGGTGGGATACTCCATACTTCCAAGGTTCTCTCTCATATGTTAGGTAGTATAAAGGGCGCTTTTTTGTATACTAAAAACCAAGGCAAACCCACAATGACGCATGCTCTTTGATACTCAGCATAGTGAGTGATACTTGAGGATGATGTCTAGAATTTACACACCTCAAGTGACCCCTGACATTTCTCTCTATGCTTGCTTTTTACTCTACCACTATTTTTGTAGTGGTCATGAATAAATGCAAGCTCAGAAATAAAATAGTCCTATTGTATGTTTGTGTAGCATCAAATTTTATATTTATGTACCCCATCCGGCTGATACCGGCATAAAATATAAAAAGACCACCAATACAACGGGTCCAGATGGCTGACGAGCAAACGAACGAGACAGGGTTGATTGGATATTGAAAGCCAATGAACCCCAGGTCAAACAGAGACCAAATAAGCGACTGACAGCATAGCACTCCAAATTCAAGGAATCTGATTCCACTGAGGCCTAGCCAGATGCCTATCCTAGCAATATACAGGAGATTTTGGAATACGGAATATGTACCAAAGACCAAGAGGCTTACTAAGACATAATGCATCACGTGTTGCAATAGATCACCGCCTGCCCTATTCAGAATCTGGCTTCTTCCGATCTTATCGGCGACGGGACACATCCGAAGCGACACTCTCGGATACCCGGTTGATCCTTCGGAATGTCACGTTGCGGGGTTTGATTTTGCAAGACAGCGTATATCAATGTCTTGCTCACGCCCTGTGATCCAGGTAGCCGACACGGCTAGTGTGCACTCACGGGCGAAGGGTCTGGAATTGGTTCGGTTGTGATAAGACTCTTCGTGAAAAGGTGCCCGAAACTTGACTACTACTCTACTACTACTCTCTATCCAGAAACATCATGGGAGTGAACGCGTACTCTCCAACCAATGAGGCTGGGCGTATCTTTGCCCTTCTCTGCGATCAAGCAGAGAAGCTCAATCTGCCCTCGGCCGCAGTGGAGGGGAAGGATGCCGTGTCCTTCTGCTCCGACTACGACCAGGTCTACTTCCCGATCCCCTTCAAGGAGACGGAAACCCTTGCCGCGTTGAAAGGCATCGAGGGCTCTGTGGCGGCGGCCATTGCAGATCTGCGCTTCGGACACACCCAGGAAAACCGCCATGTGAAAATCAATCTGGAACGGGCCACCGCGTTTGGCTGTCAGGCGTACATGGCCAAGGTGGATGGTCTTTCGAAGCTGGATCCCCAGGTCAAGACAAAGCTCAAGGGTAGTTACACATACAGAACTGTTTTTAAGACAACAAAACAAAGGGAAATACAAGACTAACGTGAACTAGATACTGATCTGCTAGCTGCACAGTCCAATGGGTATCGTCGGATGTCTGCAAATCTGTACAGAACAAAGAACGAGGGCGAATTCTACCATATCCACGGGTCCCTCGAAGCCACGACAACGCTAAACATGATCGGTCTGGAGGGTCACCGTCCCGATTTGACTGATTACGAGGATGTTATCAAGGTGATCGAGGCTCATGTGCGTAAATTCACGTCGGCCGAGCTCGAGGACATGAACCGCGAGAGACGGCAAGCAGGCGTGCCTGCGTTGAAGTATGAAGAGTTCATCAAAACGCCTCACGTAAGGATTTATATCTTTTATTCCTTCCCCCCCCCCCCTAATAGCATCAATACTGGCATTAAACTAACATTTTAGGGCGCGCTCAATGTGCAATCACCACCGTGGACCGTGGACCGTCTCAAGGGCGACTTGCCTCCCACCCCCTTCCCGGCCAGTAAAACCGGTAGCAAGAGGATTCTTGAAGGCGTCAAAGTCCTGGAGCTCTGCCGTATCATTGCTGGACCGACAGTCACCCGTGTCTTGGCCGAGTACGGTGCCGACGTGTTGAAGATTACCAGCCCGAACCTGTCCGATGTCCCCTTCTTCCAAGTCGACGGCAACATGGGTAAACACGCAGCCGACCTCGACCTCAAGAGCGCCGAGGGCCGCCGTCGCTTCGAGGAACTGCTGGCGGATGTCGACGTCGTTGTCGACGGTTACCGGCCCGGTGCGATCGAAAAGCTGGGCTATGGACCCGAGGCGCTGGCCGCGCTGGCCGAAAAGCGTGGCAAGGGCATTGTCTACGTCAACGAGAACTGCTTTGGCTATGAGGGTGAATGGGCGGGACGTGCTGGATGGCAGCAAATCGCAGACTGCGTATGATTGAATTCTCTTCCTCATTCTCCAGTTCCCATTATTAATACTTCTTCTAGGTAACTGGAGTGGCATGGGCACAAGGCCAGTTCATGGGCAATTCAACCCCGGTTGTCCCCCCCTTCCCCATCTCCGACTACGGCACAGGCTGCATGGGCGCCATTGCCGCCCTGACGGGATTGTACCACCGCGCCAAAACCGGCGGATCGTACCACGGCAAAGCATCGCTGATGCACTACGACCTCCTCCTCTTCGCGGTGGGCCCGTACTCGCCAGAGATGCAGAGGGAGCTCCGTGACGCCCAGCCGGCCGAGTTCTTCCAGCTGCGCCACTGCGACAGCGTGGACCGGATCTCCTCGACCGCGCTGAAGATCATGCAGGCTCGCTTCCCGCACCTGTACGTGGCCCCAGGCAACGCGGAGGGCAAGCCTGCTCTCACCGAGAAGTGGTATTCCAAGGCGTACGGGGCGGAGATCGAGGTCGTCACCCCCGTGGCGGAAATCGACGGCGTCGACAACACCTTTGTTCGTGCCAGTAGACCTAATGGAAGCGACGAGGCTAACTGGGAGTTTACCACGAGCGATTAACTCTAGCCCAGACATAGTTTAATAGACATATACTAGACCAGACTAGACATAGACATGTATACTTACAAATAGAAGTTGGTGTCACGCCATGAATATCGGAAGCGCATCGGAAAAGCATCGGATCGGAGGAATAACAATTAGCCATGATCCATAGATACACCAACTATTACTACTAAGAACTACAGAGTATATGTAGAGTTTATAATACTGTCAAGATATCCTCGAATACGGACTCATCCATACACTACCTACTTACCTCACTTATCTACAATGTCCATCCCCTACGATCCCACGCTGGCCCCCTCGACAGCCCCCGCAATCACCTCGTTCCTCGCCTCCTTCTACGCAACAAGCGACAATGAAGCCCTGCATGAGAAATACGCCGACTCCTTCACGCAGGATGCAACCTTGATCATGGCTTCCAAGGTGGCTACGGGCAGTGAAGGTACCTCCTAGACCTTTTTGAATATAGAAGATACAGAGTATTGATGCAGTAGAAATCCTCTCTCTCCGCCACGGACTATGGACGCATGTCTTCTCGCGCAGTCATAGCGTCTCGAGACTCTACTTCGGGGCGCAGGATAGCGTCATGTTATACGGCAAGGTGGTGTATACGCTTAAATCGGACAAGGAGAGGGAGATTGAGGTTCCGTGGGCGGCGAGGGCGGATTTTGTGCTGGAGCCGGTGGTTCGAATGAGGTTTTATCAGGTTTACTTGGTACTAATGCCCCCTGCCCTTGGAACTGATTCGCATCACAAAATACTAACAGTATATAGGGCCCATCGGCGCAATCTGGAAAATAATACTTCGTACTGCAGTTTAGCTTACTCATGCATGAAATTGAAGATGCTTTTTCTTTTATTCAGACAGACGTAGGTATCGGGTTCAAGAGGTAATGAGATATGTTCGAAGTCGAGACAGTTGAGCCAGTCGAGCCAGCAGAGCGGTAGAGGAAATTAATTGGTTCCGGGAATTCATTTTTGTTTGTGTTTTTTTTTTTAAAATTCGGCTCTTCACTCATTCCCCTCTGATCGTGAATCGTTCATTCCATCTTCTACCGAGGACTGCCTCCCAAATAAAAACCCAGACCAGGAAGGGAAACACGACAGGCGAGAGGATAAAAAGAGAAGGTTAAGAAAAAAAAAAAAACAAGAAAGGGGCCATCAAAGAAAACGATGCTTCATTCTTTATTTTTTTCTTCTACTCGTCATCCTCCTCCTCCTCGTCGACGGTGGTCTTGGCGATACGGTCCAGATCACGCTGGCCGCTCTCGGTGATGCGACGGCCACCCTTGTCCTCATCGGTCTCCAGAACACCGATCTTCTCGAGGGCCTGAACGACCTTGCGGTCCACGGAGCCGGAGGCGTCGACGTGGTGGGAGGGGCGCGAGCCACGGTTCTTGGCAGAGCCGTGCACCTTGCGGAGGCGACCGACACCGACGGTCTTGCGGAGGTAGATGTGACGGGCAACGGAGGCGGCGCGGACGTAGAACCTATCAGATCATAACATATAATATCAGCATCAATTTCGAAAAAATATATATATATCCGTAATTCTCTTTTGAAGCGTGGGGTTGAATACCAGTCAGCGTCCTGGGGAGGAAGCTCGTTGGAGGCCGAGGTCTTGACAGTGTCAACCCATCCTAATCATCGTCAATTTCTCTCCTTTTTTTGATTCAGCTTTTTTCTTTCGAGACGGACGAACCAGGGACGGGGAGCTTTCCCTGACGCTTCAGGAAAGCGGAGTAAGCAGCAATGAACTTCTGCGCCTGTGAGGGTGTCAGCTCAATTCTATACAGTAATCCAGCGCCAGTATTCGAATCTCCCATATCCCATCTGATCTCAAGGTTGATTTGAATAGAATCCAACACCAGTCTGCAAATCCTGAGACTAATCCTGCTCTTCCTCTCCTCTTCCTCTTCTCTTCCCCATGTAGCCCGTGTTTCTGAATATCCCTGGCGCTGAAAACAAAACGGCAAAGGCAAAAAGCACTTACGTCCACATCGCGAACGGTGACACCACCCATATTGACGACTTTTGAACCTCGAAGGGCGGAAAACTCGACGAGAAGAGGAGTTGAAAAAGGGGGGAGGGCGGGAGGGTGTGGTGTCGTCGTTGGTCGAAGTCGAAGTCGTTCGATCTGACGGTGCTCGACTGCGCGAAATTTCGGTTCAAAGGCGGTTGTGCCTCGATGGGGCTTGGCGGGCTTCTCTGTGTGGGTGGCTCGCTTAGCCTGTTCGGGAACGTACCCTAATGATGCCTCAGGCCACTAGAGTACAACCACGGAGTACCCAACTAGTTAACTAAGTACCGATGGCTCTAGGCAATAATGTAGTTATCATTAATAATATTATCATCTGATTATTTCAATATAATGGCAATACTCTAAGGTGATATTATTCTATACTTATAGTTACATTCTCGTCACTCATCATGTTAAAAGACAGCCGAAAACACCGCCCATAAAAACCGTCCACCAGTTGATAGATACCATTAATACACACTACAGGGTAGGAGCCTTCTTCAGGCCGACGCAATAACGCACAAACAAGGTGTCGATGAAGTGGCCGTGGCGGATGCCAGGCGGGCGCTGGCGCTCGAATTCATCGATCGCATCTTGCACGCTGTACCCTCTCCGCTCGATCAGGTAGCAGACGATGAGGAACCCCGTGCGGTTGAAGCCGTAGTGACAATGGACCCCGACCAGAGGGCGCGGGCGGGAGGGGTCGGCGTTGCTCTTCTCCATCTTGGCGGTGATTTCGTTCTGCAGCTGGTCGACCAGGGCGATGAAATCACGGGTCTCGTCCGGCGTGGGAGGGATCTTGGAGACCGTCGGATGCTTGTGGTAGTGGATCCCGCCCTTCTCCAGCTGCGCCGGGTTGTACACGGGATTCTCGTGGCTGATGTCGATGACCGCGTGGATCTTGTCCTTGTACTGCTGCGAGAAGAGGACGGGGTTGTGCTCCTCGTCGACCTCGCGCAGCATCTTGAGGGCGACAAAGGTGTCCGCCATGGGCTGTGACACAGGTGTGACCTTCTTCCACTTGGCCAAGTTTTTCACGTCCCATTTGCCGGACGTGTTCAGGTACTGCAGCTGCCAGCCGAGGTTGAGCCGCTCGTCCACATGCTGGTGGATGAAATCCTGGATGATCCCGGCCAAAGTCCGGTAGGTAGCACGGTCATAAAGCAGAGCGTGCGAGGCGGGCGCGGGAAGAATTGCCGTCTTAACGACACGGCGCCGCTGCGACAGCCGCCCGCCCGCTTCCTTCTCCAAAATCGGTTGCACATTTTGAGAGGCCTCGACCCCGTATTCTTCCTCGTGAGCGAGGCGATCGTATGACACCTGGGTCTGTCGGTCATGAACCTTGGATGCGTCGGGAACAGTGTTGCTCTGCTCTGTCAGTCTGTTGGCTGGGAGATGGCCGAAGAACCGGAGAATTTCCTGTACTTCCACCGGTTTGGTGACCGAGTCGGCTTCGCCAGCGACTAGTAAGACAGGAGTTTGGATGCCAGCCCAAACGTCGCCGCCGGGCAGGCCGCCGATGGGGTTCCCGTTCTCGTAGCGGGGGAGAGTCCCCCATGCCATCCGCCTCCACACAGGAGTCTTGCTTTGTTTGTTATAGCGGACCTGGAGCTCTCTGGTGTCGGGATCGGCATCCATGCCGACCAAGCGGGCTACACTGGCGCTGCGCGAGCCACCGCGACGGTCCCAGGCGCGCCAGAGGTCAAAGATAGGTTCTGGGATGTGAAGTAGGCGACGGAAGGTGGTGGTCTGTTTGGGACTTGGAGGCGCTGCCTTGGGACACACGGCCACCAGGCCCAGAATATGCTCTTGGAGATCCAAGCCAATCTTGGAGGCAGAGGACGCCAGCAGAGCAGAGAGTGAGCAGCCCATACTGTGAGCCACCAGGACCACGCCCTGACCCGCTGCCTTGTCGCGATGCTGGTCGATGGCAGTGGCCAGCAGCTCGGCCAACGCATCCACGGTATACGCGTCCCAGGTATCTGGGGCAAAGCGTGAAAGACCGCAGCCTGGCAGGTCGATACCGAAGCAAGGGCCAATATTCGACAAGCTGGTCAGGAGGTGATGGAATTGGGCCAGCGAGCCTCCCAAGCCATGAACAAAGACCAGGAGCGGGATTGGCAACGGGACCGAGGGAAGCTTGGCCATTTGCGGATGTGGGCAGTAGAATGTTCTGATTGATGGATAGGTGGCGATGGATGTAGTGTAGGAGAGATATGTCGAATGTTTCTTGAGCAATCCGGGGTCGGTGGACAGTGCTGCGATTGTCAGTCTCAACAACACAATATATATATATATATATATATATATATATATATTAAGAAAGGCATACCATCTGTAGAACGTTCCTGGTGCTGAGGCCGAGTGTCCTTCTCAGTCACTGCGGCCTCTGTTCCATTGTGTAGGGAACCATTGCTGTCATATTCTTCCTCCTCGGATGAGACAGCGGTTCCGGCCGTATGGTTAGAGTAGTGACTAGGGGAGAAACGACGAATGGCCTTCTTCGACGAAGATACAGACGAGGAGCGCTTGCGGCGGCGCAGCAGCGAGAAGATACCACAGCCAGCCATGGTGAGGAAAGTGGTCCAGAAGATGATCTTCTCCCAAGTCAAACGGCCATCACACAGCCGACGAAGGGCGATCGACGAAGCACGCAATGAATGCTTTACGTGCAGAGTAACTGATGCCGCAGCAGCAGTAACAGATGAAGAAGCGGTAGTAGCAATAGGAAAAGAAGAAGAAGAGGCAGAGCCCAAGTGATCCCCCCCCATGGCTTGCAGGGCGTCCCGACGGAGCGGTTCAACTTATACTGATCCTACCTATGGAGTAAAGGTAAGGTTAGCTTCACTCCCTCCCCTGAGGGAGGCCCGACGGCTGCCAATGGCAAGGACAAGCGGCGCCAGCTGATCTGCGGCGGTTCTGGATCGCCAACCGTCGTCGAGTGGACACTGCGGGAAACTTCCAGGGAGAAAGTGAGGCGGAGAGAGGAGAGTGGGAAGACTCAGGCAGGGTGAGACTGTGGGATGGGCAGGGCGGAACCGGGCAGTTCCTGTTGCAGTTGCTGTTGCGGAGCCAATAAGGACGGCGAATGGCGCACGTTGTGAGCTCGCGGTCTGGCAGGAGGTACTGGTATAGATCACCTGGTGACTCGTAACAATATCGGATGTCGTACGGAGTATTTGATACACCGTAGACAGTGCGACGTGATTGTGTCACTGGAATATCGAGAACAGTATCCTGGTCTCTACCTAGACTCTACCTAGGTGGTGAGTAAAAGCTTCTGAAAACCCGTTAAGATCCCTGCAGTGGTTAGCAAGAATTGAGTCACTGTCTTAGGTAGGTTAGGTAGGTACTAGGTAGTAGGTACCTAAGTACTAAGGTACTACTAAGGTACGTGGTAGCAATAGTACCAGCGGACACTGAATACTGGTAGTACAAAGTACCTCACTTACAGATAGATGGATGTAGGTAGGCAAGGAATTCCTCTCTCACAGTGTGAACTGGCCTGTCACGGCAGGGAGCAGAGGACCGTGGAGGATCTGCGATGGCAAACTCGGTCGGGCTGGGCGGCCACTCGGATGGCGTCAGAGGGGGCATACTTGTGAGGGCGGGTTCTGATTGGTTGGATTTTAGAGTTGGCAAGATAAAATAAAATATAAAATATAAATATAAATATAAATATAAATATAAATATAAATATAAATATAAATATAAATATAAATATAAATATAAATATAAATATAAATATAAATATAATATCAATATAATATAGATATAATATGTAGATCGCCATGGATAATAATTAATATGGTATATTGGAATTGCAGAATAGTTACTCTACAGTGTACACTGTACACTACCTAATGTATAAAGTAGTTACTACCTAGTACTTTATATTCTAGCAGTTACTAGGTCTAGTACTATCTGTAAGGTCCAGTTCTCATAGTTCACGCCTTGCCAGTGTCCATTAAATAAACTCTCCACTAGACATTCGAAAATTCCAGAACAGACGGATCCATGATCTGGTACCGTTGATCTATTTCAGTTTGTAGTACGCAGATACACATAACTATAGTGTAGTACTGTCCTATCTGCAAACACCATTAAACCACAAATATCAAGTATTAATAGTGACTTCTACTACTCTACTGCTCTACTACTCTACTACTCTACTATAACCGGAATTAGCTTATCTCCGGCTGCTAGAAGATGCTTAAGATCATGATACGAATTATTTGAATCCTCGTCTCATAGGTAAACGGGAACAGCTCGGTTTACGAGCCCGGAGATAACTGTATATGCCGGGTGGTAAGTATATAATAACACTGTTTATTCCAGTTTACACCAATACACCAATACATAATATACTACCTAAGCAAATGACCAGTGCCAAAGACCAGCCTGCGGGCTTTACGAACCAGATCCAGCATGTTGCTATCATCGGGGTACGGGTGTCTCTCTCTATAAAAGAATACTCTCTAAAGGAATGCTGATAATAGGCCGGCGGCTCCGTGGGAAAATATATAGCAGAAGCATTACTCCAAACCGGCAAACACACCGTGACAGCCGTGACACGAGCAGAGGGGACGAACCCCCTCCCCGCCGGCATGCGCAGCGTGACAGTCGACTACGACGAGGAAGATAGTCTGGTGAACGCCCTCAAAGGCCAGGACTGTCTCATAATCACGCTGGCAGTCACAGCCCCAAGAGACACACAGACAAAACTGGTGGTTGCCGCCGCGAAGGCGGGCGTGAAATGGGTGATGCCTAACATCTGGGGGTGCGATGTGCTACACACCGGTTTGGCACAGGACATCCCCGGCTGGAACGAGTCCCGGAAGTTCCTGGCAGATGGGATGGTTGAGAAAGCGGGTTTGGCGTGGGTTGGCCTCGTCTGCGGCTTCTGGTACGAACATAGCCTGCTGTTGGGACCGGATGGGTTCGGCTTCGACTTTGCCCGCAAGAAACTCGTCTATTTTGACGACGGTACCACTCGCATCAATATCAGCACCCAGGCTCAGTGTGGTCGTGCGGTTGCCGCTCTGCTTAGTCTGAAGGTTTTCCCGGAAGACGCTTCTTCTTCTTCTTCTTCTTCTTCTTCTTCTTCTTCGCTGACGTTGTCTCACTGGCGGAACAAGACCGTATACATCTCTAGCTTTCTTTTGAACCAACAGGATATGTTCGCCAGCTGGAAGCGGGTGACTGGTGACTCGGACGCCGACTGGTCTGTCGAGCATGAGTCCAGCAGCGAACGTTACGAGCGAGGATTCGCCCTGCTCAGGGCTGGCAACCCTGCCGGGCTCGTCAGGGCCATGTACTCGCGTGTGTTTTATCCGAACGGAGGCGGCGACTTTGAGACCCTGCACGGGGTAGACAATGCCTTGCTTGGTCTTCCTGTCGAGGATCTGGACGAGCAGACTCGTAATGCGAAGGCGATGGTCGATCGGGGATACAACTACCGGACGAACCGGAACTAGTACTTTGATCATTGATACGACGCAATAGAATGAGAGCATCAACGGTACAGTTGCTACATAATTATTTTTGTCATGGAAAAAAAAAAAACGTTGTCCTCTAGAATAAATCTGTCATGGCTCCATGCGACGCATCCCCCACCAGCCGGGCATATTTGGCCAATACGCCACGGGTGACATGCGGCACTGGAGCCCGCCATTCACCTAGCCGGCGGGCAATCTCCTCGTCCGTGACGTCCATGGAGATGGTGTTGTTCTCGGCGTCGATGGTGATGACGTCGCCGTCACGGACGACAGCGATGGGCCCCCCCGCGGCGGCCTCGGGCACGATGTGGCCGACGATGAAGCCGTGGCTGGCGCCCGAGTAGCGACCGTCGGTGATGAGGGCGACGTTGGTCAGACCGGCGCCCATGAGCGCGGCGCTGGCCTTGAGCTGCTCTGGCATGCCCGGACCGCCCTTGGGACCCTCGTAGCGCACGACGAGCACCAGGTTCTCGCCGCGGGGGATCTCGCCGCGGTTCAGCGCTCCACCGAGCTGCACCTCCTTGTCGAAGACGCGCGCCCGCCCCGTGAACCGGGTGCCTTCTTTGCCGGTGATCTTGGCCACCGCCCCGCCGGGCGCGAGGTTGCCGCGCAGGATCTGTAGGTGACCCGTGGATTTGATCGGGTTGTCCAGCGGGCGGATGATGGCCTGGTCCTGCGGCAGCGAGGGCCACGAGGCCACGTTCTGCGCCAGCGTCTTCCCCGTCACCGTGGGGATGTCGCCGTCAAGCAGGCCCGCGGCGATCAGCAGCTTCTGCACAGAGGGCACGCCGCCGATCTCGTACAGGTCGGCCATGTAGTACTTGCCGCTTGGTGACAGGTTGGCGATGAAGGGGATCTTGTTGCTGACTCGCTGGAAGTCGTCGAGCGTCAGCTCCACCCCGGCAGTGCGCGCCATGGCAAGGAAGTGCAGCACGCCGTTGGTGCTGCCGCCCAGGGCCATGGTCATGACGAGCGCGTTCTCAAAGGAGCGCTTGGTCAGCAGATCGCGCGGCTTGATGTTCTTCTCCAGACAGACGCGGATCGCATCCGCGGCTTTGACGCACTCGCGCATCTTGGTCGGCGACTCGGCGGGAGTCGACGACGAGCCGGGCAACGAGAGTCCCATGGACTCGATGGCCGTCGCCATCGTGTTGGCCGTGAACATGCCCCCGCATGCTCCGGCGCCAGGACACGCGTGCCGTTCCAGATCGTCCATGATCTCGTCCTTGGTCTTGCTAGTGTCCCCGCCATCGTCCGGTTGCCGCAGTGTGTTGTACGCATATGATCCCGCTGCCTCAAAGCACGACGAGATGTTGACCGGTTTGCGAAGCAGGTCGGAGTATCCGACCTGGATCGATCCTCCGTAGATCATCAGCGACGGGCGGTTGTGTCGGGCCATCCCCATCACCACACCCGGCATATTCTTGTCACAGCCCGGAATCGCAATGCACGCGTCGTGATACTGGGCACACGTCACGCTCTCGACACTATCTGCGATGATTTCTCGAGTCTGCAGAGAAAACCGCATTCCTGGTCTGTCAGTTTCCGAGAAAGATCGCAATAGCCAAGGCAAAGCCGAGGGGGTGATCTCTCACCCTCGCTGCCCATTGAGATCGCATCCGACACTCCAATAGTATTATACTGCCACCCAAGCATGTCCTTCTCCACCACAGCCTTCTTCACCGTCTTAGCCAGACCCATGAGATGCATGTTGCATGGGTTTCCCTCCCACCACACCGAGGCGATTCCGACGTGCGGACTCTTCGACATTACCTCGTTATTCGGCACGCCGGCTGCATACAGCATTGCCTATAACATGTCAGAACCAAAAGCTAGAATCAAAAACTACAGTCAAAACTAGAGTCAAAGCCAAATCTACCCACCTTCGCCCCGGGAAAGTCATGGCCGCTGGTGATAGTGCTGGAGAAACGGTTCAACGCAAGCGAACCATCCGCATGCCTCGTCCCTTCTGGAAGACAGGGGAACTTCAAATACCTGTCTTCCGAAAAGGAGTCCGTCTTGGAGGGATCCATATCTTCCAGCTTGCCAGTAGAGTGCCCGCTGCCTATAGAAGTACAAAGTAGATACTACCCAGTGGTTATATCTCAACGTTGGACAACTCAGACTCAACCTGCACTTTAACGACTGTACCTCCGACGAAGACAAGCGTTAACCTTCCAATATATAGCTGATTCCAGCGCCCCAAAGCCCGAGGGGTTCGTCGGTTGCGATGATTGCCGAGGGGGAGGGAAGTTGTTCACGGCGAGTCTCCGTTGCGGGGAAGAATTGACGTATAAGAGAGAGGGGATTACTAGAGCATTCAGGCACAGGCACGTAGCTACCTGACTATGGAATTAAAGAATATCCGGTAAATAAGATACTCTTTATCATTTATTACTGTAGGTACTCTATATTTATTCTCTTTTCTAAGATAGTGAAGAAGAATAGCCGGGAGTTTCGGATAGCTCTGGAACTACCGAGCAGTCAGACTACCGTTGACCAGAAGGAGATACAAGACTCCTATTCATATTAACTGATATATGCTGTCTGGCCATGGCTTCAGGCTTCATGAATTTCATCGAACTGTAGAGAAGACCTCGTATTGTATTGCAATTGCAATTGCAATTGCAATTGCATCTGGCAGTGGTTACGTCATGGTCATGACAACTTCGCCCCAGCAAACAATAAAACTATCTTCTGAATACACTGATTCTTTTCATCTTCTGAATACTCTGATCTTTTCATCTTCTGAATACTCTCATCCTTTCCATCTTACTCATTTGATCATCATGTCGACCGACGTCTTACGCACTGCTCAAGCTGTAGGGATCATCGGGTCAGCTCTTGCCTCAGGTATCTTCAATACTACTCACTCCCCGAAAGGAATCTTCTTGCAGCTCTTCTCTGACAAAAAACAGGAGGAATCTTCTCATTCTCCTTCTTCACCGTCCCTGCCCTCGTCCTCCCTGCCCGAAACCCAGAGACACCCCTTACACCACTCACGGAACCAACGCCCGGTTCCTCGCTCCCACACATCACACACCAATGGCTCGCCTGCTATAACATGGGGAAATCCACGCTGCCCTTCCTGGCAGGCACCTCGGCGGCAGCGTACGCCTATCTAGCCTGGGCGTTGCGTGATCAGTCCGATTTCGCCTCCGGAAGCTACCTGATTGCTGCCGTGGCCTCGGCGGGGATCATCCCCTACACGCTGCTGGTGATGGGGAGAACCAACGCCCGGCTCGAGGCCCATGCGACGAGAGACGATCCCGGGCATATCCGGGTGGAAGAGAAACAGGCTCTTCTGGGGCGCAGGGAGGCGGAGGACCGCGAGGTCCCTGCCTTGCTGGTGAAGTGGTCGGCACTGAACGCTACACGGGCGATTTTTCCTTTGATCGGGGCTGCTGTCGGGTTTTACGCGACGATTTCGGTGTAATTTATGGGTTGTTAACTCTGTCTGCATATGTTGAGCTAAATTGGAATGACTAAATTGGAATGTGTTTATATATAATTAAACCTCCGTAGGGGTATGGGTATCTATGTAACGAACTATATGCATCTGACGAGTGCTCCAGACAGCTAATTTTGTTGATCATCTGGCTCACTCCCGCCAGTCGACTCGGACCACTCGTTCGAGTGCTGTAAAGTTTCGTCAGTGCTGATCGCCTTCTCTGACCCCGTCGCTGGCTTCCCCCCTTCATCGATCACTGCGAACCCGACATTCTTCCCGCTACCCGAGGGCACACGGACTTCCTCCAGCACGTCGCCGTTCCAGGGTTTGCATTTCTTGACCACTTCGCCGCAGCGGAGGCATACCCATCCCTCGCCCTCTTCGGCCTCCAGCTTGTGCACAATGCAGACAAAACAATAGATGCAGCCGCACGGCACGGTCTCATATGGGTTGGTGATATCGGTCTGAGCGGACCCGATTAGATCGCCAGCCAGCGCAGGTGCGGCCATGACTTCACTCTCCGATGTTGACGCGGGGTTCTGCGCCTGATAGCAAATCGCGCAGGTCCGCTCAGGAAGGAAACTTAGTTCTCCCTGTTTCTCAGATGACTTGTCGTCATCGGCATCATCAACACGAGCACTTGATTTGAAGCTCGACAGCATTTTGCGCCATGCCCTCGAAAGCCATTTCCGCCATCGGCTGATACCGACGAGTGGAAGCAGAAATAACAAGAACTCGGTAAACGCGTGCCAGACCAGTTGCCGATTCAAATATTCAAAAGACACTTCGCGGCTCGATTGGCTGGAAGGCGACGTGAGACGGATCCGAAGGATTCGATCAACCAGCGTTCTGTATCGGCCGTTCACCAGGAAGACCAAAAAGGACACAAAGGCAGCAATCGAGTGGGTCGTCGACACCAAGTCGGTTATCCGAGCCATCATTCGTACGTCCTGCGATGGCTGCTATCATAAGCACGGATCATGGAGGAGAAGGCAGGATTTATATATACCTCTTCGTAGCCACCCTCTTGGTCGATCAACCAGCTTTCCCATTTGTCCCAAGCGTAACGTCCTCCAACGGTTAGAAGGCCGTACAGAACCTTCTGCCATTTGGTCGGGGGCGAGTAAACAGGGCCTTTGCTACGACTGTCCGTATATTTCAGATTCTGTAGCGCTGCTCCATACGAAGCATCGTGGTCCCATATCGAGAGTTTGAACAGGATGGCGCGCAGGACAAACGACGTTTCGTGGGACCATTCATCGCGCATGTGCGGCTAACAAGAGACTATTGTCAGTGATTGTAAAGGATCAAACAAAAAGAGGTTCAGTTGGATCGTCTTACTCCGAAATATTTCAACGCTTCTCCGACCTGCCCCTTCAGCAACCCCAGTAGTTCCTCATCAAGCAATTCGGCATCCACCTGGCCGATCCGGAAAGCCGGACTAGTCCCTTCACGACTCTTCAATGTATTCCAAAACGATATCCCCCGTTGCGGGAGGCCTCGCAATGGCCGGGGAATTCTTTCGAGGGTGGCCGGGTCGATGGCCCGCTGTTGTTCCGCGAGTCTGGCACGAGATTCGGCTTCGCGCAGGCGACGACGTTCGAGAACCCGCTCCTGGGCAGCGGCGAAGTTGGTAGAGCTCATCGTAGGACCATCCTGCAGGTGAGATTACAAGGGCACGACGGCAAGTAAAGCAACCTGGTTTATTATCGGGACTGGAAAGGTGTCTCACGCTCGAGGCTGATCACAATCACCGTCACAGCCGCACCAGAACCAGCCGAGGTTGCGTCAAGTCACGTGCTGTGATTAGGAGTATTAGTCATCTACTATGCCATGATTCTACTAATAATTGCAGAAACCATTTTCTTTAAATTTGTTTCTATAAAGTATTTATATAAATGGATCCTGAGAAGAGAGCAGTGACACCTCGGCAGTGCTGAATGCTACAAACTTCTTATTAGAGGATTGGAAGAAGTGTACGCTTTTTGGATCAACCCGCTCTGTACGCCATCAAAAGGGCCAAGCGAACCTTGCATCTTGTCTACGAAACAGTTGATGCACCATTCTTTATCTGCCAAAAGTATGTGTCAGGAAAGACTTCGGCCGTCTTCTTCTCCTTTGACATCAAGGTGACATGTCATTTCGCCTTCGAAACCGTCGGACTCGATTCGATCGCTCGTGAGATGAGGGACAACAAAGTAGCTTTATACTCAATCGACTGGGTTCGTAGGTATCGGAGCTGGTAGGTTAGTGTTTTTCGGGTAGGAACTGACGTTATCGTCCCAATAGGCTTGGTTTTCGACGAGACAAAATGTCAGTATATTCTCTGAAGACACGGTGAGAGGGTACGAAAGCCACTCTTCTGCCATCAAGGTTCACGTTTCATAATCAAATAGGTACTTGTAAGTATCTTATGCAGTCTCTGGGTACTTGCATCTTCCCGACACTTCTTCTACCTGCGAGTCCGAGTCAAACTCCAAGGGAAGGTGGTAAATAGTAGCTGGTGAGCAGTGCCAGAAGTCTGCAAGATTGGAATGAGGAGTCGAGGACTCAACAGTCCGTCACATGACACACTAAAAGCGTTGAATCGACTGTACCTGGTACCTACCTAGGCAGTAGGTACTAGGTAGGTCAATACCGATTGAAAAATGGGCACCGTATCATCGGATATACGGATAGGTAGTTCGTCATTCTATGGTTCAGAGTGGGTATGAGAGAGCTGTATTTTGGTAAGAACTATATGGAGTTCACCGAGTTATGGAGTACCTTAGGTGCCTTAGTAGGAGGTAGTACGATGCAGTATGGATGCTCGATAAATGGCAGCATTTTGATTCTGGAAGGAATCAAATGGAACCTACCTTGACTCGTCCAATCACTGTGCCGGAAAGATGACATGACACTGTGGAGTCGGACCTTCCAAACCTGACGAACTCACCTGGAGGCGTTTCCAGCCCACGTGCAGCGTGTTGTGGTAAGCGGAGGTTGCTGCTAACCTCTTTGGACAAGCAAAAAAAAAAATCTAGAAGGGTCTGATATCAGAACAGCTTACGAGGTCCACCTATTGACAAAAACTTTAATTACGTTTATTTATCCTTCCTGGTAGATTGAAATCGGATCATTATATAAGTTTTATACAATTCTTTGGACAGCAGGAGAAATGAACAGACTGTAACCTACTATGAAGTACACTGGGGTAGAGTAAACTCCCCATGTCAAGGAAAAGCCACACATGCTTATAGGTAGGTGGATATGACAATTCCGAAACTTTATCAGGGAGGAGAGGGTCTGTTATTGGTGGCGCAAAAAGATCGCGTAGGCAAGTGTAGGTAAGATTGCGTCTTGCCCAAGCCTCTAAGAGAGATTGGGAACCTCCAGAGCCCAGTAGAAGTCGTGACATTGATCAGCAAATTTCTGGGCACGCATCCTGTGGGCGGTTCATGGACGCCTCCAGAGCTTCGTCCCGGTTCCTGAACCACCCAAGAAGCTGCAGCAAGCACGTGCAGCGTGGGCGGGCGCTGCCAAGACGTCCGGAAGCAGAGAACCAGTGCCCCGCCAAGCCCGATATATGCCTGGGTGGGCCCGGCGTCGGCCACCAGGCTTGGCCAAGGCAACGGTAACCGAAGGGGGACAAACTCCAGGGCTCCAGAGAGGGAAGGAACTGGTTTTGCAGGTTGAGACTGAGTCGAATGAGATTCAGACCTGCGGCAGCGTGGGTGCAGGGTGTGCTGCTATTCAGCCGGTAGCACTCCGGGTCAGCACCTTTTCTCGTCAGTTGACTTGTGAATGGGCTCAGATATGGGCCTGCCCGCTATCTATAGTACCTTAGTACTAGGTACCTAGATAGTAATTTCGGAGGGTAAACGGTTCTAGTAGGTATTATTCCTTCATGGTGTTGTGTAACCCTACCTGACTAGGTAGGGGCTCAAGTGAGGTGAATTGGCAGGCCACGTGCTGACTCCCATCCGCGAGCCCTAGCAGTATAAAACTCCAGCTGCCGTGCTCTTCCCTCCCTCCCCCTTGCTCTTCTCAAGTGGCAGATTCACCCCTCGATCTCGTCAAGCTCCATCGATCCAAGAATCGTACGCATCGTCAAGATGAAGGCTACCGTCGCTTCCCTGCTCGCCATGGCGTCCCTGAGCTATGCTCAGACTGCCAACACCAGCGAGCCTACTCTCGCTGAGATCGAGAAGGCTGCTGCCACCGTGGAGCCCTATTCCCCTACCTCCGACGTCAAGGGTCTTGTCTTCGACAAGTTCTACCAGGTGTGGCTGGAGAACATTGTAAGTAGTACTTCTCTTTTTTATTTTGTGGCCCCTTGTATCTCTTAAAGACCTTAGATGCTGACAATAAATTATTAGGACTACGACGTTGCCGCTAACGACACCAACATGCAGTGGTTGGCCGAGCAGGGTATCCTCCTGACCAACTACTATGGTACCACTCACCCCTCCGAGCCCAACTACTGCGCCTCGGCCTCGGGTGACAACTTCGGCATGGACAACGACGATTTTCACCAGATTCCCTCCAACGTGTCGACCATTGCCGATCTTTTCGACACCAAGGGCATTGCTTGGGGTGAATACCAGGAGGGTCTGCCTTATGCTGGATTCCAGGGTTACAACTACTCTAACCAGGAGACTTATGCGAACGACTACGTCCGCAAGCACAACCCCCTTATCCTCTTTGACTCTGTCACTTCGAACAGCACCCGCTTGCGCATGATCAAGAACTTCACTTCCCTGTACAATGACTTGGACAACGAGAAGCTCCCCCAGTATGCTTTCATCACCCCCAACATGACCAACGACGCCCATGACACCAACATCACTTTCGGTGCCAAGTGGGAGCGTGGCTTCATCTCGGATCTGCTTAACAACACCTACTTCATGAACAACACCCTCGTCCTCCTGACCTTCGACGAGGATGATACCTATGCTAAGGGTAACAGAGTCTTCAGCATCCTCCTGGGAGGTGCTGTCCCCGACAGCCTGAAGGGAACCACTGACGACACCTTCTACACCCACTACTCCATCATTGCCTCCCTCTCTGCCAACTGGGGTCTTCCCTCCCTGGGTCGCTGGGACTGCGGTGCCAACATTCTGGAGATTGTCGCCAACGAGACTGGTTACGTCAACTATGATGTTGATACCACCAACCTTCACCTCAATGAGACCTACCCCGGTCCTCTCTCTGACAGTATCTACTCAGAGTACTCCTCTGTGTGGCCTGTCCCCCTGACCAACGCCACCTGCTCGGCTGGCAATGGTATCCTCGATATCGTCAAGGAGACCTACAAGGGCCGCGAGGCTACCTTCAACTACACCCACCCCTTCCCCTATGACACCGCGTCCAACTACAACGTCGATGTCACCTTCACCAAGAAGTCGAGCTCCAACACCTCCTCCTCCTCCACCACCACCTCCTCCTCGGCTGCTTCCTCTTCCTCCTCTTCCGCTGCCTCCTCTCACATGATCCCTGCCCTCAGCACCCTTTCCCTTGGTTTCCTCGGTGCTCTGCTGGCTTTCTAAATGGGGCAGATAATCACCTGCCATTTTGATCAAGGGTCAACCCTGAGCCTATACTCTCTACTCAACTGGTGTGGGTAAAGAAAAGAAAAGGCGATACGACTGGCCTGAATGCAAATGCGGCCTTGTACAGTTTTTTTTACTAGTTTTTCACGTCTATTACGATGATCATGTTCCAAACCTGACATGATGATTTTCCGTCTCTCAACTAATGAGTAATGGGAACACCGCACTAGATGAAATGCTTTAATGTCTTTAATCAATCAATGAAACAGTATTCTAATACTTCCAGTTGTCTACTCGTGTCACTTGTTTTGCAGTATGATGTAATGATAACATAATAAGCTTGTAATATATCATTCTATAGTACTATAGACCGTCAATAAATAATTAAGAATTCGAGCATCTTTACTTGCGCTACTCGTGCCTTTTCAATCCCTGGGGAGTAAGGGCTTCGTCGGCGCGTTTCATCTTGTCTTCAGGACCACCGGGACCATTGAAGTGTTTCGCTTGGGTCAACCTAGGTAAAACAGAAATATCAGCAAATATTCATGCGTGGTATAATTTATATACCGCCCACAAGTTCCTGAATAGATTTCCTACCTTCCTCGGGAATCGTAGCCACCCCCTTCGCTCTCTGGAATTAGTTTGCGATCGCTTCCCGATGCGGTGGCCGAGCCTCTTCCATATCGGATATCGCTGTCCTGGCCAACCTCTCTGCCGGCCATCTCATTCACGCCGGATTCAACAGCTGCCATAATGGTAATTAACATATTGCATAGACTCTGATATGAATATGACGTACTCGAATCGCTCTGCCGTCCTACGCCTTGTTTGGCTTGGTAGGAGTTGAGATTGCGCTCGGCACGAAGAGCTTGCTGGGTGAGTTTATCGGACTGTTCGGACATAATGTAGATTGTAAAAAGCCCTATCGAAATGACAAATATATATAAAGAAAAAGCTCCTATCTTCACTTCTATTGTCGATTTAGGGAACTTATAATAGCATCCATGATAGCTGAACTCTGACCTTGCGTCATGATACATCATGGCTATGTCACGGTCCCGGTGCCGGGGATCAGGAGTGAGATTTTTTGAGTCCAAAATAGATGTCAATATTGTTCAGAAGCTTGATCAGAATGTGAACTCATAGTGACCTTGATTTTTGTCCAGACAAAACGGTATTCTTCATCAGGGCAAGCCGATAAGACTGATAAGTCACGAAACCCTTGAATTGAGCCCTAAAGTCGATCCGTATCGGGCTAAGCCAAACCCAAGGAAAAACACTCCTCCGACAGCGCCATGTTTGACATGTTTGACAAGCTTTATGGGCCTGAGGAATCAATCGAGACAGCGGGGAGGGAGAAAGCAGGCTTTCTTTCTAGAGCTCTGCGACATTCGATCCTTGTCCCAGTTTCTTTATTCGCAACCTCGCGACAGTGTGAACGCCTCGAGAAGCTGGGTTTTCGACTTCCCTTCCTTCCCCATCTGCCGTATAGCCCTGCTAATCCTTCATTCACATCTTCCTATATCCCTCCTCTCCCTCATTCCCCCACCCCACATTGGGCGTTGATCCTCGACGTGAACGGGCCAGACTGCCCCCCAGTTCCTTTCACGGTGTACTCTAAATCTCTTCTTCGTCATGGCCCATGTCGTAGAATTGCCTGGAGAGGCAAATCCTCTGACATCCCACAATGTTCTCAGCGCTTTGGTGCTTGCGGCAAGCTCATCACAACACCAGGTACAGACTGGTACACAGCAGCTTCAGAACTGGGAAACGCAGCCGGGATACTATTCTTCGCTTCAGGTGAGATATTGTGGTTCCTTGAAAGATGAAATCGTGCAGAGAGCATAAGACTGATCAAAGGTACTAGGATATTTTCCTTGACTACTCGGTCCCCGGCGAGGTTCGGTATCTGGCGATCATCCAGCTTAAGAACGGTATAGACAAGTATTGGAGGAAAACCGCTACAAAGTACGCTAGTATCAGAATCTTGTGCCAGAAGAAGAAGATATGTTCTAACTCTCATTGGCCAGTGCCATCAAGAAAGAAGAAAAGGAACGGATCAAAATCCGAGCTCTAGAGGCCGGGATTGTCGAACCGGCTCCTCTTCTTGCGCTTCACAATTCATTAATGATTGCAAAGATTATGCGTTACGAATTCCCGCAAGACTGGTATGCTGTCTCCAAGCTTTAGCTGGATATCTTTTCTAACCATCATATTCTTGCCATAGGCCTGATTCTATCCCGTCCATCATTGCCTTCCTTCGTTCCTCTACACAACCTGGAGCCAATCCGCTCCAATTGCCACGAACGCTCCTAATTCTCTTGCAAATCATCAAAGAATTATCAACCGCGCGGCTTCAAAGAACCAGGGCCAACCTCCAGTCCGTTTCCCCGGAGATTTTCCGCCTTCTGGGAGGCATATACGTGGAGAAAGTGAACAGCTGGGGATTGCTCCTCGAACAAGGTCATGCTGATGAAACAACATTACTCGAGCCCATCGAACAAAGTCTTGTTGCTTTGAAGGTTCTGCGCCGCTTAATCATTGCGGGCTTCGAGCACCCAAATCGGGACAAGGATGTCCAAGGATTCTGGGGCTTGACTCACTCTCATTTTAGCAAGTTTCTTTCCTTCGTAGAGAATTCGGGGGGCCTTCCTCCCCATGTGCAGAGGCTCATCCAAAAACACTTGCTCCAGCTATCTAAACTCCATGTGGAGATGTCCAAAACTCACCCAGCCTCGTTTGCTCTGCTGCCGGATAGTGTTCCTCTTGTGAGATCCTACTGGACCTTGGTTATGAAGCTGGGAGAAACATATGAGAAGCTAGGGTCTGATGGCGATTCTGAAGAAAAGACTTTAACGGAGAGGATCGGTCTGAAAGCCCTTTTGCTGATCAGGGCTTGCGCCAAGATGGTGTTCAACCCTGCGCAGACATTCAAATACCAGACGCCGCAAGACAAGGAGGAGAAGAAGGAATCAGTTGCGCTCATCAAAACACAACTATTTACGCCTGACTTTGTGGTCAATGTCATGGAACTGCTCGTTACACAGTTCTTCAAGTTCAGGAAGAGTGACTTTCAAGAGTGGGAGGAGGACCCTGAAGATTGGGAGAGAAAAGAAGAGGAGAGCGCCGAAGCTTGGGAGTTCTCGATTCGCGCATGTTCCGAAAAGCTTTTCCTGGACCTCGTCATTCATTTCAAAGAGCTATTGATACCCCGGTTACTAAATGTTTTTTACACTTTTGCAAGTATGGCTCACCACCTTGCCCTCGCTTCCTGTTTCTAGTCTGTCTAACCCCATCACCAGACCCCGAGAATCGCGACGTTCTATTGAAGGACTCGCTGTATGCTGCTGTTGGCCTCGCTGCCGCGTCCCTGGAGCAGCACTTGGACTTTAATACCTTCCTCGAGAGAACCCTTGTGCCGGAAGTCCAGATCCAAGAACCTGGATATAACCTCCTTAGAAGAAGGATTGCGATTCTGCTTGGCCAATGGGTGCCCGTGAAGCCAGGCGAGCTAAACAGAGACGCCATATACACGATTTTCCGGTATCTGTTCAACAAGCAGGATCCTCTCAACGATCCTGTGGTTCGTATTACTGCAGGAAGACAGCTGAGAAATGTGCTCGACCCATACGAGTTTTCTCCTGCAGCGTTCATGCCCTATGCCCCCTCTATCCTACAAGACCTCATGGCACTCGTGCAGGAAGTTGACCTGTCCGAGACTAAAATGGGCCTACTGGAGACTGTCCGCATCGCCGTGGTCAAGATGGAAGATCATGTAGGCAATGTTTATCCCAAAGACATCCTCCACAGTTCTAACACCTTGCTATATAGATCGCTCCATTCTCCGACCAGGTGCTCTCTCTGCTGCCACCCCTATGGGAGCACTCCGGCGAGGAGCACCTCATGAAGCAAGCCATTCTGACCTTGCTCTCCTCACTTATCAACTCATTGAAGCAAGACTCAGTGAAATACCATTCGCTCATTCTTCCATTGATTCGCAGCTCCGTGGAGCCAGGTTCTGTAAGCACTCTCCCATGGCACTGCCAAATTCCTTTCAAATTAATAACTATTTTTTCTTGAAAGGAAACCTTGGTATATCTGTTGGACGAGGCCTTGGAGCTTTGGTCAGCCATAATTACTCAGACACCGAGACCGGCACCCCCAGATTTGCTTGCCCTTCTTCCAAGCCTGTTCCCCATTTTCGAAGACGCGACAGACAGTGCCCCGCAGGCCCTCCAAATCGCCGAATCGTACATTCTCTTGGCCCCGGAAGAGGTTCTCAGCGACAAGATCCGTTTCCATCTGCTAGTCTCGTTTGAGAGCCTGCTCAAGTCCACCACACGCCAACGTCTTGGCACGGTGCCTCGTCTCGTGGAGATGGTCATCCGGTGTGTCGAAGCCGTCGATGGAGGCAATGAGAACACCTACAACATCCTTGCCCGGTCTCTCTTGGACAGCTCCTTCCTCGCGTCGCTCCTTGAGGGGCTCCATTCGGCCCACGAAGCAAGCCAGACGACGGGACCGAACAGGAAATCCTCCCCGGTCCACGGAGTCGTGGAAACAGATTACCTATCCATCCTCGCCCGACTAGCCCTTGCCAACCCGCAGATCTTCGCCTCGGCTGTCTCCGCCGCAACGGCCACCCCGGAGGAGCAGGCTCTGACCTGGCTCGTAGCAGAGTGGTTCTCTCACTACGATAACATCGGCAGCGTGAGCCAGAAAAAGCTCCATGCCCTCGGCCTCACCCACCTACTAGCCCTCAACACCACATCTTCACAATCACAATCAGCATTAGCAGCGTCATCATCGCTTCCATCACCCCCTCCTTACATCCTTAACCATCTCCAATCATACCTAAACATGTGGACAGATATCGTCACCGAGCTTGCCGAGGGCGCCGGCGACGACCCCAACGATCCCCGCAGCGGCGACTACCTTATCTTCTGGAAGGGCGGGGACCCAGCCACCACCACCGCCACCACCACCACATCCTCAGCGACCGAGGTCTACGATGACAACGAGCCGCCAGAGACCACGCGCCGCCGAGAATGGGACGCCGCAGACGTCATCCACAAGATCAACATCCGCGACTTCATCAAGCAGCACCTGCATGCCCTTGTTCTTGCTTGTGGCGGTGAGCACCGCTTCCAGGAGGACTGGCTCGGCAACGTGGACCGTGATGTCGTGGCTTCCTTCGTCGGCTTGGGGCTGTTCTAAACCCTCCCCCCTCCCCACCTTTCTCTCTCTCTTCCGAGTCAAGGGCTACTATATGTAGTTCACGTATCTAGTAGTTATAAGCTAGATGTGATACAGGTGGCTTGGCTGCATATACCTGATAAATGAATGCTACACCACTACTTAAGTGTCTATTTCTCTACTCTGGATATGGACTATCTCTGTACGCAATTTTAAGACTCTCGAGTATGTATTTCTTTAAGCTGGATGCATGCGATGCAGGATCAATACGCCAACCGGAATATCTAGCTGGAGATTTGGATGGACGGGGAATATGGAAGAGAGGCACGAATAGCACGATAACAATAGAGAAGAGTCCTGAGCGTATATTACAGGAAACAAGATGAGGAACAGAGGAAGGGAACTATGCGCAGTTGGTGCCGTACTGTCTGTCCGAGAGAGGCTGGGGGAAGAGCCCTCCTGCAAGAAGCTGCTGCATGTCCCATTCCGGAGCGCCTTCAGTCTTCCAGGTCCAAAAGATCCAACCAGTGGATTTCTCGAACGCATCCAGCTGGGCCTCGATAAAGCGACGGACGTTGTACTTGTCGGCATCCGAGAGCCCATCGACAGTGCCCTGGTACTTGCCGTCACAGCTCCCGAGGGCCGTGCTGCCCGGGTATGTCCCATCGTAGCGAGCACCGACATTTCGTCCATTGAGCCACTTGGCGCAGTCGGTGATTCCACCGGTCCATTCGCCTACAACGGTCCACTTGTCTACATGTTGCAGGTGGTCCTTGCTAAACTGGCAGGCAGTGTTGACATGGTCGTCGATACTCATGGCCAACAGACCGTTGTCGAACACTTCGTAGTGATGGGTGTCCATCATGACGTACCAGACCCCGGACGCCTCGTTCATGAATCCGTTCCACGAGTCGACTGCCAAGAAACCATCGTGCAGGACGACGGCAGTGTCGTGGTTAGAGTCGCGGACGGTGCCCCAGACGTCGTAGTAGTACTGCTTCAGCTGATCCTGGTTCACGCCGGAGGGGATCATCGGCTCGTTGAGAGCTTCAATGGCCACGACCACATCGGTCTGTGGCGCATATCGCTCGGCCAAGCCCCGGATAGCCTGGAGAGTTTGTGTAACTGTATCTCCCTGCTGCCAGTTGATAGATCCTTTGCGGCCGCTATTGTCAAAGCCATTCTGCGAGCCGGGGGCTACAAGTTCAGGTCAGTCAAAAAGGTACCTTAAAAACATGCCTTGGTTCAGACGCATACCTCCATGCAAATCGATTAATACTTTGAGACCAGCACCGCGGGCCCAATCAATGGCATTATCGAGAACGTCGAGCTGACCCTGGACGAACGGCTCGTTGTCAATCGGGGCGACAGCCCAGTATCCAACAGGGATCCGGACGTGATTCAACCCCGCGGCGGCGATCTGGTTGAAATCGTCCTGGGTGATGAAGGTGTTCCAGTGGTTGGAGAGCCGAGAAAGCGCCTCATCGTGACCAAGGGCGTCGCAGAGGCTCCATTCGTCAACGGCTGAGTCACCTGCTCCTTCATAGATCGAGGGTGTGATCCACGGCTCGGTCACTAGCCATCCTCCGAGGTTGACACCATGGACCTTGTTGCTACCGTAGTCGAATGTCAAGTCACGGGATCCCAGGCGACTGTTCACGGACAGACGGAGTCAGCGAGGAAATATGAAGCAGTAATTTCGAAGGGAGGGGGAGAGTGAGGACGCTTACAATTTACTAGAGGGCGCGGCCTCGACCCAACTGCTCAGCAGAGGGAGCGCAAGAAGGAGCGTCTTTTTTGGCGGAAGTCCAGCAAACATCGTCACAGTTTTGACGAGAAACAATATCAAGAAAGGATAGAGAGAAAAGAATGGGGGGGGGGGGAGGAAGGAAACGTTCCTAGGAGGCTGGTCCTTCAAGACGGATCAAGGCACTGAAGATCGAGAGATCGAATGAATGGTGATCGCCCGGTATAAGTAACGAAATCACGATGGACGCTCCCGGATGTGAGCAGCCGCAAGCAAGACCGGGGTCTGGGGCGAGGGTCAGTCACGGTAAACAAAAAAAAAAAAAAAAAGAGAAAAACCCTTGAAGACTGGCAGATAGTATATGACCCGCCGATCTGGGGAAGGTTCCGGACCCAGGCAGGGTCCTGCTGTAACCGTAGCCGCGAACGGGGGACGGAGACCGCAAAGATGGCCGCAAGCAGGACCGGGGAACCCTGTAGAGTACCGATAGGGGATCCGACTAACCAGTAGGTAGACAACCAACTCGGTGCCTGGATTGGATAGTCAGTCAGTCAGTCAGTCAGACTGTCGGACACCAGAACCGATCGGAAACTTGCGCAGATGCGGTGTGACCAGCACTTCGGACACAAGTGAGCAGAATATGAGCTATTGATATTGAGAGTAGAGCGAAAACGAATGTGGGGTAGAGAATGACAATGCACAAGCTCTGGAATTCCGAGAGTTTGACTGTTCAGAAGATCTCTAGGAGGGTCAGTCGACCTTTTTGATGTCTGTTTGCAGCCAGAGCCGTACCTTCCCATCGCAGAAGTCGTCACACCAGGGGCAGGCGTAGAGCAGACCCTCATTCTTAATTTGTGTCTTGTATTCTCCATCTATTAAATTGATAGTCAATTCTTGATTCTCTGTGTCGATCTCCAAACTGAGGATAAACCAGGATAGTCAGTGGATAGTGAAGTACCAAGTATGGAGGGAGTACTATGGAGTAGTATTTGGTGTTGAGCATGTGAAATGGTGCGTCCCTTGCTTAAAGCTGACCTGAGTACTCCGTATTGATGAACACTAAACAAAGAGACTTTAATACTCTATATTTATTGTTAACTATAGAAGAAAATCATATAATTATTATTATATGATAGACTTTCTCTAATAACTAGGGAGTCATGGACAGCTCTCATACCATGACTAAGCAGGTGTTGATCAACGTTTGCGGCAGGACCATCCAATTGAAAGACACTGAAAGCAAAAAAAAAGAGGCTAATAGACGAAAGTTACTATCAAACCAATATATTATGATTATTGCTGACTCGAGTTCATATATTGAAACTATTTATAGTAGTTGGATTAGCCCAAGCTACTAGTTACGGAGTACTATTAGTACTCTGTACACCAGCACTACAGAGAAATTATAATAACATTTTATAATAATAATTTGATTAACATGGCAAACCCCCAGAGATATATAATTGTAAATATATAATAGAAAGAGCATCTGCTAGACCTTCTGTGCTGACGATGACCGAGGAAGTACTATAAAATTAGCTCTCTGCAAGATAGTTAGTACAGATATGGATCCTTAAGACAGTCACTAGGCAATAGTTTATTACTCCAGAGTACTCCGTAACTAGTTAATAGGTACCTAGGTACCTAGGTGCTTTTGTCAAGTGCTGTAAATGCTGTCGATATGCTCATCTTGACGCTTGTATGTCAACGGTCATGCCAGATATTAGAGTAATATGCAGTCTTGAGGCATTAATCCTGCAAATTCCCCTTTATTATTCCCGTATGCCTGCCCTGCACAGAGTACCTGCCGAGTAATGCCGTAAAACGGCGGTCAATAATAACGAATTGCCGTGGTGCGTGCGGAGTTAACCTCCAGGTCCATCTGCTACTAAGCCTTGACAGGCATCCGAATCCATCACAGGAGTAGGAATGATCCAAGCAGGGAGTAGTCGGATCCAATGTACGTGTGGGTAAACTATTAAACAGACTATGAAATGAAGTTAGGGGTAGTAGTAGTAGTGAGGCGGGTAAGGCGTGTAGTGTAGTAGGGTTTGGGGATCGTTCAATTGTTGATCTTGCAGAATAGGCATTTAAATAGAGTAAAGCTTGAGAATCGTCGAGAAGAACCTGATATTCTCCACTTGAACCTTGATATAAGATACAAGGTTAACGGTTGGATCAGATGTGAGATAAGGAGTACTTGGTTGGTTAGTGAAACCGATGAGGTTGCTGAAATCCAGGCTGCAAGCCTCAAGGCATGACATCACGTGAGACAGTCCTGGCAGTCTCCGTACTCCATACCAACTAACCACTCACTTCAGTGACTCACAAACTACCTACTCTACTACATGGCCGCCAGGAAGTAATCCCTGCTCCCTGCTCCTTTAATTCTATGATACCAGTCTAGAATGACTCTAACTACTACTGACTGCTACTGACGACATTCTGATCAGCTGGCTCAGGAGTCGACTTAGTCGATGCCGGGTGAGGATTGTTTGAACCGCCACATCAGGCCACCTCCCCAGGCTCCCCTTCGTCATCCTCCCGATCACACGACACCTGCTCATCTTTTTGATGGAGTACGGAGTATCGAGTATCTACCTAACTGCTAATTAACTAACTTATTACTACCCAACTAACTAAGCATCGAGGCTACGGTTAACGCTTCGGCCGTTCGCCGGTCGGCCCCGACTGTTTACCTTAAAACACCATACTAAATAATACTCAACATGATCTATTCTTGTCCTCTAACAACGACACGATTACTATGCATGTGGAGAAGTCCGAAGCAGCCCCGAAAAAACACTTGGGAGATCTCGATCATACCACGCTCTCGGGTTGAGTGAGTCTTTCTCGCCAGGTTCCGGGAGGGCTCGTATATAAGATGGAGGGACTTTCATAACTACTAAGAACTACTGACCTCACTATTGACCTCACTATCAACCTCTACTTCCCTCTATCTCTCTATCTCTCTATCTCTATCTCTATTCTATAATACCTCTACACCATGGACAGCATCCATTTAGAAAAAGACCGCCCAGTGAAGCATGTGGGCCGCAAAGAGCTGTACACCCAGCTCGAAACGCGCGTCAGCTATCTCCATGACTTTCTCGACTTCAATTCTGGTATGCATTTAAGAAATGTATATATATATATATATATATTATTCTGAAAGACATTTTTTCTAATTGTTAGGCGACATCGAGGCCCTCACCACCGGATCAAAATACATCAAAGCCCTGATCCCCGCAGTAGTCAACATTGTATACAAGAAACTGCTCGAGACGGACATCACAGCGCGAGCCTTCCACACACGCAACACAGCCGACGAACGGCCATTAGAAGAATTCATGAACGAGGAGAGCCCGCAGATTCTCCGACGCAAGATGTTCCTACGATGGTATCTCACCCGTCTGTGTTCCGACCCGTCGTCCATGGAATTCTGGAAATATCTAGATAAAGTGGGGTATGAAGCCTTGTATCACTCGCAAAAGAAAGAGAGAAAATACTAACAGATTCAAGTCTCATGCACTGCGGCAAAGGCCGCCTCCACGCATTGAACATCGAATACGTCCACATCGGCGTGTGTCTAGGGTTCATCCAAGACATCTTCACCGAAGCCCTCCTGTCTCACCCGCGTCTCCCCCTCCAACGCAAGATCGCCCTCGTGCGCGCGATTGGGAAAATCATCTGGATCCAGAACGACCTGTTTGCGAAATGGTACGTGCGCGATGGGGAGGAGTACGCCGACGGGAACGAAGGGGACGAGTATGAAGACAAAGAAGGGTACGTGGATGGCAAGAAGGTGATTGGCGAGAGTTCCTCGTCGCACTCGAGTGATGATGATGGCTCGAGTGTGAGTAGTAGTGATGGACCAGTTCCGTCAGCAAATCCTTCAACGGGGGCCAAGTCTGCGATTCCGATACCCTCTGTATGTCCATTTTCCGGGCATAAAGAGATAAACGCGAGTTCATAGTTTTAGCGGCGTTGATAAATAGACTGATCACTTTACTTCAAACTTTACTTCAAACCTTTAGAATATCAAAGTTTACTAAACATATTCTCATTCTATTCTAGTCTAATCTAGTCTATAAGTTATTCTAGTCTAGTCTTATCTATCTATCTAAGTCAAAGCAGTCACATTGCTAGACAAAGCAGTACAGTTATAGGCCATATTGATAGTCGGGGTGCTGGCTCCCGTATCCTCATACAAGCTCACGCTATAGTTGTACGTCGGGGAGAGCATCATGATCTGGCCGACGGTGGTGCCATATTTCCTGGCGAGATCGAGGTACACGCCCTCTGTGAAATCAAAGGGTTCGATCACACACCGACTAGGCGAGCAGGTGGGCACCTTGATGAAGGTGCCCACGGGCAAGGCAGAGGTGGCAGTATAGTTCGCTCCGTTGTCGTCTGCCAGCAATACAGCCGTAGAGATGTTCAGTCGACGCGCGATAACGTCGTACGTGTCCCCGTTGACGGTGTAGTAGAGGCGTGGGCCGCCGTAGATGCAGGTTCGGGTGCGGTTCGTGTCGGGAATCAGACAGGACGTGTTGTCGGGCTCACACACTTGCGGGGGGATCCAGAGCGTTTGGCCTACGTTGGGGATGATGGTCACGTCGGCCATGAGGTTCGCGCGGCCAATGTCGCACACGCCACGGCCTGTCAGACGGGCCACATCGAAGACGGTCGTGCCCGTCTCGGTGATCGGATAGAGGTAGAGGGTTGTGTTGAGGGTGCTGGGGTCGCAGGCTGAGGCGAGCGATGCTGCCAGAGAGGCCAGGGGGATGAAAAGGGTAGATGGCCGCATTTTTTTTTTGTACGGTAGTTTGAGTGGAGATTGTAGAAAGAGAGAAAGAGATCTGTCTATCAATTGATTGTTCTTGTGAGGAGGAAGCCTTTATATGCCTACAACTACAACCCCTCCATAGATATTAGACCTCCACTCTCTTACAATAGTCACTACCTACTAATACTAGGTACATGCCTAGGTACATGCCTAGGTATTTAGCCTATGCAGACTCCTGGTCAATGGAGTACCTACGTAACCCTCTCGAACCTGATGAACGCCGATCCATTTCTGCAGAGCAAATCGGGGTCTCCGTCAATCACCGTATCTATACTTGGTACTAGGTAACTACCCTCGATATTGCACAATAGTATACATCCATAAGAGAGATCCGCCGTGAGCATAGACCAGTTGCAGAGTAGTCAGAGTAGTCAGAGTAGTCAGAGTAGTAAGAGTAATAGTAAAGGTACTTCGTAGTATGTTTTCTAATGCGCCGGACATCGGACGGAAGATGCAGATGAAGAACTTACTCCGTAATTGTAATAAATACTACCCAGCTAGTCCTGCAAGGTAGTCACCTTGGTAGATACCTAGGTGCTATATTGTTCTTTCCTTAGCCGGTAGAGTGGGTTGAAGATACCTGCATCACCAATGAGATAGTAGTCTAATAGTGGCAGAATGACAAAGTACATATATACTATGCCTAAGTAAATAGATAAGTAGGTAGTAGGTACTCGCAAGTAGGAGAAGAGATATAACTACTTCCCCACCAGAAATGCAAGTATTATCACTAGTTAAACTAAATAACTGGCTAATAGAGAACTAATATTTAGTCACTTCTACATCCCCCAGTAACTTAAGCAATAATGGTAGCTAATACTAGGTATAGTACTATACTATATAGTTATCCCCACTGTCGATCTGCCTTTTATCCCGTGCTGAATTGGGGATCTGCAGAATTATAACCATAAATACAGGTTTAATATAAAGTGCCTGGCCTAGAGTTTTTTTCCATAAGTATGTCTACGTAGGAGACTTGAAGTACTCCGTTACTAAGTCTTCTACTACTCCGTAGTAGTTCCTCGGTAGTTCTGCAGTCTGCCGCCTGCAGTCTGCAGTAGTGCTAGTTGCATTAACTAGAAGAGGATATTCTGCAGTAATACATAGTTACTACATACTATCCACAAATAAGAGTACTTTTGTCGTGATAACAATAGTAGTGCGGAATATCTCCGAGGATCGACGATCAATGGTATTATCACGTGATTGTGCTGAATAATATGAATTCCATGTGATACGATCGACAATTATGACTCGTCAACAAGTGTACAGAGTGGTTGGTAGGTAATACCCCGTACCTTGGTAATAGATTGTAGGTTATGTAGTCTGGCAGCGTTCTAGAAGCACATACCACATAGGCAACCATGGACCAAGAATAACTTCTACTTGATCAATATCCATCATGATTCATCTTGTCTCACCTCGACTCACCCTGTCTCACCGCTCAAAATAGTAAATAAGAGATACGAGATGAATGCGAGGATAAATTGGTAGAACCAGACCCATGGAAGTATCCGTACTAGCTATCATTAAGTATCTATCTTCGATTGCCTTTGGGCAATCAAAAAGACACAGACCTGTTTGCCGCGTTTTATACAACGTCTGGAGTGTAAGTAGTGAAAGGGATTGATTATATTGAAATACGAATCGAAGACGCCAGGGTTGTCCTTTGACTTCGTCCTTCTGATCGGTGGGCATCTGTTGCCTCATAGTCGACCACCTAGGTATAGAAGCAGGGCACAGACAGTCTCTTTTGCTGACACGATGATCAGGAGGGAACCGTCTCTCGCCATGCAGCCTTAATTCTAGACAGAGGTAGGGAAACGGAGAGAGAATATCTGGATGGGGGTGTGTCGTTGTCGACAGCGAAGAGACGACTTCCCCCAACGACAGGCACTGTTTTATGCAGGATCCCCTGGGGCGCTTCGGAAGGGAGCCAGGGCTGATAGGCTTGACAGTACGGAGTAGGGTAGCTCCTGCAACCCAGTAGTTAATTAATTAGTTAGCACCTGGTCAGACCCTTATGTAACTAGTACTGTCATGTGGTACCAAAAATATCCATATGCAGCTGTGAGTTGTGACACAACATAAACCGTTAAATAAAGAAGCAGGAAAGTTATAACTATAGGAGAACAGGTCAGGGAAATAACAAACGACAAAGAGCCTCGCAGGCAGACGCCCTATTCCGGTTTGGGATGGAAGGGGCTTAATCCGGTTAGACCCAAACAGACCCTACAGGTGGAGCACAGGGACCCTGCGCAGATGATTGGCTGTCGGGGAAATTAGATCCTACCTGATGTTTACTAGCCATTTTCTAGCCGAGAAGGGTCCTTTAGGGGTCATCCATATGGATGAGGTACTTATTAGTTAGTCTTACTAAGTTACTACCCTCAACCTGGGTTAGCTGTCAGTCTCTGTCTTACATGTTGGTTCTTGGCGGACTGAAAGTAAATGAGCTGAACTTTATGAAAAGTTTGTTTCAGTCTTTGTATGTATCTCCTTGAAAGAGATAGAAAATAGAGAAATATATGAGTAGTTGGCAGTTGGGTAGAGTATTATCTCATTTATTTAAATGAATAGATAGAGAGAGAATATATATATATTTATTGATATATAGAATAAAGGATTACCTGGAGAATTACCCTGGTACTTCCACGGTCCCACTGGAAACACGAGGTAGTGGCGGAGTCAGACTTGGTGGCATATGGAGGAGGAGGTAGCACTGGCTCATTCCACACTCAACCACCCTGTACTTTAACCTCCTCCTCCTCCTCCCTTCTTCCTCTTTCCCTTCTCTCCTTTCCTTCGTCAACTCGTCCAGTCATTCTTTCTACCATCAACTTGTATCTCTTAGATACGTCCATTCCCTCACTACTACTACAGTACAGTACTACTACATCCACCAAAATCATACATTCATTTCTCCCAACAAACAAGCAAAATGCGTGTCGCTGCTGTCTTCTCCGGCCTCCTGGCCCTCGCCTCCGCCTACTACACCCCCGACTACAGCGAGGACCCCTCCGGCAATGCCATCTACACCCCCGGTCTGAACCAGATCGTCACCGCCGGCGAGGCCTTCGAGATCACCTGGAACGCGACCACCACCGGTGACCTGTCCATCGTCCTGCTGCGCGGCGAGAGCACCAACATGCAGGTCCTCGAGACCCTGGCCGAGAGCGTCGACAACACCGGCTCCTTCTCCTGGACCCCCAGCACCAGCCTGGTCCCGGACACCACCCACTACGGTCTTCTGCTCGTCTGCGCCGGCACCGGCCAGTACCAGTACTCCGACCAGTTCGGCGTCGCTAACCCCTACTACACCTCCTCCTCCGCCGCCGCCGCCGCCACCTCCTCTTCCGCCACCTCCACCGCCACCGTCGTCTCGGTCTCTGCTGCCACCTCTGATGTCTCTGCCGTCTCCGCTGTGCCCTCCGGCTACACCCTGTCCACCCCTTACACCCTGGTGACCACCACCTACTGTGCCTCTTCCTCCGCCGTTGCCAGCTCCGGCTCTCAGACCAAGGGCTCCTCCTCCCTGCCCACCGGCCTGCGCAGCTCCGCCTCCGGCGCCTCGGCCACCGGCTCTTCTACTGCTTCCAGCTCCACCCCGGCCTACACCGGTGCTGCTGGCCGTACCGGCGTCAGCTTCGCCGCTGTTGCCCTCGTCGGTGCTGCTGCTCTGCTCGTTTAAATGGAACACTGCACAGTTTTATTTGTTTTCACCTGGATCTAAAGTGGTTTCCTCTTCTCTTCTTGATCTCGACGGATCTTTTCTCTAGTTGGCATCTGTAGCAATGTCATCTTTTTCTTCATCACTGTTTGTCTATTTCTCTTCTCGACTGGACATTGTTATGATTATGCTGTAGATAAGCTGTACATCTAATGAATACCTGAATTATATCCTAACCACTCAACTACTATAGCATAGTGATAATTTGCATTTTCATAATTCATGATCATTATCATACGGCTATCAAGGGCTACCCAAGGAGCAAGCTGCCAAGTGTCAGGGTGGGTGCCAAGAAGGCCCAAGACCAGTTATTCCTGTTATTCGAGCCGAGTGAACAATAGTTTGTAATTTGGGGTTTCGTGGCGGTACAGTCGTTACAGTCGGTACAGTCGGTACAAGTAGTTGAACTTGAATGCTCTGTAGGTTTGACTGGGTCAGTAGGAGACTCCATCAAGTTGGCTGGCCCCTCCTTAACCGCAATCCCAATGGCGAGTACGAGGGCGAGCGAAAACTTGGCCCACAGGGATAGAGATTTGCGGAGGGCGCCTAACCCTGGATCGAGACCTAACCCTGTGTCTGCGGTGACATGCCCTGTCTCCGACTCCTTATTCTTATTGTTGTTATTAATAATCATTGTTTTGGGCTGGTCCTCCCTCCGCCAGATCAACCCCAGCATCCACCACGGTAGTCGCCCCAGCTTGGTTAAACAGGTGCTGCGGCTGCGGCTGCGCCATGCGTTGCGCAGAATACACCGGACCAGCTCGCGAGGGGTTTGCGACGGCTCAGGCGGCCAGGTTGACGTCGGGGATTGTGTAGGCGTGTGTGTACTGTGTGCTGGACTGCCGCAGCTTCCTGCGTAAAGCGACCGGCGTTGTTTGGTGGGCGTGGTCGTGCAGTATCCATGGGTAGGTTGGTAGATTTCGTCTGGGGAACCTTCATGCTGCTCCTGCTGCTCCTCGCCATCTTCATCTGATTCGTCGAAAAACGAGCCGTCGATCTCCTCGGCGATTGTCCCGTACCGTGGGAAGGGTTCCTCCAATTCCAAGCCTAGCCCGCGCATGGGGCCTGGACTCTCGTACCCTGTCGTCTGCACGTCTTGGACCTCCTCGAACGAGTGGTAGAAAGGAGCTCTTCCTTCCAGGGCGGCGAGAGATTCGTCATAAGCCCAGAGGTGAGCGTCTTCAGAAGGCAGTTCGGAGGAGGGCGGCAGCTCTTGTTCAAGGAAAACAGCAGGATCTACAACAATGCTCTGCTCGTCAGCGGTGACATGACTCACAGCCGCGGCAGGCAAGATCAACGGTCTCAGAGTCGACGACCCGGATGGGAACCGTCTCATTTTGCGGACCCTGTTCCGTATTTTGGCCTGATACTCTGGAGTAATGTGGAACGGCAGGCTGGCAACGGACGAAAACAACGACGATGACTGCGAGGTCATCGACGATCGTTGCGATGTGGCTAGCGACACCGAGGCGGCGCCCGAGCTGTCCGTCTCCTGCGAGCAGCTGTGAATGCTCTCACACGTGTCTTCTTGAGTAGTAGTAACATCTGGGATGGAATATTCGGGCAGAACCAGGGGCTGGCTGGGTGACAGCGGGATAGAAGGCATCATGGACTTGGGGCGAGGCAATCGCTGCTGCTGTCTCTGGCCAGCGCGGTCCGGAGACCACGGGTTAGAGCCACGGCCAGGGCTGCGGATAGGGTCCAGTCTCGAGGGGGATTGGGCAAGCAGTTCAGTCAACACATCGACTCGCCGTTCGAGATTGGCGTTGGTGAGGCTCAAGGCGTCGGCATTGCGCAGCTTGGTTGCCTGCATCTCGTTCTCATACTCCAGCTCGCGGATCCGCGACTGGTCCATCTCCGCCTGACTCTCGAGAGCCTGAATCTTTTCTTCATGTTTCTCCATCTCCTCGACAACCCGGGCGTCGAACCTGGCTTTCCATTCTGCGATCTCCTGTTTCAGCGCCTTGACCTCGGCGGTCAACGCGCGCATCTTAGCCAGGTGCGTCGGCCGGGTCGGCGACGGCTTGGAGTTCTCCATGTGGCTCTCCAGTTGCGCTTCGAGATGTTCAATGTACTTGATGGTCTCGTAGCTGGCCTTGGGCCGGCGCGGGTCTTTTCTCTTGCCGTGGAGAATCGGGGGGGACGTCTGCAGTAGAGGGCTGTCACTGCTGTAAGAATGATCTCTTGTATCGGTGGCAGTCGGGTCCTCGCAGATCAACGAGCCGTCGAACCGAGCCGGAATGTTCGGTAAGATATAGGGCTGCGAGATTGTCTCATATGGGGAACCGTGGTTATCGTCGTTGTTGTTATTATTGTTATTGTTAAATAAATCCGTCACGGACGGGCGCGCGGGGTGCCGTTGTTGTTGTTGTTGTTGTTGTTGTTGTTGTTGGCCACGATGTATAGAACCATGAGATTCCTGAAGCACAGAACGACGAGAGGAAGAGTTCCTGCTGGCCGAGGAGACGAGGATTGTCGACTGGGGACTGTTTTCTTTATCTGAGCCGAGGTCCGGCGAACCCCATGAGGGCGAGCGGTACGCGGCTGCAAGGTGGTCGGAGATCTTGCGGGTAGACAGCTGGGCGCCGCGAAAACCAGCGTTGCGAAGCTGTAGACGGCGGGTCTGCAGCGAGAAGGGGCTCTCCAGGCGCAACGATGGAGGGGGAGAGGTGGAAGGGGATCGTGATGAGGGCGGAGAAGGGCCCGATACCCTGCGCAGGCGCTGGCTGTCGGGGCGGAGGCTCGCCAGGTGGTCCATGATTATTCACAAGAATCCGGTTGTCAACGCCGTGCCCATGCCTCAGACCATGTTTTTTCCGGGGGCTCGTCTGTCGCTTCAATTGGTCGATCAGGCTCCCTGCTGCTTTACTCTGTTGAGGTACATTCCCGGGCGCCCCGAGGAATGACGTTCAGGGGTACTCCGTAGTAATCTCGTAGGTAACTAGCGTAGTTGTAACGATAATAGATGTAATCCCTCGTGAGTCTTTCCTGTCTATACCAGGGTATAAGTAATGAAGCAATTGGGAAATAAAATGAAGCGAGAGGGGATAAAATAAGTACGAGACAGTTGGAGAAGGTCTCAGTCCCTTGCTGAGTGTTTGTTTGGGTCCGTTGCTCTGACGCCGAGCGGTGAGTCAACTCAATAGATCCATTGTACTAACTGTCTAACTTATCAGATTGACTTGCTAGTTAGTAGTAGTTATTAGTAGTTATTAGTAACCTAGTTAGCTCTTTAGGTAGTCGGTTAGCAGTCAAAACGGAGTACTACATTGTAGGGAATAGTATCAGTACTCTGTATCCTGGTCAACCATATGCTTCCAGGTCAACCTAGCAATTAAACAGTATCCAGACTCATAAGCCTTGCCGGTATCTACTCACCACCTTGCAGACGAAATGATTATTCCACAGGTATGCCTCTCCTAGGTGGTTATCCTAGGAATACTCCGTCTTATTCTGTAAGACGAGGGGTTGTCACTCCACAGCCCACAGCCCGACCCACTATGTCATTGACACGTGACCGTCGATAACGATAAGAGGATTTTCTCAACATCAAGTCGAAGAAACACTCTGCTTCATCTCATCTCGATTACTACTGACAAACGGAGCTATCATATAAATCATCAGCAGGTACCGCCACAGTTAGAGCTACAGCTACAGCTACAGCTAGAGTACAGTCACAGTTGCAGTCGATTCGCCATTACAGCCAACTGTCGGTCAGTCAACATGGCCCAAGGTCTCATCAAGAAGAAGGCCGCAACAAGCAAAAAGTATGGTACCAGATATATACAATATATAGATATATTGCATATCTATGATATATGGTATATGTGTGATGCTAATAAATAGACCTGCCCCTCTCGCCCCCAAACGCGGCCCTAGAACCATCGCCCCCAAGAAAGCCTCGCTGATCAAACAGCAGAAGATCACCAAGGTAAAGTGCCATCTTAGTTTTTTTCTTTTCTTTTGCTATTTGACTAACACTGCTAGAAACTCACGGCCGGTCTCGTGGCAAAGACGGAACGGAGTCTCGCGTCGAGGGCGGGACATCTTGAGCTTCTGGCGGGTGGGAAGAAGGATAAAGGGAAGACCAAGGAGAAGGAGAAGAAAGTCGCAAAATGACGACTGCCAGATAATGAAGTCGATTACTAGGTATATTACTAGAGTATAGAGGACATAATTTAATGAGATATGATTAACTAGGTACAATTTTTTGATTCCGTATGTACTATTCCCAAACACCGAGAAAGAAATTGCATCATCAGTCGTTAAAAGTTGCAGAGCCGTGCCACGCCGTGGGTATCATGAATCTAAAGTATTTTTTCTCCCCCTCCACCTCCCCTTATAGTTGGAACAAGCAAGTCCTCAGTAACACCGGGCCAGACGACCGGGCACGCCCGCCTCCTCGATCAACTCCCTGCCACGGTTCATCCATTTCTGGAAGCCATTGTCCGTCGGGTCAGAAGGGAAATCATCCCAGACTGGGTTTTCGGCATCGGCGTAGTTGGACCAGGTGCCCTTGGGAACCTCCGAGGTGGACCAGGAGGGGAGTTTGGCCAGAACGCACGTGTAGTAGACGTAGAGGATGCGACAGAGCAGTTCGACGCGGTCGACATAGTGCTGCTGGCTGGGATCCGGGTCGTGGCCGCCGTCGCCCAGACGCTTCCACCACGAGACCCGCCAGCGCAGCGAGAGCAGGATCCGACCCAGCTCGCCGAGGAAGCGCACATGCGTCTCGTGCGTGATCTGCTTCCATTTGATGTTGTAGAAGTCGCGCTCCAACTTGCGGAACCCTTCCACTTCCATCATCCGGCAGATGATCCGGGACAGCTGCGCCGCCAGCAGGATTTCCCGCCGGTCTTCCTCACTGTCGATATCCATCAGTCGCTCGGGTACCCCAGGCTGTGTCGACACGAATGTGTAGCTTGCTCGGCTAGGCATGTTGTTCCACTGCGATAAAAGGGCCTATCGAGAAATAACAAATTAGCAAGGAAGGTTTTTTTTTTTCGAGAAAAAATAAAATAAAATAAAAACAACAAAACATACGTAAGCGTTGCCCATCGGGTCGCAGTCTTTGACGCAACTCAGCCAGTTCTTCGATCGGTCTTTGGATTCGATGAGCCGACGGTCAATAAAGTCGATGAAGGTTGACTGCGAATTGCTGTTGTACTCGGTTAGTCCCTTGAGGAACTTGTACGCCTCGCCCAGGTCCAAGACGTAGAGCGAACCCCAGGCTTGGCTAGCCCGGATGTTGAACCGGCCCTGCCGCTCGCCCAGCAGCGTCAGCAGATCTCCCATGTCGAACGCCGACGGGATCTCCATCCGCACTCGGCCATATCCATCTGTAGTAGGGTGATTGATAGCTCGTTGGGCTAAGAGGGTTAGTTCTTGATTACTGAACCGCAAATACACAAGGGAGAGCAAAACATACAGATGTAGTTGCATGTGCCAAACTCGACAATGCTAGAGAAACACGCCCGCGCACAGGGCTGTTCATGGAGTGTCGGGCGGCATGCATCACACGGTGCATTTCCATCACACTGTCAAATTAGCCATACTGTTATGCATCTTAAGATGAAATATCTTACCTTGCGCTTGTTTAGACGGCACTGGACACAAGTATCCTTGTTCTTGCGGCGCAAGCCGGCGTTAGCCCTGCCGGCCATAGAAAGGGGACCCTTGCGCCGTGCCCCCCGGGGAGGGGAGACAAAATCCGCGGACGCAATGGAGCCACCCTGGCCGTCCTCCTGTACGATCTGCAGCGGTTTTGGCTGGCACTGGTCGAGCGAGACGGTGGAGTTGCGGGGTTTGCGCTTCCTGACAGCCGCACCGGGCTGGACGGCCAGCGGCATCGGGCGGCCCAGGGCTCTGGCACCGGCTGTAGCCGTCAGAGCCTTGGGCCGCGAGGGAAGAGACACGAGCGACTCAGACGGCGTTTCGCTGATGACAAAAGCGGTGGTGTTGGGGAAAGTCTGCGAGCCATCGGAAGACACCTCGTCGGGCGCGGCCTCCTCCCACTTGAGATACTGCGCGGACTCCTCATCGGACAGGGGTTCCGGGAAAGCGGCGGCCAGTCCTGCAGCGGTCGGCATCTCCTCGCTAGTGGCCGAGTATGAGCACTCCTGGATTCCCGACAGGTCTCCGGACACGGAGGAGCTCTCGGATTTGTACTGGAAGCCATCCTGTGCGTTGGGGATCTCCTCGTTGAAGCCGAGGTCTTGCGGGATGGCTGGAAAGGAGAGAGACAGGTTGGTTGGCATTTGCGACTCAAGGCTCTCCAGCCAGCGGGCCTCGAGCGAATGGAAGGAGTTCTGCAGGTCCGATAGTGACTGTAGGCTATGAGAGTGTGTGGAGGGCCCAGAGGCCGGGGAGACGTTCTCCGTCGAGATGGGCGGTGAGATATCCGACCACGGATCGGCCACAATCTGAAAGGTTTGCGAGGGGATATGATTCTGCAGGGGTATACCCTGGTCGACGGAGCCATCCTGCTGGAATCCTTGGGCCGGATGCAGGTCCCCTCCAACGTCCTCGATGATGACAGTGTCTGTCGACGCGGCCTGTTCTTTGGAATAAGGGTAAAGTAGCGAGGCGTCCATCGAGAGGCCAGCCGCGGCGGCCGCGGCCGCCGAGTTGAACAGTTGGAACTGAGGCCACGACTCGTCCGGATGGAAGTTGTCGTCGGTCGAGGAAGGGATGGTCTGAGGGCTGATGGTGCCGCTGATGGTCCCTTCGACGGGGTCCACGGCAAACCTATCTGTAGACTCATGACTGAACATAGCAGCACAGTATTAGTATTCAAATAGAAGACAGAAAGAATAAAATAAACTGATATCCATTATTATTCTATGTATAACCCACCCAATCCTATTTGTGATCTCGCGGGGCGCCCCCGTCAGGGTGGCAGACACCCCCCGCTGGTCGACGAGGTCGACATCGACATCGACATCGACATCGGTAGCATCATGGCCAGTCTGCCAGTCGGCGACAGGGTCAAAAGCGAGATGCTGGTCCCAGGGAGCAACGGAGAAATCGACGGCGTCTCCTTGCCAGGCGTCGAGGATCTTGGGGTCAATGCCCGCAGCAGTACCGGCGCTCCCGCAGTCCATACAGGGGGAGTTGAGGCGAGCGACGGAACGCCTAATACGCAGAAGAAAGAGTGGAAGCCAGAAATGCAGTGCAGAGAAATAAAGAGAGGATTGGATCGCTGATGGAGATGCCAGATGGTCTGGTGTAGACAACAGGAGGAGCCGTAGGTTGAGAGGAGAGAAATTGCTGCTACGTCGGGGTTTCCCCACCAGAGAATTTGCTAGTGCGCCGATAAGCCGCACTGGCCAGAGGGAGGAGAGGGATTCTACACGGGATGGAAGGCGAGTGTATCACTGAATATTGAGTCGAGAGGGTATAAGTTAAGGTATAGGTATGCTCTGAACCAATGTAAATGGATATTGGCAGCGTACGGCGTCAGTGGTGCTGCACGAGGCTACAATTGTCAATTGAACCCCCCCCCTGATGGCCATGGCCTGATATTTGGTTACGCGAGGGAATCGCCTCATCAAAACATCCAACCAGGAGTTCTTGGCATTGTCTGTGTCTGTGTGAACTTTGGCGTAGCATAGCATGACTGTATTATGGTACTGTCTGTCTGTCGTTCTGTTCCTGTTCCTGTTCCTGTGAGTCAACGTCTGGGCCGAGTCATCTTAAGCATCAGTAATTCAGTCTGACTAGCCTTCCACTTGGAGGAATAGAATAGTCTTCGACGCAGAATTGATCAGATAGATCTAAATAAATCAGAATAGATCAAAAGACAGAAAAGCACAATACATAGCCCTACAATAACCATCAAGAAGGACTCGCCGACTCTTTGTACTCCAGCCCGACTCTCTTCCGGAACATTTCGCAGTCTTTCGTAGGGATGGGAGGCTTCACCGCAGGCCGTTTTCGGGTGTTGGCGAACCCGACCCGTACAACACATTACGGTAATATTGGTATTTTATACCGAGTGCCTGCATGCCGATTGGTGGATTCGTCCAAAACCACATCGAAATACCCGCTGGTTCTCTGCGTCCCAAAACAGCTTCACCGTGTCGACCTGGAGAGGCGACGAAGGGCTCAATGATTATCCAGATCCCGAATACCGGCTATCTAGATTCTAGAGATGATCAGAATCAGAAAGTACGAGTAGGAGGTAGTAGAACTACCTGGTAATAGGATACCTTAGGTACCTACCTGGTACTAACTCATCATGCATATTCTAGTAAGTAGAGGTATACACCTTCCTATACTAGAGGTATAAAGTACTCATTCTAGGTCGTCAATGACGACGGACCCCCGTCCAAACGGTTGTCACCATACATCCGTCCCTTTGTCGACGCCCTCGAGGCAGCAGGCCACCTCGTCTCCGTTGCCACGCCGGCAGCGTCACGCTCCTGGATCGGCAAGGCACATCTGATCGAGGCCTCATTAACAGCAACATATGTGGACAAGGATTCGTTTGAGGAAGATGGCACATACAGAGAATACCGTGATAGCGACGGTCTTGAAGGCAATGGCAATGAATGGGTAGTAGTCACCAACGGAACCCCCGCCAGCTGCACACAGCTCGGTCTATACAATCTGTTCACCTCGCGCGGACCCATCGACCTGGTAGTTTCGGGCCCGAACCACGGCCGCAACGCATCAACAATCTACAATCTCTCCTCGGGGACCGTCGGGGGAGCCCTCGAGGCCGTGACGTGCGGGAAACGAGCCATCGCGGTCTCCTTTGGGAGTAAAGACGAACAACCCGTGGAGACTATCTGCGCCGCCTCAAGATTGACAGTGAGGGTGATTCAGTATCTGTCTCGTCATTGGGATCCAAATGTCGAACTGTATAATCTTAACGTGCCGATGAGGGCGGACGTGGAATCCAGACCGGTCAAATATACGCGCACGCTTCCGATTTACTGGCCTAGGGGGTGTTTATATGCCGAGAATGAAATCAATGGAACCAACGGAGTGAATGGAGTGAACGGGATGCAGATGCATCACAAACAACGCCATTTTAAATGGTCTGCCGATCTGGTCGATATGAAAAAGGCCCTCCAGGCTGCCGAGCAGGGGACCGACGCTCACACCGTGCTGGACGGGTGTACTAGGTATGCCTCTTTTTCTTCATATACTCAGTAAAATCTTTCTTACCAATCTAGTGTAACTCCCCTTCGAGCTAATCTGTGGCATGTCCCTGGTCTAGAGGGCGAATTGGATATTGATATTGATACCCATGTATAATAATCATGTATTAATGCTTAATGATTGATTAATGTAGAAACTTACGGAGTATCGCCGATGTGAGAATTATATGAACAATATCTGGGAATATCAGGATAGAATTAAATCGCCCTGGCAGCCTCGCCTGCACCGCTCTCCAACACCGTCGCCTTCTCAGCCCGCATTTTACCCTTGCCGAACCCTCCCTCGCCCACCCCCATCCGTCGAGCCACGTACCGCTGCGCAATCACCCCGATCGCCAGTGACAGCGACTCCTCGATCCACTCTGCAACCCATTCGCGCGGGTCCACGCCGCCGCTCTCGATGATCTCCGCGATCGCCTCGGGCACCACCGTACGCGGTACCCAAGCGTCGTCGTCCTCTTCTGACTCGGTGGCGGCCGGCGCAGGAGCATCCAGCCAGTCGATCCATCGCTGCGGCAAGGTCTGCGAAAGGGTGTGGAAGGCGATCCCGTGGATCGGATCGTGGAGGTACAGAGCAAACGCGACCTCGTCCTCGGTCTTGTCCGCCACCTCGACCACCCCGGCCGCTGCTTTGTTGTTGTCCGCCGTCGGTCCAGCCTGGAATAGCTCTGTAGAGGCGGCCTGGGTGACGGCCTGGATGGCGAGGAAGATGTCGCTGTTGCGGACGGGGTTTGACTCGCTTAGAACCTGCGACGCTTGCTTGGCGGCTTCCTCCACCCCGCCCCGCGAAGCAAAGTACTCCGAGGCGTACGACTCGGCGCTCGCCCGCGCAAGCTTCGTCGCCTCAACGGTCCCTCGTACGGCGGAGATGGTGCGTGGGTTCCCGGGCGTCACCGTCCGCCACCAGGGTCCGTCCCGCCAGCCGGCAGGAGAAGAAGCCTGGTGGTGACCCTTGGGAGCAGATTCCTGTCCCTGTTGGATAACCAGGAGATCGCCCCCTTCTACCTGCGACATCACACGTGAAAACACGGCGTAGATCAATGGGTCGACGCTGGGGTAGCCGGACAGATCGTGCGTGACGTGGATCTGTAGCCGTTCATGAGATGAGATCGGGGGTGCAAGCGTGTGGATGAGAGAGGTGAAAGTTGGGATTGCCATGCTTCGAAGCTCACCACCTAAGATGTTAGCATAAACTATAAAGTATAAAGGCATGTAAGAGAACTGAGTAGTCTACCTAGCTCTCGTAAAGCCCCCACATTGCCTTTCACCTGCTGCGCCCATTTCTGAGCCTCCTCGTTCTTCTGGATCTCCTTGACAGCCGCCTCGGCCTGCTTCATGGCCGCGCTCGCCGTCGCAAAGAATCCACCCCACCATCCGCCGCCGCCGCCCTGAGCCTCCTGATGCAACTCTTGCTCTCTGCTTGCAGCCGGCTGTTCAGAGACCGGCACGCGGGGGAACTCCACGGATTTCTTTTTACCCTGGGGGACGCTCTCCTCCGATTTACGGGCGGCCGCGGGCTTGTCTTCACTCGACCGGCCGGACGATGGAGTGGCGGTCACGCTCGGCTTGGGCGACCGCGTCGCTGATCGATGCTCCGTCGAAGTTCCTGGGGTTCCAGGCCCGCTACCTGTTCTCTGAGTGGCCAGACTGTCGAGCTCGGCAAGGATGTCATCCTGCTGCGCCTCCGGCTTTGTGTTATTGTTGTTGTTGTTGACGGCTGTAGAGGGATTGGGGGTGGTGTCGATGCCCAAGTCGTCGAACTGAGCCAGCAGCTCGTCGTTGGTGGGCTTGGTGGCTTTAGAGGCCATCGTAGCCTGTCTGTACACGAGGGGAATTCGTTTCGAAAAATAAGGGCTTGGATTCAAAGGTATCGAGGTGTGTCGGTCTGCTAAGCTGGGGAACGTTGGGCGCCATTGGAGATCCAATGTTTTGTCCTTGTGGATGAGGTCATGTGCCAAGTCGAAGCCTTAACCTTCAGGCAGGAATTACCAGGAGATATTTAGTATTTACAGTATCATTGGCCAGGACAACCATATATACTGTATGGAAATGCATTTTCGGATTCTGTCTGGGACTCTATAATGAGTATGAATAGTATTAGAGAACCAAAGATCTGCATGTTGGGTATGGAATATAGGTAGGTTCTACTGCAATAGGTTGATAACAGGTACTGTATTTATGTATACTGGTAGTTACTCGGCGTAACTAGGTAGGTATATTGAAGCAAATCTTTCAAAACCCTGATATATAGAATATGTTCAGGTAGATCATGTTCACTTGATTGTCATTGAAAGATCTTAAAGCCGAGACTCTTGATCATCCATTATTATCAGTATATAAGCCCATGTCCTATCAGACGCCGAAATAACGCCGACTGACAACATGATCAGTCATCGTAACCACGCAATTTATCGAGAGACCATCTAGATATCAATAGTACAAGCTTCTCTTGAATAAAATTGATGTAGTATCGAAAAGGAATCGACGCCGTATCACCCTCAGAGCGAGTGCAAGTCTTTCGCAGCGAAGGCGGGGTTGCGACGAGGAGTAATTCGCAGCGTGCATATACCGATGCATATCATCCGCACTCTAAATTAATGACAACAACACCTAGTCAATTGAACGGTTGGGTGAGCAGATGAGAATCATAGACCCAGCAGACCTCATAGTTATTGACCTGTTTTCCAAAACGGATTCCAGAAGACGAAGAAAAGAAAAATGCGCCTCCCCTACGTACCTGATCCTCCAGCGACCAACACCGCCGCCGAGGCCGAGACGCTGGCCCGTGTGCAAGCCCGACGGGGCGCCACGGGACTCATCCCTCTGGATCTGGCCCTGCTGCATTCATTCCCTGTAGCTGATGGCTGGAACTCGTTCATCGGCGCGATCCGGACTCGCACCAGTCTGCCGGCGGAGATTCGGGAGCTCATCATCTGCCGTGTTGCGGTGCTGAACGGCGCCTGGTTTGAATGGGGGCAACACGCGCCGCTGCTGCAAGAAAGTGGTTTCGATGAAGCGGCGCTGAGCGCCGTCCGCGATTTGGAGACAGGCTCTGACAGCGTCTTAACCCCCGCACAACAAGCCGTGGTGGCATATACTGATGCGATGACCAAGACTGTCACCGTGCCCAATCCTGTATTCCAGAGAGTCCAGGAGTATTTCTCTGATAGGGAGACCGTCGATATCACCGCCACTGTCGCTGCGTACAATTGCGTGAGCAGATTCCTTGTGGCCCTGGACGTCGGAGAACACAATCTTTAGAAGAGATCATAACAGTACATAGATCTTAGCTTAGCTATTTCAACCCTTCATCTGAAACTCGAATTCCTTATCGCAAAAGCTAAAACACCACGTATGTCCTGATGAACGAGGCTCTCTAAGCCGTTGGCCTGTTGCGTATTGACATCAATGTGTGCCGTCCACTGCTGGTGTTGTCTGCCCAAGGCAACCACAGCGTTCATCGTATGGATGTTTTTAGCCCAACGCCGGTCCAGGAGCTCTCACGTGCCTGAGGTCTGCCTGAAAATTTCCAATGGTGGACGGAACAGGTCTAATGTCCTGGGATTTGAGTATCAGGTACTAGAGGCCTACCGGGAATTACCTAGGTACCTACCTAGTACCTCTGAGGCACCTTAGGTTAGGTACTCAAATTGCCAGCCTCTTGCCAGCCTCTAAACACCTACCAGCCACCTATATAGGTTATTTCTGATATTCACTGAAGAATTTTATCCCTTAGATCTTCACTGCCAGGTCTTTCCATTTTGGGTGCAAAGTGAGAGTCTACCTAGGTAGTTAAATAAACTTGATGATAGGTCATTGAGTAGTATTAGAGGGCTTAGTGGCTATAAATATTGAATCTAGATCTATTTATAATTCCAGCCTCTCTAATACTTTTTGCCTGATACCTATAGATACTTCTATGCCAGTATAGACTAGATAGATACTTAATAGAAGTGTTGTTGCTTTCACTTGATATGGTCATGTATTTTGTAATTGCCTTGTGGACCTGGCTGTCATAGTTCAGATACAGAGATTGGCCACAGACTTACACCAAAGCAGCTAGCCCGTCAATGGTGGTTAATTATCAATTTTTTATAGGCTCCTTGTAGTCCGCAGGACCCACAGATTACTTACCTTAGTTACGGGTAACAGTACAGTACCTGTACCGAACAGTTCATCCCAAAGGCAGGCAGGTCTACAGCTCAGTCGGCCTCCCCTACCCAACAACACTTCTAGTCTTCTACTCACCTCGACCAACTCTTCTCTCTCGTCTTGTTTCCCCCTTCTCTCCTCCATCTTTCCTATCTCCCTGTTCTTCAATCCACAGACTCCCTGGGTTTTGATTGCCTGAAACTCGTCGCCGTCGTCTTTTTCAAGATCCCTTTTTCTTACTAGCTATCTCTCTCTCTTACGCGCTGCACTGTAGAAGATCTTTTCTCTTTCCCTATAGTACCCGCGCCACGCTGCTCGCCAACTGCCACCCAGCGTGCGAGAGATTCGTCCTGGTGACCGAATCGCTCCTCTTATTTTCTCCTCCATCAAGTTTCATTGCGTTGTTCTCGTTTTTCTTTCTCCTCCGCCAGTGCCGGTTCCACCACCACTGGTGTTGTTGCCTCCACAGCGCTGTACTTTGCTGTCCCTGACACCAGTTTTTCTTTCTCTTTGCCTCCTGAAATACAAGCAGTATCTTACGACAGCTAAAAGCTACAGCTGCTCCTTGAACAAAATAATCCGAGTCGACTCAATTCTTCCTACTCGCCAGAGTGGTCGGGCTCTGCTCTACGTGGTGCGTTATCCATACTTGATCAGCAGTTTTTTTTTTAGTCCTGTCTTGTCAGATCTGGCCCACACAGTTTGCCTTGTCCTGCTAGCACCACGCGGGTCGATCTACTTCTGAATCATCATTGCTTTTTTTTTAATGCATCTCTCTCCTGTCATTCTTTTTCTTTTCTGTTTCACTTGATTTTCTGCTCCTGCTGTGGCCTGTTATCCCTGGGTCGCATGCTCAGGACAACACTCATCCTTACTACTGGCGTCTTGGCATTCTAAACGCAAGCGAATCTTAAAACTGACTCGCTATAGGCACCACCTCCTCTTTACACACAGAGTTCCCCCCCCTATAATTCTACCTGGGGAATTATAATAACTAGCTTGCTGCTTGGATTTCATCCATCCTGCTGTCCAAACATCTCGCCATGGCCCTCATGGTGCAGGATGACATGGATCTGCGTACTACGGAGACTACTATGGCAGATATCAGCAAGGTTTCTCCACTCCGCCGCCAGGTTTCCGAACCATTCAACTCATACTCCAACTCTCTAACTGCTACCCATTCCCCATCTGTGGTGATGGGTAAACCTAAATGTCCCTGGTGCGGCCGGTTTATCAAACGTATCGACGGTCTTTCTCATAGTGATGCCCTGAAAGCGCACATGGAAACCGTGCATCCTCATTTTGCCAAGTTCCCCATCTATGACGGTGCGGCGGATGGTCATGCTCCCAATGGGACCCATGATCACAATGCCAACGCCCTTGCCACTGAGGAACCTATTAAGAACGGAGCTATCCTTGCCAGCGTCGAAAAGGACGAGGGTGTTAGTGATGGTCTCAACGGCAACGACAATAGCCGCGATCTTCAGAACGGAGCTGCTGGAGACCACGACCACGGTGTTGAGGGAGGTGAAACTGGTGTCGAAAATGACGAGGCTGTGGGAAATCAAGAAGTAGAAGATCATCACGGTGGCGAAGGAGAAGAAGAGGAAGAAGAAGAAGAAGAAGAGGAGGAGGAGGAGGAGGAGGAGGAGGAGGAAGAGCTGGAAGACGATGAAGATGAAGAAGGAGTAGAAATTGCTCTCGAGGAAGAACCCATTGAAAATGCCCTCCCTGTACCCGCCTCGACTGACAACTTTTCTAAACCGACCCTCCAGGCTGCAGAGCAACGATATCTGGACTACTGGAACATTCACAAGCCCCAAATCTTCTCCAGTGACTTTGATGACGAGACCACTGATTTGGAGCATGATTGGGACCGCGTGTTCGGCGCCGCATCCAATGGGGCTCTCAAACGTGAGGCCCCCGAACCTCTGGAGCGTCCTGTGCCATACAAACGGACCAAGGTCAATCCAGGTGAATTTTTGGAAATCACCCCCGTCGAGAAATATCTCGCCCAACTGCGCGACCCCGAAAATCTGACCTACGACGAGCTTTACGCGGTCACCGCCAACGTCGCTCATGCGCTTCACACCTGGCAGGATGAATACCTTGCCATCGACAAAATGACGAAACGAGCCACCCGCAACGTGCTCCAGAAAACGGCAGATCCCCGGAAGCTTGAGGAGCGTCTCAAGTTTGAGGACAAGAAGATGGCCGCCCTCTATGGCTTCAAATATGATTCGAAGAAGACCTACGAAAACCTCTACAACACGAAGAAATGCCCCTGGCAACTTCCTTTCATGACCGCCGGCTTCAAGCCCACGGCGACCCAGTGGAAGAAGATGAGCGACAAACTCGACCCCAATAATCAGAACCCCGATGGGTGGCCGACCATGCGTAAATTCGGTCTCGAGTGGACTCTCCGACAGGAAGATCCCAAGGATCCCGAGGAACTCAAACCAAAACCCAGCCCGAAACTTACTCGAAACCGCCGGGCCGCCGAGCTGGAGGCTGCCACCAGACTCGAAGAGACCGCCGACAGCAGTGGCGAGACCGAAGCGGTCGTCGAAACTGATGAAGAGATCACCCCTCCTCCCGCGAAGCGCGCCCGCACCCGAGGCGGCAAGCAGTATGCTGCTGCCACCACCACCGAAGCATCTCAGAACGGTACCGCACCCCCCAGTCCCACCCCAACTCGCAGTACCACTCGTGGTCGTGGTCGCGGTCGCGCGCGTGGAGGCCGTGCTGGCTCTCGTGCCATCTCCGAGACTCCCCAACCTCCTGCCATGACATCTACATCCGTTACTACTGCTACAACTCCTGCTGCTGCTGCTGGTGGTAGTGCCTCTGGTGTTGGTGTTTCTACGCGTGGCCGAAGCGGTCGGGGTCAGGCACGCGCATCAGCTTCAGCCAGAGCAACACCCGTTCCCTTGCAAGCCCGCCCCGAGTCAGCAAATACCACGATTCTTGACCTGCCACACATCGCCCCAGCGCCAGCGATCGCTCCAAGAATTGCACCAGCGAATCCAATCACTACCTCACTGGAAGACGCGAACGTCGACCCGGTCGAACTGGCTCGTCGGCAGAAGATTGCCAACTCCAAGAACCCAAAACGGACCGAGGCGATGCTCAACCACTGGGCCCGGTTCAATAAGGAGGGCCGCGTGCGCAACCCAAAACGCACCAAGGCCCAGATCGAAGCCGACCGCGTCGCCGACGCTGCCAAGAAGGCAACCGAGGGCCCCAAACCAACTGGCCGCAAGCGCAAGTTCCCGGATGACCTGGACACCATCACCATGCCTCGAGGCGGTGCCACCTTCGCCACCCACTCGACCCCGGCGCCGGAGATCGCCCCCAAGACGGCCACCCCGGTCGAGCTCTCCCTGGCACCAGCAATGTCTGCCGTCCCATCGTCACAGGGAGGTGCTCCTCCGTTGCAACCCGCTACCTTGCAACCCGTGGCGCCGCAGCTGGCTCCTCCGCTGGCTCACGCGCGACCGAACTCCCTCGCTGGCGGACACATCCTCGGACCCTTCTCATCCCTCGACGCTCGGCCAGCCCCTTCGCCCTTCGGGCCTGGTCAGCCCATGGGTCCTCCTCCACCCCACCAGATACCCTATCACACTCCGTACCCGGACTTCTTCATCCGTTACCAGGGGCCCTCACTACCTCCTCCTCCTCCTCCTCCTCCTCCTCCACCTCCTGGTCCTCCTCGAGGAGACGGTCGTTAAACAGACCCCCTAAAAAAATCCTTTCACCCACATGTCCATATGCCAGTGCTATCTGGTGGTTTCTAATAACTTCTAATGTCTTTTTCAAGGTTTTCTTTTGTTCTTTTTAACTCGTTTTTCTTCCATGTTCTCTGGATTTCCTCAACTATTTTTGTTTTCCTCTCTTGTTGTTGTACATTAACAGCGATTTGTACCAGTACTACTCATGCTCTTATGTCTCTTTTCACCACCGGCTGGGTTTTATCATGGCGTTGGAGGACTCGACTTGTACAGGGAAACGCGACACGCAGAAATCATTGCATCTAGACGGCGAAAATTGCATTTCTCTCTCCTTTTTTGTTTTATTTTTCGGGCTATGGGGTGTACAATACTTTTTGACCTTGTTTATTGGGTTGCATGTGTTGCATAATCATAATTAGTATTAAACAGATAGATTGCATCAGCATGTCTTCAATATCATATTTTATTCTATCCATTGGTATACTGCAGAGTACGGATTACTAGAAACACAAATTATCTTACTAAGCCATCCACGTGACATCATGTGATGATCGCCGATCGGCTTACGAGACCGTCGACCGCCTCCCGACGTAGTGAAAGTGAGTGAGCTTTGCGCGACGCCAACACGTGTGCGACGTACTCTGTCTCAACGAGACATTCCCCATCGAAGCAAGGTATAACTAGCAGAGAAGCGAAATCCGAATCCTTGGAACAAGAAGAAAAAGAAAAGACACAATGGGCAAGAAAAGGCGTGGTCCCACCCTCGACGAGCTGCTGGCTCGACCGTGGTGCTACTATTGCGAACGCGACTTTGACGACCTCAAGATCCTGATCTCGCATCAGAAGGCGAAGCATTTCAAATGCGAGCGGTGTGGTAGACGGTTGAATACTGCAGGTGGTGCGTTTCAATATCTACTTTCCTATTTCCTACTTGCTGTATTCTTTCTTTTTTTTTTTTTCCGAATGCTCATACTATCAGGTCTCTCGGTTCATATGAGTCAAGTCCACAAGGAACAGTTGGCGGAGGTAGACAATGCGCTTCCCAACCGGGCGAGTCTCGACGTGGAGATCTTCGGCATGGAGGGCGTGCCCGAAGATGTCGTCCAGACGCATAACCAACGAGTCATGGCGCAATTCCAACAGGCCGAGGCCGAGCGCCAGGCTGTGACGGGGAACCCGCCGGCGGGCTCGTCGGTCAACGGCCAGCCGGCCAAGAAGCCCAAGCTGGAGGCCGTGTCGGATTTGAAGAGGCGGCTGGCGGAGCATAAGGCAAAACGAGCCGAGTTGCTGCAGGGGGGGAGTAGTGGCGAGGCGACACCTGTTGGAGCAGGGCAGGCTGTAAGTTTTTTTTTCTTCTGACTGATGCTTCTTCTTCTTCATTTTTTTTTCTAATTATGTTTAGTCACCAGCTGCTACGCCCACCTCCGCTACGACCGCTACTACTACCACTGCCCCGGCATTTACCTACCCCCAACCATACAACTCTGCGTCTCCGTTCCCGCAGACCGCCAGCCCCGTGTACCCGAACTTCTCGCCAAGCGGCCAGCAGTACCCTCCGCCGCAATATCCAGCGGGAATCTCACCTCAGCCCGCGCAGCCCGGTGCGTACGGAGCGACCCCGTCTCCCGTCCCCCCGCAACAGCCTCAGCCCCAGCAGCAAAGCCAGCAGCAACCCCCTCAAACGCATACCCCGCCGCAGCCTTCCTTCCTTTCCCGACCGGGGGCCCTACCCGCCACTCTCCCGACTGCCCCGGGTCTCCCCGCTGCACCTGGTCTTCCGCAGCGTCCGGCGTTTGGTGCCCCGCAGGTCAACGCGCACCAGATGCAACAGCTGCACATGGGCCATCCGGCACCTCCCGGAGCAGCAGCGGTTACCCCTGACGGTCCGGTGCTTGCGTCTGTAGACGAACTTGTTTCGGGGGCTGCTAAACAAGCCGATCAACATGCTGAGGAAGTTGCTGCTGCTGCTGCCGCCGCTGCTGCTTCAACTTCAGCGAAAGCGCCAGACGACAAACCGAAGAAAGAGCGGTCGAAAGTGATGAGGCTGGTGTATCCGGACAACGAGACCAGTCCGGAGGAAAGGATGTCGAGGCTGCCAAGGTACGCATTCGTTCCTGATCGCGTGGGGGAGACTGTGCTTGGGGAGCTTCCTGCGGCTGTTGTTGTGGGGGCTATCAGGGATTCGGACACGGTGATCGACACAACACATTAGCGAGCCAGTCGGAGTACTTACATAGTACGGAGTACGGTACTACATGGGAAGAGAAGTGTGAAGAGGAATCCAGTGAGTGGACGCAATCAATATTAAATCTCCTGATCAGCAGAGCATCCCATCTACAGTGCAAATCAAGGTAGGAATACATCAATCAATGAGCAATAAACGGTAAAAGTAATATACCAAAGCTAAGTAGAAAGTAATGAGAAAGAACTATTGTAGTCGAGATAACTACAATCTCGCCCGCTTCTCTCTAAGCGCCAGCCCAAAAACCACAACCCCATAGGTCGCCAAAACACTCAGAACAAGCGGCACCGGTTTCCCCCTCGTCTTAATCACGCGCGGCACCGCACTCCCCCCCAACACCGTCGAAGCAAGCAAGCCGATCTCCTCGCCGTAGGACTGTCCCGCCCGCAGCCTTGCAAAGGAGAGCAGGTAAAGGGCTCCGACGGAGAGCCCGGCGGCGATCGAGGGGATGGACCCCGTGCGGGCGTACCCGATTGTCCCGCCGAGGGAGGTGAGCAGGGCGAGAGCCAAAGCGGAGGTGGCGGTCTAATTGGTTGGAATCCCTCGGTATTAGCTTATCATCTTCTAATGATGGAAATGTATATTTTGCTTCCCCTTACCATTTTTTTGATGGGTTGGGTGAGATGAGGTGAGGTTAATGTAGCCAGCTACTCCGTACTCCGTCCTTAGCTGATGGCGGGTCTAGTAATGGCGCTCCGCGGACTGGCTAACTGCATTTGACTACGTGGGTCGTCTAGTAGTTAGATAGTACTAATTAACCAGTTAACTACTACTCCGTACATACGGAGTAGTCCTCGTAGTAATACAGAGTACCATTTTACTAGTAACTAACTATCCATAATATTATAATAATCAGTACATTCATTTTATGCTACCAACCATGCAATAACTAATATAGCCAAGGTATGCAACTATGCAATATCGTAACAAATCAACATCATCATGATCCATAGTCGTAATTCATCATGTCTAGTCTAGAATGCTCTAGATCTGCCAAACGCCAGTTTTATACTTCGCTGAGGGAATCTCGCGATTTGTCGCGATCGGTTACTTGGAACGAGTGGTGGCACCGTAGGTCCGGTCATCAAAGTCATCATTATCCTCGGACTCGTCTGCGATTTCATCGTCGTCATCGTCATCCTCGTCGTTACCCATAAAACCATCAGTTTCGAAAATCCAAAAGACTGGAAAGGCACTCAGCGCCCCCATGATCGTGAGCGCCCCCCAGGGAATAATCAAGTAGCCGCGCTTGATGCCAAAGGAGAACATCGCGCCCACAATCGCCGGTCCTGTGGCGCGACCGACGGCGCTGACGGAAGTCCCCACACCGTTCAAGGTGCCGAGCACCTCGAGGGTGGCGGCCGAGTTGGTCAGCAGGATGGTGCAGCAGGGGAAACTAAAGATGCCGCAGGCCAGCTTGCCGAGCATCAGGAGGAAGACGCTGAAGTTGCGAAGGGGACCCTCAATCAGGACGGTGAAGGGGGTAAGCGCGTAGATGATCGGGAAGATAATCGACACGACCTTGAAGCAAAACAGCACGCCGTAGCGCTTGGCTGCGGGCGGGAAGACCAGGAACTGTATAAACATTCCGATGATGCCAATCAGCGTGTAGAACATGCCGATCATTTGAGAGTCTGTTGGTTTAGAAAAGGATCTGACATATTACCAGGAGTTGTGGAAACCTACCCACACCAAATCCACCGGCAAACTTAAAAGGCAGCTTCACGTCCGGGTTCCCCTCGAATTCCTGTTCCGGGTAGTGCAGAAAAACTGGCAGCAGCGAGTCAAAGGCCATGCAATGCATGGCCATCAGGCCATAGGCGAGCAGGATCAGGTTGGATTGCGGGGAAAAGACGTCGGCCCAGCTGGCCTTCTTCTTGGGCTTCCGCTCCTTGACGGTCATCCGGGCCTGTTTGCGCGAGACCCGGTCTTCCTCGTCCCCAAGCAAGGCGGACGTCTCGTCAAAACCCAGATCAATTTTGGCACTGCGGATGGGTCTTCTTCGCCCACACGGGATGGAGCTGGTCAGCATCTCACCGAGGACTAGGCCATAATCGCGCTGGTCTTTTTTGTTCGCCAGGGTTTCCTATGTGGTCAGACAAATGTTTCCTCCATGCTGACAAAAAGAGCATATCCAATCTAAAAAGAATAACCTACTTTTAGAAAGAGAAAACCAGTTGAAATCCCAAGAATGAATAGCATCGCCGAGAGGATGTTTGGTAGGGCAAAAGGGTACTTTTTGAGAAACTCCGAGTCGCCAAAGAGCTCCGGGTGCTTTTCCGCGGGACGGGCAAGAGCGCCGCCAAACGCGGGACCGAAGATACTGCCAATAGTCCAGACGAGAGGCATAATACTGAAGGCCCGCGGCTGCAGTTCGCGCTCGGGGACCATCTCGGCGACCATGGTACGGATGATGCCGACGTTGCCGTTCATAAAGCCGAGCAGGGCGCGGGACAGGATGAGCGTGAGGAGTGAGCGGGAGAAACCAAAGGCCAGGGAGAAGATCATGGTGCACGTCAGGCCGAAGAGGATGACGGGTTTGCGGCCAAAGCGGTCGGAGGCCGTGCCCCAGGGAATGGCCATGGCACACTGGCAGCTGGCGACGACGGCGGAGACGATTCCGACCCATTTGGCGACTTCATGCTGGGGCACGCCCACGTACTCGATCATCTCGGGCTAGTCTTGTTGTTGGCCGAGTCAGAGTATGCAGATAGACAGACAGAGACGTACTAGGTATGGGAGGACCGACGTCAAGACGACTATCAGATCGACAGCTTAGCTGAAGGTACTACTATACTGCACGGAGGATAGATATATATAGTACTCCGTACCTGGCTCTGCGAAACGACATATTGCTGAAGACTCGTATATTTATTAGCCATGGTGGTTCAACGGCAAGAATAGCACCTATCACTACTACAGCGAAGATAAAAAGAAGAAAGAATCGCCTACACAGAATCAGAAGCTGCTGCACAGGCAGCTTCGGCTCTCTATGTACCGTCATGACGTCTCCCAGTGATACTCCACTGAGGAGGGCCACAGAGAATCAAGTGGGGGGAAGGGAAGAGGAGGAAAGGGAGGAGGAAAGGGAGGAGGAAAAGGGAGGAGAAGGTGAGAGAGAAGGGGAGAAGAGGAGAAAAAGGATGACGCCGAGTTCGAGTCTGGAAAGACGGATTCAGGCAAGTGGGGAGGCGGTCAAAAAAACGAGTCACTCACAACCACCACAACAACAACCGAGGAGAAGAGATGAAGACTACAGACAGATTATTATGGATTTAACAGACAGACAGAGACTAGAACTAGTCGAGTCGACTTGCCACGCGGAAGAGATTTCCCGGTCAATCGCAAGGATAGCAGATAGCAGATAGCAGATACTGAGCGGATAGGCGAGTCGGAATGACTCAACCTCAAGCAAGGTCTGTCTCTGTTTCACTTGGAGGCAGCAACTCCTCTACTCCTAATTTGATTATCCCTACATGTCTCCAGAATCACAGGCTGACAATATTACTGGAAGGTGCGTACAGAATACTCGAGATAGAACCGGCTCGCCGGCATTTCAAGTGGATCGTGACTCCACGCCGTTTTCTACCACCTGCTTATGAATATGAAATCGCTGAGACTCGCAATACTACAGTACACTAATTGCTCATTAGCAGTCTCCACTCATCTGATTAGTGTCTGTTTATTTTCTGTCTAGACTCGGTGTTGAAGCCAATAATACCGAGGATGATATGTTGTGGTGGACCTGGACTTTTTAAACTATCGTGAGCCGTGCGGCCTCGTCCCCGCAGAATGCAACACTACATGCTAATAATAATAACTATTAGGTAGAAACAATAATCAGAGACAATAATATTATACTCCGTATGCAGGGTATGGACACTGGAGAGAGAATACGTTGACGATTGGAGAATGGATAGATAGCAGTGATAGGCAGATCTAATCAGCCACGATGTGCAGAGTACGTCGGTCGTACAACATACATCCCTGTCAGGGTCATCTGCTCGTATTAATATTGATCAGGTGGTTGAATGACTGGCATTAAAGAGGCACAGAGTAAGATATATGATATTTCTGAAGCCGAGTACGGAGTAGCTGGGATACTATTCTGAAAATTACTGCAGCGTCTTGGTGGCCGCTTCAATGCGCTCCTTGATGATCCCAGCCCATTTCTGACAATCGTTAGCATATTCGTAGAAAGTAGATGATAATAATAAAAAGAAAAAAAACGATAGGAAGGAAGAATGTTTTACCTCTGCATTTTCCAAATCCCCCGCTTCAAAACTCTCCACCAAACCAGGATACGTCGCGCCCGAGTAGCCCGTCCACAGGCCTGGCGCAAACACGACGTGCTTGAACCAACTGCGGCCATCCAGCCCGTCGGTATACAGGAACTGTCGTTCCAGCGCCTTGAGCTGGTCGTTGACCTTGCGGACCTGGAGGAACAGCCGTACCTTCTGCCACCACCGGTACCACGGGTAGTCGTGGTGCAGCCCGGCGCGCAGGTCGGCAACGTGGGCGTCGAAGCGCATCGCCGCGGCCTGGAAGCCGGCAATCGCCCGGTCGAGCGAGGTAAAGTCAAAGACAGCCGATGGATGAGACGAATCAGCAGCAGCAGCAGTAGTAGTAGCAGCAGCAGCAGCCGGCTTGATCCGCTCCAGGTACGCCCCCAGTGCAAAGGCGTAGTCCGACGCATTCAGCGCCAGTACGGGACTTTCGACCAGCTGCGCCGCCGCCAGCGCCCAGACCTTGGTGGCTGTCTCGTGGTACCGCCAGGCCGGGTCACCGAACCGGTCCATCCAGTCGAAGCTATCGTAGTTGGAGTGGTAGTGGTAGACCGGGTCGTGCGGCCCGCGCGTGAAGCCAAAGTCCGCGCTGGCAACGCCCGCAAAGTCCTGGAAGGCCGTGAAGTCGCTGCCGCTGCCCATGGTCGCGATCGCGCCGTCCCACACATCCCGCACCGTCTGCCCGGCCACCGTCTGGTTGGGCGAGGGCACCAGGCTCGTCGCCTCGTAGATCACCTGGTTCAGCAGCGGGCTCGCGCGCGGCGCAAAGTTGGGCCCGCTCGCCGCCACGTCCACGTTCAGGTACGCGACGTTGGCCTTTTGCAGCCAGGGAAGCTTGTCTTCCACCCATTCCGTCGACCCCAGTAGGCCGTACTCCTCGCCGTCCCAGCTGGCAAACACGATCGTGCGGAGCGGCCTCCACCCGGCCTTGCGCGCCGCCCCGAAGCTCCGGATCAGCTCGTTCAGCGCCGCAGAGCCGCTGTTCGGGTCGCCCGCACCTCCCGCGATCCACGCATCCCGGTGGTTACCCAGAATCACTACCTCGTCTGGTATGGCGCCCTTGATCACCCCGATCACGTTCCACAGCGGAGTGGTCGTGTACTCTTGCTGATTGTACAGGTTGATCACTTCATCCTCGGGAGACGGCCCGATGTTGTACTCGACACCCTTGTAGCCCAGGCCGCCGCCTTGCCAGTACTTGTTGAAGTCGGACGCCTTGGGTCCGTGTCCGTTGAGCGCCTTCAGCAACGGCAGCGCCTCCGTGTACGAGATGGGTAACGAGGGGATCGAGGGGATCGAGGCGTGCGGATCCTGTCGCTCGCATCCGGGGAGAGATGGATACCCAGGCGTAGTCGGGTCGCCGGGTGCAAAACCTAACAATCAGTACTTTTTTTCTTTTCTATTTTTTTTTTCTATAATAGAAATGAGATCTCTTACTCAAAAACTGAGTGCTCCCTCTCTGCACGGCACTCGGGTGCCGGGCAGGCCCCTCAGGATAAGCCTTGTAGCCATTCTCCTCGGTGATGTCGCCATCCTCCTGTGGGTCGGTATACATGACGACGCCCACCATGCCCAGCTCCTGGGCTCGCTTGACCTTGAGGCCGCGGAAGACGCCGCCGTACTTGACGAGAGCGATCTTGCCCTCCAGACTGACGTTCGCCTTGACCAGGTCGTCGAAATCATAGTACGTGCCAAAGTTCGCATACACGAACTGGGCCGTCACGTTGCCGCTCGCCGAGTAGCCGTGGAAGGTCGGCACCCGGTCCGGCAGACCGCTGGTGCCGTCCTGCTCGAGTACATCTTCCTCCAGCGTCGCCTCGAAGGTGACCTCGGTTGCATCCTCATCCCCTCCTGTCTTCTTCAGCAGTGCCAGCCGGTGCTCGACCGGGTAGTTCAGGTAGATGTCGTACGCCACGATGCTCGCCTCGTCGACGCCCAGCTCCTGCCACTTCTCCTGCGTCCACAGCGCCTGGCTGAGATTCTTCCCCGCCAAGTGCGAGCCAGAAGTGTAATACGAGCTCCATTCCCGCTCCCGCTGCGCCGTCGGCGTGGTGAGGAGGATCTCCTGCAGCTCGCCGTACGAGAGACCCTGGCCGTGCGGCCACGACTGGTGCGGGTACACGCTCGCCCAGGGAAGATAAGACCACAGACCAGCAGGAGTCAGGAAGAGCACAAGGGCGCCCACAAGCAGCACGCCCAGCGTAAAGGTGCACGCCCTTCGCAGGGGGTGATGCGGATACCGGTATCGCTGGGCGGCGACCGGGACGACCAGCAGCGGTGTTGTTTCGGAGACAGGCATGATCAGTTTCTTCTCCATCCTGAAACGACTGAAATAATAATAGCAGTTAGCAGGATTTCCACTTCACCATCGCCCTACAGGAAAAACAAGGAGGGAGGGTAAATACCAGGACTTCGAGCGGGGGGGAAGGAACCAAGAAGATAAATCCAGGGAGCTCACCTTGCTTGTCTTGTCTTATCAGCAACCGATGACGAATTCGCCGATCGGGGTCGCTTAGAGGCTGCAGCGTAGCATCGGGGTTTACTACATATTGGACTGTAAAGAGTTGTATTATTGCAGGAGATTACAAGGGTGTTTACTGTCTGCTATCTGCTGTCAGTGATATGGCTTCAAAGTTTTGATTATCGATGATTCATATCATGACTAGTTACAGAAAATGAAGATAACTTAAGTATATACAGTTGCTGGGTATAGAACTGAACAGTAAATCGAGAAATCGAGGATACTACTATCCATCAATGATCGTACCAGGGTCTTCTTCGGCGGGGATTTGTATCACGTCGTCCAGAGCAAAGTTCACCTGTTCGCCCAGCGTGATGGTTTCGCGTAGGATTTGCCGCGCCTTTTCGTCGCCCACGTTCATGTCTTCCTTCACTAGACGGATGGTCAGTTCTGGAACGAGGACGCTCTGCGCGTAGCCTGCCACTCCTGCCCCCTTGACGATCCGATCGCTCGCAGCTAGACGGCGAAGCTTTCGCGAAAAACGGGTGGTCACCGCATGGAGCCTAAAATCCGGATTAGCAGAGAGCCAGAATACGGAACATCAAAGGGGATAGGAGGGGTGCTTTACATTTTGCTCGCCCCCCGAGATCCATAGTAGCCGCAAGAAATGGTCTCCAGGCCGTCTCCGCTGAGACTCAGCCGGAAGTTCTTAGCCTTGCCTTCCTTCAGAGCGCTGTCAAGGATGTTCCGATAGTATGACGTGCTGTCTGGAACCAGGAGACTTTCTAGGTCGTCGAAGTGAGCGCGGATCCGCTCGTCAAAGGTGTCCCAATCGATGGTAGGGAATCCCTTTTCCTTCCATTCCCGCTCGGCAGAAGCTTTCTTGTGGGATTCACAGAACCTCTGCCGGTCACGGATTCGTTGTCGCGGTTGCGCGAGGAAGTCAACCAGCATGTCTCTGTTGACAATCTCCTTACACGAGGGACACCGAGGCTCATCGGCCGGGAGATCGCTCGTGTCGTTGTCGTCGTCTCCAGTTTTAGATATGATGTCGTCTTCGATCCCGCTAGATGATGGAGGAGATGACAGCGGGCTGAGAGACGAAGAAAAGTCAAAGTGGTCCAAATACTGCTGGGTGTTCTTAGTCGACACCGTGACCGAGGAGCTAGAAACAGTGTCATGCAAAGCCAGTGGCTGCTTGAATTCATGGTCGGAGAGATCATCGGTGGCCACTTGAGAGTCGCCCTTGGCTTTGTCGGCCGCCTTTGTCCTTCGTGGAGGTTCGAACTCTATCGGCATCTTGAAGCTGTGGTCGTCTTCCTCTTCCTCCTTCCGCTGCCGCAGCGCACTGGGAATGCTTCTCGGGTGCTTGAACTGGGGTGACGCAGATTCCGAGGGCAGGCTGGAGCTAAATGAAGCAGTCGCCTTGCGGTCTCCATACTTTCTGCTTCTCTGCCGTTTGATGGACTGTGAACGGCTAAACGACGAAAACAGTTCTTCCTCTTCCTCGGCCTTTCGTTTGGCGGTCCGATTGGTTTGAGTCAAGTTCTGTTTTCCTGACTCCCGCGTAGGATCCCCTTTTTTCGATCCCGACTCTTTCCCATTGGAACTCGCCGGCTCCGTACTTGCCGTCGTCTCGCCGTTATCCGTCGCCAATCTCTCCTCCAGCGTTTTCCGTCGGGGAGTAGGAGCCAGTTCATCTGTCGAGTCGTCCGTCTCCAGGCCATCGCCGTCGCCGTCGCCACTCTGCGAACTCAGCGGCTCATGATCGAAAGTCGCATCTGTAGGAGACGATGTGGGTTTGTCGCTGCCCTTCGAGTCACTCCGTAGACTCCTCTCCTCACGAGGGTCAAGATTAAACGTCGACAAAAGGTGACGGCCTTGGATATTCCTAGTCAACCTATTGCTTGAATAACTCGAATCAGGTTTTCGTATGGCCCTTGGTCTGCGCTTTTCAGATTCCATGGCTGGGTAATTCATGCGCAGCTAACGATCTGGCTGTCACAGGTCGCGTCGGGGTGCCGTGAGGGGTAACTAGACCATCTCAGCGCAGCGGTGTCACAATAGCTCTCTTAAAAAAAAAAATGGGATATCCTGCAAGCTGTATAATATCGTGTCCCTGTCACAGGGAATACAGCTGTCTGAGAGCTGTCGTTGGCAGTGACTGGGAACTCCCAGGAAGTAATAGTTCTCACTGAGAGTCGTGAGGCGAGGGACGCGTGACACGCCGCGTTTTCTCCGCACTGGCAGTGTGTATGGAACAATACAAATCAATACGAAGACATTTTTCTTTGTCTTGTCGACTTTACTGATTGTCAATTAGTTTTTGACTGTTTAGGCAGGATTTACCGTGTATCATGTTAGAAAGTGGGGGGAAAGAATTATTGATAGCTCTACCAATGCTTCTTAGAACTATAGCTATGGCTCAATCAAGCCTACAAAAGGCATGCATGCTATTGTGTATACGCTACAGTCCAAGGGGTGGTGACGGTTCACTCGAAAGACATCTGGATCTCCCCCTCGTCATGGTCCGCCCAGGCGTTATGCTCGATTGACACGGTGGCCGGCATGGTTAACGAGGATCGAAGTTCCGGGCGTGTGTCGCGGTAGGGAGGTGCCGGGTCGTCGAGACGAGGCTGGAAGGGGGAGGACGAGTATCTGCGCTGAGGAGGTGAGCTGTAGTACGATGTGTCGAAGGTCATCTGGATGTCGTCTTCATCGTAAGAATAATCTCGTTGCTGCGTCGCCACGGGATGAGGCCGAGGTGGTGGTGGTGGTGTTGTGGCATTGACACTCTTCGCGGCTGGTTTGAGGCTCGGGGGGGTATCCGAGTCTGGAGACTGGATGGGCGATGGACCCGGCGAGTTCAACTCGAGCTTCATCGGAGGCAAGGTAGAGTCCAACTCTCTGACTTGAATCGCTTCGGATGCGAGCTCCGCCCGGATTGCATCGATATCAAAAAGGACCGACCCGGCCGGGTTGGTCTCGCTAGAGTCGTCGCCCGAGGAGGGACTCTTCCCCTCGGCGCGGTTCACATCGTACGTCTCCCAGCCTTTCTTTTCCGCCAGCTTGCCGCGCTTGAAGAGGCCGAATCGCTTCTTCTCGGGCTTGAGCTCCGCCTCTTTGCGTGCCTCGTCGATTTCACGGATCAGCTCTCGCTGGCGCGCGGCATGGTCCTCTGGGTCGGGGTCTTCGATCTCGGTAAACTCGTCACTCAACACCTCCCAGCCGACTTCGCGGAGTAGCCGAGGCATCGCCGCGCGATAGTCCATGTGCCCGTTCACGAGCTTGGTCACGTCGATATTCTCGATACCAGGGATTCCCTCTACAGGCGCCAGACCGGCCACTCGCATGATCCCTCCGCTAGTTGCACGGAACAAGTACCCTAAGATCCAGTCATTCGAGGCATATCCATTGACGAAACGGCCTGCGACTACACTTCTGGCTTTCAAGTAGTCATCTTTGTTCGCCACCATCGGCGAACCAAAGAGATAGACGTTCTGGACAAGTCCATGCGCGCCCTTTTCGGCAAGCTCTTTCAGACACGAAAATATCAGCCGTGAGCCAAGCGAGAAGCCGAGTAAGGTGACTGGTCTCTTTCCAAGATTATTGTTCATCAACGAGTCTGCGAGGATGAGCCCTGCAGAAGTTGCACGAGCGAGAGACACGTTCCATGGGTTGTCGATCAGATAGGACAATTTTGTCAGGACTATCGGAAGCTGCAAGGAGGCCATCAGGGCGACAAGGATGGTACTTCCTAGGACTTGTTGTAACCCCTGGGTCAGAGCCTGGATAATGATTAGTTGCCTACAAATCGAGATCAAGAGAAAAAAGAGCGCAAGTTAGAAATACCTCTGTCGCTAGGATGTTAATAGTATCACCCATACTGCGCAGCATGTCAGGTTCCCACAAGACGGAATAAATATCACCCATGATGGGATCGACAGTACTGTATGGCAATCGGACATCGTCGACCTTGCCAGTCATCCACCCGGACACCGTCACGATGAGGTTAACTCGTTTGTTGTTATGTAGAGGGCGATATTCGAAGGTCTGCACGGCACCGGTCCGTCTGTGCGAGGCTCTCATACCTATCGTGCCGCCAGTCAAGGTCGCACCAGAAGCAATCAGGGCTGTGCCACCAACACCTCCCAGGAAGGCACTAGTCCCTGATACGCCGATGGTCGTGAATCCTGCAGCCAGACCAGCTCCGATCACTGGTGCCAGCAGTCCCGCGGAAAGCCCAATGACCAAGCCACCCCCGACGGTGGCCAGGCCCATGATCATGTACTTCTTCTTCAAAGCCATCTTCCGGCGGTTTTCCATGTGCTCGGATTCGTCCCATGTTTCTTTGTCGGCAGATTCCTGCATTTCGAGCGCGTCAATAACCCTCTTCTCAAAACGGCAGATCTGTAGCCAAGAGACGTCCATGGCTTCCCCGACCCTCTCCAGAAGAGTCCGTGAGCGGGCGTCATAGACGGAATCTGCAATGAGAACGAGGAACAGATCACAGAGGACTGTCCATCGAAGGTCTATGTCGATATTGTCTGAAGTGGGGAGCTGTGACGGCGTGCGGACTTCAGGAAGATCCTCACCCTCATGCGCCTCGTATGGGGGTGGTGACCCAAGCTCCGACGACTTCTCCATCTCCGATGAGAGACTCTGCCGAGACATTTGCTTCAGGCTGGGAGAAGAGGGCGAAGAGACAGGGTTTTCCGGTGCATCCCCGGCTAACGGATTCTTCACTCGTGAATTTTGCATCAGTGGTCGAATCAAGTCCTCTGGCTGAACACCATGTTCGGCGAGTTGCTCTATCATGATCTGTTCGGCCGCATCGATGTCCATATGATGGTAGAGTCTAGCCATAATTGACTGACCCCATTTCTTAAGCGAATCTTCGGATTTTTGCATGATCCTCTTCGTTTGCTTGGTGGACGGCATCTTCTCGGCCTCACGGACCATTTGGAACATGGCCAACCTGGTAACTCCCACGTAGGCTATTCGCTGACTCTCTGTGAGCAGAGTTTTCGTGGCTTGCAGTTGACTCATTTGATCGCGCAGCTCCTCGCCTTCCATCCCGGCGGAGTTCCCATTGGTTTCCTTGAACAAGTAGCTCGTGTCTTCGTCCATACTGGTCGCAGACTGGGCATCCTCGTCGAGCTGAACTCGAGTGTATCCCTTCCCCGCACCACCAAGGCCGCTGTAGACTGCTTCATCATCTTCCTCCTTGGCTCCCTTGGCCACCAATCGCCCGTAATCGTCATAAAAGTCGAGTTCACCCAGAGCAGGCATGTCCTTCCATCCGCCGTCACCATCCTCCTCCTCCTCCTCCTCGCTATCCTCTGCATCATGCTGGTCGGTGAGGCGTTGGTGAGACCATTCCGAGGCATGCACTTTGTGTCTGCGTTGAGACGGGGAATGAGTAGGTGCAGGCGAGGTAGCATCTTCAACATTCGATCCATCCAATGGCCGCTCCGAAAAGGTTTCGTTAGGCTGATGGGCATGCGCGGTGGGTGTTGTAGGCTCATCGGCGCGCTGCGTATCTTCACCTTTTGGAGATACAGGAGCCTTTTCTACTACAGCAGGCGTAGGGGCAGTGTCTTCTTCTTCTTCTTCTCCTTTCTCTGTGTCGCTATGATCAACTTGTGCGGCTAAGTTCTCGTCTCCTGCCATCCTCTCTTGTTTTTCTGGTCCTTCAACTTCCGGATTTCTCTTGTCCTCCTCGTGTACGTCATGGAATTCATCACTTCCATCCGACGAGGTGCTGAGGGAGCGTGCCGGACGAGGCCGCACCCGGACCGGCAGACCGAAGTCATCCAGCATTTGCTCCTGTGGCTCCTCGTGAGCCTTCACATTGTTGTCTGCCGTCTTTTTGCCTGTGGAGCAATCCCCGGGGTTTATTTCCTCCTTTCCATTGTCGTTGGTATCGTTTGCAGGGCCGTTGGGACTCGACTCGTGGCCACTGCCAGTCGTGGGCAGCGTAGGATCATCAAACGTCGCAGAACGGTCACCGATGGGGCCAGGAGAAACACCTTCGGGCGATGTCATTATTCATACGGCTGCCGTAGCGCAAGGACAGGTGGAGAGCCTTGGGTTCGTGGACGATGGGGATGTGTTCCTCCGACAGGCAACCGTTCGTCGACCGAGGCCCTCGAGAACCGCCCATCCGCGCAGAATCAGCGCTCCAGTCTGACCTCTCCAGCAATTTTTCGGTATTCCCCTCCCCAGAAATCAAGATTCACCCGTAATGGCGGCTCGTTCCTCGGTCGATGTGCGTGACGGTATCTCGCAGAGGGGGCGGGAGGGCCACGCGGCTTCAAAAAGAGCTTATCGTCACGGCGGCGTAGAAAATGCGGGACTAGCTGTTGATCACAGCGAGCTTGGGCGTCTTGGAGCCTTCCGGACTGCTAGACTGTCGACAACCCGCTCTCTCGTGTGAAGAAGACAAGCTCCGAGTTGTTTTCTCTGAAGACAAAGCACTCCTGCGAGCGGGTGATGGCCGAGCTGAGAGAGGGCGCTGAAAGCGGACATGGCCAAGAGTTGGGCAGGATTAAGCCAGTCACGTCACCCACAGGAAACTGATCCAATTCGATTGATTGCGGACATCAAGGACTTGCTTCGTTGTCTGGCTTGAGATCTTGTTGGGGGATGAATTATTACTGGCCTCAAAAAACTCCCTCGGGGTCGTTGTGTGTTGGGGGCTCGAGTAGGAGATTGAGGGAGCGTGGAATGCTGTACTACACATTGGATAGTATAATAAAGGGGAAGGAAACAAAAAGCAATGATCTGAAAAGACATCTTTTGTTTTAGAAAGGGGAAATAAATTGGTTTGTTTACAGACTCTTGTGATTAAAAGAGGTAGAGTGAAAGCATCGAAAATACTGTTGTTGCAACAATTAATACACAAAACTGCCACCTGCAGGTTGAATCCTGAGGACGACACGTTCTCTCTTCTTCCCTCTTATTGATCTTCTCGGATCTCGCTATCTTTCCCTAATATAACTATGTTCTGCCATGAGATCCCCTCTATCTTCTCTTCATCTTCAGGCTTGGTCACGGCACTATGAAGCTTGAGGGCTGGCCTCTACAGCAGCAAGGCGAACCAGGAGCCGAGGCAGGGTCAGCTGAAATGAGGCTCTGCCGTTCACTGGGCGTGAGAGGAACCAGCTAATCTTGATTCATTCTATAGTTCTCACCGTTTTGTCGATTCAAGATCCCCTACCAATAGCCGGTCTGCGTCAGCAGATACGGGCCTTGTTCGCGGGGCGTTGGTCGCCTCAGCCTCAGGAAAGCATCTTGTGACGGACAGCCACTATCAGAGAGGAGGGTTCAGACAAAGAGACAGGAATATTTCGTCATATAATGCACGAGGGACAATCTCACCGTTTCAGGTTTGACCGGGCAAAGCGCCCGGGTCTTGTCTGAGGCTGATGACGCAAGATCTTCTATAGGGATACCCATCTTTAGAGAGACGAGATTCTGGTGAACTCACTTTGCATCTTCTCGAGTGCATATTGAAAGCAGATATACATACCCCGATTATCATGGCTCAACCAGGTAGAACTCTCTCCGTTAATTTTGGGATGATTAGTTAGTACTCACCCTATACTTTGCTAGGTGTGGACACTACTGCGATCATCAAGATCGCTGGTGCAGGGTTTCGGCTCTCTCTTCTCCTCAACGCTGCCGGCTGCCAGCTCGCCCAGTCTGGGATCGAAATCCATAGCATCGCGAAGGGTGTCTCCCTCTTCGCCTTGGCGCTGAAGCAGATCGGCCAGACGCTGTGTCCGGCAGATGGATACCAATCACGCGTGGAGGCACTGGACAAGTCGTGGGAAATTGCAACCCACGGCCAGGCAATCTTTACCGAGATCGAACAGATGCTGGATCGACTAAAGGGGACCGACCTGCATGATACTCTCCGGACGCTTCCTCTGTCGCAACGAGTAAAGTGCTGTTTCAGGAAACAAAGTGTCACATATCTCCTCGCGCAGCTGGAGTCTCTAAAGCTGAGCCTGGCTGTGCTGGCTTTGATACTGCGGCTGGGTAGACTGATGAGCGGTGGTTCTGAGCTCACCGACGAGACAATCGCTCAAGAGCGAGCAGAGGCCCAGAACATGGTCATTGTCCGCTACTGGTCTATGAAACGCTTGGACCGCCTGTGGGAACTGGTGGAACAGGAAGCTGAAGAAACCGAAACCGATCAGATTAGTCGATTGATCCATCACAATAACCCGTACGCGGTCCCGGTGCTCCCCACCAGACTCCCTATTGCATTGTTTGCGGTGAGCGAGTCGACAATGAGCAAGATGGAGAAATCCCCAAGGGACATGCTCCAATACTCGGATCAAGTGGTTGACCAGCTGCTCGCCCAATATACCGATCCACCGGACTGGCGAAAGCCACCCCCCAAGCAAGCAAGGCAGCGCACAACCCGTCCACGATCCCAGTATCACGCACAGGTGGAGAGCGACCCGGAAGATACACGGCAACACTCGGGCCTGCCAGTCACTGGCCCAGTTCCTCCACAAGCACAACCCCCTAACCATCCATCCAAACACGTATATCAACATCCATATCCACAACAACCAACCGTGGGGGGGGAGATGTCCTCTCGGTCCGTGTGCTTCAATCTCCCACCCCAACACCTCTCTACAGCACATCACCGCTCGGCCTCATCCAGCCGACATGCGCGACGAGACAGAAAGGACCGGGACGGCAGTGAGAATCTCGCGCGGAATGCAGCTAGGGGACTTGTTGGGATTGGGGCTATTGCGGGGTTCATGGATGCCTTGGAAGCCTTTTCTATCATCTAGTTAATAGCTATATTATATATATATTTTCCTTCGAACCAGAATGGGATATCACAATTATATATATCTGCCATTAAGCTTTTACTTTCATCATTCGTCTAGAGATTCTTACCACACGACTACCTAAACTATCATCATGTAAAAGAAAATCCGGGCAAGGAGGGCATCCCAAAGATATTCCCGTCGGAAACCCAGCCGTCGAGCTCCATGTCTGTGCCTGCCGATCCCGGAGGAACGAAACAGGCGTTCTCGTGAGAGAGCTTGGGTGTGTCGTAGGCGTAATGCTGCGGCTGTTGCTGCTGCTGTTGTTGTTGCTGCTGCTGCTGTTGTTGTTGTTGTTGTTGCTGTTGCTGTTGCGATACCATTGGCGGGAGGGCCGGGTATCCTGTCGTCGGGTCTATGTTGTTGGCCGAGTCCATGGGCCACGTGGTGGGTGTGGACAGAGCAATGTTGCTTCCGCCATAGGAAGAAGATGACGGAATCGGGGAGGGTCTCATGTGATGGTTGTGGAAGGTTGATGGTATATTAGTGTGGACGTATCCTGCCGGGAAGGACAGGTTTATCCGCGATGAGGCTGAAGAGGATGGTCCCATTGGTTCGAAGGACAGGGGGCTCCGGATCCTTGCGGGGAGCGGGTTTTGCGGCGTTGGCGGACTGGTGGAGGAAGAAGGAGGAGCTACACTACCATTGCCATTGGCAAAGCTATTGAAGGCAGTGACTGGGTCGCGCTGGTGCTGTCTCTGAAACCGCTCGTACCAGTCCCGAGACTTGACGGCCACGATGTACCACCATCGGCTAGGGATCTTGTACTTGTGGCCATCGCTAGCTTCGGTGAGCCTCTTGCTCATCGCGTCCAGGTACATTTCAACGTTTACCGTCTGTGGACTGATCACCTCCCCGAGGGCGCCCGTCCGGACAGAGTAGTAGATCTTCAGCAGGGACGTGATCGCCTGGACGACTCGCGTGTACATGAGGTTGGGCAGTTTGCGCATCGTGTCCGTGTCACAGCCAAGAAAGGTGTCCATCATTTGTTGCGATGCATTCATGAACTTGGTCGTAATGTCCACGTGCATCGCGCTCAACGGCGCCGCGGGCTGGCGGTCCGTCTCTGCCTCGTCCGGCGGAGGCAGTGTGTAGAACTTGCGTTTCACCGCGTCGGGATCTCGATAGCCTTCCCCCGCCGCCAACTCGTACACCGCGAGGAGAGCATAATGATAACCTAATAGCATTGGTACTGCATCTCAAATTAGTTGCTGCTTCTTGTTCTTTCCAATTCCCCCCCTGCCCACTCACCGGTTAGCATGTCCGGAGGTAGATCCCTCTTCCAGGACTGCATTCGATTGTCAAACCACCTGAGCACCGCTTGTATTCTCGACTCAAATGCCATTACGGTGGAACTGGTATCATCGAGGCCAAACGACATCAATGTTTCGTCCGTGATCCGTTGCAACTCGAACCACCGGGCCATATGTCTGTCGATCGTCGTTGGGGAGCGCTCCAGATGTTTAACGCATTCGCCCATCCAATCGTTGAACAAGAGGAAGTTAGGTCGGCGGGTTCTCATGGCAACACTGATCCGAGGTCAGAAATGTGCAAAGGCTGGCTCTGGAGGGGTTTTTTTTTTTTTACGCAAAATGAAGGTAGGTAGGTATATTTGGCGAGCTTACGTTGATGCTAGGTGGTAACACCCTAGGATGGCTCTGGCCTGTTCGGCCATGTGTTCATCGAACTCCGTATCACTGTATGCTTTCTTCACCACCTTACGCTTCGAGGCCAGTCCGATCTCCAAAGCCATGGTCGAGGCAATATGTGTGTATTGGTAAAACTGCAGTCTCATTCCCGAATCAGCCGGAAAGTAGAACACCGTCATGACCAGCAGTGCCTGGACGAGCTCTAAGGACTTTTCGCCCTCGATGAAGAACTTTTCTGCATAAAGCCTGATCATCTCGCGGTTGAGAGTGCGCGCCAGCTCTCCATCGACAGCAATGGCTGCCGCGGCGATAACCGATAGGAAGAGGAGCGGTTTGGAGCGACGCAGCTGATAGGCAGTGGTACCCGGGGGTAGGACCACCAGGGGGAAAAAATGGGCCAATTCATTGCGAAAGAATTCGATGAGCTCGTCGGCACTGGTGATGGACAGGATCCCTTTGTCAATGACATCGTCTTCCTGGAGCGTCTCCTGGGCGTTCTCCGGCATACCCGCGTTGGCCGGGGGGACGGGGGGCAGTGGGATCCCTTCCAGGGTACTGGGAGCTGAGGGTGCAAACCCCGGCAAACAGTCGATATGGCGGATGGAACCCGTCGAGCTATTGGGGGCGTCTGCATTCCCTTCCGCCTCCGACTCCGGAACATTGGACAGTCTCTCCGGGGAATCGGTGGTGGTGGGATCATTGTCTAGCGAGTCGTCACGGACGCTGCTGCTGCTTTCCGGGCTGGTGGCGTCTTGAATGGGAAGTCGGCCCTTCAACAGTGATCGCATGACCCGCATCTCTTTCTCCAGCTGGGCGACCCGCGAGTCGGTGCGTCTGCGCGGACGGCGTTTCTGCGGGGCCAGAAAGATACAGGCGCGGCGGGCCTTGACGCATCTCTGGCACTGGGTGGCAGATGTTGGATCCGGTAGACACCGGACCTTGAGGCCTCTGCATGATTCACAGGATCGATTCAATTGGGCTGGCGGGGGCGGGGGCCCGGAGTCAGGGCCATGGAGTGCGTGCGGCGCGGCCGACATGATTTCCGCCGACTCCCTGGCCTGCGAAGGGGTAGGAGGGGTCGGGGTTTGGTTCGACGCCTGCAGACTTCTGACTAGGTAGGTAGGCGTGGAGACAGCGGTATCGAGCCTGCTCTTCATTCAACAGTGGGAGGCGCAGCAACGGTCACTAGGCAGCAGCTGCACAGCAAACACCTGTGGAAACAGCTTGCGGGGGTGGCAGATGGAAGAAGTCAGGGCTGGAGAAGAGATCCGCATCAGGAACCAATTCGTCGTGCAGAGGCATCCTCGAGAAACTGTTTCGCCGGTTTGCGTGGTCGAATTAGTGCCGGGTCGACGGCTTTACGAGTCTGGGTAGTAGTCATGTGAGGCAAGGGCTAAGCTGTTTTTGTATATGCCAAGAGGGGTTGATGAAGTATCAAGTACCTTGGATGGATTTTGGATGCACTTCAGACGAGGGAGGATTCAAAGCGACCGGCAGCTGTCTCCTGGAGGTCAGGATATGGTCACGAGATATAGAACTGGAAATATGCCTTGATCGGACCACTCTTCCCTAGTAGGGACCTGGTAGTACCTAACAGTGGGGGGGGTACACGCCCGAATACTCCGGAGGCATACTACGTAGTACGAAGTCAAGGTAGGGTCCCAGGTACCCTCCGTATCTCCCACCCAGGCGGGCGTTTAATTCGGCCCGCTATCAAATGCCCTCTGCGACCGCTCATGTTTGAACCAATGGGCCACCCGCCGTGGAGCTGATAGCAGATCGCTGTTGAGGCAGGCGGTAGTAAGGATTATGTCAGCAGGATAAAAGATTTGCCTTCTCCGTATTAGGTGGGGGGTTAGAATCCGATCCTTCCAGGAAACACGGAGGAACATTTATTCCGCACCGAGAGAAGGGTGGCGACCGTAAACCATGGACTGACTACCTACTCCGTATCAACTATCTAGATAACTACGGAGTAGTTAACTACTAACTACGGAGAATACGGAGAAACTATCCATGAACATACTACACACGAAGTAAGACAATTAAAGTTGGATGACGACGCCCTACCAGGCTTACCTATACCCAATCACAGCATCCAAATCAATGGAGAAGATTCCCATCGTTAAGCCTCGCCAATGTCGCCATCAATCTTGGCAACCAAGGCTGGCTGGTACGAATCTTACTGCCCGGTAACTGCCCGGTAACTATACAAAGCAGATACAGAGGCTGTAATCAATCAGAAATGGCGTCCGCCTCAGGCTTCCCGCTGGGCGGGAGTATCCTGGTAATACCAATACGCACCGCCGCCGCGGGAGAATGAAACGGGCTTATCCCAGATAGGGGACCCATGACGCGGCTCGTCGATGGCGACAACTTAGGCCAAGAGATACAATAGTTAGTAGGAGGAATAGGATCAGGATACTCTGCCACAGGACATTGGACACTGCCCCGCTAGGTAGATGCTACCTGTACTATATACGATACCGATAGACCACTAGACATTCCACTAGATCAGGATTACTCGTAAAACCTCCTCCATACAGGTGCTCAACTGCTGCGTCCGCATCGGCATTGCCACGCCCGCTAGATTTAGACCCGGACTTCGTAATCGAGCACGCGACAAATTAATAAAAGTCGTTCATTTCCCTGGGCGCCTGCACGAGGGGTTCCTTCCACTCAGGTGTCTACCTAGTAATTAGTTAACTTAGGTAGTTGGTTAGTTACTACTACCTTACTTACTACTAGGTACTACCTATTGTTATTGTCTCGACTCTCTTCTGACGGCCTTCCCTTCATCCTGTCTTTTCTTTGTTTCACTGTACATAACAATAGATACGATCCATCACACCCGGTCTGCCGCCGAGTCCAACCCGCTGACGACCACCGACGACCGCTGACGACCGCTGACGACCGCCGACGATCCCCTATCCATGCGGTCCGCCAGCGCTTAATTGAGCGTCCCATCTACCTCTTTCCTACCACCTTTTCCTTTTTTTTGTCACACAGACACACACACACAACACACACACCATGTGGCTGTCATGGTTATCGAGGTCATTAGTACTGCTCGTTGCGATCGCTCAAGTCCGCGCCGATGCAGACTTCATGAGCGTCCGGACAAGTCTGGCAAAGGATTATAGCGGGAAGGGTGGTGATCCGGGGGAAAAATATTTTCGTGAGCCTCTCTCTGTCTTTTTTTTTTTTCTTTCCTGGTGGTGATAACTCAGCTAACGACGATCGTGTTTTAGACGAATCTACGTATGTCGATCAGGAATCCTATCCCTTGGTTATGGTTGCGTGCTAATATTTTCTTCTTCTCGGGGTGATCAGATTCCACCATCATTATGACGGACGGTAGGAGACTTCTAGACAGCCCTGAAGCCCTTCGAAACATGGCTAACTCGTGTCAAAAAGATTCGCGTCGAACACACTGCCCGAGTCCGAGAGTGCCCCGTATCTTTCAGCGCTCATCCAAACGTACCTCTCGACAATGTCGGATATCGGCGCTGAGACATGGATCATGCATGGCACGCTGCTCGCGTGGTGGTGGAACCAAAAGGTTGAGATCCATGGATTTTTTTTGTTTTTTATTTATTTATTTTTTTTTGCCGCCACTTGGTGTTTAGGCGCTGACACTCGACTGGCTAGATTTTCCCATGGGACAGCGATCTTGACGTGCAGATATCCGAGCCGACCATCCATTTTCTGGCCGAATACTACAATATGACTGAACACCATTTCAACCTGCCGGGTGTCGAGGGTGGCCGCACATACCTACTGGAGATTAACCCGCACTATGTCGTGCGGACCACCGCCGACTGGCGGAATGTCATTGACGCGCGCTGGATAGACACTTCCTCCGGCCTGTTCATTGACATCACTGCAGTGCGCAAGGATGATGATCGGAGAAGGGCTGGGCGGAAGGGTGCCATGATGTGCAAAGATAAACACCGCTACGAGGTTTGTACAGCATTATAATCTATATATCTATACTGCTCGAACCAGCCAGCTGATGATGCTTTCGTTTTCTTCAGGAAAACGATATTTGGCCGCTGCGGGAAAGCCTCTTTGAGGGCGTGTCCGTCAAGATCCCTTACGAATACACGAAACTACTGCAAGAGGAATACGGCTCCAAATCCATGACCCAGACGTCTTTCGAGGGGTATGTCTCTCTCTCCTTCCTGTCTACCCAAGGAACCCCCCCAGCTGATGTGTCCTTACAGCCACAAATTTAATGAAGATACTAAGATCTGGGATCGCATCAGGTTAGTTCCCTGATCTTCTTTTGCCCAACAACCCACAGGCTAATACGATGAATAGAGGCAATAAACACCTGTCGAGACTGAGGGGCCGGAGCCTAGACGAGCTTCCATCACGCACCTCTCCCCTCGAACATAGACTGTCATGACCCTCTTTCCAACAACACCGTCACTCCGACCTCCCTTTTTGTACAGCTCATTGCCCCTGTTCATCCATGGGCGTTGGACATCCTTATCTTTCTTCTCTCTTTCCTCAGCGTGATCACTGCTCTATTTATCCTAATCATTGGTATCGGGTTCGTCGTCATGTCGGTTCGCACCGACCTCGAGCCTCTTGCATTGGCCAGGCGTTTTCGCATTGATCTGAAAAGAAGTTTCCGCACTTTTTTTCCCCATTTTCTCCTATTTTTTTTTCTCCTTTTGGTTCTCTAGCATATATATCATGCAATTTCTGTATTTTTCATGAGTTCTACTGACTTTCTCTTGGTTTTTATTCTGTGTTATACCTGTGTATATGATGCACTGTACAGAATAGACTACAAATATGAGACTTTCTGCAAGATCTATTCTAAAGTATCATGTAGTACAGACTAAATCATTAGAATACCTAGTATACTACAATCGACAGGGATATCCAAGTCAATTCTCTGGCCAAGGTGGATGATCTCATCGCATTAGTCATCAGGCTATCCAGGCCCTTTTCTCCGCGTCTCTCCCAATAATAGAAGCCGTCGATAGCCACGGTGGATAAGAGGAGGAAGCCTGGCCCCCACAACCACAGCATGAATTCTTTGAGTCAGAAGACTGAATTGCTGCTAGCAATGCGCTCTGGTGATCAGATTTCTTTCGACTGACTATTAAGAGACAGGAAAGACGAAGTACAGGGCAGAAGTCCAGGATCCGCTGTTTGAAGTCGGCGCTTTGATCTGCCTCAACAGCTCCATTCGGACCAATGCGGGGGGGCTAAAACCTGGCCTCCATCGCCCGTCATGTCGCAGCGCTCTTCAGTTTCGTCCTCTGCGACTTCAGCAGTAGTGAACCATCGAACGGGCTCGCTCGATGCCGCGACGCCCTCCCACGGATCTGCCGCTCCTCCTGTTCAGTCTCCCGTACTACAAAATTACTCCACGCAGCAGCAGCAGCAGCAGCAGCAGGAACCGACGACCCCGACTACAACTGCACAGCCGCCACAAAACAATCCCCATTCTCCCTCTGCGAGTCTCAATGCGCGGAGCTGTGTGACCTGCCGTCGACGCAAGGTTCGCTGCAACAAGCGGCATCCGTGCTCCAACTGTGTCAAGGCCGGTATTGAATGCATTTTCCCCGGCCCAGGCAGGGCTCCGAGGAAGTCGAAACGCCCCGCGGATGTTGAGCTGCTCTCGCGACTGCGACGTCTAGAGGGAGTGATCGAGCAGCTGAGTGGGAAGAATGGCGTCCCGGCAGACGCTGCGTCGACAAACGCCCTCGTCACACCGGCTACCCAGCAGGAACCCCCTGCCACCACCAGCAATGAGAGCGAGGAGGGAGTATCGGCGGAAACACTGAGAGCGTTGTGTACCAATGCAAGAAACGGGGATCCTAAGAAACCGGCACGGAGGGATATTGATAAGGAATTCGGTCGCTTGGTCATAGACGAGGGTCGGAGTCGGTATGTGAGCAACAGGCTGTGGGCGAGTCTAGGAGATGAGGTAAAGTCTTTTTTTTTCCCCTTTATTTCTTTAGTTATTGAACCAGCAAGCTTATATTTATAGATCGAAGAATTGCAGGATATTTTGGATCCGTCATCGTCCGATGAGGAGGACCATCCATCTCCCGACTCCAACTCTACCCACTCCTCCAACCACGACGGGTTCCTTTTCGGATTTTACTCGATCTCTCATTCCCTCCGCCGGTTCCATCCAGCGCCAATGACGATTATGTTGCTGTGGGATGTCTACAAAGAGAACGTGGCGCCATTGGTGCCGATTTTCCACCGGCCGACGGTCCAGAAGATGGTTTTTGAAGCCGCCCAGAACCTCGACACGTTGGACAAGCCTTCCGAAGCTCTCCTCTTTGCCATATACTTGACTGCCGTGGTCAGCCTGTCGCCGCAGCAGTGCCTGTCCCGCGTAGGACGCGAGCGCGAGGCGCTAGTCTCTCATTTCCGCTTTGCAAGCGAGCAGGCGCTGGCCAGAGGCAACCTACTCAACACCCAGAACCTGGTGCTGCTGCAGGCGGCAACTCTTTTTCTTGTAGGCGTCCGCCGTGAAGATGACACCCGGTTTGTCTGGACCATGACTGCGGTGATTCTACGTCTGGCCCAGGGCCTTGGGCTGCACCGTGACGGGACCAACTTCGGCCTGAAACCCTACGAAACCGAGATGCGCCGGCGATTGTGGTGGCACATCTCGCTACAGGATATACGCTCGTCAGAAGACCACGGCACCGACTCTCAGATCGACGAGCGGCTGCACGACACCAGACTCCCGCTCAACATCAACGACGAGGATCTCGACCCGGATGCTCTGGAACCCCCACCGGAACGCAAGAGCTGCACGGATCTCACGTTCTGCCTCATCCGCTGCGAAATCACGTCCGAGCTGCGTAGACTGAATTATGTGTGTCCCATCCGCAATCTTGTGGCCAATCCGACCGCGGAAGAGCGCGAACGGCAGATCCAAGCCCTCAACCATCGCATCGAGGATCGGTATATCAAATACTGCAACATGGATAGCCCGCTATCCTGGGTCTGTGCAACTGTCGCCCGCGTCATCGTCGCGAAGCTGTGGCTGGTGGTGCATCACCCGCTGACCCGGGTCGACCGCACCGCCAGCCTGACGTCCGTGACGAGGACAAGGATGCTCCTCACCTCCCTTGAGATCGTCGAGTTCTCGAATCTCCTCGAGAACCACCCCAACACGTCCAAGTGGGGGTGGCTCTTCCGCACCAACATGCAGTGGCACGCCGTCGCCTTCGTGCTGGCCGAGCTCTGCGTCCGGCCCGTCTGCCCCCTGACTGACCGGGCATGGGCGGCCGTTTCCATCGTCTTTATCGAGTGGGAGAAAAACGTCAAGCAGCGGCGCGGTATGCTTTGGCGGCCTTTATCACGTCTGATGAAACGAGCGGCCGCCTTTCGCGCCCAGCAACAGGAGGAGCTGCGAGCCGAGTACGGGCCTAACCCGGGAATCGAGCAAATATCCACCTTCATAGCGCCCAATACGGCAAATCCAAGTTTAACGGGAGCTTTGCCGTCTCCGTTTGTTCCTCAGATTTATATTCCCCAGCCACCACCGGAGCCAGAAGTACCTTCTTCTACTACTAATACCAATCCTACTACGGTGCTGCAGCAGCAGCAGCAGCAGCAACCCGGTATAGCAGGCCTAAATCCGAGCATTGATATTGATCTCACTGCAGATCCACTGACCATCCTGGATGGAATCTTCGCCGGATCACCCTGGCCGCCTTCTGCCAACGGCGGCATGTCCGCGGCGAACGCGTCTACTGCCTCTCAAGTAGCGCAACAGCCGGCCGCAGATCCAATGGACACCTCCATGTCGACTGAGTCTGCCGAGCCCCCTCTCGACTGGGAGCAGTGGGGGCAGGTCATGCGCGAATTCCAGCTCGACGTGGAACAGGCGCAGGCGGCACGGCCTACCGTCAATAATGTGTCTGACTGGTTTGTTTGATCTCGTATACCCTCTTTCTAGCGTTGCTGGGGCTATAGCAGGGATCTGGTGTCTTTCACTCTCAACTCACTCCAAAATTGAGTATCTAGCTGATAAGCTCAATCGAATATGTTGTAATATACTACATGGCCAGTTTTATAGAATTGGTGCTAGTTAGTTTACCACGTAACTAGTAACTAGTTAGTTAGGTAGTTTGGTTACGTATGTAATTCCTATCACGTGACAAAAAGACACACGACGTCAAGTAGCTAATAGCTATCCTCATCGACAATGCCATCACCAACACCCTCAATTGACCGACACATCGCCTCTCTCTAGCCACCGTTCTCCGAACCGAACCGCATCCCATCAGCATGCCCCGGCGAAACACACCCACCCCATCTTCCCCCTCGCCCGCGAGCCCGGCGGCCCCCATCGCCGCCTCCTCTCCCTCGACCTCGACGACCTCCCCGAGCGCTCCCCTCTCCTCCGGCCCGACCACACTCAAGGCCAACTCCTCCCCCGTCGAGATCGCCCAGCATGTATGGCACCAATACCTGGCGTCCACGCCGCAGCGTACTCTGCTCCTCGACGCGTTCATGTTCTTCCTTGTTCTAGTGGGGGGGGTGCAGTTCGTCTACTGCGTGCTGGCGGGGAACTACGTAAATCACCTTTTTTCTTTACACCCCTATCATTATTGTCTATGGTCATTTGTGATTGTGCCTGTCTTTCTAACTCTTGCCTGTAGCCCTTTAATGCTTTCCTGAGTGGCTTCTCCGCGGCAGTGGGCCAGTTCGTCCTTACCGCCAGCTTGCGCATGCAGACCAGCGCGGAAACAAAGGATTCCAAGCCCAACTCTAAGGGGAAGAATGTCAAGCTTGTTGCGGCTGAGGAGGGCGAGACGCCCATCTCGCATGAGAGGTAAATACTGTCTCCATATGTACAGAGAGAGAGAGAGAGAGTATGTTTGCTAACAAGTGTAGAGCGTTTGCGGATTACATCTTCGGAAGTCTGATCTTGCACTTCTTCTGCATCAACTTCATCAACTGAGCTCTCCCTTATCTGGTATCAAGGGTCGGCATTGCTTTGGCTTTGGGATGTTTCAAAAACGGAATTCAAGTGCAGCCGGATGTAGTATGGGGATGTATGGGATGTAGGATGTATTCTAGGGTATCATTTCTTTTCTGATCAAGCTCTACATATACTATACAAGCGTATGGAGTATACCAATCACACCATTATTTAGAACCCGCCTGGTCGTCGGGCAACTTGCGGTCGCTTCACCACGCTTCCCCCTCCTCCTCCTCCTCCTCCACTAGATCTAGAGGCCACAGCCACTCCCCCGACCCGCTTCGGCTTCACAAGCGGTCGCCGCACCACCGACCCCCCGACCTCGACTTCTCGCTTGCGCCGCGAGGGGTCGTTGCGCTGCTCTTCGCGCTGCTTCTCGGCGGCGGCACGCTCCCGGTCCGCCGCCATCTGCGTCTCGATCTCCATGCGGCGGTTGAACTCGTGTTCCGTCACCCGCCGTTCACGGTGTGAGTATCCTTTTTCCTTGACGGAGTAGAAGACGCCGCCTAACTCGGCAAGCCACTGAAAAGTTTAGCATACTATTTTAATCAAAGCAGTGAAAAAAAAAAAAACTTACATGTGGATCCACTGCGGTCACGGTAGACATGTATTCCTTGCTGGTGAGGATGAGCTCATGATACACTACATACTCGGGAACATAGCCCAGGCCGTAAAGAGCACTCGTCGGGTGCAGCTGCATGGTGACGCTGGTGCGCAAGTTGATGAACTCGCCGATGCCCTTGACGCGGGCGGCCTGGTGGTAGAAGCCCGAGCAGATGCATTTGCGGATCACGTCCCAATCTGTGCCGCAGCTGACGAGGTTCATCTTCTGCACGGTCATGATGTCGTGCAGCTGGTCGCGCACCTCCTTGGCGCGGCGCAGCGCTTTGGCGTGCAGGAAGTGTCGGTTGCACCAGCCGTCAGAGTACCCGTTCGACTTCCATTGGGTATACACGTGCAGCAAGGTCAAATGGTCGGATTCGGGCACGAAGAACTTCTCGCGCGCCGCGTCGGATTCCTCCTGCCGTTCCTTCGGGCGATAGAAAACACTCGGTACGGACAGCATCGACACAATGGTCAGCATCTCTTCGCTGCACCCGTACTCCTCCGAAGCGGTAATGATGAGTTTGGCCAACGGGGGGTCCATCGGGAAGGGCGTCATGCGGCGTCCCAGCGGAGTGAGGTCGCCGAGATTGTCCAGCGCGCCTAGGGACCACAACTCAAAGAGAGACGTGGTGATCGTGTCCTGCGGCGGGGGATCCATAAAGTCGAAGTCTAATAGATCCTTGACTCCGAGAGACTTCAACAGCAGAACGGTGTTGGCAAGACTGGTCCTTTGAATCTCGGGGATTGTCTGGATATACAGCTCGTTCTTGTAGGCCGGTTCGGTGTAGAGTCGATACGCCTTTCCAGGGCCCGTTCGTCCTGCTCGGCCAGAACGCTGATTGGCATTGGCTTGCGAAATCGGTGTGATCTGAAGCGTGTCCATACCCATCCGGGGGTTATAGACCTTGAGCTTCGAATATCCAGCATCCACGACGTACATGATGCCGTCAACAGTCAAACTGGTTTCGGCAATGTTGGTTGCGACGACAACTTTGCGCACACCCGGGGCGGCCTTTTCAAAGATCTTGGCCTGCTGTTCCGCAGGCATTTGGCTGTAAATTGGTAATATGCTGAGCTTCGCTGGATCATTCAACATTTTCAATCGCTCATCCACAAGATCACATGTGGCTTCGATGTCTTCCTGCCCAGTCATAAACACCAGAATATCCCCCGGTCCCTGTGAGACATGGATGGCCAAGACCTGCTTGACTGCGCTATCGACATAGTCTTCACAAGGGGTGCGTGAAAAGTGCACATCGACAGGAAACGTGCGTCCGGGGATGATGAACTCTGGCGCTCCACCGAAGAATCGTGAGAACTTCGCCGAGTTCATAGTCGCAGAGGTGACGATTAGCTTGAGATCCCTTCGCCGAGCCAACACCTTCTTAAGAAGACCCATCAACACATCCGTGTTGAGTGCTCTTTCATGGGCTTCGTCCATGATGATACACGAGTACTTATCTAGATCCGGTTGAGTGAGTGACTCCCGTAGAAGGACGCCATCCGTCATGTCTAGAAAGATTTGTGAGCATCGAATCTCAAGAGCTACGAAAAAAGAAAGGGGGGGGAACTCACATTTGATTACTGTTTTGTCGCTGGTACAATCCTCGAAACGAATCGCATAACCCACGAGATCCCCGAGGTCGACCTCCATCTCTTCACTTACACGCTTCGCCACACTCATGGCAGCCACTCGCCGTGGTTGGGTGCACCCGATCATCCCGAGCTTCGAATATCCATCCTCATGCAAGAACTGCGTGAGCTGGGTGGTTTTTCCCGACCCTGTCTCTCCCACGACAATGATGACCTGGTTATCTCGAATAACCCGAAGGAGGTCCTCTCGAACAGCGAAAGCCGGTAAATATTCCCTCTGTTCGCGCAGCGTCTTGCTTCTGCTGAAAGCACTGGAGCCGCCTTGGTCCTTTTTCAAATGCTGCGCGAACTTATTCCCGCTTTTATAGACCTCTTCCACTGGCACAGCGACGGCACTATCACCTTCGTCCTCTTTAACGCCCATCAGGTTTCCCAATGTCGTGCCGGCCATGGTGGTCGCGTCCTGCGCCTGTTTCTGACGCTCCCGTTGCTGGCGCCGCTCGCGGACCACCTTGCTCCCCTTCCGACTGAAAACCGCCATGTCGCTCTGAGGATCGCGCACCGCCGAAATGGGGTCCAGCTGTTTGGTGAAAATCGTTCGGCCATCGAGGAAGGGCGGTCGCAAGTCGTGAACCAGCAGGTGGACGCGGGTTCCCTCCTCGTCCTCCGGCATAAAGTCACCATCGTAGTCTCGTCGTTGGGCAACGCCCGAGGTCAGCATCCGATTCGCTTCCCAGTTATCGATGTCCTTGCGCTTCGCATCGCGAAGAGGCGCCGGAAGATTGGAGCTCTTCTGCCGTTTGGCTGGCGGAGGCATGTCGTTGCGGTTCATTGTGGGCGATAAAGAGAGAACCCCGATGCTCCAAACGATTTTAGATACGATAGATAACCCCGTAAACAGCGCGGAGCTGCCGTTCTTCCCACACGGCGTCCAACAGACGATTTCTCTCGATAGTTGATGTTGGAGACGCTATCGGCGTGGCAAACAGTGCAAACACGCGTTATCACGTGCTCCTAGGAGCACTCCTCAGTTGGCAATATACAGTGGTTAATTAGTTCAATTATCACACAAGTACATATAAATAAATGGCTGTAAGCATATCATAGACAGTTTTAAGTATAAATTGAAGCTTTCTCTTTGTTTAGATCAATGACTGTGACGAGTATCTGCCGTCATCTCGGTTGGGCCAACTTTGATGCTATCGCAAGCAACGCCCCGCACCTCCGCGAGCAGCTTCATCTCCTGAAGCCAAGCTTTCGATTGCCAGTCAACTTCAGAGTTCAAGATGGCGAGTCAACAGCAAATCAGCGCGAAGAAGCAGCAAGGTAAATGAAAATCCCCCCGAGCAGTGAACTTTTCAATCTCGAAGCTAAACGAATTGTTCCGTCCACACAGATCTCCAAAACCAATACACCAATTTCAAGAACACGCTCCAACAGCTGGCACAGAAGATCGGAGATGTCGAGCAGGAAGCCGAGGAACACAAGTGAGTGGCAAACAGACGGGGGACGAACATAGCTTCATACCAAGCATAAAAAAGACGAGCAGTACAGTTGACACGGCTGACACCAAATGATAATCCAGACTCGTGATCGACACGCTCGAACCTCTGCCCAAGGATCGGAAATGTTTTCGAATGGTCAACGGGGTTCTGGTCGAACGGACAGTGGATGACGTGCTTCCATCTCTCAAGATGAACTCGGACGGACTGAAGCAAGTGCTGGACGACATGCTCAAGCAGTACAAATCCAAGCAGGTCGAACTAGACAACTGGAAGGTACGATCTAGCTTATACGTTCTTCCATTCAGGATTGTCCCTTTTGCAGGCATATACCATATGATGGTGTTCATATTGCTTCATATTGCTAACTATCGCTGCAGAAGAAGAACAATATCCAAGTTGTGCAACCGTGAGGCAGCTCCATCGACCCAGCTGCTATATGGAAAATGTCTAGTAGGGTTTATTATTATCAGCATAGAGCAATGGAATACCAGGCGTTACGGCATGACCAGTTGAGTTGTCTCTAAATAATCCTTGGTTGGATCCATGTCTAGATATAGCCATGGATTCATCTGTAATACCGCTGCATATAACTATTAGTTCCCTCCATACATAATAGTGCCCGCGACATGAGTTTAATGCAGTTCCCATAATGACAGCAGAAATTTTTATGCAAGATTTCATTTCCTCATTTCTAGGTCTCTATGTTTCTTCGTCATAATCCTGAGTTTACTAGAGGGAAACGGCGGGCAAAGGGGCAGAAGAGTACTGCTACCATGGTCACAACAGAAGATCATACAATCTCTGAAGGTGAAATCATTCGGGAAGGGGTTTAGAGTAGTCCATTAGAGTCGGATAGGGTTTCTTTCTGGCTTTTTACTAGACAATGAGTATCAAAATCATACCCGAGGATACGAGCAGAGAGAATTTATTAAGATTATAGTATTCCAGCTAATAATCAGTATATTAAATCACTCTCTTGAGAGAGGGAAGATTATGATATCTGAAAGTTTTCCATCTAGTAATGACATAACTATCTAGATATACAGTAATCACCAATCGGATCAATATCAATACGGACCTAGACGGAGGGATTTTACTCCATATGCAACTAGCTGATCGGAATTCTCAATCATCACCATGAAAAAAAAATGAAAAAAAATGAAAAGAAAAAAGGTAATGCATGCCCATTGCCTGATTGATGGCCGAGGCTAGAACTAGGCGAGTGCCTGAGCGCCTTAAGGCGCCGTTGCAAGATGTTTCAGGACAAGGCGGACATGTCAGGCACCAGTAGCAATCGCACTAGTGATGGAGAAGAATTTTGATGACGAGTTTTTAACCCTGACAAACAACATATGTATTATAGGGCAGACCCAAGGCCCGAGTCTGAGTTGGCATGCATGCATGCTCTCCAGTCTTTGGGGCCTCAAATCCCGCGCAACCCAGGCTGCACTCCGTAATCCCGAGCAAACGGCTGACAGGTCCCAAGCAGCCTTAAATGGGTCATGGAACATGTAGGGCATGAACTTGTGGCTCTGATAGATAGACTAGTCACTAATTACTGGTAAAGTAACCGCTGACCAGACACCGGGCTGTTTTTTCCCCCGGGCTCTACGGAGAAAGTTCCCCAAGCGAAGATCGTTGCATCCTGGTTGATAGATCTCTCGGATACACAGAAGAAGTACTTTTGTAGCCCTGGGCTGAAGGGGAACAGCATGGGGGGTTTTCGATGATATATATATATGCACGGAATACCTAGTTAATCTAGAGGGACCTGGTTAGCCAACGCAGAATGTCCATGAGTCGTGTCTCACCACGACCACAATCGAAAAATGGATCGATAGAAGCTGCGTTGGAAGTCGAATCCAGGCTCTCCATGGTACTAGTTTGTTATGAAATGGACTCAACATGAGAGACCAGTTTCGCCCCATGGCTTGGTGTGATCCTCGAATCTGCCCAAACTGTGCACAGCGTTACCCCTGCATACGCCTGTTGGCGATTGTATCATAACTGAGCTGGCTATCTGGCTGTTCCTCTGTTCCTCTGTTCCTCTATTCCTCCAAGAAACACTCCAGCAGCAGTGACACGACAAGAGAATATGCCCTGGAAGGATCAAACGACGACAGCAAGTACCCAGGCTGTTAATCGGTCTCGGAGAACGATAGGGGCAGTTAGGTACTTAGTTAGTTTGTGGGGATATTGAATCTGATAAGTGCAAGAAAAAAGAGAGCCTGAATCTGCATCCTCGATGACCAAACTGTAAACAAGCAAAGAGGGTTGGATCCATCGAGCAGTGGATGCCTCCATTGCGTGGACTCGGGATGTACCGATACCATGTCGATACGGTCACTACGCCCATTCCCCCATATCGTACACTCTCTTGAGCGGGGTCGATACCAAAGAAACCGTAACAGCCTGTAACAGCCTGGGTGTCTCCCCATCTGGACCCTTCTTCCTCTTCATTTTCTCGAACAAAAGACACCGAGAAGCGACGATATTCTTCTTTTTTTTTTCTTCTGCAGCGCCCAGGCAGATCCCCCGAGTCGCTGGGCATTAGCCACATCGTACCTGGTCCAGGGTGTGAAGCAACCAAACAGATCGGCCTCCCTCCTGGCGCGACGCTCCTGGTTCGCCAATTGCTGAGCAAGTCGCATCTGCCCTCTCACTGGTCTCTTGCCATCTACAATCTCTCGAGATCAGCTATAGAGGTACGACAAACTCGCAGCCCCCAAAAACACCTCCCCCGACGCGTCTGGAGAAAAGAAGAGCGTGCGAATGCGCATTGCCTGACCCACCCCTGCCTAAACCTCTCCGGCGTGTACGGTTGCATTTGCTCCCTGCGTCACAAGCTCTGTCTGTCTCTGCCGCCCGCCCGCGCGGTGCCCCCAACAACAACCAGACCAATATATGTGGCTTGCGCTGTCATATTGACTTGCCCTTATCTAGGTCGATCAACCGGTCGGTCAGCACTGGACTCGATACATACGTACCTACACACTACCTACACACTACATCGTTCTTCTGCAACCCCTGCCGAAACCACCTCCCTGCCTGCATATCCTTCCCCCACACCTACCTCCTCCTCCCGCTTCAGGCTGCTGTGAAGCGGGATCGCTGCCCAGCCAGAACGACGGGACATTGGACCAGGAAACTCGACACACCCCTGACGCATTGTTTTTTCGAGGCGATCGGGATCGAAACCGCCCTCGCGCGCATCGCTGACGTGGTTTCCCTGCCAGCGGAGCTGACACACACGCACCCTCGCTCGCTCACACGGTGGTAGCTCAGCTAGCTGCCACGGCTCACATCGCCAGACGGGAAATATCCTTTAAAAATCATGTCGTCGACCTCTCCGTCCAAGGAACCTGAAATGGAACCGGAAGCTCAGTCGGGTGAAGACCAGGAACACATGGATAAGGACCAGCATGATCCCCAGGCGCAAGGCCAGGGCGAGTTCGAAGTCAAGGAGCAGGACCGATGGCTGCCGATTGCAAATGGTAAGCTAGTTGCGCCCTCTTGCAGCCTGCTGCGGTCTCCTGATTTGCGCGTACCTTTTTCTTCCGTGGAGCCATGATGCCATTTGTTCGACAATCCTTATCCTCAACATACATCTGTTATATGCTTTCTCTCTCTCTCTCTCTCTCTCTCTCTCTTGCTTGGCACATGGTTTCATTTATGATCTGAAGCTAATATAGGCTACAGTGGCCCGGATCATGAAAATGGCATTACCCGAGAATGCAAAGATTGCCAAAGAGGCCAAAGAGTGCATGCAGGAGTGTGTCAGCGAGTTCATCTCTTTCATCACAAGCGAAGGTTCGCAGCCGTCCCTCGTCCTCCTCGGGTTGTATTACTGATACTTCGTATAGCCTCTGAGAAATGTCAGCAGGAGAAGCGCAAGACGGTCAACGGGGAAGACATCCTTTTCGCTATGACATCTCTCGGGTTCGAGAACTACGCTGAGGCTTTGAAGATCTACCTCTCCAAATATCGTGAGGTATGGTCATCTATCTCTAACCCTTCCGGCCAATCGCTGATACCAATAGACTCAATCTGCCCGCGGGGACAACCAGAACCGACCGACCAGCAGCGGCTACGCCTCCGGAGGCCCCGTGGGAGGCCCCTCTGCTGCCGGACGCGCAGGACCATCTGCTGCTGGCTACCCTGACGCGGCGGACAACAATAACATCCTAAACCCCGCCCTGGATCCCTCCGAACAGGACCCCTCGGCCTATGGCTACCCGCCCATGGTTGGCCAGGGTCACAATGGAGCCGGCGGAGAGTCATACTAGACATGTTTTCCTTTCTTTTCCCTTTCTTTTTGCTTTCTTTCCCCCCTCCGGTGCGGTGGCGGCACGAGTGAATTGATGGCCAGCGACAGTACCCTTATTTCACGACAGGACAGGACAGGATTCAACGGAACAAATGTAACGAGTGCTAGTTATACTTCTGCCCGCGAGGGAGAGTGATTCTCTTCCTCTCCCCTCCCTAGGAGGGCCTGCCTTTTTTTTTTGTTTGCACAATTACTTTGTACAATGCACAACCAGGTCGGTACCAGCTTTCATCTAATGATAATTGATCTGCTGCGAGAAGATAGTCTACTCTCGACATCCAGAGTCTACTTATTAGTCAATCATTCCAATGCACCGTTGGTATTATTTTGTAGCCTGGCTTATCCTAGCAGAAAATCTGTCGGGTAACGCGGATCGCTCGTGTCGGTGAGTCCCCGAAGCCAGTCGGAACCTCAACGAGGCCCCCCCCATCCCGCCCTCCGTTACCCGTCACTGGCCGTGCCTCAATCGAACAGCATCCCAGACACTGGTCAGAGCCGATCATCCATTACGGAGCAGTTATTATTGTCGTGATAAGCCCTGCGCTTATCTCCACTCCTCCCACGTGAGCTCAGCCTGGGCTTGGTTCCCCACGTTGCTCTAGAATAGTATCCTCCCCTCCCCTCCAGGAAGACAAAGTTTCCCTCGATAGACGGGAAGAAAAAAAAAAATCAAGAGTTCTACAGAGCATACACTGTAAACACTTTGCTGTGTACTCTTTCCCACAACAGGAGAATCTAGGACTGTTTGACTCGCCAACATGACCGACGGTTAATTGGCAGCGACACAACAGAAATCCTCGTGGCTGTTGACCCCCTCGCTTCTGTTGTACCACCACCAAAAACACCACCATCATCATTACTACCACCATCATCATCACACCCTAGAAAATTTCGGATCGGGGTTAGCGAACAGAGTGCAAGTGCCGGTAAGCGACCCGGCCCTGCTATGTCAACCACCGTACCGAACAGATCTCCGCCAAGAGGAGGCGAGGGTATATCCAAGCGAAAACCAGGTAAGAACACATAGATTGTTTGTATTGTGAGACGATGTGGTGTGTGGTGTGTGTCATTCTAATTTCCAGGCTCTGCGGCATGTATCCATTGTCATCGCCGAAAAGTACGGTGTGATGCCCGGGTTGTTGGCCTGCCGTGCTCCAACTGTCGCTCCTCGGGGAAGACCGACTGCCGGATTCATGAGAAAAAGAAACGGCTGGCGGCACGCTCGATTCTCGATCCGGTCCCGATCCGCTGTCGGCCGGTGTCTGTCGTGACGGACCGGGTATTATCCTCCTCCATCAACACCAACAGCAGCAGCAGCAGCAGCAAGAACAACAAAAATACCAATGATGTCAAGCCGTCGTTTTCGCCGACCACGGACCGCCGGACACTCCCCGCCCCGTTGTTGGTAACCCCGGTCTATGATGGCACGAGTGCGCAGCAAGGGGCTACAGGTGTCACGGGTGTCACGTCTCCCTTGCAGCGTCGGGGATCTGATTTGAACCAAGACGGTGTTCGGCGGGATAGCGATGGGGCAGCGTATAGCATTACCAGCACCACCAGCAACAGCAATAACACTCATATCAACATCAAGGAGGGGGACTCCTCGGGCGAAAACGATGGGTCACCGGGTCTGGAGAACCGTCTGGCGAGGCTGATCGACGAGGAGGAGTCGGGGAGGCGGGAGATCCAGCGCGGGGTGCGCGCAATATATGTCGGTCACGATGTGTCCAACATGTCCTTTCTTATCCGTCAGCAGCGGGACAACGACGACGAGGTGTATCATTTTGCGGGCAATGAGATCCCCCGGCGGCAGCTGAGGACGGGCCACGATCAGCTCCTGATGGACGCGCTCACGCTGCCTGAACAGGCGCTGGCGGATGAGCTGGTCGAGGCTTACTTCACTCACGTGAACCCAGGATACCCCATCGTTGACGAGGACCTGTTCATGACGCAGTATCGCAACCGGGACCCTACGGATGCCCCGCCTGTCTTGCTGTTGCAGGCCATCCTGTTGGTTGGATCGCATGTGGCTCGTCCCAAGGCGGAGCGAGACGCCCTCAAGGATATCTTCTTTCGCCGCACGAAATGGCTGTTTGATAACCGGATCGAGCGCAACCGCGACATCCTCGTTCAGGTCGCGCTGCTGCTCACCTGGCATTCGGACGTGGCGGATGATGACGTCGCCGCCAATGCCCACTACTGGGTCGGCGTCGCGGCGCGCATCGCCACGGGGCTGGGGATGCATCGCAATCCGGTCTCAAGCAGGTTCGTCTCGCGCGACCGGCGCATGTGGAAGAGACTTTGGTATATACTGCTTCAGTTCGATGTAATGGTCTCACTGTCGTACGGCAGACCCCAAGCCATGTAGGTTCTTTTTTTCTTTGGAGAAACGATCTTCGACTTCTGACTGAAGTAGAAACCTGGAAGATTCGGACGTGGCCCCCCTGACCCCTTCCGACTTTCAAGGCTGCGGCCCGCACGTGCAAATCGACTTTGTCATCCAATTCACCGAGCTGTGCACCATGATCTCGTACATTGTTCGCGAACGGTTTGGGTTGCGCGTCAGCGCCGAACGGCGCAAGGCTATCCTCATGGAGGCCGACGAGGCCCTGGCGAACTGGTCTCTCAAGCTGCCTGACACGGTGCGGTTGCGCGCGTCGGACATGGACCCATGGTCTGCGATGCTGCATCTCACCTACAACAACTTTTTGATTCTCCTCCACCGACCGCACCCGCGAGCATCGGCCTATTCGGATGACTATGGTCCACACGACGCAGAAATCTGTAGCGCGGCCGCCGGGGTGATTGCCTCCATCTTCGAGGAGTTGCGGCTGAACAACCGCCTCAAGTTCCTGTGGTACTCGGGCGTGCACACGCTCTTCACCGCGATGATCCAGGTGCGTGTCGAGCTCCGGTTCTCGAACCCCGTGCTGGCGATCAACGCCCTCCGGCGCTTCGACTCGGCCTCGTATTCTCTGCGCGTACTGGCCGAGTATTGGACCCATGCGGGTACTATCCTGGGTCTCTTTGAAGACTCGAAACGTCTGCAAGAAGACCTGCGCATGGCGACGAGTGAACGGCCAAAGCAGTTCAACAGCAACGGCAGCAAAAACCCCACAAACGACGGCAAGACGAACCAAAAATCCGGCGACAACAAAAACCTCGAGTTTGGCGGATCTTCCTCTGCTTCTGCTTCTGAAACCGAGGGAGTCGCCCCCGTCAAACCACACCACCCGGCTCCGTCGTCATATGATGTCCGCGGCTCGGATTCCCCTCCGCTACACGCTCCGCCGCATTCGGAATTCGCCTGGCCCTCGGCTGCGAGCGAGAATCAGGAGCGGGGCGGAGTGTTCCTCGGGCTGTCTGCCGTAGAATCGATCGACCAGCCGCGCGAACAACTCGACTGGCGCCAGTTATTCTCCTTCACTGATTTGGACCAGCCCGTCCCAATGGCCGTCGAGGGCCTGCCAGAGCTGGAAGACGAATGGCGGCAGATCTACTGGCAGGAGAATAGCATGTCGGACCTCTTCCAGGATGGGGGGTGGATGCACGGATGACCATTTGTAGTTCTCGATAATCGAAGTATATCTTATCGATCAGGTACGGAGATATACATACAACATCTGTATATTGTTGGATGTTGCGGGCGACGTTCAATTCAATCATTCTGTCGAAAATAACTAACAGGCAGATTATTTATCATACTTGGGTAGTTGGCAGGTGGCATATAGCATGTCATGCCATATGATATCATGAACATGTGATATCTTGATATGATTGATTCATTTGGTCCAAGTCGTGCAGGGGTTCTTTCTATATATATATATATATATATATATATATATATTGTTTATATTGTATATATTTAAATTCTTTCGGTCTATAGGATAGGAAAAGGGTTGGGCTTCAAGTGCAGTTTATTTCTCGATAAAACACTTCCAATTTCTTGCCAACCGCTTCACTCCATCATGTAATTCCCACCCCCGTAGTTGACAGACCGTCCGAGTGATATCCTCAAGTAAGATATCCATCTCTTCTCCGGCAGTATGCAGATCGCTCTCTATCAGCAATCTATCCTCTGGGATGGCGCGGATCACGTCAACCACCCTTTTAGAAGACGGGGTTGTAAAGTTGATCGCCTGGGAGAAGGAGAAATATATATCTGACGGATTGGCCGGGTTTAGGAATTGCCGTATCGGTTCAACAGGGCCGGAATACGAGTGCATGCATATCCGTGGGGGAAAGGGAAGTTGCTTCTCTTCTTCTTCTTCTGCTTCTTCTTCTTTTTGGTCTCGTTCTTTTCGCTCCCTCCTTGTAGGAACGTATCGTTCATACCCCCTCCATAACTCCTTGAGTAAATCCAGGACAGCTCCATGCGCTTGCACGCTATGGACGGAGACAGGTCTACCCAGTTCACCGGCTAGTCGGAGCTGAGCCTTTAGCACTGCTTTCTGGTGACTCATCTGGACTCGATACTGCGAGAGGTGTCGGCCCTCGCGAGACCCAGGCGTCAGGGTGTCCTTTCTCACTTCGATATCATCTTGCGACCAGGGGATAGGTAGACGGAAGGCCTTGTCGAGTCCGATCTCGCCGACTAGAGAGGTCGGAAAGCGTAGAACGCGGAGCCGGGTTTCAGAGATAAACTGAGACAGCGGTTTTGGATCCGGTAGAGAAGCAATGAATGCTGGATCTAGGGGTGGTGGAGTCAAGACGTGCTGATAGTGTGTTGTCTTCTGCTGCTCTGTGTTGTGTGATGATGCAGACTCATTATTGATGTCGTCTAGAAGTTGATGAGAAAACCACGGATGCCATCCAAAGCAGGGAACGACACGTTTTGAACCTTTCTGCAGCGATAATGCAGTCTGGTATACAAGGTCCTGGTCCTCGCTGCGCGTGGCCATGATCGTCAGCGTGGTGGCTTTCATGTGTGGGATGGCGGGGATTGATGTCATCGTGTCGGTGGGATGGCAGTGCGCGTCATGGACTCCAAGGTCCCAGGGAAAGACAGAGTCTTCATTGAGTGTATCTTGAGACATGCTGGAGTACTTTTCAACGTGTATGTAGGTATATTGTAGAAGCGTGGTGGGGTAATGTCTAGAGGAAGAGGAGGTTGAAGAGGAGTTTGGAAGAGCAGCGATAGTCTACCAGGAAAAGATATCTGTTTTCGACTCAAGCCATGTAATTCGACAGTAAATATATATGTAATCAAATAATTATACTGGAGAATAGATAGTCATATTGAGGCTCTAACGTATTGAGTTTATTCTATCATTGAGATTTTTCAAAATTGTGCATTCCCGCATCTGCCCAAAATTGTACCTTCATAAATCGAAGTGAAAACATCTGTCAAGCATATGCTACTCAGAATGGTTGATTATATCTTTTCCTTTGTTCGAGAGCTAATTCAATGGTTTTCATAAACTTCGTTACTTTCATCCCATCTGGCGTATAAAACCCGACTGGTTGTTTTCTGGAGGAATTGACATCCTGCTCCAGAGTTGCTTCATAGAGGATATCGCAGGTTATAGTTTCGAGGCCATAGTTGGTGTATCATCTCCAGTCTGAAGACCATACGGTTGTTGTCAGCCGAAAAAGAGAACGCATTATTGATCGAGAACATGGTGCCCTAGACTTTCTCAAGGCTTGTGCCTGCGAAACCCATTCTGTTTCAGACTTCATCATATCAGGCGTAAGATCTAGAGAGTCAGTGTCACCCTGGTGGGCGTTACGTACCCCGTTCGAACCTCGGATGATCGTGTTCCAGGTGAATACTGCCCTCCCCAATGGAGGAGTGGTGCTTAATAGTTCCCCATGTGAAGAGGATATTGGACGCTGGTATATATCGGCTTGGTTGCTCAATGTTCTGACCAATATCCCTTGTACTGACTTCCCATACTCCATGGCTAGCAACCAAAGTTGTAGACTTGTCTTCTGGAGAGAAAGGAAGTGACCATGATATCCACTGAATAACATCAATTTTCTAGTTCGAGTCGCTCCCAGGTCTCGCTTCGCGCATATTGATTCTGATTCCGGCGATGATTCAAAGTAATCGGGACGATATTCTGCGAAGGCGTTCTGAACTGGACAAATAAATCCCTTGGGCAGAGGACGCTGTTCTAGGGAGACTGTCAGTTGGAAACCCTCTTAGTACAGGTGGATAGTAAGCTATACCTTTGGATAGAAATCAATTCGCTGTTCTATAGTTGGAATCCCAGATCTCCCTGATCCATGAGAGCTTGGAGTCAATTCATTTCATGATTGAAGTCTACAAAGAACTTGTTGATCACGAGGGGGGAATAGTCGTGCCCTAGTTATAAGCCCTAACTTCTATATTGGGCTATCACATGATGCCAACTGCAGTATGAATCCATAAGATGTGGCATAAAAAGTGTCTGTCACCGGTTGACTATACCGAGGCCATGTTCCTGTAAGACTCTGGTTCACTGGCGGTGTTTAATTGCCTCATCTTAAGTAGGTAACTCACTATGACGAATATAATATTTAATAAAAAATATCACATGAAATCTTTTCAATATATTCCAAGTAAATGCAGACTCTCCCAATGCTGTAAGCAAGATCACATGTCCTTCTCCGCATCTTATTAAATCATTGCCCGCCTCAGACATCATCAACCACACCTCACAATGTCGCCGGCTTGTTTTGGGCCACCTATGCCCTGATGACAACTTGAGAGAATGGATTGAGTCTCGGTACTTGCCCAACAGCAATTTAGATCAGGTTTCTGGGTTCTGGCGATGTTGCCGAGTGTCAGCTTGTCTGCTTTCTTTGTCGTGCCGTTCCTCACTCTCATCTCGATTCCGTTGATCCTGTCGGCATATGTCACCGTCTGCTTCTCCTTTCTGGCATTATTTCTGAGAGTCTCCATTGTTTACCTCGAACTGTGCTTTGCTCTCGCCACCAACTACTTCGTCATCGCAACCTCGCCGACTTCGTCGTTCCTGACTTTTACTGCATCGGAACCCGCTTCGCCCACCTCCACAACGTCCAGGAGTCGACCGGCGGCAGATCATCTATCAGCCCTTCCACGATCACCATCATCGCCGACTCGTGGTAGAAGCCTTCCAGCTCTGAAACGAAGCTATAGTGCCGTGGCAACAGATGGCTCCCAGGGTGCTACGGGTCGGTCTCATCGAAAGAATCTAGGCCGAAATGGGATGCGGTTCGCCTCGTCGACGACGCTCCACGGTCTCGTCAGCGGAGATGAGAGACGCGACTTTGAAGGTCTGGGAGGGTGGAGAATCCCAGCTACATCGACGCATCGCGGCTTGACTCCCTCGAGCTCTGTCTCGTCGTTGTCGGCTGGGGGGGACGATGAAGATGAAACAGCATGGCTATCTATCAACAACCGTCTGGAACTACCTCTTCGCAGACAATCACTGGGCACATCAGCTCCAGTTCTAGGTAGACCATCATCTTCACCACCGCCACCCGTGACAGCAGCATCACCTCACCGACATCATCGACGCTCCGTCACTACGTCTATGATCAATAATGCTAGGCCGCAAGCCGACGGAGCAGGTCTCTCCTTTGACCGTCTACGACCAGAACGGACGAGCCTCCATGCTTCTTCTGACATGTACTCTCCAAACATGGTTTTCACAAACTCACCCTTTCAAACGGTTGAACGGCAGATGCCCCATTTCCAACCCGGCGGAGGAGAAAGCTACTTCGCCCTCCCTCGACCCAACGCCGATATAAGCGGCACCACCACGCCGCAAACAACCTACCAGATCGAGGACGGACGTAACTCAAGCCCAAGCAGTAATATTGGGAGACCGCTAGTGTATTACCCGCCCAGTCCACGGAATCGTAGGAGTCTCTCGCGCTCGCATTCAGGAACGGCAGACCGTTGGTAGTGTCGTGAGAATAAGCTTAACTATCAATCGACTATTTGGGATAGTACTGGATATATCATGCTATTTTCTATAAATAATCTTTATAAGAATACTGATACACAACTCTAGTCAAATATTAGTTTTGTACACGGCGAGCCTGGTCTTACCGCTAAGATAATTGTAAGGTTTAATCAACACGGAGATGAAAACGCCCCGAGAAACAAAAAGAAAAGGGTTCTAGATACCGGCATTAAAGGAGAAAATCATTTGGTTTGCATCATGGCTGGGAGGGAGGGGGAAGGGGGTGCTCTCTCCCTGCCCTGCGGCCCACGTCTTCCATTTCCTCAAGCATCACTTGGTTGAACTCCTCCCATCCGTCCAGGTAGACGTGGTGTCCGGCATTCTTGATCACGATCACCTTGCTGGACCCATTGTCCGCCTCGCGCTCTTCGAGAGTCGCGTTCTGCAATACCCGCTGCTTCTCCTCCTCAAGCTTGGCTTGCGAGGCGTACCCGCCATTGACATCCATCCAGTCATGGTCGCCGTACATGAACACGATGGGAATGCCGTTTTCGCGTCTGGCGGGTGTTTCAGGTGATGACAACGCCGTAGCTGGAGCTGGAGCTGCAGTCGTAGTCTGTGAAGGCTTGCACCACGAGCTAGATTTGGATGTGGATGTGGCAGCCGCAGCGGCGGCGGCGTTGGCCTCCTGGATGTACTGCCTGCCGACACCTTGGATGCGGCGGATAAGAGGGCTGCGTGCGAACGCGCCGGGGGCGAGGATGTACGCTAGGGCGTACTCGCCACTTCCACGCATACGGAAGATCGAGTACGAGTAGTCGTGTAGTGCCTTGGCTTCATCAGCTGGTAGATGAGAAAAGCGTCGCGAGGTCCAGCCGGACACCAGGCGCGGCCCCAGAGGTCCTGACCAGCGGACGATGCTGAAGGGGGAGATATTGGCGTCCCATAGATAGGCGAACCATTTGGGGATCGAACGGCGGGGCGGACGATCTGATTCGTCTGCGGTATTGTGGACTGTGCGATTTTGATCATAGTTGTTGTTGTTGTTGTTGTTGTTGTTGTTGGAAAGTCGGTTTGTGGACTCGGCGATCTGCTGCTGGTCCTGCGTGAACTCATTGGCCAGCGTCGAGTCGGACGGCTCGGGCATGTCGGCTGCGACAGCGTACGGGTCTTCGGGGATCCCCACGGGCGAGGCCAGAATCAACTTGTTCAAATGGCCAGGGTACTTCAACGCGTAGGCGACAGCCATGTAGCCGCCCATGCTGTGGCCGAGCAAGGTGAAGCGGTCAATTTTGCGCTTCACTCGCCACTCCTCCAGTGCATCCACGAACCACGCCTCTGCCTCTCGGATGGCTTCCTCCTTGTCCTTCGCCTTGATCTTGAACGAGGGTCGCGTGCTGCGCCCCATTCCCAGCATATCCAGCGCGTAGAGCTGCCATCCTTTCAACCGACTGAGCGCCTCGAAGTTCTTGTAGAAGAATCCCAGGCCCGCTCCATATCCGTGGAGCATTACGAGATGCTGGTTGGCGTCTTCGCCCACCCGTTCCACCGAGAATTCGTTGAGGGCGCGGTTTTTGCCACTCAGCTCGACCATGCTGGAGCGCCAGCGGCGAGGGCCATAGGGATCATTCAACGAGTTCGTCGCAACCTCGCCTTGCTGGCTATAGTCTTCCGCTGTCAAACTATCGATGGGGCTGTTGGGAGAGTCCGCCGTGCTTCCTGTACGCATATGGGTGGGTGGTTTGTGTGAAAGGTAAGGCAGGTGAGCAAGCACTTTGTGCTCTGCCACAGCAGCTGGCAGACCAGCCCACTAAGCCGTCAGTATCATCTATTAACCCAAACGAAGTGAACTCGTAATCAACTGGACAACACCCACCCATTGACTGAAGCCCTCGCGATACCCCAAGGGAAACATCGTTCCGCCCAACGGCGGGTTGCCCGTGGGTGCTGTGGGCTTCTGCCGCGCCGAGGCGTCATGCAGAGCAGCCCCAGACGCATTCAGGGACTCCGACGCCATGCTCGACGAATATCGCAGTGGTCGTGATGACAGAACCGGCCAGGAAGTCGCTTTTAATGAGGTCCAAGGCGGTCGAGAAACCTGGACGGGCAGCGAGCAGAGTCGAGAGGGGTACACTTTGTCGCAACAGACGGTGGAGTGACAGACATGCTCTGCCACTCACCAGGCACACTAAGACCAATATATATAATGATATGCCTAGTCTTGGTGGAAATAAGAAAAGTCTCTTCTCTCCGGAACCACCGTTTAACGTATAAGTGGCGGAGACAAGGACAGCAAGACCGTTAACGCCGACGCAGGCTGCAGAATTGTTGGCAGAGGCAGGTTTCACTTCCTCCTGTAGACACGTAGGTGAGTCCTAGACACTCATTGACACAAGGAATAAAAGGCAGTAGACCAGAATGTTCCAAACCACATAGAAATGGCGAGTGAGACGGACTGGAGAGTGATGACGGTGGGCTTTTTGGGCGGCGGATGGGGCGCTTCCGCTGAGCTTCGACTGGCCTCAACAACTTTCCTTCTCGGCAACATTCGCCTGGCTCTGAGCAGTTTGGCAATGCAATGACCGTCTGGTCTCAGAGGCCGCTGCTGTCTCTTCTTTGTTGAGCTATTGTGCTGTTACAAAGTCTACTCTGGTACTGCTCTGGAGACTGTTGCTTGGGGAGCTGCCCCCCTCATCCCTCCCTCCTCGCCCAACCATGGCGTCTCCCAATCTTGACCAGCTGGTGAAAGGCACTCCGGTGTCAGGTCCCCGTTCTGAGTCGGTACCTGCAGCATCAGAGCCATCGGCTGTGAGCTCACGGCCGGAACAGAACGCTGTTCCCCCCGACACCTCGTCGTCGTCCTCCCACCGACGTCCGTCAACCCCGGATCCGCTGTCGACGCTCCCTTCCTCCCCCCCACAGATCTATTTGAACCTGTTGATTCTTGAGACCTCGCTCCGGGCCCAGTATTTGGCTCTGCGAGAGCGACGACGGCAGAATACGTTCTTTTTGTTGCTGCTGGCAGCTTGGATCGCGTACTTCGCGTACGCTCTCTTCCTGCGCCCGCGCGAAGATGGCAGCGGCGTCGGTGGCTCGATCTACTGGATGGTGGAGATGGGGGAGAAGGTTGCGCTGCTCGGCGGCGTGGTGACGGCGCTGCTCGTATGGGGGACTGGACAGTGGGAGCGTGGCGTGCGCTGGCCGCGGCGCTGGCTCGTGGTGGCCAACCGGGGCCTGCGCAACATGAACACAAAAATCGTCGTGATCCGCGGGCCATGGTGGCAGGAGCTGCTGTCATATCTATCCTTCCTTTTCCCTTTCTCGCTGCCCTTCTTCCCGTCGCCGGGGGGGAATTTTCACTATGTCGAGCGCCATCTGTCCGACCGACGCAGCGGCACCCGGTCGCACCACCAGGGGTATGACAATGTGGATAGTGAAGCGGGCCTCGTTGAGGAAGATCTGAGTCCCGGGGGCGACTATATCCAACTTCTCTTGCTTCCCAAGTCTTTCTCCCCCGAGTTCCGCGAGAACTGGGACGACTACCGCACCAACTTTTGGGACAAGGAGAACGAGCGTCGCGCCCAGCTGCGCCATAAGCTGCGCGAGCGCGAGCGCCAGTTTGCCAGGCAGCATGGCGGTTGGTTCTGGTGGCTGGGTCTGGGATGGCGCGCATCGCAGCGACGCCGGTTAATTGCGGCCAACCTGCACCAGGGCGATAAGGCTCACCACCGACACGCCCACGCCCACGCCCACACCCATCAGCATCCGCACCCACACCAGCCGTCCCTCTCGTCCAAGCTCAGCCAGGAACTCAAGCCCACCCGTCGCATGACCCGATCGGACTCTCACTCGCGCACATCGTCTCGCAGCACGACACCCGCGGACCCGGATGAGCGGCCCCCCTCCCGATCCTCGGCCACCGGCCGCCCCCGCCGCGGAAGCACGCTGCTGTCGTCCACCGCGTCGAGCATCGAGCCCAGCCAGCGCAGGAAGAAGAGCAAGTCTTCTTCCTCGCCCGTTGGAGCCTCCGTTCGGGGCCTGTCTCCGCTGACCCAAGCGCAGGCCCGAGAAAGCGTTCGTACTCCATCCATTTCCTCCGAAGACTCCATCTCCATCGGCTCCAGCAGAGACCGAGATCTCGACGAAGTCAGGGCCGTGGAACCCGCTGGGTCATGAGACGATTATAATATAACTTTTACTACTTTGGTATCTGGTTTTTTTTCTCTTTTTTTTCTTTTTCTTTATACCCAGGACATCATCTCATTCGGCATGGCAACTGTTCTCTACTTAATTTTCCCTCTCGGACTACTGTGTAGATGGTCTTCTGTTTCAAATTGAGTATACAAAAGAGAAATAGATATCTAGATGGAAAATCAGACGGTAGAACTACTCCTACTCCATAATCATTCAACTTCATTAAAACCGAGTATATGTTATGTACCTCCCAACGCCGAACCTGACTGCCTAGTACGTGCGTGACCAACGATGTCCGATGAACACTATGCTTTAAATGCGGTAAACGGTTTCTTCTTCCTCGAGATACCTAGAATAATCAGTATGAAGTTCAACAACAAGAAGAAAGAAGGAAGAAAAAAGACTAACATTAACTGGTTGCTTTCGTTCATGGCTTGCAGAGCCTGAACAGCCTCGCCGCGCGGGAAGACTTGCGCAGCTCCCAGGCCAGGCGCCGTACTGATCGCTGCGTTGACAGAAGCGATAAGGTCCTCGACGGGAGCTGTGTCCCCGTTTGCGAAGAGCACGCTACCCATCAGCGGGCCGAGGGTGGAGCGGAACAGCGCCAACCGGGCGGGTTGGATGGGTTGCGTAGAAGCTGCGGCACTCGAGTCGATCTGTGATTGCGAGTCGTTGGTCTGCGAGTGAATGAGCTGTGAAGCTGGCTGGGACGAGGCTACGGACATCCGCGACTGCGACTGTGACTGCGTGTCGGTCTGTGTGCGGGTTCGCTGGCTTGAGCGGAGGCGCTGGCCACGCGGGCTAGAGTTGTAGAGCCCGTCACCATCTTCCGAGAGATCTTCATCCCCGTTTTCGTTGACGGTGCTCGCTTGAGGTACAGAAGACCGTGCTCGGAGCGTACCACTGCGGGTGCTCGTGCGAGGTGTTTCCGTGGAGTCGTTCCGGGTGGTCTGTTGCTCGTCATCGTCCGAGTCGGCATCACTATCCTCGGCCGAGTCTGAGTCGTCATCAAAAGAGGCGAGCTTCCTCCGTTTGCGGCGCTCGTCTTCAAGGACCTCCTTGAACATGGCGAATCGCAGGATAGACTCGGCAACCTTGGCATCACGCTCCTCAACACGGCTCGACAGACGGGCCTTCGCATGGGCTGTGGACAGACGGATAAGAGTCTCCAGCGTACGGGCGGTGATTGGGGACGTCCGGCGCTGGTTGCCGGACAGTTCATCATTTCGCAGTGCTGAGTACGTCGCAACAATGTGATCGGCAGCACCCTTGGTCAAGACGGGCTTGACTCGGGACTTGGCATACTGGATGTATTTCTTGATAAAGGGGATGCTCAGGATCTCGATATTGCGTCCTTTGCCCCGGCCGGTATTTATCATACCCGCATGAAGCATAACGTTGAACTTCTCATAAACATCGGTTGGTCCATCCGCCTCATGGTTGTCCTCGAGCCCGACACCCAGCATTTGGTTGAGTTGTTCACGCACCGGCGCGCCTTCTTCCAATCCCGGCTGACGGTACCGGTGCATACGAAGGACGTGTTCTGAGACCAATCGATCCCTCGTATCTTCAATGTCATCTGTGACAACAAAGAGTAAATCGAAACGCGACAGGAGAGAGTCTGGCAGAGCAATGTTCTTGTGCGGATCCTTGTGCGGGTCATACTGGCCGTAAATAGGGTTGGCTGCTGCAAGCACACTGCATCTGGCATTCAAACTCGTATGGATGCCAGCCTTGGCAATCGTCACGGTCTGCTGTTCCATAACTTCGTGAATAGCGACTCGATCAACATCGCTCATTTTATCGAACTCGTCGATACAGACCACACCACGGTCTCCAAGAACCATGGCACCGGCCTCTAGCCTGCGTTCACCGGTCTCTTTGTCCGATGTGACTGCGGCAGTCAAACCAACACCGGACGAACCTCTACCAGTAGTGGCAATGGCCAGGGGGGCGGTATTCAGCACAAATCGAAGAAGCTGAGACTTCGCTGTCGATGGGTCACCAACCATCAGGATATTGATATCACCACGCAAGTGAGTGCCATTATCCAGGTTTTTCTCAATGCCGCCCAGCAGCATGAGCAAGATAGCCTTCTTGATGTGGTCATGACCATAGATACTGGGAGCAAGAGACTGGGACAGAAGTTCAAAGACGCCTTTCTTTTTGGAAACTTTATTGATGTTTCGCACATCGGTGTCAGTGATGGTGGCCTGTGCAATCCCTCCTCCAGATTTGGACGACAGCTGGATGATGTTGTTCGCCATAACTATCGTGCGGAAAGTGGATGATCCAGCACTAGCATTTCGGTTTCCTAGAGTGCGATAGATACCCACTAGCTGTATTCTGTCTCCAGGCTTCACACGATCCACCAGATCATCATCCAGGATCACGTCGACGCTTCTGGGCAGCTGACCAGCCGGCGCTCTCTCGGGCATTTCTTGGATGGAAATCGTCTGGTGGTCCATATAAGTCGAGTAGCCGTACTCAGTGATGATCTGCAAAGATTCCCTCGTCAGTCCGTTGTCCTTCTGCGTCGAAAGAAAGTAGCGATAGGTACCGGATTCTTCTCATCATCCTCCTGGGGATAAACGTTCAAGCTCGTGGCGCCACTAGCCGTCATGGTCTGATCCCTATATCTTCTCGCAAGAAATCTATCCTTCTTTTCGCTATAGTGAACACTTTGGATAATCTTGGGACGGACGAGTGAGCATTTAGTGACAATGCCTTCCAGCGAAATCATGCGATTCAAATGCGAGGATCCTAATGTTCGAGGATTGCACGAAAACTCTCCAAATGCACCAATATATGCGCAATAGTAGCTCTACACGATATCAGTTTTCTTGTTAATGCAATTCCTTCGGTACCTGGGATCAACGCACCACATCGTCGGCTGTCTCTTTGGATGGTCGATTCGGCAACGTCTTGACTACTTCTTTCAAAGCTCTGTCGAAAGCTTGAGAATAGTCAAAGGGAGAGGTAAGAAGTCTAAATCCGTTAACCAATTGCCCAAAAGTTCTACCCGGAGTATCAAAACTTGCCCGTCTGCAAGCTCGCGGTTATGCGCCCTGATCTCATCAATGCTAACCTAGATCGAGAATATCAACACCCGTCCGACAAGTTGTGAACCGAGCCGAACACCAGGAGTTATTCATACTATGAGTCGTCGCAATCCCCGATTGAGCATCAAAACAATATCTGCGCGGTAGCTGTTTTCCAGTCAGACGACATGAAGGGGCTCTTGACAGAGGCTCAATTCGCAAACCTTCTTGCGCGTGTATCGCCTATGCAAAACCGTCAGCTCTACCATCCTCAGAATTGAAACTACTATTAAACTCGCAACATACTGGGATCAAGGAATTCGGCGGCGGCTCGCACCCGATCCTGGGCAGCTTCATCGCGAAGTTGGACGCCGTCCATGGCGCAAGGCAGAAAAATATGATTTCAAAATACAAAAAGACAATTATTGGTTTTGCAGTCGTTATCGATCCAAATATTAGATCTTGTTGTGTTGTTTTCGCGTGGTTGTTATGGGGATCTTTTTGCCTGCCCTGCGTCGAGGGGTTAAATTGACTGGAGGATCTTTCCTTCAAAGGCACGCGGCATCCCAATTTGGTAGAATTGGCACGCGTCCTCAAAAGACGCGTTGTTCTCGCGTTGTATTGATGACTAATGGCACGTGATCTTCTCTCCCATGATTATGTAATTATATATTAGTTACCTAGTTATGATGGCCGTCAACATTATATCATGAACCATCCATGCTATGCGAATGATGATGCTGTTATTTTATGGATTCGATTCAAACGAATTGACCATGTTCATAATTTAGAAGATCCAAGCCTAAATATATGCGGTTGAATCAAGATACAGAGGTTCTGGGTATCGTCTGATCCAAGACACCTTTCCCTCGCTCGCATCCATCACTACCGCCAAATGGGTCATTTCGTTTGTTGTGGGATAAGTCGTCGTCCAATTGACGATTTCTTCTAGCGTGGCAGTCACTTCGATATCGGTATGCAAGTCGGAGGCAAATGGCGTCGTTGACGGAGTCGCAGTAGGAGACAAATCTCCAGCCTGTTTTCGAGACCCACGCGTGCGTCTGAGAGGATCTCGACGGGCTGTTGAGGCTGCCAGTTGTTTTTGCCTGGCTTGCTTGACTTTCCTATCCCAGTTGGCTTGCATGCATTTCTTCCTCATTTTGCTGTCTTCTATCAAGTCGGTCATCGAGACAACCGCTCCCATCCCCGAAGCTGCGCCATGATCCGGACCATCCTCTTCTTCCAGGGGAGAAGACGCAGCAGGGGTGATGTGATCGTTATTGGTTGCGACGATAAAGGACGAGGCGTATGCGACGTTCGCTGTACGGTGGTCCTTTTCAAGCACCACTCCCGCGTCACCATCGCAGAGAATCAAGTACGCAGCCGTGGACGGGGTACGTGATAGCGCGGGCCAGATCTTGCTTAGCGGGAGCAGGTGTGAGAAGCTCTTGTGCGACGGGGGATGAAGAGGAATGATATACTGTCGCAAGATGGATGAGATAGACTGGCGCAAGCCCAGAAGGACGATAAGATGGCTGACATAGTATCTGCAGTTGCGAAACCTACTGCTCGCGTCATGATTCGGCCGGAAATTCAACGATAGGCTGAGCCCTTTCCGCACGCCCGTCAAGACACCCACAAATCCCACATAGGTGATATTCGTCGCCAGGACGGTCGTGTAGTCCGGCCCCCGGACGAATTCGAAACGTACCAGTACCTTGCGTAGGGCGTCCATGCCCCAGTCCAGCGTCCGGAAATGGAGCAGACGAGTCTCGGTGCTGCTGTTTCTTTTGCTTCTCGCTCGAGCCACGCCGCTCGTGCACCCCATCATGAGATCGAGCAGGACGTTCAGCGCTACCAGCAGGTACATCTCAATCCCCGTCTCACGGCTGATGCCCCGAATTTCCTCGGTCTCCTCGCGGCTATACAGACGTCTGAGAAACAGACGCGCCGCGCGCTTGATCCATCTCACAACGCCATCGTATCCATCAGGCAGGATGTCTTGAACGAGCTCATCAAAAAGCCCCGTCAGGGACAGTAGCTGGCTGCGATATTCACGGGCCACATGGACGTAGCGTTCCGCAGGAGGGAGAGCTAGGTCGATCCGGTACACAGGAGGCTCATCACCCAGTGACATGGCCAGTGCCATTGTTTATTACACTTTGTCGTCAAAAGTTAGATCGGCTGGTCTAAACCATAAGTCGATATGTAGAAACGACTCGCCTTCAAAATCCAACGGTTTGGCTCTGAAAGCCATCGAAGTGTTTTTATCCGATTCTTGTAGGCATCCGTTGGAGCCACACGAGTTAGTGGGTGTGCTCTCTATACGAGCAAATAGGCATCAATATCCTTGCCTAGCATTCCATTCGTTATTGGTTACCTAAAGGACCCCCAATCAGTTAATTTTCTTTTTTGAATTTAGTTATACATTACAAGTGGAGTGCCAGTATAGGTAATTCTTAATATCCAAGAAACAGAATATATACACGGCCATAAGAGAAAAGAAAAATCGTACATGCCAGTCCTTGAGGAGTCACTCAAGGACCATCATTTAATATACAGAATTATGGCCTATAGAAATCACAAAGGCTATATTTGACCGAAGTCAGTCGGTTTCCTGATCCTTTGCAGTCCCATCAGAGGGCGATTCAACCTCCGTGTCAGGTTCAGTGGCGGGCGACGAATCCTCCATTGGACTCGACTCTGTAGTGCACTCGTTCTTGTCGTCCGGGCGCTGGTCGAGATCGTGTGGCTCATCGTGTTTAGTTGAAGATCCTCGGGTTAACTGCAGAGTCGTCTCGGCTTCGAGATCAAATTCGTCCGGATAATCAATGATTTGGTCCGGGAGAGAAGGTGAATCATGCACAATAGTCTGCTCTGACTCTGAGAGGGTCGATTCTGACACAGAGAACGTGTTAAAGGTGTGCTCTTCGGCCAGAATTTCTTGTCCCTTCTCGATTTCATCTTCCTCGCGCTCCTCTTCCTTTGGTTGGAATGGGGCCCGGATTCGGCCGTTAACGCCCAGGATACCGCCGGTCCACACGAGAGGCTCATTTCTGTCAACATCTTTCTTCTTATCAACCTGTTCCTGCCGGCTACGGAGTAGCACGCCCTGGAATTTCTCGCGTAGATAGGGCATCTCCCCAATCGCCTCGATCGTCTGCGGGGCCACATTGTAGAGCATTGTGAGAGCGGTGGCGCCATCCTGAATACTTTTCTCGCGGACGTGGAGCAAGGCAGACGCAAGATAGACCATGGAAACGTAGGTGGGCTGCATGTAATCCGGCTGGATCTTGCTCCAGTATCGCCGACCAGCTTTGCCAAGTAAGCCAGGTTTGATCCCACGTTTCGGTTGCTCCAAGGCATGTAAGGTTGAGGGGGCGTTGTCTGGCCTCAGCCCGTACCCTCGGCGGAGATACTTCCACCCCGGAAAATTAGGCATGAACTTCTCCTCGAAGACTTTGAAGGCCTCGATCTGGTCCGAATATCGGTCTGAGGAGGCAAGCATCTGAACATAAGTCGACCAGTTGAATGTTGAGATTGCAAACCCAGCTTTCTGAACATCAGCGATGACGGAAGGGATTTTCTGTTGTTTGTTCCTGTACCCCAACGAACGCATATATAGGGAGAGACATCTTGAAAGGATAAAACGGCAGGAGGGAAGTATAGTCGCGAACTCGGTGGAGGATGCAGGCGCCGGAGAGCGCACGACTAGTGGATCTGTTTCCTTGCCGGAATGCTTTGGAAGAACAGGGCGAGGAGGCTCGGCGTCAGTTCTTGGATCGACAGGATTCGGTGAAAGCCATTGCTCTATGCCGGGGGAGGTGGACATCTTGATAGCGCGGGGAAAGCCCATCTTCCAACATTCTTCGACTTCCTTGTATTTCTCTGCTTTCAGATAGGAAAGCATAAGAGCAGAAAGCAGACGAAGGGGAGCCGAGTCTTCTGTGTAATCCGGGGAGACATCGATTTTCTGGCGCTCAATGAACTGATCAAACAATTCTTGAGCTCGCCATAAGGCACCTCTCGAGCCGTAGGCTGTAATCATGTACTCATAGTACATAGCGGGGAACGCTTCACGGAGGGACTGCCTTGCAGTTCCAGGAGACGGCTGTTTCTTCACCAATGACTTGGGGTTAAAATCAGTGATTGTCTCCATCAGAAATTTTTCTGCATTTTGCAAGCGAAGATCCACGCCGCTGTCTGTTTTGGCGCCAGCGTTGACTAGTTGTAGATCTCGTTGAAGCTGACTCTTAAGATACAGCAGCTTCGATCCTAAGCCAAGTTTCTGGAACCGATCTCTCATCTCTTCGAATATAATATGGACCATGTCTCGATTGCGAGCCCTGACATAGCCAAAGATGACGATAGCGTAGAGAAATTCCGAGGCCCATACCCTGCGGCTTCTATGAAGGGTTCTGAGGATCCGGCGGGCAGAGTCAGGCTGTCCCGAAAGCACGAGACAGAGCATGAGTGCACCATATGTCATCTCGTCGAATTGAAGTCCAACTTCTTCCATACGCTGCCGAATGCGAGAAACGGACTCCAAGTCCATTCTAAAGGCGTGATTCCATAGAAGGACGTTCCACATTCTCAGCTTCGAGCCTTTGATATCCAAGGGCAGACAAGTCTCAGCTAAGCCCTCAGCAAGGTCCAATCTCCGGTCATTACAATAGGTTTCCACGATGGTATCAATAATAGGCGCCGTGATGTGTACTTGGCGTTGTTTGGCAATGAGAAGAAGATGACGGATAGTGTTAAGATCACCTTTATGGGCAAAGATGCCCATCATTGTACCAAAGGTATGAGAATCGAGCTCCACGTCAGTTGACATCATCCGCTCAAATGTTTCCAAAGCTCCGCGGGGATCATCTGCGTTAGCGTAGGCTGCAAGCAGAATGTTCCAGCAAATTGTATTCTGCTCGAGGCCGAATTCTGTTGATACTCTTTCGAACTGGCGAGTGGTTTCCGGGACATTGCCTGATTTTGCGTGTACGTACAGGAGCGGGGTTATTAGTCTCTGGCTCAGGGGCTTTCCGTGATCTTTCAAGAATTTGTCGAAGATGGTTTGAACGTTGTCCACCTCTCCAGACCGGGAAAGAGCAATGAGGGCATTTTTATATACCTCTAGCGATGGCTTCGCATAGAAGTGAGCATACTCATATATGATATACTCAACGCCGGTGCTAATCCTGAAAAAGGCGAATGACTGTAAAAGCAGATTCAGCAGACTTTCTGGCGGTGGTTGGTTCTTCATCAGCCACCGGAAGTTGCGGTAAACGACGAGAGCCCGAACAAAAGTCGGCCGAGCCCTCGAAGAGCCGAGGGTCTTGATCAAGTCAAAGTAATGATCAGGAGTCAGGATTCCGATCTTGTTGTATCTCCGAAGGATCTGTAGTGTTGTATACGTGGATATACTCTCCATTGCTTGAAGAGACTGGAAGAGATCGCTGAGAGAGAGACTAGCCAATTGACCGAGAAGGCTATCGCCACCTCGATTTTCCAAGTACGCCGCTAGAGACGAGACCCGTTTGAGAATGGGGGGAGTGTCGATATGAAGCATCGCCGAGTTTAGGGAGGCAATGTCTGTATCAGACGGCCGTGTGGCCCATAGGTCTTCAAGATTATGCCAATCCATCTTCTTGAAAAAGTATGACAGAATATGATCGGAGCATTTATGCGCCAGGCCTTTGGCGATAGCCTCCTGGTAGATACGTTTGCTTTTGCTGGCATTGTCTACCAGAAGCTCCGACATGACGGCGTGTGAATAATCCTCGGCAGAACGATGCTCTACCGGAATCTCATCGAACAAGCGTCTCACGCGTAATCGATCAATAGGCCACTCCGAAGCACTCACATAGGCGAGCATCGCAGAAGTGCAATCAGCAGGATTGCCTGCTCTAACATAGCAGTCATACGCCCTGGTGTACTCTGTCTGCCGTGGAGCGTTGAGCAGGGCGATCAGCTCCTGCTTGGCAATCCCTCTCACATGGTCCCTCCCACTGGTTTCTACCCCAGGTGATCCGATTTGGTTTCTTGTATTATCTTCAGAGACCACGAGGGTCTCGGATGTATAAGTCCTTGCAACATTGCCGAGTAGCCGTTTCCCTCGGCGCGGCATCAATCGTTTCGGTGATCGAAGCAGGCATCGAGCAGCATACTCCTGCGTTTGTGGAGGGTATAGAAAGTCAAGTACCGGCACCCGGGTCTCATTGCTGGCCTCGATGGCGGCCGAGGGGACGCCCAACGCCGAGTGTGTCCGGGAATTTGACGCCTGCAGCAACAACCCAGCCCACTGCGATGCGTCGGAGCCTGCCAAGGTATACTGCCAAAATTGCGAGGGCAGTAACCTTCGACTTCGAATTGCGCCATTGGAGTCTTGAAAGAAACGCCGTCCTGCGCTCTCAAGGCATCCGGCAGCCCGTTCCAGCATCACCCCGGAAAGGCGTGGTATCAGACCCTAATTCTCACCGAGTCCCACCAACAACACGCACCATATCGTTCTCTGGTTCGAGCTGCCGCGAGGAAAATATCAGTATTGCGCGAGAAGAGCGGCTTTACCCTGGTTTTGCGAGGGGGGGGGGGGAGCTCATACGTACCGGGTAAAAAAAAAGCACTCGTGAATCCAACGAAGCTCACCAAAACCCGCTTGAACGACCGCTTATTGATAAATCCCACACGGCATGAAATAACGAAACAAGCAGTATCAACGATAAAAACAAAATAAAACCACCGGAAACGTGCGCCCGGGGACGGTGCGGCGATGGCAGAGAGGTGCTGGCAAGAGCAAGAGAGTCTCCGCCGCTGGCCTGACAAAAGACTCGAACACAACCCGGGGATTCGTTTGGCCGAGAACTGGCCACCCGCCAAACCCACCACAAAGGCCAGCAACGGTGGGATATTAATTCTTATCTTCCACGACAGCCACGCGCCATCACAAGCGATGGAGGTTACCGATTTTATCTTCTCTCGGCGAGAGGAGGTCTTGCTCACCGGAGACTACAATGCATACCGCGCCCAGAGCTCGCGTCGGCTGCACAAACTGCGGCGGAAGCTTGGCCAGACGACCCCGAAAGGCCGCAAGTACGTTGCGAAGCGGGCTGTGACGGCGGAAGATGTGGGAGAGAATGCAGCGTATGTGTTTACTGGGTGATTTTTGGTGGATGTGTTGTTGTGGATGCTGAGACCGGAGACTGCAGTTACGTTCACCTCCTGCTCGTCAGCGCCGAACGGGCGTGGGCGCAAGCCATGCATATGAAGGCGACGCATTCGGCCGTCCCCTCGGCGAAAGGAATCACCGGCGCTGCGCGGCGACACATTGTCTCTCGACTCAACAAGGCGGCGGGTTACGCCAGGGAGCTGGTGCAGTTGCTGCAAGACCAGACGACCAGCGGTGCGAGCGAGACGGACGTGCTCGAAGCACGGGCGTACCTCGCCTCGCTGTTCGGGGCGCTGTACTTGGAAAAGCAGCGGTGGGAGGACTGTCTGCGCAGCTACTCGGTTGCGCGAGTGATATATACGGCGCTCGGCCAGAATGTGAAGAAGGATGCCTTCCGGGACCTGCTGTCGGGCACCGTGGACCCCAGCCTGCGGTACGCAGCCTATCAGATGAAGCTGCCGCGCTCGAAACCGCTGCCCTCGCTGGCAATCGATTACTTTCCGGCCGACTCCGAGATCCGGTCTGAAGTCGAGAAGATCGATCCGAGCTGTCTGACGATGGAGGCGGTTGGGGCTCGCAAGACCGCCGATGGTGCAACGCAGCAACTTCCCGAGACCATCACCTGGCGATCGCGCACCGTTGCGCTGGAAGATGCATCGATTTCGCAAGCGCTTGCGGCTGCATCTACAGCCGAGTCTCGTCTGGCTTCGTGGCTGGCAGAGGTCGCAGGACAGTCCGCCTCGGCCACGGACAAGGCGGCGGCTTATGACCAGGCGATCATTGCCAGCCAGGATGCGGTTGATGCGACCAAGACTGCCATTGACGAGCTTACCAGTGAAGGCGTGGATCCGGGTGACCGGAGAATCCAAGCTCTCCAGATCACTCGTACAGCAGTCAACTACGCCCTCATCGGGTGGCGCGTGGGCCGAAACCGGGTGCTCTGTGGCGAGGAGGATGGTGTTCTTTTCGATGCCGAGGGGAAGATGGGCACCAAGCCTGCCACGAAACGCATCGAAGGCAATGGCAAGAAGTTGACCAAGCTGCGTGAGCAGGTTGTGCTCTACGACTCGACCCTGCAAAGCCTGGATTTTATTCTCGAACTGCCCGGTGTTGCCGCCGATTCTGAGTTTGTCGCCGAGCTGGACGCCAAACGCAACTACTTCCGGGCTCTTAGGTAAGATTGGACTATTCTAGAATCGAATTCGAACCGAGTTTCATTTGAGCTGACAATATGATCTTCCCCTCAACAGGTGTCTAGCGATCGGCCGTTCCCACGGTCTCCTCGCAAAATCCAAACAGGCCTTGGCTCTGCACTCCAAGGCTTTGGAGCTGGTGTCTCTCGCCTCTACTTCAAGCCAAACCGACGCCGACACACAAGGACCCCCGCGACTGGACATCTCCCGCCGTCAGATCCAGGCCCTGGAGACGGCTCTCCGGAGCTTGGTCGCGCACTACCGGGGTCTCGTCACGATCGAGAATCTATCCGCCGCCGAGACTGCGGACTCGGGCACACAACCGCTGATCGAGCGCTTGAGCGAGTACGCGGGTGACGGTGTAGACCTCGCCCACCTCGTCCCTTATCCGCCGCAGATGCAGCCGATCCCAGTCAAGCCTCTCTTCCTGGACGTGGCATGGAACTACATCGACTATCCCCGCGAGCAACATGCCGCCCCGCAGCAGCAGCAGCAGCAGCAGCAGGCCGAGCCAGAAGCAGAAGAGAAGAAGGGTGGCCGACGTGGATGGTTTGGATTCGGTCGGTGAACCTTGACCGCACTCTGTCGGTATGGAGCCCATGGACACCATACGATCACGGTGTCTATTCAAGTACCTAGATAATACTACATAAACTTGCTGGCGCCACACCCATGGCCTGATGAAACATCGATAGCCCTCACGTCGTCCACAAATGACATGCCCTGCAATTGGATTATGCCCTGGATTCAGCACCACCAACGGTGTAGCATTAATTACCGATAATTTCCGCCCTGTAATTTTCCTCACTCGCACTTCCAGGCACCGCCAGCACGGGCCACGGTGGGCTCGGAAGCCGCAGTGCCGGTTGAGCTGATCGGCTGCCCTGTGGCGCTGATTGGCGGGAGAACCCCTTTTCCCTGCGTAATTGTCGTACTCGCAGCCTGTACCTACTGGTACTTACTGGTACCCGGGAGGTACCACTAGTATTCCCCGGCGCGTAATTTTCGTATCTAATGCGTAATACGCGATTCCGATTCTGCTTCTGCTTCTGCTCGCTGCTTTCCCTTTTCTCTGCTACGGACGGCTTCTTTCTCCTCTCTGCTTCCCTCCCCTCCAGGCTCCCTGTCGTTCTCTCTCTCTCGCCTTCCTCCCTGCCAGAACTGCTCGTCATGGCCACCGTCAATGGGAGCATGGCCTCCCCCTCCGCCGATGCCACGGTCACTCCCCAGCTCTTCGCGCCCACTGGCGCTCTTGCGTCGGTCCTCGAGGGGTTCACTGTGTGGAAGGCGTTGTTGACGCTGTTCGTCGCAGCAGTCGTGTACGACCAGCGTAAGTGTGGAAGACTGGCAGAGTCCCTGCGATAAAAAATCAGTTCACGCTGACAATGGCGTTTTTTTTTTCGCGTTTCAGTCAAGTACATCTGGCTCAAGGGCTCCATTGTTGGTCCGTCGATGAAGATCCCCTTTATGGGCCCGTTCCTGGAATCGGTTAACCCCAGGTTCGACAAGTACAAGGCCAAATGGGACAGCGGGGATCTGAGCTGTGTTTCGGTTTTCCACAAGTAAGAAGCAGCCTCTTTTTTTTTTTTTGTGTATATTTCTCTTTTTGTTTACGTTGTGTACTGATGCTTGTGTTTTTCAGGTTTGTCGTGATTGCGGCCAGCCGTGATATGTCCCGCAAGATTTTCAACTCTCCGACGTTTGTCAAGCCCTGCGTGGTGGATGCTGCGCACAAGCTGCTCGGAAAGACCAATTGGGTGTTCTTGGATGGCAAGGAGCACGTCGACTTCCGCAAGGGTCTCAACGGCCTGTTTACTCGCTCTGCCCTCACCTGCTACCTGCCCCACCAGGAGGATGTTTACGATATCTACTTCGAGCGCTTTGTGAAGATGACCGAGGAAAGCCAGGGCAAGCCCATTGCCTTCATGAACACCTTCCGTGAACTCATGTGTGCGCTCTCTCTCCGCACTTTTGTCGGCCACTACATCTCCGACGAGGGCATCCAGAGAATCTCCGACGACTACTACATGATCACCGAGGCGCTGGAGCTGGTCAACTTCCCCATCATCCTGCCCTTCACCAAGACCTGGTACGGAAAGAAGGCCGCTGACATGGTTCTGGCCGAGTTCACCAAGTGCGCCGCCAAGAGCAAGGCCCGCCTGGCCGCCGGCGGAGAGGTTGAGTGCATCATGGACGCCTGGGTCAAGGCCCAACAGGACTCGGCCAAGTACCGCGAGAAGGTCGCCCAGGGTATCGCGGTGGACCCGTCTGAGAAGCCGGCTCAGGTGCTTCGCGATTTCACCGACTACGAGATTGCCCAAACCATCTTCACCTTCCTGTTCGCCTCTCAGGATGCCACTAGCGCCGCCACCACCTGGCTGTTCCAGATCATGGCTGACCGCCCGGAAATCTTGGATAAGGTCCGCGAGGAGAATTTGCGCGTCCGCAACGGTGACCGCTCCATGCCGGTCTCGATGGATCTGCTGGACAACATGCCCTACACCCGTGCCGTCGTCAAGGAGACCCTCCGCTACCGTCCCCCGGTCATCATGGTTCCCTACATCGCCAAGAAAGATTTCCCCATCTCTGAGAACTACACCGTCGCCAAGGGTTCCATGGTCATTCCCTCCGTCTGGCCTGCCACCCACGACCCGGAGGCCTACCCCAACCCGGACTCATTCGAGCCTGACCGCTGGATCACCGGCGATGCCGAGAAGCAGACGAAGAACTGGCTGGTGTTCGGCACTGGGCCCCACTACTGCCTAGGACAGACCTACGCTCAGCTGAACCTGATGGCCATGATCGGCAAGGCCAGTATGGAGATGGATTGGGAGCACACTGCTACCCCCGAATCGGAAGATATCAAGGTTTTTGCCACCATCTTCCCCCAGGTGTGTTTTTTCTTTCTTTCTCTTTCTTCTCGCTTTTTTCCTAAAAGTTCGTCTCTTACTAACTATTGTAGGACGACTGCCTGCTCACCTTCCGTCCTCGCCCATAAACGCGATCCTTATGGTGGCCTGCCTGTCTATCCTGGAGATAATATGGTATAGGAGATTTCATTTCTCGTGTCAGCGTGCCACATCTTTGTGGCCGAGTCGTTTGAAACCGTGCGCCAGAGCGGCTAGAGGTTTTCAAAGACTGTACGATTCTGTTCCCCCTGTCTGGTTGGTTGCTTGGTATAGACCGATTGGGCTTTTTTTCTCATTCCTCGAGTGTTACGCCTTATGTTCACATCATTACATGTAATAATAATGTCAGACCGTCATTTATCTTTAGCATTTTATATCAGTATAACGTAGTTCTAAACCTCACTGCGCAAAAAAGAATACTCGGGGATCTGGTTATCAATTGAGTTGGAAGGCGGTGAACTCTGGCAAATTGACATCACAGCTCACTATGGAGTACTACTGCTCAGTCACCGAATCGCCGACATTGAACTATCCTTCTTAATCCCACTCGACCATCAGTGACAAAGCTATACACCCCATGGCGACTCTACAGCCCTTCCGGCGGACCCTTGCTGGGTCTTCCTTTCGCACTACTCTTGTTCTACGAAGAAATGGCGTCAGCGCCGTGACGCCGTCGCTCTTCGTGCATGGAGTCAAGCGTCTGACCACAGGCACCAACACCCTCAACAGGAGCAAAATACAGAGCGCAGACGAGAGACAGCCGAGACAGGGGCTCAAGCAGCAACAGCTACGATATAGCAGCCAGGGAGATACACCAGCATTTAAGCAATGGGGGTTTGAGGATGTAATTCAACCATTCCAATCCTCTCCCCACCTTAGCCAAAGCGAAGTTGAGTTGCAAAGGCAAGCTAAAGATTTATCTAGATCAATGCCGCCCTCGATGCTAATGAAGCATCCCCTTCTCTCACCCCACAAAAGAACCTGATCCTCATCGACGTCCGCGAACCCGCCGAGCTGCTCGCAACGGGGACCATCCCCGGCGCGGTCTGCATCCCGCTCGCCTCCCAACCGGACGCCATCTTCCTGACCCCACAGGAATTCGAGACTCGCTTTGGGTTCCCCAAGCCGGGCGAAGCCGATGGAGACGCAGATGCCGTTGCGAAAACCGCGCCGATTGTTTTCTTCTGCAAGGCGGGCGTCAGGGCGCGTGCGGCAGCCCAGCTGGCCGTGCAGGCTGGCTACGACCCGGAAAGAGTCGGGGTGTATTCGGGGAGTTGGCTGGACTGGGCGGATAAGAAAGGGAGGGTGGAGAAATGGGAGAAGGATGAGTGATAGTAAAGTGATGAATTGAATATCAATGCATGTATGTATACATAGTTTAAGGGACAGCTTGTATACTATTTCTACTGTACTTTTTAAGACATCAACCTCGTTTCATATTGTGCATACTGAACATAATCCGGGGAATATCATATTCATGTAGTGGTAACAAATCACATATCCCCTATCCATGCCGAACCTTGATCGTGAATTGCAGACTGCTCAAGGAATGTCAAACACAGGCTTGAGCTTCTTGACCAGAGCCCATTCCTCCATCGTGACATCGGAGCGGAAGAACTCCTTGAGAGTGTCGATACTTTGGCGGGAAATCTGCGAGTACAGGGTATCCGTTTCTTCGAGCTGGCGGCCGTACATCGGTTGGTTGGCACCTTCGATCTTCACGGCCACGGACGGTTGACCCTTCTTGCAGACCTGGATGGCCTTGTGGTCGCGCTCGATGGAGGTTCTATACTCGGTTAGTGGTGTTTCACAGAGAAAGGTAGTAGTCAATCAACTTACACTCTGCCCATATTGATAATTTCCTTGGCACCAGTCACAGAATTGGTCTTGACGGCGGCAATAGGAGTGTGCAGTCTCAGGTTGCCTTCAATACAATCAACACCAACGACGATGGGGTCCTTCTTGTTGAACACGGCCACAGTCCTCAGGACGCAAGGGAAGACAGCCAGCATTTTGCTTTCCTCCTTTCTCTTCGCAGCAAGCTCTTCCATGTGCTTGGTGAAGTCGTCGAACAGGTGGTAAATGATGTCTGCAGTGAAGATCTTGACGCCAACTTCATCAGCGTACGCCTGCGCTTCTTTGTCCACCTTGACATCGAAACAGAGCATGACCGCGTATTCCTTGGCCTTCTCCAGCATCGTACCCGCCATCATAACGTCACGCTTGTACACTGGACCGATCGAAATATTTGCCACGGGAATCTTGGACACCCTCAAGAACTCGAGCAGCGCCTCCAAAGAACCCAGAGTGGAAGCCTGGACACTGACACCACGCTGGTCCTTCGAAACCTTACCCAACAAATTCTCTAGGTCAGACATGACCTCTTCTTCCAGATCCTCTTCGTCGTCATCAGGACCAACAACGAGCAGGCGAGAACCAGCAATGGCGTGCTCCAAATCGTTCGCGGCGATCTTGACACCCAGGGAAGCCTTGACCTCCTTGTTGTGGACGTATTGGGACTTCAGACGAAGTTCCTTCAGCGGAGCAGGTGTCAAGAGTGCTCGAATATTCGTTGATATCGGTCCATTGAGACCGCACAGTACGACCCGGTCACCCTCGCGAAGGATACCGTTGGAGAGGACAACATCAATTGTCGTTCCAAGACCTTCAATAATCTTCACTTCGAGAACTGTACATTCGACCTCAGACAAGTACATCAGCGCGTTGGTCATGCGCTCCTGGGTCAGCGTGGTCAGGAGCTTCAACATGTCAGGGATACCCTCTCCAGTGTGGGCGGAAGTGGGCACCAAGGAGACATTCTTGGCCATGGACTTGTTCTCATAGAAAAGTTCCGCGTTGAATCCCTGCTCGGCAAAAGCCAGCTTGGTCTGCTCCAGACGAGTGCGGAACTCATTCTGAACACCCTTGCTCTGCATAGCCAAACTCTCCTGGAAGCCATTGTTGTCAATCTTCTTCCAGCCATACAAACGATCGATCTTGTTCAGGGCGACGATGAAGGGTGTCTTGCGATCTCTCAGGAGTCTCATGGACTCGAGAGTCTGCGGCTCGAGACCGTGCATAATATCAACAACCAGGATGGCAATGTTGCAGAGCGAAGAACCTCTCGAACGCAAGTTAGAGAAGGACTCGTGACCAGGGGTATCGATGACAAGAAGGCCGGGAATCTTGAACTCAAAGCTGCCGTCCTTGTTCACCACGGCAGTCTTCTGCTTCAGGGCATCGACAGGGAAGTAGGTGGCACCGATCTGTTGAGTAATACCACCAGCTTCACCTTCTTGGACGTTGGTCTGTCTGATCTTATCCAGCAGTTTAGTCTTGCCGGTATCGACGTGTCCAAGAATACAGCAAATAGGCGAACGGAGATTGTCCTTTGACCGAGCAGCCAGAGCTTCCTCATGCTGCTTCCTCCGACGTTCCGCAGCCTCGGCCTTCCTCTGGGCAATGGCCTTCTGCGCCGCAGACTGCTCTTCCTCGGAATCTTCTTCGGAAGAGGATTCATCCTCGGAGTCATCTTCATCATCCTCTTCCTCTTCCTCTGCTTCTTCTTCGGCCTCCTTAGCAGCTGCGCCGTTGGCAGCCGCAGGCTTCGTCTCTTCTTCTTCGTCAGAGGGAGCATCCCAACTGTCTTTAACATCTTCCTCTTCCGCGTCAGCAGCCTTTTCCCAGTCTTCCAGCTCGCTCTCCTCATCGCCACCGGCGGCGGCAGTAGCAGCGGCAGCGGCAGCAGCAGCCTTAGCCTCAGCCTTGGCTTTCTCTTCAGCTTCCTTCTTGCGCCTCGCGTCTTCAGCTTCGCGCTGGGCCTGAGCGCGAGCAGCAGCCGCTTCCAGGTCTTCTTCTTGCTTCTTGGGGCCCTTCTTTTTCCTGTTGTCATAGACGGGCTTCTTCTTCTTCTCCCCCTCTTGGCGCTCTTCCAGACCGGCAACCGTGCCCACACCAGCCGCAAGCATCTGCTTCATGCGCAATTCATTCTTCTGCTGTGCCTTTCTCTGAGCGTCTGTGAGGAGCTTGCCTTCTCTCCGCAGCTGCTCCTTCTTCTCCTTCTCCTTCTCCTTTTTCCGCTGACGAGCTTCTTCCCGCTTCTTCTCCTCTTCTTCCTCAACTCGGCGTCTCTCATCCTCGGCGGCCTTCTCTGCCTGTCTGCGTTGCTCCTCCTCTTCCTGTTGCTTTCTGAGCAGCTCCTGTTGCCTTTGGATGGCTGCTAGATGTGCAGGAATTTTCTTCTTCTTGCCACCGGCAGCGGGCTCTGGGGCAGCAACGGGCGCAGGTGTAGGCTCTTGCTTGGTCTCTGCGGCGGGCTTGGCCGGTTGTGTCTTGGTCTCTGCAGGAGCAGCGCCCTTCTTTTTGGCGGCCTGGAGACAGAAGAGATAATAGTATCAGCATTGTAATGAATTCCTGGGGATATCAATATCAGCTCCGGTCTACTGAACATACCTGTTCCTTCTTGCGCTGCTTTTCCCTCTCCTTCTTTTCGCGCTCTTTCTCCTTCTTACTCTTAACGCGGAACCCATCTTCTGACGGCTCCTCATCCTCTGGCTCCTTCAGAGGTGCTTTGGCAGCTTTCTTGTTAGGCTTGCCGGCGAAAACATCGTCGTCATCGAACGTGCCTTCTTCGGGCTGCTTGCTGGCCAGGTCCACCGGCGGCTCCGCCTCGGCTTCTGCATCCTCTCCGTCGACGAAATCATTGACGGGCTTTCCCTTCTTGGCTTTTTTCGTCTTGTTCTTCCTCAGCGCAGCCAGGAGCCCGCCGCCACCAGTCTCCTCCTCAGCCTCCTCGGCGGGCTTCTCCTGCTCCGTAGTGTCACCATTCGCGACGGCAGCCGATTCACCGAGGTCGGCCTCCCAATCTTCCTCCTGCCGCTTGTTTCCCTTCTTTTTCGGCGCCATCTTAATAGAGATCTCTTTCACAAATCTGGTTGTGCTGGCTGTCTTAGATTCCTCACGTATCGATCATAAACTTCGTAGATCTGCAATACTAAAAATAAAATTAGCTGTTAGCCTCATAGATATTCATATTATTAATAGTACTAGCTACTATAGTCTTCTATTAACTGGTAGGTGTAGGTCCACAAACAATATTTCTAATTTTCCCAGTTGCAGTAAGGGGAAAGTGATAATGGGGAAAGGTAATACAGCAAAGACTTTTCCGCCCGTCAAATAAGAAAGGAACCTAAAAAGAATAAAAGAAAGACCCCTTGAAAAAAAAAGATATTTCTGGGGTGTTGGTGGTCCAAAATTCCACACTGTGAGAGGAGGGGGTGCGGAAAGGAAGAATGAGAATTTTGGTGGTGGGGGCTCTAGTTAAAGGTGACTTCAACCCTGGGCGCTGGAGACAGGATTTCCCCGCGGCCTCATCGCCACTGGCAACAGGTTTGATCCTACAGATTATTGTCTACCCGTGAAGTTTATTAATGATTATATATCTCTTGAAGTAGCTATGTGACTACCAGCAGTTACTACTAGAGACGACTAGTAACTACACAGGTCGAAGCTTCTATCGCAACTCAAAGCAAAGCAGAAGATGGATTCCTATCGTGGTCAATAGAGGTCTGGCTATAAGCCAACATGAAGCATATCTCTCATCCAAACTAGCACCTCTTTCACAGGATCAGACGGGTTGCCCAGGACGTCTGCCGCCATTTGGGAGAAGCGTTCGAAGATGCGTCTCTCCAAGGCCAGGTCGCGAGGCACTACACGAGCTGTTAACATCTGGCGCAAGTGGGAGGTGCCCGCATCCGCCAGGCGAGTGAGAATATCCCCATCGACATGCATCAAAGACGGTTTGTCATCCAGGGGCTCGATATCAGCAAGGCCGTAACGTCGTTTTCTTCTGGGGGTGAACGGGCTGATAAGGGGATCCCGCACAGCCAGGTTCTGCAAGAAACGCAGCAGACGCCATTCAGTCTCGCGCAGCGGCGAGAATCGGTACACCGTGCCATCGAGAGTAGTGCCGTAGAGAGATGGGGAATGGTTGGATGGTGTTGGATCCGGGTGGAGAAGCAGTCGGCTGACAGACAGGGGAAGATGCGCCTCGGAGACCGCCACGGGAATCAGCTTGTCTTTGTCGGTGATGCCTCTTTCCGTCAATAAACTGACGGTGCCACCTTTACTCGAGGCAAGGGTGAGCTGGGGTCCATCTATGAGGTGACAGTGAGACAGGCCTTCTCGTTTGACACGGTCGTGAGCGTGAAGAAGCAGGCGGTCATCGCTGACTTTGAGAATGACCAGTGATTCCCTGGCAGTAGACACGTACAGGTATGGCTCGTGCACTGTGATCGATACCGCAGGCGATAGAAGGGTGTAACGTGCTGACCGTGGCCACCGTGTTTCTGAGAGCTTATTCTCCAGTGGTACAATGTCGTATCCTGTTGCCACCATCAAAGTGGATGCTCCGTATGGTGCGATGGAATAAACCGGGTTCTCGAACTTGTGTATGTGTTTGACAGTGCATTCGATGCGCGAAGTCCTTGGGTCGCGTGATGCTTGAAGGAAAATCACTCGCCCCCGAGGAAGGTCCTGCTGCTGCTTGCGTGATGTGCAGATCACGATAAAGTGGTACTTCTCGTCGCCTTGTCTTGGAGTCCATTCCAAGAGACATGTAATCTTCTCACCCGCTGCGCCGAGCGGTCTCCACGGCCGCTCCGACGTGTCGGGATCATGGATGTGTGAGATCTCAGAGAGCTGTGTGTCCGGATCCACAAAGTCAATGATCGGGCGTGTATAGCGCCGAATAGGGTCTACCGTCATATCCAGTTCAGTAGTAGAATATGCCACGACTAGGCTTTGAAGATGCTTCGAATAGGCAAGCCTGTTAGCACTTCCCGGGAGACTGATCCGGCGAGGGACTGGTCCGGCCTTGCGTCCAATCGTGCAGATCAGAAGCTGTTCCTCTGTGACACAGAATAGCGACTCGGAGAGACTGTCAGGCTGGGAGTCAAGAGGGGTGTTGATGACGGTGAAGACGTCAATGCTTCGCTGGTTATAGGCGGGCTAACCTGGAATCAGCACTGCCAGTAGATAAGCCAGACTTGAGACATACATTATTTTGATCCGTAATCCAGATTCTCTCTAGAGAATAGCCACCCGACTCGCTATCCCGAACATGCGACACGCGCCAGAATCCTTCGGCACAAGTCAACAGCGCGAACGACCCCCGGCCAAGCAGTCTGACAGATGTGCGCCCCAGTTGTCGCGGGCTGAATTGTCTGAGCTCTATTTACGGGCAAAGAATTTTGATTGTCAGTTATAGGTACCTGATTTCAATTCTGAGTCCCGACTTACCAATAGGGGATACAGCATCTTCACTATCAAATTTTATTCCAAGGGGTATCAGTATGCCGCTTCGTAAACCGCAGAAGAGAATCGATCTCTCCCTCGATGTGTCTACATCCGCGCTGATCCTAGCAAGTGTCTCGACTGCTTTTGATATGTCTTCATCTGTCTCGAGCTGAATGGAGTGGTCGACCAAGTATGTGATGGCGTGTTCCTCGACATGATAGACCGCTATCCTTCCGTTCCCTGTTCCTACAAACAGGAACGCTGTGGAGCCGAAAACTTCCACAGAAAGACATATAGGCTCATACTCGATGGCGACGGGTTCTCCAATCTCGACCATCTTGATCTCTTGGCCATCGAAGAGAACTTTGGAAAAACGGAGATGGATCTCATTGTGGGATCTGACGGCCATAACAATCGTTGAAACTGCCTCGTTGATAGCAGCAGCAATCACGGTTTGATGAGCCTCGAGCTCTACGGAGAAGTTGACAGATGGTGCAATAGGAATTGAGCCGCAATGCAGAGACTTTTCCGTCACCTGAATCAGAATTCCAAAAGGTGTACACCCAGCGGCCAGTGTCTGCCTCGACCCATTGATCCCCGATTCTGCCTCGTCAATGGCGCTGATGTCTTCCCCTGCATCGGTGGGGAGATAGAGAAGGACGGATGACATGGGATCGGAGATGAGAATGTAGCTTCCACCATTCACATTATCCGCCATGGTCCATATGTCCCTCGCGCTTGACAACTCATCTAGCGGAATGACCAGACCAATTTGAGCCTGGATACCATGCCGAAGCTCCATAATTGCACCTTGACCGATGGTAGAGCCAGAGCACACAAATAGTCGACCTTCAGTCGGAGCGCCGGGAGGAGGTGTCGGATCTGACGAGTTGATAAACACCGAATCTATGACTGGACCCCAATTTGAAAATTTTTGGACACATCTAGGAAGGTCTCTTGCTTTCTGAATGAATAGACCACCGTCACCCATGTTTCCTGCTGCGAGAAGCAGGTCTCCTCCTTCAAAACCGATATCAAGAATGTTGAATGCGCCATCGACATCTGAACAAAGCTGGCCCAAGTAATTGTGCTGTTCAATATCCCCTTCGTTGCTAATTTCCATGTAGAATAGTTTGCCGTCCTCGCGGCATAGATAGATACCATCGTGTTGCTGACTGTATCTCCAGTTGCGACAAGGTCTAGCCCAACGAGTCCACAAGGGAGCCCGCTGGGAGACGCGATCAGGCAAAGGAATGGGGTATCGGCGGGGTTGTTTTCTGGGGTCTGATGGTATGTCCTTGTAGATGGCGATCGACGTCGTGGTCATTATCATGAACGAGCTTGACTTGGTCAATGGAGCTAACAAAGTAGGGAGCCTGTCTTCGACTGGCAGCAATCTTTTGACCACTCTAGGAGGGGCCTCTCTTAAGCCATCTTGGGCGTCCCAGTCATAGAATACTGCCTGTGTCTGTTTTCCTTTCGCCACTAGAAGAAGTAGTATAATGGTATCGCCGTCTTCAGCTTTTGGATAGAGAAAATCCATGAACAAAATATCACCATCGACACGAAAGAAGCGTTCCTGGGAAAAGCTCTGTTAGTTGAAAAGGCCTTGACATGGGACTAGTTCACTAATTCACCTCTACTATGGGATCCAGCTTCTTACCAGCTATTTCAGACTGGAGAACATGGGAAGGTTTCAGCATAAAGACACCAAAGTAATCACTGGTTGCAGCAATAGCTATTGCGCGAGATCTGTGGACATGTTAGCATCATTCATGTACAAGAGGTGCGAAGAGGGTCGCAGTCTACCTCGGATCAACCGCGACAGACCGACCAAATCTTTCAAACAAGCTGACATCTGTCGGCAAAGGTCGATGGAAAGTGATAAACTCTTTCCCTTCCTCATCTGCAAAGCACAGAAAGACCAGTTCTCTCGTCGCCAATGTGAGCACGAGTATCTGCGGAGGGAGGTCGTCGCGCGAGTCTATACTGGCGGCAGACGGAGTGTTCTTTGCCCCCATCTTCATCTGGGCTTCCCACGGAGGTTCGGCGCTGACATTAATCACCTTCGCGGCCATGATCTGGGCGTCAAAGTCTGATTTCACTGCGACATCCTCCAGATGGATCCCTGATACCGCTTCCCGAATCTGCAGCGACCTTTCACCCACGAAGACCACATCATTTCTAAGCTTGTGTCTCAGACGCGCAGGAACAACCCATTGAATAGTCGGGCTTGGAATTGCCGTCTGCGAGAGCAGGCCCATTTTCGGCCTGGCGGGCCGGACTGTTGATATGGCTTCCATTTCCTGTCCTTGTATGTGGGTAAGTGGGTTATCAAGTTCTACACTTGAAGAGACCCAGGTAAACCTTCAGCAATAATGCAGCTTGAAGGGAGACTTGCTTTATTTCACAGAGATGTGTAGTTTGAGGGATTGTAGTGATGAGGGTAAACCGTGGTAGGAACAAATTGCAAAGGCACAGCATCAGATTGGAGGTGAAAATCCTTGAATTATTACCCCTCATGCACAAAGACTGTTCTGGATAGATGCTGCAAAAAGTACAAAACACAAATAATAGAAAGGTAAATATGCCTGCAGTACAGTGAAAGAGCTTGATACTGATGTACTGCTAGCAGGCAAATACGGCAGATAGAGATAGCTGGACAAACCCTTACCAGAACCTGAGATCTAGAGAGGCCTTTGTACTACCATTCTTCCAAACCAAGACGCCTATTTCTTGGACATGGTCGATATAGGCCGCCGCAGCAATTGTGGGATGGAATCAACAGTCGATGACCAGGAACGAGGCCGAGACAAACTCCGGCGAGCGTGCTCGTTTTTCGCCCAAATCAGGCCCGGCTAATTTGGAATCTATCCCTGCGAGGAGGGGCGGATCTCATGCAATCATGTCTGCATCGGATCACCACCGTCAGAGGAGCACTGTATGTGGACGGACGCCTTGCTGAACACTTCACTCCCGAAGGAAGACAAGGAGGAGAACAAAACTCACTGTGTACCGCAACCTAAGCATACGACAAGACAGAGCACATATAAGATCCTATATTGCGCTTCTCTCGATCTCAGATCCAAGTAGTGACAGACCCGATCACGCCACCCCAGCCAGTAGTACTCGATACTAGGTAGCTAGCTACCAGCGATTTATAAATTTGTCGGAGCCGTACCGCCACAACGGCTTTGCTGCAGCTCTAGTATGGAGGTGCAGCTGCTGGCTGGTCTTGGTTTGCATCCAGTCAGACCATAATCTGCGGAGATGGCGATCGATCGATCGATTGCCCGCAGGCGCGAAGCTGGCGATGTCGGTTCGTAGAGGGGAAGCGGGTGTGGGCTGTTTCGGCGATTTGCAGGCGCGGGCCGATATCGAATCACGGGATATGGAGAAGGCAGCAAACCGTAGAGAGAGGAGGGAAATACAACAACGACTCTCTCTCCGCCCATCCTGCATCACTCAAGTTGCTTTCTAGGACACCCTCAGTCATGGCGTGATTGAAGGCAAGGTCCTCTATGGCCATGCGAAGATTTGCAACCTTCGAATGGAAGAAGATTGCTACGTCGTCATACTGGCACCCCCCCGCGGCGCCTCCGAGAGGTATTAATTCGAGCCATTGTTGCTGGTTCTCTTGAGACTCGTTGCTGACTCTCGCTGTTCTCTTTTAGCAGATTAATCCCTTCCTTCAGATCCCCCTCTGATCTTCTCTTTTGCCCGGTTTTCTTTTCTTGCCCTGTGACTTTTTGCGGCACCTACAATCGAAATGGACCTCCTCGACGACCGTCCGCCGGAGCATACGGAACCCTCAACGGGGGTCACAGATCCAGACGCTGGGAATGATAATATTACTATTGGAGATAATTCAAGCTCGGAGTCAGAGAAATCCTCTGATTCGATGGCAAGGAAGGCGGATGCAATTCGCCAGGCGTGTGACTTGCGCGACTTGGATGCGTTGGTTCAGCATGCCATATCAAAGGGTGGACTGCTACGAGACGATCTCCGCCGGCTAGCCTGTAAGAGCCTTCTTTGGACCGATGCGGTGAGGTTTGTTGTTCAAGAGGTTAATTTGATGGATTGGAGGGCCGATTCTCTTGCAGTGCGATCGGGAAAAGGCAGGCGATGATAATAGTCCCTGGGATCGCCTACCACGACATGCGGATGAGGACCAAGTTCAACTGGACGTTAATCGATCATTTGTATACTATCCTCAAGGTATTTTGGAACGGTCATTGCCCTCGTGCGTTGAAGTTGGTGGCGCTAAAACGGGATATGTCTCTTAGGCACGGACGAAGAGCTTTCTGCAAAGAAGAAAGAGCTGTCGGATTTGATCACCCAACTGCTTCGAAAGTACCCTATGCTCTGCTACTTCCAGGGATACCACGATATTGCTCAAGTTCTGCTTTTAGTCCTTGGCGAAGAGCAAGCGGCATCGGCCTTCGCCCAGGTTTCCCTCTTTCGCATCAGAGACTACATGCTACCATCGCTTGCGCCGTCACTAAAACACCTCCAACTTATTCCGGCCATCATCGAGCGCGCAGATATGCGATTGCGGCGACATCTCTCTGAGATTCGCCCATTTTTCGCTCTCGCTGCAACCCTGACATTATATGCACACGACATCCAGGAATACAGCGATATCGCTAGGCTCTTTGACTTTCTGCTGGCCCACGAGCCAGTGGTCTCTATCTACTTGTTCGCAGCCATTATCTTGTTCCGCAAGGAGGAGTTGCTAGAGATACCGCCGGATGAACCTGAAATGCTGCATTTCACATTATCGAAGCTCCCGAAACCTCTCAACCTTGAGGGATTAATTAATTGTGCTCTCAGCCTCTTTGATGACTATCCTCCGCCATCGTTACCACAGGGGGCTTGGAAATGTATTTCGGATGCCAGTGTTCTGAAAACTTCACAGGATATATTTGCACCGCAAAGAACAGAAGAAGCAGTGAGGCTGTTTACTCAACAAGCACGGGAATTACGTCGCGAAGAGCTGAAGCAGAAAGCCTGGAATCTCTTGTGGAAACACAGACGCGCAGCTGGCTCTGCCGCAGTCGCAATCCTTGTTGGCGTTGCCTCCTTCTGGCTGAGAAGGAGCGGCCTCGATACGTCGATCTGGGCATATATAAACCGACTCCGACTGACATTTCTTGGTTAAGGAAATGTCTAGACTATTTTCCTAGTAGCATGATGTTTTGGTCCAGTTAAACTGTCAACTATATATTATATACTTTAAAGCAGGCAAAAGCGTTGTTCCTATGAAAAAAGCCTCTCCTCGGTTTTCATGGATCACCAATCCTCTATGACCAAACTCAACCCGAAATATATAAAAATTAAGTGTAGTTAAATACCTAAATAATATCATATCGTGGGCAACACCTGCAGCGTCATCGATGCTGTCCCCACTGCTAGGCGGCTGCGGCTTCTCTGACACGCGGACAGCTTATGTGTACACTTTGCGCCTCAACCCATCTCCGAGGGACACTTTGTTCTCCTTCCCCCACACGGCAATCAACGACAGACTCCCATCTTTCGTGCTTGTGAACATGGCGAATCAAGGTTATGATGTAGTAGTGGACGTGGATGCAGATGTGAGAAAGCCGTCTTGTGTTGGAATTGCGGCGAACAGTGTCTCTAACGGCAGCGATTAGGGTGACCTTGGGCATACCGATCTCCAAGAAGACCTCGAGTTCCATCCGTCCAGTATGTTGACTCCCCTGTTGAATGATCTTTGATGAATATCGACTAACACATCGTCCCCTAAATGTAGACTTTGAGAACGAGAACCGGAGCTCCAAGGTACAACCCGACGCAACACCGTTCCTCGGCGGAGGCCCGTCCCGCGGTCGTGACCGGTCCCCTGGAGGCTCGCCTGCGAAACACTCCTGGTGGACGATCCATTACTACTCACAATTCTTTGACGTGGACACGAACGAGGTACTACGGCGCTGTGTCGCAGCCGTCTACCCGCGCAGCAACTTCCTAGACGTGCTGGAGGGTAACGCGGATCTGTACGGGCCGTTCTGGATCGCGACGACGGTGGTAGTGATCCTGTTCCTAACAGGGACCATCTCGCAATACCTGGCAAACAACGACGATGAGCACTTTGAATATGACTTCACGCTCCTGTCTGGTGCGGCTGGCTTGGTCTACGGGTATACGGGGGTGATCCCCATCGCGCTGTGGGCGGCGCTCCGCTGGTTTGGCAGCTCGACCGCCGACCTGATTGAGTGCTGGGCACTCTACGGCTACGCGAACCTTGTTTGGATCGGCGTCGCTCTCGTGAGCTGGAGCCCGTTGACAGCCCTCAACTGGGCCCTCGTCGGCGTTGGCTTCGCCTGGTCCGTCGCCTTCCTCCTGCGCAACCTGTACCCCGTCTTGAGCGCCACAGACGCCAAAGCAAGCAAGATCCTGCTAATCCTCGTCATTCTGCTCCACGGCGGATTGGCCATCGCCATCAAGGTTCTTTTCTTTGCGTGAGTCTCTATTTTTGGTCTTCCTCGAGTGGCTCATCGGCTAACTGTACGGTTCTACAGACATGGTAGCCCGGTTAATAAAGACACATGATATTCGCGATTTAGGGTGGGAATCAGGGTAGGGTACACGTTTTACACGCGTTTTTCTAAGAAGTTTCTGGCAATGTGCCCCTGCCTTGGTAGTGTTACTTCCTTCTTCAAGCAGTCAGTAAAGTCTGCAGGAGTCTTATGATTGGTTTTCTTATCGAACTGAAAGTTTCAAAATGCAAATACCCATATCAAGAGTAGTTTTTTTTTTCTGAATAGTTGGGAGATCCTTAAATATAGTAGCCTGAACCAAGTGCTCTATCTAGAATACTGACGACATGCATGATCTTGGCCTCTTTCCTAAGCAGAGGCTCGTTGCGTAAGGAATTGTTATACACTAACTATGTCTTCTTAAGCAGTTATCTTCATTTATGTAGTAAGTACTCAGGAATGACCCGGTCAAGGTGAGGTGCATTGCTGATGTAGCCAGCAAATTTACATATTGGTGGGGTCTAGACTGCAGATCGACCTTCGCTGGTCCAAAAGCTTTACATGTTAAATTTGATTTTGATTGCGATATCGTCCGAGAGGAGCCCATTTAAAAAACATGTGACTTCGGCTGCATTGTTTCATCATTCTAACGCCATGAACCTCCCTGCACTGCAATCCATGTACAGGCCTCGAGCTCAGCACCACACAACGCAGAGAACCGTAACAAGATAACGAAATCGTCTATTTCAACTTCTTCTTGGGGCGGAGCTGGTTGGTGTGACCGCACTTCCTCTTGCGGCAGTTGGTGGCACGGGGGGGGAGACGGGCCTAGATTTTCATCGTTCGAGTCAGAAACAGTTCACTCGCCACATTAACCGGGGTCGACGACGTACATAGCACTTGCGGCAGATGGACTTCTCGCAGTTGTACTTGGAGGCAAGAGCCTTCAGGGAGGGCTCAATGATACCACCACGGAGGCGGAGGACCAGGTGGAGGGTAGACTCCTGTTCAAAGCCAACGATATCAGCAATCCGCACTCTGAGAAAAAGAAATGTGTTGTGGAGATCGAACGGGTTTGGGTCGAAGATTGTTTGGATGTGAGTTTTGACTTTGCCCAACTGATCCAAATGAAGACCACGCTGTGCAGGCCAAAGAAACGACTATCCAAAACAAAAATAGACCCTCGACCACGTTCGTGCCCCGTTCGGTCGCATTTCGGAATGCAAAATTCAAAACTTGGCTTGTCTCCCTCCATACCTTCTGGATGTTGTAGTCGCTCAGGGTGCGGCCATCCTCAAGCTGCTTGCCGGCGAAGATAAGACGCTGTTGGTCGGGGGGGATGCCCTCCTTGTCCTGGATCTTGGCCTTGACGTTGTCGATGGTGTCGCTCGACTCGACGTCGAGGGTAATGGTCTTACCCGTGAGGGTCTTGACGAAGCTGTAGAGCGAAAAGAAAAATGATCAGCTCATTCCTCCACGCATTCTTATTCTCATGACGATAACTCTTCTCGACGGAACGGGTTTGGGAAGGAAGTAGATGGATGGATGTTGCGGGGGGTTGCTAGTCAGGATATTCGAGGGAGACCTACATCTGCACTGTAAAAAATTAAAAAGAAGATGTTAGCTCTCAATGCTCTTTAAATCTAGGGCCTCAAACGCTCGGAAATAAAACGTACTGGTTGCGATTTTCGTTGTTGCTGGCTGACACTCGCTGGTGGTTCGGGCCTCAGCGGCACTGACATTTTGAGGATTTCTCGCTTAGTGCTTGGTGATACCCTAAGCCCTAGCAGCCGTTTTCGGCACTCCGCCCAGATTCATGCTCTGATCTAGTACTCCACATTTCGCCTTACATACAACCAACGACTGAACTTGGTAGTAGTACTATGTCGTAATTGTTTCTTAGTTGATGAACCGTTATTCGCGAGGTATCTCATAAATAGTCCTCCAATTCAAATATCCACTTGGTTGATATTACAAGGCTATATTAAAACGCTCTAATGGGCCATCGTATTTAAGAACTATGAGCCTACGTATCCAGAAACTACCAGGGTTCACCTGGAATCTATGCATTCTCGGCTCTCACCATCTCTTCGTCACTTGTATCCATTGAAAAATCCATGTCGGAGAGCTCCTCATGGTATTCAACGCGCCGCTTGGTATCCTGCCACTGTGCCATTTTGAGCTCTGTCTGGAAGACAGCTCGGATCAGCGTGTGTAGCGTGATACCGGCTAGATTGGCAGCTGTTTCAAAGAACGGGCGTGCCTTCTCTGGAAGATCAGATCCAGTGCGATAGCGCTGGTAAAATGAGCCTGGACGAGAAACATCATTCTCGAGATATGAGGCGCTCTCGTCTGAGATCACTCTTCTCATTTTCAACTGGCCCATTACTGCTTGCAACTTCGTAGCTAGCGCTTGTTCCACGTTGATGTCTGGTGAAGGGGTATCTTGCTGGCTTTCAAGACCGACTCGACCAGAAGGGAACATGTCTGAGAGTGGGTTGGGCGCTGTCGAAAGCAACACAGTCAGCATTGTACGAAGTTTAGGCACATCTGGAACTCTTACCTTTGCTAAGATCAACCCAGCTGCTCTCATACCAGTCCATGTACTCGTCGAGCTGGCTAGATGTCATACCCAAGACATCCTTCTCCCTAACACGTATTTCGTTCCCCTTGCCGATCCTACCTCCTGCTGTCTCGATATTGTCGAACTGTCTCTGAGCCTGTGCCCAGAGATCCCAGTCAATGACCTGGGATGCTGGCTCTTTCAAGGAGTGAGGATACCGCTTCACATCATCAAAAGGGAATAGCAGTTTTGTTGAGATCACCAGGAGGGCAATCAGTTGTATTTCTGGGATGTGAACGTGCTGTCGTTTTCCTTTGATACTTTTTGGGAAACTATAGTTGTAACCGACGAGATCTTGTAGCCTCTTGACAGCAGGATATATTTCGACTGGACGTGAGAACAGTTAGAAGACCTAGCTTTTAAGAAGGCTCAACCTGGGCATGTCTCACCTGGCAATGCCAGTCTTTTAATATATGGCAGTAATATAAGCGGCGAATTCAACGCTGGGAATGTAACTCCAAACTCGCGACTATACCGGATCGCTAGTTCGAGCGAAGCTTTATGTAAATTTTCGGCTTTTGGTATACTCTGGAACACCTTCAGCTTCCTTGTTCGGTTTACGTTGATAGTATCAAATGCTGATTTCGCTCACCTTGGTCTCGAGAAGAGAAATATATGTTTGAGGAAGTTTATCTCTCATCTCCCGTGGTATCGATTTGATGATACGGATGAAAGGAATCTCTCCCCGAATGACCATTCTGATAGAGAAGAAATAGTGAGCATGTCGAATAGATAGAAGAAGTTCTATCAAGGATGCTCAGGGTTACCATACCGATGGAGATCTCCAACAAAAACAGGCAGTCTGAGGAGTAGGCAGCCAAGATAGCAAAGTGCAACCGAATCAATCAAACGAGGCCATTCGAGCTGCCTACTGGCGGGTTTGGACGTCTCATCATTCTCGTCAAGCCCCGTGGGTTGGGAACTGAACAACTCCGGTTCCTCATCACCTTCGCCGATCCCGTTGATCTTCTGCGAAAAGGTTTCAAGACGGAGAGCCCAGAGACCACGGACAACATCCTGCGAAAAAAGAAGTTAATAGAGACTGACTCATCTGTTAACAGGCAAGAATCCGCCCACCTCGAGCTGAGCAGGAAAGCCATGATCGTTGACAAGCGCATAACATTGCTTCCATAGAATCAGCTGGTAGACTTGTAAGAACAGCGTGTACGCCTGTCGACCCTGATATGCTGTGTGAAAATGTTAGCAGGGGTCGGTCGGATCAGTTCTGTAGACCTCGACTTACTTCTTTGGCCCTTCTCCACGACGGCCTTCTTCAATCGGTTTGTTTTCCCCTGCGTACCGAAATCTTCGGGGTCCTCTTCTACTTGTTGACCCTACAAATTATCAGAGATCAACCTCCTGATCATTCTTGTCGTTGGTGTCGGGGGGTGTTCGCTGTACCTCTTGCTGATGACCCCGCCTGCAGAACCATAGCCCACTATCAAGATAATACCGTCTCTCGCGGCATCCTTCTTGTCCACACACTCCGCGTGTTACGTACTCCATATAGACGCGCGCAGTGTTTCATGGCGATGGCCGCGTGGGGAGGAGTTGGTTGTTATCCGTGTATCCAATTAGCTGGGCTGTAATTCGCTACCACGGCAAAGATTTTCTTCTAGGAAGACAACACCCGACTCTGAAAGAAAGGTATTTAGGCCACAACGCTGGAACAATTAGGTATTATTATTACTATTCTTTGTTTAAAAGGAAATACTTATCGAGAGATTACTCGTGTAGAACGGATTGCGTATCTTGTAGGCTATGGAATGGAAATACGAGAGAAAAGCTGGACTATTTGTAGAAGTATTTTATTTATTCGTCAAACTATCGTGAAAGTGCTGAACTCTGAACTGTTCCTCTGACATAGCATCTAATATGCTGACAATCAAAAGCAATCCCTCGGCCCGTTCAGCCACGTCCAAGGCTACACTGACAGGCTCAAGTCAAGCAACAGGCATGTCATGGGTGGCCTAGAATGTCGTATCCTCCACGAAATTGAGGATATGACGAACATGAGAACCTTTGAAGCATGAGGATTGGCGACAAGTAGAAAGGGCCCAGAATATAAGATTCGGGAATTTTTTTTAACCCGACTTGGGGGCTTCCTTGATTTCCATGCAGGCCTCCTCACCCATGGCAGTGAGGATAACGACGTCTAGGAATCCCGGTTAGCAAAAGAGCTTGTCCACCCTTATAATCGAGAGTCTCCACTTACTGCAGTCCTTCTGGTCCTGGTGGAACATCTTGTCGATCTTCTCACCAATCTCACCATCGGGGACCTTGACGTCGTCCTTGGTGGCACCGTTGTCGTCCATCAGGGAGAGGAAACCATCCTCGGAGACATCGAGCTAGCAAACGATCAATATCTCTGTTGACTTGTGATCATATTTCAAGTTAACACTCACGAGCTGGTATTCCTTGCGGGTGACGTTGGGCACATCCATGTTGTGGGTGGAGGGGGAGAGATCTTCGAGCTTCTTGCCAGTGAAGATATCGATGGCGACGATGTGGACCTTGGCGTGACCGTGCTTGCCGGTCTTGGAGGTGGACATGTCGACGATCTTGCACGGGCGACCCTTGATGACAACGTGACCGTTCTTCCTCAGGGCAGAGCACTGCATGGGGAAGGTCGCGGACGCACCAGCGTCGGCGGACTCGAAGGTGTGATCATGCTAAGTCCACAAAACACTGTCAGCACTTGCGTCCAAAACCCAAGGGCTCGACTCTCAAACTCGAGAGTAAAGGGCGTGAGCGAGGTCTGTCAAGGAGGGAGGGGGACTCGTGATGCGGGGCTGCATGAACCCAGCAGGCGCAGCGAGGAAAAAAAAAAAAGGAAAGAAATAATAGTAGAGGATTAGGCATTGGGTGTAGAACGTACCTCGTCAGCCATTGTGAATGTCGAAGAAGGATGGACTGCAAAAGTTTAAGACGCGAAGAAGAGAAAGACAAGGTCAGAGGACAGCGGAGGAAAATTCGATGGGTTGAAGGACGTAGAGGCGAAGGGGAGGGGAAGAAATCGAATGAAAAAGGCAAGTTTTGTTGTGGCGGGGTCTCGGGTCGCCTAGAGCCCGGAACAGCCTAGCGTGGCGGCTGCGTAGTTGGTCGCTGTGGGTGCCCGTAGCAATCGTCACCTGCCAAACAATTGGGTGCGGCCGCCGCTGGTGTATACGGTAACTACCTACCTATTCGTATAGGGGTAGAGCTGCTTCCTTGCGTCCAGCCCCAGCGGAGGTCAGTCAGACAGGCTCACCCCGTATGTAAAACAGCCGGATTGCTGCTCAATGAAGCCTGGGAGCAGATTGGTCTCAGCACGCTCGACCGTGCTGGCTGCTCACGATGTGGCTTGACCGCATCTCAGGCCATTCGAACCCTCCTCGGGCCCCCTTCAGCGGTCGCAGCTATTCTCCGGCTCCTCCTCGAAAGTCTTCTTTTCTGCCACCTGGCTCGCAGGCAAGGTCTGGGGCAGGCCCTCAGAACTCGACATGGTCGCTATCGTCAACACCGAACGATTCGACCACGTCGCTCCCGGGCACCGCCGCGCGCGGCACGAATGTATTGGCTCTCAAGCAAGGTCTGACGAGGTCTCGCCCTTCCGACACTCCAGACCCTTTGGTGGTACTGAACAGTATTCTCGGGAAACCGTCGAACGACAAACCATCCTCCCTTGATGATACGGCCTCGCCTGCTCCGCTGGAGACGAAGCCCTCGCGACTGGTGAGGGAGATCGACTTCAATGGCCTTAGCCTTGAGGAATTCATAAGGAAGGAAGATGAACCGAAAAGAGTATTGCAGAGTGATGTTGGCAGACAGACCGTGCATCAGTGTATGTGTATCAGCTAGTGCCGTCAGGGATCCACGACTCGGCTGATACAGTTTATAGTCGAGAAGGAACGAGATAAATATCAAGATCTCCATAAGTCAATAACGGTACGTTGTTGGATCAACCTTGTAATGTCGGCCGGTTCTAACCTTGCAAGGGCTGTGACGATGTCTCCAAATCGGTCGAGTTGTATTTGAATGATTTTCAGACTGAATTGGGAGCGGTCTCGGCGGAAATTGAAACCCTCCAATCTCGATCCATCCAGTTGAATGCAATGCTGGAGAACAGACGGAATGTGGAACGTCTCCTTGGCCCTGCTGTAGAAGAGATCAGTATCTCTCCACGAACGGTGCGGGTGATTGCGGATGGTCCCATTGATGAGAATTGGGTCAAGGCCCTGAATGAGATAGAGAGCCGGTCGGCAAGTATTGAGGCCAAGGTCTCGGGATCAGGAACATCCAAGGTCATCGAAGACGTCCGGCCATTGTTAACGGATATCAAAAACAAAGTAAGCATTTCTCAGCCGTTGGCTGAGGTTGGCTGATGCTAATCAGTTACTTGCAGGCGGTCGAGAGGATCCGCGACTATCTTGTCTCCCAGATTAAAGCGTTTCGATCTCCAAATATCAATGCGCAAATCATCCAGCAACAGCGGCTGGTGAAATTCAAGGACCTATATAGCTATATCTTGCGAGCGCATCCTACGTTAACGGAAGAGATTACCCAGGCCTATGTGAACACTATGAGGTGGTACTACCTCTCTTATTTTACCCGCTACCTTCAAGCTCTTGAGAAAGTCAAGTTGTATCCGAGTGATCGCAACGAGATTTTGGCTGGTGATTCTTCGTCACAAAGGACAGGTGAGTCCCCAAACTCCTCGTGGCAACTGAGGGAAGAAAAAGGCTATCCAGATACGTGTGCTAAAGCGAGATTGTACAGGAAATCTGAACCCCAGTGCTCGGGCTGCTGCGGCTGCCCATGACCCGTTTTCGCTTGGCCGGAGAATGGACATCATTCGTACCAGTAATCATATGGCAATGTCTGCATATCTCGCCGAGGAAGACAACGCCGTACACGGAATTGAGGTTCCTTTCCGGAATTTCAATCTTGCCTTACTTGACAACATTTCAGCTGAGTATTCATTTATGACGGAGATGTTTGGTGCCTTGTCCTTCCATCAACTCTCGCGCAAGGCGGCTGAAATATTCGAGCCAGTATTTGCACTTGGGCAAACCCAGGCCAAGCACCTCATTGAGAACAGCACGGACTGTCTTGGTGTATTGATCTGCGTCCGACTCAACCAGCAGGCAGCATTTGAGCTCCAGCGACGAAAGGTTCCTGTTGCGGACTCGTATATCAACGGCATCAACATGCAACTATGGCCGAGGTTTCAGGTCATCATGGATTTGCAGTGTGAGTCGCTCAAACGAGCGGCGTCGGGAACGAACCGTGGAGCCATGTCTGCTCTTTCGATTGGCGCGGGTGATGATTCGAAGCACTCGTCCGCGCCTCACTTTCTCACACAGCGGTTTGGGCAGTTGCTACACGGTATCCTCGCTCTCAGCAGTGAAGCCGGTGACGACGAACCTGTGTCGAACAGCTTATCTCGCCTTAGTACCGAATTCGATGGCCTGTTAATGAAACTAAGCAGGAGCGGGGGCGACACGAAGCGACGGGAAAGATTCCTCTTCAACAATTACTCTCTCATCTTGACTATCATCAGCGTATGTATTTCAAACCAGGTTCTGTAAGATATGTGCGACTGACTTGAGGTACCACAGGATGCCCAGGGCAAACTCGCGATAGAACAGAGAAAGGTCAGTTTCTCCAGGGCACTTGCGATTACTCATGCCTAGGTAGTTTACTAACCTTGCAACTAGCACTTCGAAGAATTGCTAAAGAACTATGGGCGGCGCGGGTAGCATTCATCGTCAATGCTCAGTCAGGGTCAGCAATTGAATTGAACATATATCACTGATAATATCTTATTCTCATCCCACATCCCTGTACATAAATTTCTCTATGACTAGGTAGCTACTAGTACATTGTATGACTGGAGCCGAAAGCAACAGATTCAAAAGAACTCTGCGAAGATCGAGGAAGCACACGACGACTGCTTTTATCCGAATGGAAGGAGAAACTGAATTCCAACCTCTCATTCAACCCCTGCAATTTCTCCGCAAAGCATTTTGTTTGCAGTCGCCAAGCCCACACACAGTTTCGAGTCTGTTTCCGATAGACCTCTTGAAATTGTTGGTGCCCTCACTAGGAGAAAGACGCAGAAGATCGCCGTTTAACCACCTAGTCTGATGGCTGTCTGTTTCAGACCTGCGACCGACACCAAACATGGGGTGGCCTCGTGTGATATTTATTGCCGCTGGCTCACCAGTTATAGCTGGGACTAGAAACTCAGCAGACAGCTCTTGCCATGATTCTTTCCACCATCGCCGTGTGGTTCTTCACTCTGGGGCTGAGCAATGCTCGCTCAGCCCCCCTGGGCCACCGTCTTGACCGGTCTATCCTTCGTCAACAGTCTCAATCATCCTGTACCCCTTCTGCCGGCGGAAGCGAGTCTACCGATGACACACCTGCTATTGCTGCGGCCATCGCATCGTGCGGGGACGGCGGTACGATTGTGATCCCAGAGGGCACGACGTACTATTTGAACAGCTATCTCAGCTTTGCGGGCTGTGCAGACTGCATTTTCCAACTCGAAGGCCTGCTGCAGTTTACCAGCAACACTACGTACTGGAATGGCAGGACGGCCATGATTGAGGTTTCGGGAATCAGTGGCCTGACGATAGAGTCTACAACTGGAGCGGGGATTATGGATGGTAATGGCCAAGATTCGTAAGTATGATTCTCATCTTCTTCCTCTTCCTCATCCTCCTCATCCTCCTCCTCTGTTGATGAATATAGATGGGATTTGTTCGCCGAAGACAGCAGCTATGCACGCCCGACACTCTTGTACATTACCGGCAGCAGTGACATTACGGTAAAGGGCTTCCAGCAGAAAAACCCTCCCAATGTGTTCAACTCTGTCTCCGGCGGGTCGACCAATATCATCTTCTCTAACCTCGAAATGGACGCCACGAGTAACAGCGACAACCCTGCCGCGAACACCGATGGTTTTGATGTTGGTGAAAGCACATATGTGACCATCAAGGACGTGAAGGTCACCAATGATGACGACTGCGTTGCTTTCAAGCCCAGCTCCAACTACGTGACTGTTGAGACAGTGGAATGCATCGGCTCCCACGGCATCTCGGTCGGCTCCCTGGGTGAGGATGGCGACAACTGGGTCAAGAACATTTACGTCTCGAATGCCACCATGATCAACTCCACCAAGGCGGCGGGGATTAAGACCTACCCCAGTGGCGGCAGCCATGGCACATCCACGGTGACCAACGTGACGTTTACCGGCTTCACCGTGGACAACTGCGACTACGCAGTTCAGATCCAGAGCTGCTATGGCGAGACAACAGACTACTGTGAGGAATACCCCGGCAACGCGACCTTGACGGATGTGTATTTCGAGGGATTTAGCGGCACCACCAGCACCGCGTACGAGCCAGTCACTGCGAACCTCGACTGCGGTGCGGACGGCACGTGCGATGTCCAACTCGTGGACTATACCGTCGTTTCATCGGACGGGGAGAGTGAGGTTCTCTGTGCCAACACATCGTCTGATCTGGGTGTTACCTGTACTTCTGGGGCTTCTGGTTGACTTTTTTCGAAGACCATCATCTGTTTATTTGAAACGGTCTGAAACATAAAACTGCTAGGAGTAGGTAGTTTTGACCCAAAACAGTATCGAAAATGATCATCCTATGTCTGTGTTTCCAATAGACTTGACTCATTCCCAAGATATTGCACAGACAGTCTCCTTTATAGAAACCAGGATATTAGGAATATATCGATAAATACATGCTTATCCCTATTAGGTTAGATCGTGTCACTGATCGCGATAAGCAGCGGGACAACAATCGTCATCCCTCGATGGCCCTCGGAGCAAACGCTTCCACGATGCTAGAGGCACGATCCTCGACCGCTCTCTCTGCCGTGTGTGCTGCTGAGAAAGACCAGTCCCGGCAGCCATGGCCGTTCGTGTCGGCTTTGTACCACACCTTCTGCCGCTCCGACGCAGCTTCTCCAGCGCGCCCGTGAGAAGGGCCGACTTCACCCATGCGGTAAATGCCTCGTCTGGTTCTGTTGGTTGGATTGTTTGTCAGTGTCTAATGGTTTTTTGCTTACTGATAGGTTATCGGAGCTGGAGTTGTTGGACTCGCTGTCGCCCGGCGGTTGGCGTCGACAGAGGGCACGTCGACCATTCTCCTTGAACGGCATGCATCTCCAGGGACGGAGACCAGCAGTAGGAACTCAGAGGTATGGCCTTCCTCTTGCTCGTCCTATTCCTCTTCCTTTTTTGTTTGCTGCGTGCTGATATGTGCCAGGTCATCCATGCCGGTCTTTACTACGGAACCGATACGCTCAAAGCCCAATTGTGCATTCAGGGTCGTCAGATGATGTACGAGCTGTGCGCGAAACAAGGGATTCCACACCGCAACACGAAGAAATGGATTGTTGCGCAGGATGACGAGCAATGGGGGGCCTGTCTGCGGGTGCACAAACACGCGCAGTCGTTGGGGATCCCGACGCGGATTCTGAGCCAGGAGGAAGCGCAACGGCGCGAACCCGAGGTGCGGGCGCTGGCCGGGGTCGTGGAGAGCGAAAGCACGGGGATTGTTGACAGCCACTCGCTGATGACGTATCTGCACGGCGACTTTGAGAACAGAGGGGGTGACTGTGCGTTCCTGACGCCCGTAACGCGCATCGAGGCCCTGGACGGTGGGCGGGCCGGGTACCGCATCCACACGACCTCCGCCGAGGACGGCAGCGAGACCTCCATCACGGCGGAGACGGTGATCAACAGCGCGGGCAACTCCGCGTGCCATATCAACAACATGGTGCTGCCGCCGGCGCGACATCTCACACCCTACTACGCCAAGGGCACCTACTTCTCCTACTCGGCCTCCTTCCCGCGGCCGTCCGTGCTGGTCTACCCGGCCACCTTGCCCGGCCACGCTGGGCTGGGCACCCACCTCACGCTGGACCTGAGCGGCCGCATCCGCTTCGGCCCAGACACGGAATGGGTCGACGACCCGACCGACCTGCGGCCCAGCCGCGAGCGCCTCGCCACGGCCATCCCGGAGATCCGCGCGTACCTGCCCAACATCGACGAGGCGGCCATCGACCTGGACTACTGCGGCATCCGGCCGAAGCTGGCCCGCGGCGGCAGCTCCGTCAACAACGGCTCCGGGTTCCAGGATTTCATCATCCGCGAGGAAGAAGGGTTTCCGGGATTCGTCAACCTCCTGGCGATCGAGAGTCCGGGCTTGACCAGCTCGTTGGCGATTGCTGAGCGTGTCCATAGCCTTTTACATAAATAATTAGAGTATATAGCTAGCCATTCACTAGAGTCACCAATCTGTCCACTGTAGGAGTACTCTGTAGTAAGGTAGCCTCCATGTTGTACAAGATTAGGTTGGATCCGCATTGGGAAGTGGAAATATTTTCTTCGGCCGTAAAGTTTCCCTGTACTACACACCGAACACAATAAACAAACAAGAACCAAGAAACCATATCCGAGGCAATTGAAGCAATTACAACTATCTTTAAAATCCCTAATAAGTATGTGGACGGATAACCTTACTACTACTATTATGACTACTCTACTAACGAGACTAGGTAAATAATCCAACAATATGGACTCCACCTCGCCCATCGCCAAAAGGCAAAAACGGTTCCACGCCCCGCCCCGTCGCTGCTGGGACTGGATGCTAGTCAGTGGGAACAGCCATTATGCCAAAGACCGAGGCGCCTTCACGACGTACCGGGCTGTGAAGGACGGACGGGCGGGCGTGGCGCGCGTCGCGGGCGTGGGCAGCGTGGAATTGCGCGTGGCAGCGAGTCGGAGATTATCGATGGGTGGAAGCACGCGTTGAGCGTCTACATGACGCCGGAGGAGAGGGAGGTCTTGTTCGGGTGACTCTCTAGAAAACTGAATAATGTACAGTAGATAACTATAGCAAGGAGGTAATCATTTCTTTTTTATATATATATATATATATAAACTAGTCAACATCCATCAATACGTCGCTCATGATGTGCAGGACATAGGAGAATTTGCGAACACTCCATTTGCCTGCGTCTTTCAAGAGGCCTGCATAGTCGAGCAGAATGCGTCGCGCAGAGAGATAGCCGCCGCGAAAGGGAACTCCGCGCAGGTAGATGGTGCCTCCGTTGCGGATGAAATTGACGACTGCGTCGTCGCTCGGGGCGAACGACTGGCTGCCCAGCGGTTCCATGAAGCTGGTGAACCCTTCCGACCCGACCTGCTTCCAGTCGATGTCGTCAAACACTTCGATGGAGCTCGTGCCCACCTGTGACTCGGCCGACGGCGGCACCATGAACGTATACAGACCGAGGACCAGGGCGGCGTTGAACAGCGAGACCACCGAGTGAAACATGGTGTGGTCCGACGCTTTGCGATTGGTCATGGCCCGGTAGATTTGTGCGGCGTGCAGACAGGCCCGGCGCGCCGCGGGTGTCTGCGACCAGGCTGCGACATCGTCCAGGGCCTTGCGGGCTGGTCCAGGCCCCGCCCGACCCGCGGCCAATTCAAAGATTTGGATGTCTGCCGTCAACATCATGCACATGTGATGCCACATGATGGTCGAGTTCGGCGTGAGCCGCTCAAGCATCTCTCCATAGTGGTTCGCAACCTGCAGCTGCAGAGATGGGAGGCATCTGGCCCGTCCGTCCATGGCATACGTGTGGCAGGGAGCGAAAGGGTAGTGCGCCCGGTTCGACAGCAGGCGATGGTAGGATTCCGTCAATCGAAGCTCAATCATCGCCAGCACCGCATGCACGCCGAAGCCATCGACGGAGCTTTCTAATTTCGGCAGCTCGATGTTCTCCGACGGAGCCATCACCGTGGGCATCAAGATGCGCTTGCCGCTATGGACCAGCTGCATCCACCGCATGGAATTAGAGGCTCGGAAAAGCGAGCTGTCGCACGGCAGTATAAGCTGTACCGAGTCGGGCACGATGATGGGACCGGTCGAGAAAAACGAAGAGTACCATGAGTCGAGTAACAAGAGAGCGACGATCAGCCTAGTTATAAGTAAGTCTCATAATATAAACCGAAAAATAGGGGGGCATACCTCTTGACCGCTTCGACCCTGCTCCAGGCTTTCCACCGCAAGTCCATATCCGAGACCGCCTCAAAGAGACTCATGTCTAGGATCTGACCTTCGTTTGCCGCGAACAATCCATGTCGCTGTGCGATCTAAAACGAGACTTATTAACATTTCGGATTCAATCGAGAAGCGCCATTTTACGACGTACCGACATGAGATTTACGTAGAGCATCTGACACTGTTCCAGATGGTCTTTCTCCTATAAGAAGATCAGTACACTGAAAGACATGACAAGATAGAAAAGAAAAAAAAAAAGAGCATACCCCCGTCAAAGCAGCAAGGTGAAGAAACAAAAGAGCCGCGGCGAATGTCGACATAGTGTCTATAGGGTGGTTTGCCCCCAGCGAGCACCGCGTCAACTCTACGGTGAGCTTGTCGAGAACCGACTAGACAAAGATCAGCATACATGATCACCGCAGGGCCAAGGATAGAAAGATTTACGGTGAAATTCCTCGAAACAAAGTCGGTAGTGCCTTTGGTTCCCAGCATGACCATGCCTATCAGACACATGACGTAGAGCAGAGGGAGACGCGTCCTTTTCGCGTAGAAGGAAGGCAGATGCACAAAGGGCACGAGGGGATGAAAGTTGCGGAAGTACAGGTCGAGCGCCATATCGAGTACCTCGACTGGCGGGAAGGATGCGGGATTGGCGGCGGTGGTGGCCGCTGGTGAAAGATGATGAGGAGGAAGATGGGAGTCTGGATTCGAATCATCCAGCTGCGGGTGGTGAACGAGACGCAGCGGACCAAACATGGCGAGCAGGTGCTGTCTGCACTCCTCGTCCAGACCGTAGCGCAGAGCCTCACCCAAGTCGACTCGCTGGTCGGGGAAAAAGGACGGCTGGTCCTCTGGTTGCTGGGCGGAGAAGATACTGTCGAGCGAGCAGGTGGCGAGGTCTCGCCAGAGCGTGTTCATTAGCCGGCCTTTGTGGTTCGAGGGAGCCATCCAGCAGCGCTGGACCTTGGCAAACCGCTCGTTGGGGATGTCGTCGCCGGTCCGGATGCTGTCGCCGGGCTGCGGCGTGCCCTGCTGGTCCCCGAAGCTGGCCTGCGATCCGCTCTCCGCACACGGCTCCAACCACAGCTGTAACAGATCGTTCGGCATCGGGTCAGGCGCCCGCAGCCCCGGCGGATGCAGCGATACAACCTCGTTCCACCCGAGATACGACGGTTGCTGGCCCTCGATGGCCGTCGAGGGGTCGAGCCGCGGTTCCGTCCGGCGCTGGTGAGAGGAGATATCGGCGAGGAAGCCCAACGACGATGACGGAATGTTCGCGGGGGGTAGAGAGGTCATCGTCGCGGCCGCCTGGTGGGGGGTTCCGGTGAGCCCATCGACGCGTGCGGGGAGAGTATGGAGATCATCATTATTATTATTATGATTCAGAGCAACACCGGGCATAGCCGCCGTGGCCGCCATCGCAGACGGTCGCGAGGCCTGTGCCGACTCATCAACGGCATTATTCCTGCTGCGGACTGTCGCTCCGTTCGCTTGATTGTGGCCTTTTGCGTGTCGACCAAGGACGTCACTGTAAAAAAAAAATAATTTGTATTAGCAATCAGCATAGAGCGGCAAAACCAGACGCCTGATAGATCCCTGGACGTGCAAGAACAACAATACAAAAAGAAACTCTTCGCCGCTAGAACTCATACCTTCTCGAAAACCGCTTATGACAGACCTGGCACTCGTACGGACGCTCTTTGGTATCTGCTGGGCGGTTAGTCGGGGCAAGAAGAGCGAATTGCTTCGGCGGAGCAGCGTGTGGAGAGAGGGGAGGGAGGAGACGACTAACGCGAGCGCTCGTGGCGCTTAAAGTGCTCTGTCTTCTTGAAGCGGCGGTCGCAGATGGTGCACTTCTTCAAGACCATGGCGAGACGCGCATAGAAGGCGAGATTGATGGCATCGCCAGCTCGCCGGTGGTTACTTGGTGGTTCGTTGGTTTGGTTCGGTTGGTGGTGGTGGTGGTGGTGATGAGAGAGAGAGAGAGAGAAAGGGGGGAGATTGGAATGGACTAGTCAGTCCCGTGTTCATGACTTAATGATGAGAAGGAATAACTAGGAATCAAGGAAATCTGTATTTTTTTCCTTAAAAAAATTATTTCGAGTGAGTTATATCCTATTCTTCTCTCTTATAGATATCCTGCTGTAAATATAAAAATATAAGGATTAGTGGTCCCCTCATGGTGGGGAAGAAGAAGAAGCTCCATATGGGGTAGAGATGGGCATAATCTGGATACTAACTATTAATTATGGCACTACTAGGAGAAAGGAAAATGAATAAAAATAGTGGTAATTATGTACTAGGCAAGAGCGAGAAATAGATGAAGAAAGTTACTGTTTCACTGGCCCAGCTTTCTGGATTTGCGACCGGAGGAAACCCAGGACGCATTTGCAAACCCCCTCAGACGAATGGGCCACTCCGTCCACCACATCAAACTGTGATTGAATGGCATGCTTGTTCCACGAGGTCTCAAGGTCTCGCAAGGATCCGAGCCGGCCCTTGTCCATATAGGGCACCGCGCCGCCGTCGTCGTTGTCGTCGCCGCTGCGGCGGCCTGCTTTGACATGCTGCTGCACCCAGGTGCGGAACTCGTTGCTTCCATGCAGCTCGACGTCCTCACTGCCGCACACGAGCTGGATCTCAACCTCGCGCAGACGCTCCGGATGGAATTTGAGTTGGAAGACCTCCTCGACGTCGGCAACGCCTCGCGGCCACGCCTGCTGGTCATCCAGAAGCGTCACCCGCCCGGGGGCCCCAACGCTGACGGCATGCAGGCGTTCGGGATGCAGATAGAGGAAGCGATGGGCAAACTGACCGCCACCCGAGAAGCCCATCAAATAGACCTTATCCGTGGCGATGCCCGGCCAGCGGTGCGCAATCTCCTCCAGGATCGACAGCAGCGCCAGGTCGGACCGCAGAGACGGCGAGCACAGCTGTTTGTACGAGTCCAGATCGTTGGGCCCGTCCAGACCAGCGGGATACAGAGGCGCAACAACCGCGCAGCCCGTGGCGTCTGCGAACTGGGGTAACTGCCGGTGCATCAGCGCAAGGCTGCGCCGCGTGCCGTGCACATGCACCAGCAGAGGCAGTGGTTTCCCCCTCGTCGACGCGTCCCCCGTCGGGTTCTTGTAGTGCTCCGGTGGTACGTAGAGTGCATATGAAATACGCGGGTCGCTCGCCAGCGCCTTCTGCGGGACATGTCCGACCATAAATGCTGCGCGGAGAAATTGCGGCGGTATCTGGGCGGTGGTCCAGGCTTTGGACGTTTGAGCAGTCGTATTATTATTGTCAGTCGTCATCGTGATCTGGAATTGTTCTTGCAGCGACGCTGGAGGCAACCTAGACACCGTTGGAATGTGGTAAGTGGTTTTTCTTTGGTTTTAAGCGATTCGGCCAGCTGTCTGTCAGTCATCCTTCCAGCACCGCTATCTATAGGACCTCCCTAGTCGACTTTATCAGTCTACTCCAGAGTAGAATTTCTTAAATCCATAGTCCTTAGATTCATTAGAAAAATAAATCAGGTCAAGACAGTTGACTGAACCCTTCTTGCATTGTTGTTCATGAGACCGTGTAGCCAGTAGATAGTATCTGGTCGACGCCAGCATTTGATGTCTTCTTGGGTAAACCTCTTTCTCCAGCAGTTGATACCTGCAGACTTGAGCCTTGAAGTATAGTTGACTGCTTATTAGCTACCGAATAGTTCGTTGGTTGCCCACTCCTTCCTACCTTCGTTCGGGTTCTTCGTCGGTAGAATCGCCCGGTAGATGCCGAAGGAGAGTTCCGATTTATCACCTTCCGACAGTTCTTCGGAACGGATCACCAACGACGTTGCCGGTATTAATTCTGCTGGATACGTGTCTATTCGGGTTCTCGGTAGCCGTGATAGACACCACAGTCTGTAGAATCGCCCGTAACAGCTGCATTGCAGGGTGCAGTTATATAGCAGTTGATTGTTCTGAGTATCTCCACCGTCTGGGGCCTGCCAGGCTGAGTCAGCCCAGCACGTGAGTGTCCAATCAGATGACCAGCGACTGCCCACCACGTGACCCGGCAAAGCGTTTCCGCCCGTTTCGCGGATAAGCGCCCTTCCGGCTGATCGGGAGAAACGCCTTGCCGAAACGGACGGCTGGGGAGAGGGTCGGAGAGAGAGCTGGGGAGAAATACGGGGTCGATTTCTTTCCTCTTATTACTCGCGCGATTTCCCTTGGTGTCGTGTTCTCTCGTGTCTCTCTACAGTCAGTAACCATGGCCAAGGGAGCGGTTGCGGTGTTCCGCCCCGTCTGGCGGCGGAACTTCTCGGCCTCGACGGCACACCGCGCGATCAACAAGGTCTGTGACTCGGCTCAGGAGGCTGTCAAGGACATGAAGGGTTCGTCGACCCTGCTTGTCGGAGGCTTTGGTTTCTCGGGCGTGCCCAACACCCTCATCAATGCGGTCCGCGACCGTCCTGATATCAGCGATCTCACCGTCGTCTCGAACAATGCTGGAATGCCCGGAGCTGGTCTTGGTGAGTGGGACACCACTGAGTAATAAAGGCAAGGGGAAGACGAAGACGAAGACTGACAGGGGGTTTGAAGGTCAATTGCTCGAGTCGAAGCAGATCAGCAAGATGATTGCCTCGTTTATCGGAGAAAACAAGGTCTTTGAGAAGATGTACCTGACCGGCGAGCTGGCCCTGGAGCTCACGCCGCAGGGCAGCATTGCGGAAAAATGTGCGGCTGGTGCGGCTGGCGTGCCGGCCTTCTATACCCCGGCAGCTTATGGAACTATTGGTAGGTTGTCTGCCTCCCAAGGGCGAGGGAAAAGGTCGGTTGACTGACTTGTTAGTGCAAACTGGTGAACTCCCCGTCCGCTACAACAAGGACGGTACTGTGGCGGAGTACTCCAAGCCCAAGGAGACCCGCGAATTCAACGGCAAGAACTACATCATGGAAGAATCGATTTTCGGCGACTACGCTCTGGTCAAGGTCCACAAGGCCGACAAGCAAGGCAACTGTCAGTTCCGCAAGGCAATGAACAACTTCAACGAGGCCATGGCCAAGAACGCCAAGGTTACCATCGTCGAGGCCGATGAGATCGTCGAGGTCGGCGAGATCGACCCCGAGAGCATTCATCTGCAGAGCATCTATGTCGACAAGGTCATCAAGAGCACCGAGAAGACCCAGATCGAGAAGCTTACCTTTGCCAAGGACCCTAGCGAGCTTCTTCAGGCGGGTGCGTCACTTCAGTTCCTTTATATTCTTTACTGTCTTTTTTTTTTTTTTTTTCCACGGCTAACTCTTTAGGCTCCGGTGATGCCACTGCCCGTCGTGAACGTATCGTCAAGCGCGCCGCCAAGGAATTCAGAGATGGAATGTACGTCAACTTGGGTATCGGCATGCCGTTGATTGCTCCCTCGTACCTGCCGGAAGGCGTCGAGGTCGTCCTGCAGGCTGAGAACGGAATCCTGGGTCTGGGAGGTTACCCCCAGCCTGGCGAGGAGGACCCGGATCTGATCAACCCCGGCAAGGAGACCGTTACCCTGGCCCCCGGTGCGTCCGTGTTCGGCTCTCAGGAGAGCTTCGGTATGATTCGCGCTGGAAAGATTGACTTGACCATGCTTGGTGCTCTCCAAGTCAGCCAATACGGAGATCTCGCCAACTTCATGCTCCCCGGAAAGGTTAAGGGTGTGGGCGGTGCTATGGACCTGGTTGCCAACCCGGAAAAGACCAAGGTCGTCGTTACCATGGAGCACGTCGACAAGAAGGGCAACCCCAAGATTCTGGCTGACTGCACGTTCCCCCTGACTGGTCCCCGCTGCGTCTGGAAGATCATCACCGACCTGGCCGTCTTCGAGGTCAGCCCGACTGAGGGTCTGACTCTCGTCGAGCACGCGGAGGGCGTCACCGTCGACGAGATCCGCAGCAAGACCGCTGCTCCCTTCAAGGTCGCCGATGATCTCAAGCCCATGCTGTGATTGCGTTTCAATCCACGATATCTCATGTACCACTTTGCTAAAAAGGCCTATGGAGTTCTGATATAATAGAATATATACATTTTCCCATTCCTTTCGTTCTTCGAAAAAGAAAAAAAAAGGTTCTAGAAGCCACCATAGGTGCAGTACATACAAGATGGGAGATGGGAGATAGCGGTAGGGGTTACTACCTACAAATCAACTCTATACTATATGCGCGCTGGATGAACGACACTCATGTTCCCCGTCACGATGGTCTTAAGCTGCAGATAGTCATCCACGCCGTACTTGCTGCCTTCTCGGCCTAGACCAGACTGCTTGATGCCTCCGAATCTATAGCAAACCATGTTAGTCAGAATACCAACAGTTGTTGAGAGAGGGAGTGAAGAGAGAATTCAAGAAAGGGGAAAAAAAAAACTTACGGCGCCGCGACATCGGAAATGACGCCCGTGTTCAATGCCACCATGCCCGTCTGCAGCAGTTCCGAGACCCGAGTCGCGCGAGCTGCTTCCTGCGTGAAGACATACGCTGCGAGACCGACCTCGCATCTGTTTGCGGCGGCAATCACCTCGGCTTCGGAATCAAAGGGCTGGATGGCTGCCACGGGACCGAAGATCTCCTCGCTGACGATGCGCATCTCATCGGTGACATTGGTTAGGATCGTTGGTTCAAAGAAGTTTGGACCTGCCGTTCATTAGTCGATTTCTAAAATTACCAAGGACTAGTTTTAATTAGAAAAAGGGCTTCCCCATTGTAGCTTACCCAAAGCGTGCAGTTTCTTGCCTCCCAGAACCACCTGGGCACCCTTCTGGACAGCATCATCCACCAGGCCGGCTACCTTGTTCACAGCGTTGGCGCCAATCAAGGGTCCGTGTGTGGTTGTGGCTTCATGGCCGGACCCGACACGAAAGCCCTGGACTGCCTCCACCAGTCGCTTGAGGAACTCATCGTACACTCCTCGCTGGACGTAGATGCGATTAGCGCAGACGCAAGTCTGCCCGGTAACCTTGAACTTGGCCACCACGGCGCAACTGACGGCGACGTCTAGGTCGGCTTCGTCAAAGACAATGAAGGGGGCGTTGCCCCCGAGCTCGAGGCTGACCTTCTTGATCGAGTCGCTGCACTGCTTCATGAGCAGTCGCCCGACGCGTGTCGAGCCTGTGAAGGAGACCTTGCGTACCCGCTCTGAATAACAGAGCGCCTGGCCGATCTCCGGCGTGTTTTCGTGCGCGTTCACGATGTTGAAGACGCCTGGCGGGACTCCCGCGCGTGCCCCGAGAATCGCCAGGGCAATCGCAGAGAAGGGCGTCTCCCCGGCCGTCTTGACCACCACCGTGCATCCGACGGCGAGAGCGGGCCCCAGCTTGCGTGCGATCATAGCGGCAGGGAAGTTCCATCTAGAAGATTTCGAGTCCCCAACCGTCAGGAATACCGCCATCATTCACAATACTTAGATAAACTCACGGAGTAATCAAGCCGCAGACACCAACCGGCTCCTTCAACACCGACACCCGGAAGGCAGACGAGCTGTGCGGGATCACATCTCCGTACACGCGAGGAGCCTCCTCGGCGAACCACTCGAGAAAATTGGCAGAGAGGTTAACTTCGCCTACTGCGTCCGCCTGAGCCTTGCCATTCTCTGCTGTAATCAACTTCGCCAGGTCGTCCTTGTTCTCCATCACCAGATCATACCAGCGGCGAAGAATCCGCCCTCGCTCCCTCCCAGAGCGAGATCGCCAGGCTGGGAAAGCCGCATCGGCTGCATGGATGGCCTTTTCAGCGTCCGCCGCTGTAGACTCAGGGCAGGATCCCAGGAGAGAGCCAGTCGCGGGGTCTGACAAGAAAATAACAACGATTAGCAGCGAAATCGATAAGCATTTCCTTAGGGACTCCTTACCAAACACATCGAATCGCTTGCCCGACACAGACGGTACCCATTCACCGTTGATATAGTTCTGATCAGCTACCAGCGAGGGATCTTTCAACAAGGTCTTGAGTGCCATCGTGAGCTGTGTGTTGAGCAGTTTGGAGTGGACGCTGAAGTTCTGGCATTTGGTGCTCTTCCCCCCGTCTTATCTTCGGCCAGGAGAACAATTTCTCCCCCTCTTTCGCCCTCATCTCTCCCCTCACCCCGCTCTCCACTCGCTATCCAAGCTATCAGTCTCTTAGTCAGGCTAATTTCTGAAGGATTCCTTCGACTTGAGTGGTCTGGAATATTCCATTCAGACGACTACATAATCCACCGTCGGCTCGGTTCCGAACGAGCTGGACCAGCTCAGTTTCGGCGCCGTCTGTGGGTGCTGCATGCTCCGAATACTGCAGATAACGCGGCCTGCATGAAGCAGAAACCGAGAAAGCAAAGGGGAAAAATGCAATAATGCCACATCATCTGCAGCAGGTTCGGAACTCGGACCATTTGTGTCGTTGTCGGTAAATATATAATGGGGTTCTGTGCCTGGGCAACTTGAGGTATAAAATCCTAGTGGGAGATCGCGAGCAGTTGAGCTTCTTATTATATTTTTTACGTGACTAACTCATACTCCGTACTTGGACAGAATCGAGGAAAGAAGAAGAATTTTTGAAGAAAAAATGACACGCCTTGTCGAGACAGTCGATCTCTCCAACACCTCCACGGCTTACTTTGCACCGGCCACTGTCACCCAAGCCAACGGTGGTCTCATTCATATTTCTGGCCAGCCGGGGAGTACCAAGGATGGCCATGTGCCTGTGGACTATGAGTCCCAGATCCACCTGGCGCTCTTTAACCTCCGCAAGGTCATCATTGCTGCGGGTGCGAGTGTGCGAGACATCATCAAGCTGACTCTGTTCGTTGTCGACTACGATCCGGCCCAAAGGAAACACACCCGGCATGTCGAAAAGTTCCTGGCAGGCCACCGTCCGGCCGTCACGCTCGTGCCGGTTTCGCAGCTGGCTGGGGCCGGCTGGCTCTTCGAGGTCGACGCTGTTGTTGCGCGCCCGGAGGAGAAAGCCATGCTGGAATCCCCCAGGACTCAGGGTGCGCAAGAAAAGCCCGTCGATGTGGTGATCATCGGGGCGGGTCTTGCCGGACTGACGGCTGCCCATGACATCCTGCGCGCAGGGCTCTCTTGCGTCGTGCTGGAGGCCCGCGACCGCGTGGGCGGCAAGACATGGAGCCAGCCGTTGTCTGGGGACCAGGGTTTCGTGGAGGTGGGCGCCGCTTGGATCAACGATACGAATCAGACCAAAATGTACGCGCTGGCGAAGCGCTTTGGGGCCGAGTTCATTGAGCAGAATACCACAGGTAACTGTGTGCTCCAGGACAAAAAGGGAGCCTTTGTGCAATTCCCGTACGGCCAGCCGCCCACGGTGAGGAATTTTCCCATCTGAAGTCAACGAACAATTAAACTGATTTGATTCTTTTTTTTCTGCGCTTCTCGCTAGTTTGACGACCCTGCCATGGTACAAGACCTGGTTCGTATTTGGGAAATGTGTGAGGCGGACTGCCAGGCTCTGGACATCGCACGGCCGAAGAGCACCCATCTCGATTCGATGACTTTCGAGGCCTACCTCCGCTCGCGCGGAGCCAGCGAGACCAGCCTCGCCACGGCTTCTATTTGGACCCGCGCAATGCTCGGCCAGGAGCCGAGCGAAGTATCTGCGCTCTACTTTCTCAGCTATTGCCGGTCCGGAGGTGGTCTGCTCCAGATGCGCTCCGATCGCAAGGGTGGCGGGCAGCATCTGCGCATTCGGCAGGGGACGCAGCTCTTCGCCAGGGGACTTGCCGACGCACTGCCCGTCGGAACAATCCGTCTTTCAAGCCCGGTGGACGCTATCGAGCAGGTAGCTGGGACCAGAACGGCCCATGTCCATGCCAACGGCGCCCTATTTGTCGCCCGGAAGGTCATCTCGACGGTTCCCAGTCCGGTGTTGAAGAGCATTTCATTTACACCCAGCTTACCTCCTGCGAAGCGTGCCTGGATCGAGTCTGCCAGCTATGGCTACTATACCAAAGCAATGATGGTTTTCCGTACGCCCTTCTGGATACCAAAGGGATTCTGTGGCCTCACACAATCCTTCGTCGGCCCGGCCGCCGTAATCCGTGACACAAGCAGCCCAACCGATGACAAACATATCTTGACCTGTTTTATGGCCGGAGACCACGGCCGGCAATGGTCTGCGCTGCCGACCCCAGCCCGCGAACAGGCCCTCCTAACACAGATCGGCCAGCTGTTTGGCGTCAAAGACTCCGTCGCCCACGAGTTCGTCGAGATGATCACCTACGAGTGGATCAATGACGAATACTCGGGCTGGGGTTGTCCCTGTATCGCTCTCCCGCCCGGTGTGATGGACACGCTTGGCGCCGACACCCCGAGAGAGTCCTTCGGACACCTACACTTTGCCGGGACGGAAACTGCAGTCGAGTGGAAGGGCTACATGGAGGGGGCAGTCCAGAGCGGCGAGCGGGCAGCAGGAGAGGTGATCAAACGCCTGCAGGGGGGTGTCGTTGCCCATCTGTGAGTGGGAACAGGCCAGGAGACTGCATTAGTTACCAAGGTACTACATAGGTAGGTAGTTGTATATATGCATGCATACAATAGACAAGACTCGAGAATCTCCCTTTGGAACCGACAGTATGTAAAACAGATAAACAAGAATGCAGCGAGTGGCGATAGATCGTAAGTTCCAATACGGGGTACTCCTTCTTTTCCTCTATCTCATGCGAGGAGAGCAAGAGAGCATCTATACGCCTGCAATTTCAGGCATTAAGATTATATAAGCAAAACACGTGCCACATCTTTCCTTATCAGGACTCGGTTCCTGCTCCTTCCCTTCTTGGCGATGCTCGCATCTTGACCTCCTCATGGAGCAGCAACAGCAACAGCAACAGCAGCAGCAGCAGCAGCGAAGACGACAACAGCGAAAGGCCTGAAACCTCTGCCGCCGCCGCAAGGTCCGCTGTGACACTGTGATCTGCGAAGGCGCGCCCTGCTCTGTCTGTTTGAAGGCAGGCGCGGAGTGCCGGTGTGTGATGCAAGCGAGATAGCTATTACCAGCGACGGGGAAAGACTGACACACTAGGCGAGATCGACTACAAAATGGACTATCCCGCGTCGTCGGGGCGTGAGGGGAAAACCGTCTATGGACGATGACGGCCATGGTCACGCGAATGGGGATGAAGTCGACGCACGATCTGACTGCTGAGGTCGCGTCGTTTCCGGCGCCAGAGGTATGCGACGCCTTGGTTGCCTACTTTCAACACATTCGCCCTTTTATTCCGGTCATCTCTATGCCCGAGTTTCTTGAAAGGTATCGGACACCAGACCAACCGCTATCTCTGCTGCTGTTACAGGCGGTGCTGATGGCTGGAACGCACGCTTGTTCCCATCCACTGGTCTCCAGTAACCGGTATTCGGTCAAGAACATTCTCTTTCGCCGGGCAAGCATGTTATTCCATACCCACCATGAGACGGATCGTATCCATCTCATGCAGGCTGCAGCTCTATTCACCTGGCATGTCGGTGATGGTGACACGGTTGCGGGTGGGCCATGGTACTGGTTTGGTATCGCTGTGCGCATCGGCTGCGGACTGGGCACACATCAATACAGCACAGGCTTGCTCGCCAAAGAGCGTGCCCCAATATTGGCGCTGCTGGTGGTCGGCCTTTGTCTGCGAAGTCTTCTCGTCTCTTGAAACAGGAAGGCCCTGTGCGATCCGGGCGGAGGATATTGACCAATTGATCTTTTCTGTGGATGACGCAACAGAAACCTTAGGGACTCTCATACCACCGCCTGGTGCGGATGTAGGTCTTGATTTCCTTAATCGCATGGTTGAACTAGCCTACATTGGACTTTATGTATTGGCCGCGAATGCCCCGTCACTGGAAAGATTGGTCGACATCAGCTCCATCAACGCCCGCCTAGGTCTGTGTTCACTCCAATCCGGCATTCTATCCGTCACGGAGAAAGACTTCCCATGGACTCACCACCCGCGAATGCACTATAACTTCATTTTGCTCCATCTACACCGCGACTTCGACGATATATCTGGCAGCCAAACTGTCCGTTCTACCGTTGCACAGGTCTGTTTACCTCACTTGAACAGCTCGCCGCTCAGCATGCGCTACAACAGTGCCCTTTCACCCGCGTTAGTGCTGTGACCGCGGCTGGTATACAGCTTGCTGGCGAGATTCGAACCGCCGTGGCTACCCGGACGTTCCTCATCGCAATCCCCGCTCTCGAGCGCCTGGCGACCCTGCTCCGATGTACCTCGATGTTGGCTCTGTACTGGCCTGCTGCCCACGCCGTCCACAGTATTTTCAAAGAGGCTCACCAGGAGTACGATAAATACGTCACACAGAACCTGCAGGGCGAACAGGTTTCCATGCCGGAGACCTTGACTGATTGGAATCGATTGTTTGCTGGATCTCAGATGCTGCAGCAAGTGGGTACCGATCAAGAATAGTTGAATCATTGGACCACTCCCTTCTAAGGGTGTGGATCTAGACTAAGATCTGCTGGGTTTGGCATACACACTGCCCAGCTCTATCCCGAGTAGGAATACTTCTTTTTCTTGTTGAAGAAAAGAGAGCCCCGAGCTGACCCAGAGAAAATCGTAATAGCATTATATCATGGAACTATATATCATCTTGATATAAAGCGTGATTCAAGTTAAAATTACCAAAGAAATTGTTGTTGAAATTTGACTGGCGGTGCCCCGGGCCAGTGACTGGGCTCCTGAAAACCGCCGGGACTGAACCCTCCAAACCCTCGTGTCTGAGGCGGACTAAAGAAATCCAGCATCAGATGAACCGGCGCGTTTCCTGGCACGGCGTCCATCACCCAGTCTGCACTCCGCTTGCGACTCTCAGGCGGAATCACTGTCAAGGTGTGTGTTACGCGAGCATTGTTGTTCATATGCGCTTCGGGAGCAAGTGGCAAGACTGTCTCATCTTGGGGGATCACATAGGCGTCAACGTGAGGTGTTGACGTGGTAGGTGGAGCTGTCCGCGCAGTGAACTCCAGCGGAGGCTGGCTGTGGATAGGTTCGGGTTCGTGCTGCGATCGTCTCAAGGTACCATTTCTACCAACTGCCGCCGATGTGTCAAGGTTCTGCCGAACCCTTGGTGGGCTCGTAGACAGATCCGATTCATCCGAGTCGGCCGTCTCCGAGTCGGCTTCCATTGAGCCCAGGCGCTGATGGCTGAGACAGTCATGTTGCCATCTCCGCAGGCTAGCGGCTGTGTCCAGAGGGAAATTCTTCCAGTAGTCGACGCCACGTTTCCCCAGCCTGGAGAATGGGTTGTATACCGAGCCGTCTTTGCTGCGGCTTCGTTTGTTGGTCCGCGCTGGTGAGGCGACGGTGGAGAGCTGTGCGTCGGAGACCTGGGAAAGGACTCGCAGCAAGATGCTCTCTGTTTCGTGCAGGCGATGCTCCAAGGCTTCAATGTAGCCTTTAGCCGGTCCCCTGCTCCCATGGTACTATTAGACGGCTGTTCTTTTGAACTCCTTGTATATCATATTTCTTGGGCAATGGATCTGCATCATCACATACCGTTTGAGTTGCTCTGGCCAGTCGCACGGTCGATTGTATTCGAGACATTGTGCGCACACCGGTCTAGGAGGAACACCCCTTACATCAGCTCCTATGCTCTCTCTTTCGCCCATGTGCCCCGTCCCGTAATGGATCACCGGTATGGGGAAAAATTGCTATCTTATCACCTTTGGCCACCACACTATAACAGCGCGTGCTTCCGCGTCAGCCATGAGCTTATACACGCCCACGCCCTAACTATCCCTTTGGATTCGCAGCATATCTCACCTTCTGCTTGCGAGAACGGCATGCATTACACGCTGTTGTGATACGCGACGCTTTTTTCTCGCGTAACGTCGGAGGCATGGCGGGCATGGAGGCTCGAAGGATGAGTTGAAGCTGTTAAATAGGAAGACGACCGCTCAACAGCACTATTGCCGTGGATTGTGAGCTTCTCTTGCGAAGGATCTCAATGCCCCGCAATGGCGATCTGTGAGAAATGAGGGGGGGGAAAAGAAGCTGACACCAGAAGCTCGACGAGGAGGCGAAGCTTGTCGTCGCCCTTCTTGAGCGGGGAAAATGAAACGGCTGAAGGTTCTACCGCGACGCGCCTTGACGTCGTCCTCACCGGTTCGCTGCCAGGCTCCCAACGGCAATATCGCACATTGGACGTTTTGCAGGCTGAAGGTTCAAGCTGATCCTTTCGGACAAACGAGAGCAGCCGTGGGCGACGGGTATTCGCCTGATTACCGTCCAGCAAGTGTTGGTTATAAAGCGCGATGCATGACCTGGCGGCGCAACGAAGCCATACGGCAAGGGACACTCTTTAGGCGGTCGCGGTCGTGGTCTATTCACTTTCTTTTTAGTCTCGATAGCTCATTTGACGATGGTTTCCAAAACGTCATCAACAACGTATCGGGTGGCGTCGATTCCTGGGGATGGAATCGGCCCTGAGGTGGTGAATGCCACGATCCAGGTGGTCGAGAAGCTCGCGAAGAAATTGGGGACCTTCAAGATCGAGTTCACGCACATTCCCTGGGGGACGCAGTACTACAAGAAGAATGGCCAGTATGTCCCGGCAGACTGTCTGGAGACGCTACGGAAATTCGATGCGGGATTGTTTGGGGCCGTCGGCGCACCGGGTAGGTCTGTCTAGAACGAGATTTATTCGAGTAGAGAGAGGGAGAGAGAGAGAGAGAGAGAGAGAGAGAGAGAGAGTTCCCCTGATTTTAACTGCAAATGCAGATGTTCCCGACCACATCTCCTTATGGGGTCTTCTGTTGGCCATCCGTGGCCCCCTTCAACTGTACGCCAATGTCCGCCCCGTGCGCACTTTCCCCGGGACCCGATCGCCTCTGGTCACGGCCACCAAGGGCATTGACTGGATGCTGGTGCGCGAGAACTCGGAGGGCGAGTATGCCGGCCAGGGTGGCCGGTCTCATCTCGGACAGCCGTGGGAGACGGCGACAGAGGTGGCCATCTTCACGCGGGTGGGCATCGAGCGCATCATGCGTTTTGCCTTTGAGATGGCGCGCTCACGCCCGCGCCGCCTGCTAACGGTAGTGACCAAGAGCAACTCCATGAGGAACGGGATGGTGCTCTGGGACCAGATCGCCGCGGAGGTGGCGCAGGATTTCCCCGACGTGACGTGGGACAAGATGCTGGTAGACGCGATGACGGTACGGATGGTGCGCAACCCGGAGTCGCTGGACACGATTGTCGGCACCAATCTCCACATGGACATCCTGTCGGATCTGGCGGCCGCGCTGGCTGGGTCGATCGGCGTGGCCCCCTCGAGCAATCTGGACCCGACGCGCAAGAACCCGTCGCTGTTCGAACCGGTGCATGGCAGCGCGTTTGACATCACCGGCAAAGGGGTGGCCAACCCGGTGGCCACCTTCTGGTCCGCGGCGGAGATGCTCTCCTGGCTGGGCGAAAAGCACGCTGCCCAACAGCTGATGCGCTGTGTCGAGAATGTATGCAAGGCTGGCATTCTCACTCCCGATCTCGGCGGCTCCTCGAATACGCAGGGGGTGGTGGACGCCGTCTGCGCGCAGATCGATCGGTTGTGATGTGCTTTTTTCCTTTTCCTCGTCTCTTTCTTCGTTTCTTTCTTTCTTTCTTTCTTTCTTTCTTTCTTTCTTTCTTTCTTTCTTTTCATTGTTGCTTGGATAGAGTCTCCTTATTAATATCTCTGTGTGGCATTCTGACTGTATCTCTGGAGGCTCTGTGACCCTGTTTTACATAGAAGTCGACGCCAAAAAATACCAGCCTTTCTACCCGTATCTTCGCTGTCCTCTGTTCCCTTTTTATGAACATGCGAGTGTGTCTCGTGCATGAAGGACCAGCATTATTCTACTCCTGCCCAGACTTTGCTCAACTTCCACAATTCCACCTCCTTGGCCTCATCAAATGCCCAACTGCCATATCCATATTCCATGGCATCGCCGTCCGAAGGAGCCGGATGGATTGCCACGGATGCTCCTTCCAGATAGAGTCCGCCTTTCCCTTCCAGTTCGCTCGAGACGGCGCCATAGACGGTCGTTGCGCAGGCCTGGTCGAGACTAGCCAGATATGCTAGAGCGCGCTTGTCCTCCAGCACCGCTTTCATTTCTTCCTGGGAATGTTTTTGGAGGTTGGGGCTAACGAAGGCCCCCGGATGCACGCTGTAGCCGTGAAGACCTTGTGCTCCATACAACCGCTCGATCTGGTTGGTCATATAGATATTGGCCGTCTTGCTGGATCCGTACGCTAGCCAACCATTGTAGTTTCCTTCAAAGTTGACATTGTCCAGAGGAATAGGACTGTAACGGTGGCCGGCCGAGGAAACGCTGACAACACGAGAGTGGAAGGTGGGCGTGCAACGGGCGGTTTCCAGTAGAGCCTCCCTCAGTAGATAGAAGAGCAGGAAGTGAGACAGGTGGTTCGTCCCAAACTGTAGCTCAAAGCCGTCTTTGGTACGGCTCTCTGGGGTGTTCATCACCGCAGCGTTGTTGATGAGAATATTGAGCTTCGAGCTCTGTTTGAGAAACTCCTCAGCACACGCCCGAACACTGGAAAGGTCCGTCTGGTCCATAAACAGAAGCTTGACCCGTCCAGTATCAAGCAGATCCCCCAGGGCCTCCTTCGCCTTGTCGAGATTCCGGGCTGTGCCAAATATCGTCGCTCCAGTGCGTGCCAGGACGCGCACAGTCTCAACCCCGATTCCCGAGGACACACCGGTAATCAGAACAACCTTGTCGCCCCATTGACTCACTAGTCCTTCGTCTTGGATGATTTCATTCCCCGTTGCACGCGAGTCGCCGGGGCCGTTGAGAACTTCCCACCGGTTTCGCTCGGCATACCGGCCTGAGAGCTGGAAAGGGACTCTAGAGACCATCATGCTGGCGAAACTGACGATGAGGGATGCTCGACTGGGTTGAACAGACTGAATAAGGGGTCAAATAAAGCATTGTTCATTCTGTTTGGGGGGATGGTAGCCGGGTCTCGGGTCTGCGTTTTAAAGACGACAAGAGCAAATAGATGGCGGGCGGAGATAATCAGACGTCGCCCAATTGAAGAAAACTCGCTCCACCTCTAGCTTGGATCTTGGTTCTTATCTGAATTAGACCCAGTTGGCTGATGAGAGATGCTGAGGTGGCTTACGAGAGATGCTGATGCAAGCATCTTCAGTGGGTGGAAGGAGAGTCGGTGTCTTCCAGGACTGGAAACGGCCGAGGCAACGTCAACCTCAACAACCACTCCAACTTGCACCAGAAGAACGGTATGTTGCTACTAAAAATCCATCTCTTCCGAGCGGAATTATGACTGAAGATCATCATTTAGTTAGGTTAATTGTTCGGCTATCATCCAATGAACTGTCCTTCAGCTCTATTGAACCCTAGAAAGTGATCTACAGCCTTGAGCATTCGCAGCGAGCTCTTTTGAACAAGGATCGATTATCGACGAAATGGCGGATGGACAATTGGGGAGAGAACCACCGAAGTCAAAGGGTAAAACGAGCTCTTGATTGATCAAGTTGAGCAACATGTCGCCCGGTATTGACTGAATTCGGTTTCTATCAGATCCCACGTTTCGGAATGGAGTTGTGCACTTAACAAATAACCACCATCAAGGTCATCTCGACCGTAGATCATAAACGCATTGGGAGGGGTATTGTTCTTTCCTATCGCCGCTCCCCAATACCATACGCAGGTACCAGGTGGAGAAGTGCTGTTGACAGGTCGGGGATCTCCTTGAGTAGTGATTACTGCAGGAGAGAAGTTCACTGACTTCTGGATCCTAGCCTTTGACCAATTCGACCACGCGATAACTTGGGAGGCCGAATCTCCAAAAAGGGGCATGAGACCCGTCGATGCGATTGCTGCGCGCATGACTCTCATCAGCCTGCGAGCTTGCGCACCGGTAGCTTGTTCAACAATCGCCTGCCGGATCTTCAGGGCAATATGGCCGACTGACATGGTTGCCATTTCCTCTGCCGATAGCAGAGAGAAGACCGGGAGAACGAGGTTTTGCAAATACGTCCCGCCAGGACTAAACACGCCGTCGAGCCGACTGCGCAGCTCAAAGACGTTGCAGATGATAGCAGGCTTGCGCGGAGAGCATGACAGGACCATATGAGAGCCCCAGGCAGTGATCAGGTCACCATCACTGAGAAACAGATCGGAGACGATCTGTGCCTTGGCTGCCAGCTGCTCTTGTGCCTCTTGACGGAGCTTGCGCACAAAGCTCGCCGGAAGATAGATTGTACCAGGCCGTACATTTCGTCTGATCAAAACATCCCACACAAACCGGACAATAAAAACTAGCAGAGAGAAGCCTTTGATTTGCCGGTGTTCCAGGAAATATGGGTTTCCGGCCTCTTTATCCGACGAGGTGCCCACGCTTTCGATCACATCTCGACTGGCCCCGAGTAAGGTCGGGACACAGTCGATCCGACCGGCGAGCACGATTGACCAGGCCTTCAGTAAGTCGGCCATTGCGATGGCGTCGCATACCAGGTGCGGGGATGTGATGGCTACAAGGGTCGCGTCTGTGAAGGAGACTACCCGAAGAGAGATGAGCGGCTTATCGGAAGTGTAATAATGCTTAAGCTCGTCACGCCAATCCTCGGGCACACTGAAAGAGCGAAATGAGAGGTACCCTTCCTGGGCGGAGGGATATGGACCGGTTTGCTTGGGCAAGCGACATGCTAACGGGTGCTCCTCTATCCCAATATCAAACTGAACATGAGAATATCGTACCGCAGGATGCTCGGGATCATAGGTTTCTGGGACACGAATCACAATATCTCCACTTTCCTTTTAAAAGACTGGTCAGTACAAGCCTCAAGGACTACAACATGTCTCCTTTTTCTCTCTTCTTCTTCTTCTTCTTCTTCTTCTTCTTCTTCTTCTTCTTCTTCTTCTTTCTCTTACATTTCGACGAAGCCGGCCGCCAAGCTTCTTCCAATCTCCTATCTTCAACAGTTCGACCAGGGAGCTGTGTAGCTTCTCAGGGTCGAGAACGTCATTGAATCGAAGGGTATAACTCATGATAGACGTTCCTATAAGCCCCCCCCTGTCTATGAAATGGACAGGGAAGACATGTCCAGTCTCAACATGACGTGATCGATCACCGCCACCTTGTTTTAGACCGAACAGTCTTTTAAAAAATTGTAACATGACGGGTGAAACAGAGAGGTAGACGCATATACCCTTGCCATGAGATCTACTTTAGGTTATTGACCATATATAGCTTATTCTCGCTTCTTGTCCAGCCGTCTTTTGAATTCTTGAGTATCCGTATTACGCGACCTCCTTTCTCTTAGTGAATACTAATAGGTATCCATACTATTAAATAGCGCTCGGTGAGTCCGAGAGGCGTGTACGACATGGTGGGGTTCAAAAAGGGACAGGACCCTCATAGAACAGCCCTTGTACAGTCTTAGATTCTGCTTACAGTTAGATCTGACGACATTAGCGGTCTGAGATATATGAATCTTTATAGTTGATCCAGGGGCACCCCATTATGCCTAAGGCACCCAACCACACTGCAGCCCTATAGTTTTCAGTCTAACCGTAAATGATGTGTAGTGCAGTACTACCTACCATCTACTATATCTTATTGGTCCAGAAGCCAAAACGGTTTCCACGGGACGGGCCGACTCCACCCGACATGATCCGATATGATCCGGCCGCCTTCCAACGTCTTTAGAAATTTATACAGCCCGGTATGTAATAATAAGAATAGGCTTGCTTGAGGTCAAAGATAAATTATATAATCAACTGGATAAATGCTTAGAATGCTAGGGAGTTTCAAATCACTAGAGCCGAGGTCCCTTCTCGACCCTGGTTATGTAGTATACTAGCCACCACCACTACAAGTAAGCAGCGAAGAAAAAAAGTACTTGAGCTGCAATCGATAATCTATTCTTTCAGGTATACCTCATGCGTTCAGCGTAGAAAATATGTTTCCATGATATAAGTATTACGTGAAGCTTTCTCCAGCGGACTTTGATGATAACCGCCGCTCTGAGGCGGCTACACCCGGCTATTTAATATCCGAGAGTAAACGAACGGAGCAGAAATCATCATGATATTCCATTCAATCAGAAGCGATGATCGGAGTGCTTTCGTTTTATAAGTATGAAGAATAGCCATGTCTGGTCCCAGGCAGTCTACTAGCAAAGTATGGCCCCCGCTTCTCTTGAAGACTGTACTTCGTCTACCCATCCGAAAATGAGCAATTCCGAATCGTCGCGCTTCACGACCCTGTCCGTCCCCCCCGCGGACGAGGCCTTTGCTGTCAACGGCGCGTATCTCGCCGACACATCGCCAGACAAGGTCAATCTCGGGATCGGCGTGTACCGGACAGACGAGGGGCGTCCGTGGCCGTTGCGGGTGGTAGAGCGCGCCGAGAACCAACTGCACGAGGAGCACGACGCAGCACGGCACGAGTATCTTGCTATCCGTGGGGACGTGGAGTTTCTCGACCTGGCCCGCGACCTGGTGTTTGCCTCGGCGGGCGATAAGGAGGGGTCGGACGACCGCATTGCGTCCGTGCAGACCGTCTCAGGCACGGGGGCCAACCGGCTCGGCGCCGACTTCCTCGCTCAACACCTGCGGCCGGGTCGTGTGTGGATCCCGGAGCCGACCTGGTCGAATCATCACGCCATCTGGACGTTCGCGGGCGTGGCCCGGGGTACGTATCCGTACTATGATGTGGCGGGGAAGTGCTTTGACTGGGTGCGCACGGCACAGACGCTGAACGAACAGGCCAGCCCGGGCGATGTCGTGGTTCTACACGCTTGCGCGCATAACCCGACGGGTGCGGACCCGAGTAAGGAGCAGTGGGAGAAGTTCGCAGCGCTCTGTCAGGCTAAGGGGTTGATTCCCTTCTTCGACCTGGCGTACCAGGGTTTCGCGTCTGGGAGTGTGGAGGAGGACTCCTGGGCCATCCGGCACTTCTTCCACTACCAGCCACAGTTGGAGTTCTTTGTTGCGCAGTCTTTCTCGAAGAATTTCGGGCTATACGGCCAACGGGCTGGTGCATTGCATGTCGTGACAAGCAGCGCAGGGCTCTCGACTGGAGTTTCGCAGGCTGTGCTGGCCAACCTTTGCAGTCTGGTCCGGGGGGAGTATTCGATGGCGCCACGCCGAGGGTCCGAAATCGTCAAGACCGTCCTGCGTTCCCCTGATATGCGCCGGCAATGGCACGAGGATCTGCAGCTTATGAGTGGCCGGATCAAAGCCATGCGGCAGGCCTTGTATGACAGATTGGTCGCTTTGCAGACGCCTGGCACTTGGGAGCATATTTTATCGCAGGTTTGTTTCCATGTTTTGTTTATCACGGCAGCCGACTGTTGATCGAAGTTTTGGTTTTGTTAATTGCTCATCATAGATCGGCATGTTCTCGTACACCGGCCTTTCCGAGAATCAAGTCTTCGCTATTACCCAACGCCATCATGTATATTTGCTCAAATCAGGACGGATCTCTATCTCGGGTTGTAAGTGTTCTGCCTGTGTCGCAGCAAGCCAGTACTGATCAGAGTGTCTCCCAACGATAGTGAACGAAAGTAATGTCGACTACGTCGCGAGGGCGATAGATGATGTCGTGCGCACCGTGATCTGATCTTGATCGTTATTCAGCGGATAGATAATAGAAGAAATAGAAGCTTGTTGACTGCATCAATCATCCCATGCGAACCTTCCTCCGTAGCCCTAGACTTGAGCCCTTACTTTCCCGACTATGGTGACTCTTAGCTCACCATCCGTTCCCACAAGGCCACACGTAGATACTGCCCAAAGTCTGTTCCCCCATCCTCTCTAAGCTGCCCCCCAGCACTGCCCTTGAGGTCTTCCCAGTCCCGACGATTTCGATCAATGATTTCGGCCATCCCGGAGGCATTCAGGATTTCTGCAAGCCGCCAGTGACAGTCCAAGAGAGTGGCGTTGGGGAGTTCAAAGTCTTGAGCGTCTTCAGCTCGTAAAATTTCAATCCGATTGCTCTCTGGCAGCGTTCTTCTCAGTAGGCTAGGGAATCTCCGGTAGATCTTGCGTTCGTATACATTCTCTGTGTCCTTCTTCCTGTCAGTAAACCTATGGAGAGCGGCCGATATAGTCGGACTCTGGCACTCACGGTAGGCTTGAAGGCGATGTGGAATTGACCGAATGCGGCATGGATATAACTGCTCAAGGTTATGCCGTTGTAAAGATTGTTTATTGTCTCCACCTGCATGCCCAGTCGTCGAACTTCCGGAAAGTACCTCCACAGGGCCTCCCACTGTATGGAAATCTTTTCTGGAGGGCGCTATCTTGAGTCAGTATATTCATGTTGATCAGCTGTGGGGTTAGGGCTTCTTTACTGATGACGAATCCCATGATGCATAGGCAAAAGGGATGATGTGGGCGGCTTCTAGGAAGCCATGATGTACATCGTCTGAAGCGCCTTCTTTATACCAACGGTCATTTTCCATCTCACCAGTAACTACACAGCGATGACTATCGCGTTTCAGACACTGATCACGAAAAGCATCCAGACATGTCTGGGGCTCATCCAGTGTTATAGCCGCAATATCGACATTGTTCTGTCGTTTGGGGTGTGGAGATGCGGTAATTGAACCTTGTTTGGAACGAGCCTTCACTATCCCATGGACTAATATATGCAGCTAGGCGCACATGGAAAGTACTTTTAAGACTTGGTGTTGCTAGGGCCGTAAGGAGATTATGATAGACGTCATAGAGATCCTTATCGGAGTTCAACTTGAGAATGTCTCTTGCGAGGGAGATACAGCCGTGGTCTGGGAGCCATTCAAGAAAAGCCAATAGACCTGGCTGAAGTTTATCTTCATTCGGGCGATTCTGCGCCTGGTAGTTGCCAACCCGCTCTTTGGCAGCATCTACCAGGCCCGGCCGTGCCTCGGAAGACGCTTTATCAGTTGCCGCGGCTGAAAGGCCTCTCAACGGCCTTATCGGTGGGGGACAAGAACCCGCAGGCTGCGCCTCATGCCGGGCCTGAATCTGTACAGATCCGCGATGAGGCATAAGGCGGGGAATGGTGAACGCTGACGCTTCGTGGAGGATGTCGTGACATTGTTGCTGTAGAAGCGAGGAAGGTTCACGACGTCAGAGAAGCAGTATCCAGCACGTGGTTTGTCATACCTAGTGTCATCGTACCCAAGGAAGTACCTTTAATGCCTCAATATTCACTTGACGTGAGCATATCTCAACCTCAACCTACCTTATCATCATGATCTCATCAAACCAGTCGGCTCAAAGTCCATAACTCCTAGCATGTGTGCTAAAGGATGTATCTCAGGGCAGTTACTGATGGCGCAGTTAAATATGGAAGAACGTTGGAGGTCTGAAGAGAGGTAGTTGAAGAAGGTACTCGGAAGAGATACGTTATTACTGCCTTAATATCAAGGCACAATTAGGCACCCATGCTTACTAAGTTAGACTGATAGCCACGTGACTCCCACGTGATTCCCTCGTGACTCCTCGTGACTTCCCCTCCGACTTGCTGGTCTCGATTGAAATTCGACACGAACTCTTTGTCGTCGTACCTCGCCGACAGGGGAACTGGGTGGCCTGATCTCTGCTGCCTGCCATGATGGTCTGCGCAAGATGGATTCTTCCGACTACTTGTCTGGCGCATCGGAGATCGGTTCCCTGACTGCTCATTCCAACGACGAGAGCCGCTTTGTGGGCAGCTCCAGCGGCGTCTTCTTTATCAACACCGTGCGACAAGCTTTTTCGAAGAACCTAGGCCCCTTGGATGATGGCTCATCGGCGCGAGACTTCCCTGCCGCAGAAGACACGATTGTGGGCAGCGAGGATTCGCCTCAGGACAACGGCAAGCCACAGGTAGCGTCCAGCGCGCCCTCCCCGTCCATTACCGGCGACAACGACTCGGCTGCTACGCGATGGCACTACGATCCGGCCATAGCGGCGATAGTGGGCAGTCCGCCGCCACTCAAGACGGCCAAGGAGTTGATGATGATGTATTTCAAAGTGTGGCATCCCCTATTTCCGTTTCTACACGGACCGACCTTCTTGCAGGCGATGGAACTGCTCTATGCGAACGGGGAAGGTCACGGCCCCGGTCCTGTGCATACCTCCGCCGCGTCAGAACACAGGAACGCATGTTGGACGACGATCTTCCAGTGTATCTTCAATATGGCGAGTCTGCTGCGGTCGGATGTTCGCCTGCCCGAGCAATCGAAGATCAAATCCCCCGCTAGCATCCAGCTCCTGCTCGGCACCTTGACAAGCCGACATGACGTACATTCTCTGCAAGCGCTGCTAGCCGCCCAGCTTTATCTTGTGGCGACCATGGCTCTTCGCCCAGCTTCCACCGTAGGCGGATGCATCTTGCGGTCGATGCTACATGGCGGGCTCCATCGCTGCCCGTTTCGCTACAAACAACTCTCCTCACACGACCGCCACCTGCGAAAACGTATCTTTTGGTGTGCATACGCTATTGATCGCTACTTGAGCCAGGCGTTGGGTTTGCCATTAGGCATCCAAGACTCCGACATCGATGTGTGTCAGCCGGGGATTCCGGAGACGCACGTTCCTGGGTCCCACAAACGAAGGACCCTCTCCATCCAGTCGCCGAAAGGATTGACATCGATCCCAGAAGCATCCAGCCCCGAAACACCTCTTTCCGAGAGTATGAGCCAGGCTGAATCCAGAAACGAGGACAGTCACGATCCTGCCTCGATGGGCGAGACAGAGAGCAATGAGATGTCGGAACAGCAACGGAAACGAGAAGCCACATTGGCCAGCTACGTGGAATCCGGCAAGTTGACCGGCAGGGCGCTCGAGCTGTTCCATAAATCAATACACACCCGCACCATTCGACGGGAAAGTGTCCTCTTCCTTATCTCCGACGTGCACAAATGGTGGAACGGTCTTCCGCCAGAGCTGCAAGGCAGTCCTGCCAAAATGAACCGAGGCATCAGATGGTGCCCCGCCGAGAATGCGTTCAACTTCGGTCCCTACTTCACCGTCCTCTATCACCACCTCATCCTCCTCATAAACCGGCCCACGCTGGCTCTCAGCACCGTCTCTGCGGATTTCAGCTCGGGGTTGCAAACATGCATCAACGCCGCGCGGGGGATTCTCTCCGCTCTCCGCGTGCAGTATGAAAGTGACCAGGCGTTTTTCTGGCCGGGCTTCTTGTCCGCTGCGTGGATGTCGGGACTCGTCCTTGCGTTTGCGTGTCAATTAGGGCAATATGTCCCCTCGAAAGGCTCGCAGTAAGTTCGATTATCCCTCACGACATCCTACCAAAGGTCGGTTTTGCTAACTTTGACCAGAGAAATCAACGAATGTTTAAAGTTCCTCAAGGTCATGTCCCAGCAATGGGAAACGGCCAAGCACTGCTACTCGGCGCTATCGTCGCTGAACAACAAAATCAAGCAGCAGCGGCCTAACGATATGCCCTCTCGGCCGGCAGGCCCATTAGAGATGCAAAAGGCAGACACACAGCAGCCCGGCAGCGACGCAGACGAAGTTGCACACAAGAAACGCAAGCTGAGCGCATTCTACTCGCCACCTCTGAGGTCGACGACCATGCCGCCTCCTTTGACGCAGGGACCCCCTGGTCCGCTCCAGACCCCCTCCCTCGCTGCCCCGGGCCTTCAGAGCCCCGGCGAGATGGTAATCAGTCCCCATCTGGCTGGAATGGGAGGAGTAGAGGGAGACCTAGGCGGCCTCCCCTCATCATCATCATCATCTTCACGGACGGGTCAACAGCCCACAACCGTATTTCTGGACGAGTCGATGACATCTCTCGACGCCCGACCCTTTTCCGAGCCTGGCGGCGTCATCCTTGATTTCAACCAGATGTTGCATGGCGTCAATCTCGATCCGTTCTTCGACCAGTATCCTCTGAGTTTCTAAACCTGGATGGATCTGGACAAAACTCGTGAAACTCGTGCACACATGTAACCATGGTATATACTGGGGATGGGTCGGATATAAATATCCAATACTAATTATTCATTCGGGTCTTGACTTCATTTTCTCCGCCTGTTATCCATCTCTCATGCAAACGTAGCTTTAGACCTATTGAAGGAATTTCACCCGTTAACATTACTTATCATACAAACGTAGCTTTGGACTCGATGAAGAATTACTTCGTTCACTACCTAGCTAGCTGTCCTGAGACACTAGACAAATACCGAATACTCTACATGTCCTGCCTGACCCAATTCCTATTCCTCGATCCACGAAAGAAAATAAAAAATAAAAAAATAAGAAGAGTACACTATACGCATCAGAAAAGGAACCATCATTACGAGAATCCGATCATTCCGAATGTCGTTAACTAAAGGTGTGTGGTGCGGAGGAACACCGCGAAGAAAAGAACTTTTCGAAAACCAGGGATATCAGGATCAGACCGGAAAGAAAAAAAAAAAAAAAAAAAAATAGGGAACATGGTGAAAGAAAGGGAAAAAGAGATAGAGAGAAAGAGAGAGAGCAAATAATAATAAGAGAAAGAGAGAGAGAGAGAGAGAAAAAAAAAAAGAGAACATTATTCAGGTCATCAACACGTGTCAACATCATCAAAGAACAGGTCGGGAACCAGAGAGGGTGAAGTCAACAAAGTCACCGCGCGCTGTGCTCCGATGGAGGCGAGACACTGGGGGGATCTTTACGACTTGTTCTCCTCGGTGGAGGGCTCCTTGGCCTCCTCCTTGGGCTTGGGGATCTCTCCCGCAGGCTCGCCGTCGCCCTTGTTCTTCATGTACTCGTCATAAACGCTAAGTGCCTCGTCGACCTTGGCGCGCAGGGCCTCTTCATCCTCGAGCCTGGAATTGTTAGCAAGTGGAAAAGAAAATGTCGGACACAGCAAAAAAAAAAACTTACAGGCTGAGGAGCTCGGCGTTGTCCATCTCAAGAAGCATACCGGTGATCTTGCCGGCGAGCTCGGGCTGCTGGGCCTGGATCTTGGGGTAGAGGCTCTCACCGAGCATCTGCTTCTGCTGAGCCGGGGGCGCCGCGGAGAGGGTCTGGAGGGTCAGACCACCGGGGGCAGGGGCCTCATCACGACCGGTCGCGGGCTGGGCCGCCGCGTTGTTCTGACCGCGGCCACGGCCCTGGGCGGGGGCACCGCCACGGTAGCCACCGGGGCCACCACGCATGCCCTGACCCATGTTAGGAGGCATGCCAGGCACCTGGCGACCGCCGCCACCACGGCCAAAGGCCTGGACCTGAGCCATCTGGGGGTAACCCATACCGTTGGGCATGCCACCGGGGCCCTGCATGGCGCCCATGGGGATGCCCTGGGCGAAGTTACCGGGGATCTGCTGGTTGGGGCCGAGGCCACGGCCACCCTGCTGGCCGGGGAAGGGACCGGGGTACTGGCCTGGGCGTCCTCCAGGGATACCAGGCATGACCATTCCCGGCTGGGGGGCGAAGGGCATGCCACCGCGCTGACCACCGGGCAGGAAGCCCTGCTGGCCGGGACCGTAGAAGACGGCGGGCTGCATGTACGGCTGGGGCATGCCGGCGGCGGCAGCGGCCTGCTGCTGGCGGATGGTGTTGCGGGCCTGGATGCTAGCCTCGAGCTGGCTGCGGCGGACATCCTTACGCTGGGCGAGGGCGACGTAGAGGGGCTTGCCGTTGACCATACGCTGGTTCATCTCGGTGACGGCCTTGGAGGCCTCATCGGGGCTGCTGAAGCAGACGAAACCGAAGCCCTTGCTCTTGCCGAGGAGCTTCTTGTCGGACTGGGCGTCGGCAGCGGCCTCGTCGGAGGTCTGCTCGGCAGACTCCTCGGCGGGCTTGTCGTTCTCCTTCTCCGCCTCCTGCTCAGCGGCGGGGGCGGCCTCCTTGTCGGCGGCCTCCTTGGCCTTCTCGTCGGAGGAGTCGGGGCTCTCGCTGCGCTCGGTGTCGCGCATGACCTTGGCCGAGGTGATGGTGCCGTAGGCGCTGAAGAGATCGCGCAGCTTGTCATCATCGACATCATCGGTCAGGTTCTTGACGTAGAGGTTGACGCCCTGGTACTTGGAGGCCTTCTCGAGGCGGGCAGCCTCGTACTGCTTGCGCAGCTCCTCCTCACGCTCGTGCTTCTTCTGGGCGCGACCGACGTAAAGCTTCTGGGTTCTGTGATCTTTATCGTTCATATCCTCGACAGCGGCCTGGGCAGACTCGTGGGTGGCGTAGTTGACGAAGCCGAAGCCGCGGCTCTTACCGTCCTGGTCCCGGCTGAGGGTGGCGGATGTGATGTCGCCAAACTTCTCGAAGAGCTGACGGAACTCGTCGTCGGTGGTGTCCGGGTCGATGTTCTTGATGTAGATGTTGGTGAAGTTGGCCTTCATCTCCTCGAACTTGCTCTGGCGGTCCTTCTTGGAGATGTGGTGGCCGACGAAGACCTTCTTGTCGTTGAGCAGCATGCCGTTGACGTGCTTGATGGCGTTGTTGGCAGCCTCGGCGGTCTCGTAGTGGACAAAGCCGTATCCCTTGGAGTTGCCAAACTCGTCCTGGGCGACCTTGCAGCTGAGAATGTTGCCGAAGGCGGCGAAGGTGTCGTGCAGGGCCTTGTTGTCGATGGCGCTGTCGAGGTTCTTGATGAAGACGTTGCCCTGGCCGGTCTTGCGCAGGGCGGGGTCACGCTGGGACCACATGATACGGCAGGGCTTGCCCTTGATCAGAGTGTAGTTGAGGTCCTCGAGGGCACGCTCGCCGTCGGCGGTGTTGTTGTAGTTGACGTACGCGTAGCCGAGGGAGCGACGGGTCACGGCATCACGGCACACACGGATCGACGCCACCTGGCCGATGGAGGAGAAGAGCTCGTACAGCATGGCCTCGGTGACAGAGGGGTCGAGCTCACCGACGTACAGCGAGGCCGAGTGCGGCTGCTGGGCGGCGGGGGCGGGCGCCTGGGCGGCATCCGCGCTGGTCACCTCGGCCGCAGGGGCAGCGGCGGCGGCGGCGGCGGCATCGGGGGCACTGGTGACAGTGTTGTCGACGGGGGTGGTGGACGCTTCAGCAGACATTTCTGAGGGGTAAGTTGAGGATCAAAGAAAGAAAAGACATTTATTTCGTCAGGCACAAAGAAAGAAAAAAAAAAAAAGATAACCTGATAAGAAAATCAAGATAAAACATACTGAGATGGTTCAAGCGAGATCACACTGCACACTGCTATTAGCATCACTAGAATACTTTATTTCAGGAGAAATAATGGATAAAAAACATACAGAAGATGTTATAGAAGAGTAAGGGGTTTTTTGCTTTAGAGATCCTTCTTTCACACAGAAGGAGAGAGATAAGCAGTAGACGAGGGCGCACAGTGGAGCGACGGAGTTTTGATGATTTTCCGGGTTTTTTTGCAGGGTTTTTTTCTTCGATTATCGAAAGGAAAAGGCTGGGAGGGCCTGGAGGACGAGAGAAAGGAACAAGAGTTGCTGGAGGGGATGCAGACACAGCAGGCAAGGAGGATGCAAGAGGGGAGAAAAAAAGAGTGGGAAGTGAAAGAGTGAAGAAGTTCTGGAAAACTCAACTGCGCTAGCCGAATAGGGTTATTAGTAAGACTACAACATCGCCATACTAATAGTATTGCCATTTAGTTATACGACGATACTATTCTTATTAGCTAGTCTCTATCGCTATGGTCAGACTCTAGCTCAGGTCAAACCCCGCCCCCGCGTTGACGGCATACAGCAGCTTCTCCTTGAGCGTCGCCGCGGTCTCGTAACGCGGCAGCTTGAGCAGGTTGACGCACGTACTGGTGCTGGGCAGCCGGTCCTGGTCGCTGCTGGAGTCGCGGATGCTGAAGCGCGGGTGCAGGTGGCTGAAGCCCAGTAACGGCGCTCGTGGTGTCGAAGTGACGAAGCGGAGCACCTTCTGCCGGTCCGCGTTGCTGAGATCCTCCATCACTTCCCAGAAGAGCCGGATGGTCGGGTGCTCCTGCTGGTCGTCGCCCAGCGTATACACGCCCCCGTACAGGGTGTGGCGCCGCAGGTCGGCCACGTCGATCTCCCCGGACTGCCCGCTGACCAGCGTCTGCAGCTCCGGCTGGTTGAACATCGACAGCCACGACGGCTGGATGATCTGGCCCAGTCCCTGCAGGAAGGCGTTGGTCTGCAGCGCCGGCTGCACCTGCAGCCGGTACCGCGCGATGTACGAGATGTACACCAGCCGGTTCTGGTTCGTCACCGGAATGTTCGACCCGTCGGCCTTCAGGTCGCGCGTCAGGGTCCGCGTCTTGGAGTCGGGCAGTGGGATCGTGTCGCTGACGGTGAAATTGAGGGAAAAGTCTTCTACATCGTCGGGGTAGTTCTTAAGTTGTAGCTGAGTATGTTAGATAGAGAAGAGAAGGAAAAAGAAAGAAAAAAAAGTAAGAAAGAAAGAAAGAAAGGAAAAGGACTTACCAATCCTTGGTATAATCCCTGGTCCAGATCCTTGAGATCGTTCAGGTTCGCCCGGTAGGCCGATTCCTTCTGCGCAGCCCCCGAGCCGCCCGTCAGCGCCCATTTCAGTAAGAAAAAGGGAGCAAAGTTGACGTCGATCAGGATCCCCTCATACAGACACTTGCCCACAATCCGGCCGAGGAACTCGTACTGGCGGAGCAACTCGCGCACGCGCTCGTTCCACTCCGGGCTGCCCTCGACGTAGCCCACCTGGCGCAGCAGTTCGCGCCGCTGCTCGACCGCCGCCGGGTTGGGGAACAGCAGGTGCTGGTCGTTCTCCTCGAACAGATGGGACTCGCGCGCGGGCGAGTCCGCAGCCTTGAACGCCTCGTTGGTCACGCTCGTCAGGAACTCCTTGGTCACGCCGCCGCCGTCGATTCCCGCCTCCACCGTGTTGAACTGGTCGATGAAGCTGATCTGGATGGGTTCCTTGAGACTCTCGCCCAACGCGTAGAACTGATCAAACGCGTCGTCAAACACATGCTCCCGTCGGATGTTCGCGTGGTGTCGGCTCAGAATATCGTGCGCCGTCGGCCGCCCATCTACCATCCGCCCCATCGACGCCTGCGCCACTGACATTCGCCATGCGTCCGGGTCGATGAACCCCTGTCGCCGCCGCATCTGGTCCCGGTAGATGAACTCGCGAAAGACCTGCACCCGCGTCGCGAAGGGGATGAAGAAGGGCATGTTGCGCAGGATCTCCAGCCGCGGAGCCACGGCTTCTAGCTGCTTGCGCCGCGCCACCTTCTGCTGCCGCCGGCGTAGCGCTTCAATACGTCTTGCATGTTGCGCGCGCCCCGTTCCCACAAGCCCTTCCGAAAACATGTATCCACTGTCCCCATCCTCGTCCATCAGGTCATGTGGATCGTCCTCGTCTTCGTCCTGCAGCTGATGGCGGTTCTCTTCTTCCGCCACTACCGCCGGGATGAACCCTTCCATATCAAACCGGCTGGTCATCAACCAGTGTCCATCGGGGAGGAATTTGCGTCGTGAGCTAATCGGTCAGCTATGAAGAAGGCTGGGAGAAGAACAAGAAAAAAAGAAAAAAAAAAAGGAAATGCTTACTCTCGTTCATGGATCATCCGTAGTAAGCCTGTCACCAACCCCTTAAAGTAGTCGAGCGGAATCCCTGTGACCGCCGGTAAACCCTTATCCTTGCTACGCATCTCGAGGTCGCGTACGCTGCTGATTGAGTCTGGCGGTGGAGCCTGGGAGTTGAAATAGTTGCGGATGGTGCCCGTCTCAGGTACGGGCTCGCTTTCGCTCAGGTCTGCGGCGTTCCAGTAGAGGGTGAATGCCAAATTCTTCAGAAAAACCGTCATCTCCTTGACGTCTTGCAGCGGGAGAGCGCTTTCCTTTGTCCAGGAAATGCGGGTGTTGGATGAGGCAGTGAACGACGAAGATTCGCTGGCGAAGAACTCGTCGTCGTCCATGACTTTAAGCACGAATGTGTATAGCTCCAGGAAAAGAAGGATGATGGTCCATTCCTGGTTACGCTCAACCGAGGGGAAATCCACGAACCTGTCAGACGAAGGGGGGCTAGCAGGTTTCAGCAGCGGCAGCACGTTGCTCGAGTCCCCGCTGATGATTTCAAACACCCGGCTACATCTCGAAGCCTGCCAGAAGTACTTGATGGCAGGGATCCGGGCGCTCTGCGTGCCTGTCACGGCCCCGGAGGTGGCCGAGCCTAGATACAGCCACATCCGAATATCATCCCCGCGACGCGGAAACACCCTCAGTAAGGTCAGGGCATAGGTCGCTAGGATCTTTGCTTCCTTGGATGCTTCCGATTGGGAATTGGCCAGCTGCCCCTGGGAGAGATGTGTTGACCGCAGCTGCGAGAGAAGCCCCGTGATGCTGTTCTGGTGGACTAGACTCAGCAGTTGCTCTTTGACAAACGGGCTCAGGGTTTCCCGAGGCGGAGCATCTAGATCGGTGGCATTGTCCTGCATCTCCAGGCGCCTTGAGAGATAAATGGCTGTGGAATTAAGCAGCTCCGATACCGTCTTCACAAAATCAGGTTCCGGGGCGTGGCGCCCGGCCTGGTCACCCATGGCATGTCGGTGGAAGAAGATAAAATAAGCCAGCAGCCACACACGAGCCTCCACATCATCGGGCTTCGAGGGACCGCCTTTCTCTCGTGTCAGATCGTTCTGATCGAGGGCCGAGGTGAGCAGTTTGTAGTTGATATTGCTTGCCAGTTCGTCCAACCCCCCCAGGTACGTCTGTAGCCCTGGAATCGTCAAGTAGTTCCTCGCAAACCATCCGTACGCCGTGAGCGTCTCCGACGTGATGGGTTGCAACAGCGCCAGCACGCTATGAACCAGGGTATCAGTGGTCAACTCCGTTGTGTCCCGCGAGGCGATGCTCCGTGTCAGTCCCGCCATAGCCGTATAGTACTCGCGTGCGATGCGTGCGATGTGTTTAGGAATCAGCTTCGTCAGAAACACCAGGAGTCCTAACAGGTGATCCACCGCCGCAGCTGGAACTGGCGATGTCGACACAGACGCCAGGTTCAGCACTCGCAGCGTCGTCTGCGTCAGACGCACTAGCAGCGTCGTCCACTCGCCCTCGGTCGCGATCGTCGGAGCCTCGTGCAAGGTCCTCTGAAAGACATTCCCAAAATACACCAGCCGAATCACATCGGCTCTCCTTGGCGGCTCCAGAAACTGCACCAGCAGCCGCAGCTGCGCCAGACAGTCGTCCACCGTAGCATATCCGGGCACCGCCGATGACGAAACGACAGTCGACAGATCCGTCTCCGTCAGGCTTTCGAACGACTTCTCCATCGGTAGACCTGCTCCCTGTCGACTCTTCTCCGTGGCATCCCACTCGATCCTCCATGCTGTGCGTGTTGTCTTCCTGCTCCGGTAGCCCCGCCATGTCCGCTGAATCGCCCTGCTGGCTCCCAGCCGGTCTCGTTCCTGCTGCCGCAACAAGCGCTCCTGCTGCGCGATCGCCAGTGTGTTTCCAGCGCCCTGCCCATTTCCGTGTCCGTGGGCCTGCCCGAGGCTGTTGGGGCCCTGCTGTCTGCCCGAGGGGAACGCAGCGAACGGGTTGGTGTTGCGGCCGCCGAGATTGACCTGCCGCGGGCGGCGAGAGTTGCCAGTGAACGACTGAAACATGGTCGACAAATCCTGCTCTATTCAGTGATGAGTTCTCGTTCACGCTGATGCCGTCGAGCAGGGCCGAGATTGCCCCATAGTGCTGTTGGGGCGAGGCTGTGGTTGATTGCTTGGCTGGACTGTTTGATGGATGGGCGGATGATGATATGTGCTATTGCCACGCACTGCACGTGATGGTAAATAGCATGCGGATAGGAGATTTGGCGGGCGGTGGGTTTTATCTACACGCACTTTCTACTATTTCCCACTGTCTAGCAGCGTTGAAGACAGCGACCAGGGCAAATGAACCCAGAGATGCATTCTATTCCTATCGTCTTCTGCATTGCGAGTCTCTCTCGATGCCGGTGTTCTGATTGCTGAAGCTCTAATCTTTCCAGAACGGAATTTGGCACAGAATTCGTAGGGTAGGAGGCTCAAGTATCATTGAGCGTAACCGTTGTACATCTAATATACACAATAAGCATCGGCCAGCGAGCAGATGGAAGCTTGTCGGAGACACAAGGCGGGAGGAAGAAGGGGGGGAGGTTGTAGCCAGAGAAGAGTCCAGTCCAGTCGGACGAGGATACTGGATCTGCCCTGTCAACACCGATAACCTGTCCGTCAAGTCAGAACAGAATTTTTTCCATGATGAGGCCAGTCCAACACTCACAGATCTGGATGGAGAGATTGCGTTGTGTCATCATTGGCGTCCCTCTTCTTCAATGCGTTCCTTCTCAAACACCTCCTGTCCGTTGTCCGACGCCCACAGCGCCAGATAGTCCTTCCCCTCCAACGCCCGCTCCAGGGTGACCGGTAGACCGTCCTTTTCGATCTCTTTCGTGTACTTGCTTTGCGTGGGTGCCATGCGTTTCGTGACGAAGGGGGTGAGCTACGCCCGTTAGCACCGCAGCTTCAACAGGCAACAGACAGCTCAAAACTCCACGCAAAAACTCACCTTGAATGCATCCAGATCCTCGGGCACGACATACGTGCGCACCTTCTTCCAGTCAATCACATACGAGCCGTTCTTTGCAAAGTATCCCATCGACCCGGTCCGGGTTCCCTTGTAGTATCCGCCGTTGACCTGCTTCGTAGTCAGGCGCAGACGCGCCATCATCGGCTGAGAAGGCTTGAACATGGTCAACCAAACTGCAAAAAATCGATTAAAAAGGCCGAATGAAAGAGGAAAATTGAGGAATGGTAGCTTCCTCCACCGATCCAACTCAGATGAAGAATATGAACCCCTGCTTTGCTGCAATCTTTATCAGTCCAGGTCGGCCCGCGCTAAGAATTTGTTACCGCCGAGAACTTTTTTGGCAGCCGAAGAAAAAAAAAAAAAGTTGTCTGGGTCAAACTCCTCACCACCACCCACAAGGCGACAGCTACAACCGTCGTCTAGTTTATCTATTTGAGAGGGACTGGTGTTAGTTTTCAGGGTGGATTGAATATATCAAGTTCAAGATGCCCCGCCGGCAGACTGTCCAGCGTGGTCCGAAAGACCGAGAGACCCAGAAGGCGAAACCCCGACAGAAACGACGACAGAACGCTCGCTCACTCGATGCGCTAGCTATCGCTGAGAAACAGTTCCCTGAGCGGGTGAAGATCCGTCGGTCGCGGCTGGGGGAAGCAGAAGAGGACCCGTCGAAGCGCAAACGCAGTGCCGGCCGCGACCGGGACGGCGACGACGACGACGACGATGACGATGAGAATGAAGGCCGGAGGCCGGACAACAAGCGTCGTCGGATGGGACTCGGAGACTCGAGCGATAATGGTGGCAGCGATAGCGAAGGCCGCGAGTGGCGGATTGGGGAGGTTGACAGCGACAACGACAGCGAGCTGGACAGCGACGAGGCGATGGGCTCGAGCGACGAGGAACGGTTCGAAGGGTTTACATTCCGGGGTAGCTCTACGAACAAGGCCAAGCCGAAGCCGAAGCCGTCGAAAAAGCGAAATGTCAATTTGGAAGAAGATGAAGAGGACGACTACGATGAAGACGACGACGATCTTGGGTCGGACGCTATTGATCTGACTACCGCTTGGGATATGAATATGGCAGAGGAGGCCGAGCAAGCGGCAGCGGAGAAAAAGAAGAAGAACAAGCAGAGTTCTGCAAACGAGGATCCTTTCATGTCTGGCGGGTCTGAGTCCGAGTCCGACGGTGATGACGAAAGCGACGAAAGCGATGAGAGTGACGATTCCGCTCTGTCAATGTCAGAGGACGAGATGGACGGAGCTGATGAGCAGGGCTTGTCTCAGCTACAGAGCTTTGTCAGTGCGATGGAACAGAATTCCAAGAAGAAGTCTCCCCGAGACCCTCGCCGGGCACAGGAACAGAGAGCCCCGACCGAGTACGGCCTGACGTCTACGAAGAAGTTGACTATTGCCGACCTTATGCCTACGATCACAGACTCTAACCTGAAGAGCTCGCTGAAACACGTCAATGCTGTGGCCTCGGCGGCCAAGTCGGCGTCAGGGATCCCTGGCAAGCTGGAGGCGCCACTCGCCAAACGCCAGCAGGACCGACTTGACCGGGCTGCGGCCTACGACCAGAGCAAGGAGACTCTCGGCCGGTGGATCGACACGGTCAAGGCCAACCGCCGCGCCGAGCACCTGTCCTTCCCCCTGCCAGACCCGGACGCGCAGCAGAGCAAGAAGCTAGCCGTAATCCAGCCCCAAAACGACCTCGAAAGCAGTATCCAGAACATTCTCGTCGAGAGTGGACTGATCGAGGCCAAGGGCAAGTCGGCCGAGGATCAGCTGCAGGAGTACGAAGATCTGCAGGCGCGAAAAATGCCGCTGGAGGAGATCCAGGCCCGCCGGGCGGAACTGCGGAAACGCCGCGATCTGCTCTTCCGCGAAGAAGTCCGCGCGAAGCGGATCAAGAAAATCAAGAGCAAGTCGTACCGTCGTGTTCATCGCAAAGAGCGCGAGAAGATGGCCCAGCAGGAGCGACAGGCGCTCCTTGAAGCCGGTGTTGACCTGGACGAGATGGAACGGGAGGAGACCGAACGGCGCCGGGCGGAGGCTCGCATGGGCTCCAAGCACAAGGAAAGCAAATGGGCCAAGAGCCTGAAGCAGACCGGGCGGACGGCGTGGGATGAGGAAGCTCGCAACAGCACGTTGGACCAGGCGCTGCGCGAGGAAGAACTGCGCAAGCGGATCGAGGGCAAGCGGGTCTCGCGCAAGGACGACGATTATCTGGGATCATCCAGTTCCGAGTCCGAGTCCGAAGAGGACCCCTGGCAAGAGAACCAGTCTGACACCGAGAAGCGCAAGCTTCGGAAGAAACTGGATGCGCTGCAGGGTGACCATTCCGATGACGCCGAACCCAAGGGCCCGCACGCCAAGCTTCTTTCGATGAAGTTTATGCAAAACGCCCAGGCCGCTCGCAAGGCAGAGAACGACGCCGAGGTTCGCAAACTCACCCGCGAGTTGCATGGCGAAGAGTCGCAGTCCGAGGCTGAATCGGAAGTTGGCCGCCGCAAATTTGGCCACAAAGCCGAAAAGAAAGAGACCGCCCCCAGACCGTCTGAAATACGGAACGAGTTTGAGGAAGCTCCGGACTCGGATGAGGATAGGGGGCAAGATATCGATATTGCAGTCGATCATCACTCTGGCAGTCAACAGAAATCGAAGCCATCGGCCAAGAAAACGTCTTCTGCCCCCTCGGGAAACACCCCCCGCGGCATCATTTCAAGCAAGCAAGAAGCAAAGGAGGCAGAGGCCGAAGAGGAGAACCCATGGCTTGTGCAAACAAACCGGACGAATCGCCGGCTAACCGTCGGTGCTTCGAACGAGACGGTCGACATCTCCGTGGACGAGACAACCAAACAAGGGTCCAAGAAGAGTGTCAGCAGCAAGAAGACGGCTAGTGCGCCTGCTCCCTCCAGCGTACCGGTTCAAGGTCACCGCAACGACGACGACGACGACGATGAGGATGAGCCGCCGGTACCCGTCCTCCTAAAGAATCATGACCTAGTCAAGCGCGCGTTTGCGGGCGACGAGGTGGTGCAGGATTTCGAACAGGACAAGCTCGACACCATCAAGGATGAAGGCGACCAAGTGATCGAGAACACGCTCCCCGGATGGGGCAGCTGGACGGGCGAAGGTATCAGCAAGAAGGCACAGAAGCGCCAGAAGCGTGTTGTGACGGTGGTCGAGGGTGTCAAGCCGGAGAACCGCAAAGACGCGAAGCTGTCGCGGGTGATCATCAACGAGAAGCGAGTCAGAAAGGTAAACTTTTGTTTTTTCTATTCCGTCCTGTCTCATGGGCTCTTTTTGCTAATCTCTCGCGATCTTATAGAATGTCAAATACATGGCCACGCAGCTGCCGCACCCCTTCGAGAACCGACAACAGTACGAACGCTCGTTGCGCCTGCCCATCGGACCGGAATGGTCAACCAAGGAGACCCTGCAGGATGCCACCAAACCTCGTGTGATGATCAAGCAGGGCATCATCAAGCCGATGGAGAGACCGCAGATCTAGTCTGTACTCTGTACTACCTTGGACAAGATCACGAGTCAACCCAAACCTGATGATACCACACGAGCATTGATACCAATCCGCACGATCTGTCTGGATACAAGGTGCTATAGAAGTACTGTGAATCAGAGTCATTGACATCACGGTCCCCAGATCTGACCACGCGTCTTCCCTCGTGCCAGCCTCAGCCGGCCCTGGAATGCGCCCTGTCTTGGTTCCACTGGGGATTATCTCTCGCACTCAAGTCAGCGCTCCTGTGGCCCCTCTATTGCTGGCCATGTCGCTAGCTGTGTTCTTCTCCCTCCTCTCTCTCTCTCTCTCTCTCCGCTGGTCATGACCCATGGACGGCAGACTGCCAGTACTTTTATCCCGGTGACTCTACGAGCGTCAACACCCATCTAGACGAGTCAATCAAAAGACATTTCGTATCCATTAGACACCTGTAGAGTACGATAGTCAAGTCAAATATTGCATTTTCTATACGTTCGTAGACACGGCGTGCCTGACATAATCCGCCAACAGACAACAACAACAGCTGCTCCTCTCCACTTCTCGACATTCTCCCTCTCATTCCTGCCAACAACCCTGCATTGCTCCCCCACCACAAACAATACACGGTATTCGAGTCGCTGAGCTGATCGGCCTGCTGAAACAACTGGCCAGGGGAGACTGCTGTCGCCAATCCCTGCTTGATCGGGGTTTGCCAGGTATTTGGGTGCACGCGAACCTGTCAGCCACAGCCTCGCGCGGACGCTGTCTGGAATCTGTTATATCTATTCTTGCGGTAGGTCGGAAGAAGAATGTCTATTCTTTACTCTCTGTCGTCCTTTGGTTGTTTTGTCAGTTGTTTGTCGTTGTTGTCTTCGTCGTCTTCGTTGTCTTCGTCGTCTTCGTTGTCTTCGTTGTCATCGTCGTCGTGGGAGTCGATGTTGGTTGAAGGCGACGGTTTTGTCGTTCATTAAGATCATCATTATTATTGTTATTATTCACTGCTGTCAAATACTGTCGTTCATTGCTAGGATTTGTGTCTCTGTCTTTGTCTATTTCTATCATTATTGCTGTTGTGATCAGTACTCCGACTCAGGCTGCTATACTCTGTCATTACCACTCGTTTATATGCTTCATATCGTTTGATTTATTCGCTCATTATGGCTCTCGCGACTTCGAAAATGCCCCTGGCAGTTATTCTGACATGGCTTCTAGCCTCGGGCTCTGTTCACGCCGCTCCCACGCTGGTTGCGCCCTCGTCGGAGGCCGTAACCCAGACAGACACCGGTCCTGCAGCATTCAGGACACAGTATCCGCCGGGTGGTGCTGAGAATCGAGTGCTCGAAGAGCCTCAGGGTGTATGTGTATCCCTTTGGTGCCTCTAGGATGTCAAGTCACTCACTCTTGGCCAGATCTATCCGACGGCCCTCGAGCGTGAGGGCCATCCATCAGTGCAGCCTTTCCCACCACAGCCAACAACGCAGAAGCAGCAATTCTTGAATCTGAACGGACTGCTGGACTCGCTGACGGGAAGTGTTGGTGGCTCATCGGACTCGGTGCTCGATCTTCTCTTACCCCACAACCAGGGGCAGAGCAACGGACCCGAGACGTCGGCTCCTGCGTCGACTGAATCGACTGAACCGGCTCCATCGACTCAAGCACCGGCCATAGTTGACAACGGGCCTTTGTCTGACGTCTCGACGTCGACTCCAACTCCCACTCAGCTGAGTACTCCAGCCAGTACAGTGCCAGCGTCTACAATCGCCTCTGTAGTCCAAGGTGAACCCCGTATCTTCTTCTGAGGTATATTCAAAGCAAAAGCTAATTCTAGCAGGAGACCCGACCATGCTACAACAAGATGTATTTGTCCCGCTACCAACGGGACCTGTGCCCTCGAGCGTCACGTCGAGGAACGATCATCCGGTGCCCAGGGAGGGGATCACCAATTCTACGGGCCCCGTTGAGACGAACAAGTTCTACGCGGGATTCTTTCTCGGTTCACAGTCGAACGTAACGTTCACCCATCCGTATTCCATGGCGTGGTCAAAGGGCGGTGGTATGACCAAGAGCTGGGGGTTGGCCATCTCGCACATCGAGTCAAATCTGCTCGCAATGGGCCCGGCAGACTCTCGCCTCCCCGGAAACCCGGCGTCCTACTACATCAACCCGATCGGGATTCAGTCCCTGGTCTTGTCCGCTGCGGAATTGGACACGTCAACCGTGCTGACGACGGACAACCCGATGGCCTTCTCCGCTCACATCTCCCTGCAGCCACAAGCCGGATCGTCGCAGAAAATCACATTTCCCCTGGTTCAGGGGATGGCCTTTGTGACAGGCATCTACACCAACCTGACGCCTGTGATTGAAAGCGGCGTAGGGTTTCTCAAGCTCGTCACGGCCGGGTCTCCCCGCTCGGGGATCTTCAAGTACCAGGCGACTCTAGAAGATGGAACATCATGGCTCATTTACGTGACACCATCAATCGGGGGAGCTGATCCTAACTTGAACTTGACCTCCAACTCTGCGATACGTGGGCCCGCGGGATTCACCGGTACAGTTCAAGTAGCCAAGAACCCGGCCGGCACGCTGGGCGAAAAGTTCTACGACAACTCGTCCGGCGTGTACCCGGTGGAGGGCAGCGTGGCCGGGAGTGTGTCTGCCACGACAGGCACTTACGCGCTGACATGGAAGAAGGCCGGTAAAAACGTGGACAGTACGCCGTTGCTGATGTACGCGCTGCCGCACCATGTGGAATCCTTCGACAACAGCACGAGCGGGCGCGTGGTGAACATGCACCTGCGGACATCGACCAAGGGCAACGCGACGGCGGTGGTGGGTGAGTCGTGGGTGATGACCGAGGCGGATCTACCGATGGATATGGGGTTTGCACCCTGGACGCCCGCCAAGGGCAGTGTGCGGGTGCTATCGAGCACGGCGCAACAGGCGGTGCTTGCAGCAGCCCCGACGGAGCTGCAGCAGGACGTGATTGCGCAGTCGGACCTGGACAGCATGTACTTCAGCGGCAAGGTGCTGAGCAAGTTTGCGACGCTGGTGTACACGGTGAGCCAGCTGGGCCAGGACCCGACGAGCGCGGCGACAGCACTGGCGAACCTGAAGACCAGCTTCGCACGGTTCATCAACAACCAGCAAAAGTTCCCCCTGGTGTACGATGCGGTGTGGCACGGGGTGGTTTCGTCGGCCAGCTACGGGGGCGACTCCGGGGCCGATTTCGGCAACACATACTACAACGACCACCACTTCCACTACGGGTATTTCATCCATGCGGCGGCGATCATCGGGGCGCTGGACCCGAGCTGGCTGACGGCCAACAAGGACTGGGTCAACATGCTGGTGCGGGATGCAGGCAACGCCGCCGCAGACGACCCGTACTTCCCCTTCTCGCGGTCCTTTGACTGGTTCCACGGCCACTCGTGGGCGAAAGGGCTGTTTGAGTCGTCGGACGGCAAAGACCAGGAGTCCACGTCGGAGGACGTCATGTTCGCCTATGCGCTCAAGATGTGGGGGAAGACGATTGGCGATGCGAGCATGGAGGCCCGCGGTAACCTCATGTTGGGGGTTCTGCGGCGCTCCCTGCGCAACTACTTCCTCCTCGAGAGTACTAATGAAAACCAACCGGGAGGGTTTGTTGGTAATAAAGTGACTGGCATTGTAAGTACCAGTCCCTCGAGTTCTTCTGGCTTTGTCTCATGCTTCCTTTCTCACCAAACAGCTATTTGAAAACAAAGTCGACCACACCACGTACTTTGGCAATAATCTTGAATACGTGCAAGGGTACCCTCTCTCTCTCTCTCTCTCTCTCTCTCTTTTCTTCAGTATATACTTACAGTCTAGGATTCATATGCTCCCCCTCCTTCCCAGTTCAGCGTATGTGCGCCGAACGAGCTTCGTGGCAGAGGAATGGAACGCCATCTTCGCCGCCAACGCATCCGACCCGGCGGCCAACGTCGTCGGGGGGTGGAAGGGGGTGATCTACGCGAACCTGGCGCTGATCGATCCGGTCTCTTCCTACAACTTTTTTGCCCAGTCCAATTTTGATTATAGTTGGATCGACGGGGGGGCGTCTCGCACATGGTACTTGGCGTATGCAGCCGGTATGTCTTGTCATCATACCTTGCCTAGGTATATTTGGCTAATTCATTGCAGGTCTCGGCGGTGCATAATCGTCTCTCTCTCTCTCTCTCTCTCTCTCTCTCTCTCTCTTTCTTCTTCTCTTTCTCTCTCTTTCTTCGCTCCTGGCTCTTCTGATTTTGGCAGTAACTAATATATAGACTCTAGATGGATGGATTACATTGGCATGGACTCGCATACTCTAGTACCCAGTACCTACTATTGTACTATTGTACTATGTACTATGTACTATGTACTATTGTGCTATTATAGATATCTACAGACTAAACCCCCTATGGCCTAGTGTGGCTCGCGAGTCAGTGACGTCCTAAATAGGCTAGTCTCTTAGTCAGGTCTGATTACATAAAAATGACGTCATCATCTCACTTTGTTTACATCCATAGTGAGTCCCAGGAGAGCTGTCATCTTGGGACCTCTGATAAAGGAGAGAAATATAATAACTAGAGAGCTCATACTCAACTCTCTCTCTTTATGACATTACGACTCTATCTATAATTATATTATATCTCTACTCAGTACTCCGCAAACAAAAAACACAGCTGGTCGTCCTGCCACCCCTGGCCGCCTGCCTCAGCCACTATACAGGTACGGAGTACTGCGAGTCTACAGCGTCATCCCGGTGCTATCACTGCGAATATATCAAAAGCCCCGAGTACGTGTCAGTGGAGCGTCACCCGGGAAGAATGGGCTTTGTCTTCTCTACTTGTCTACCTTCTTGAAAGGCAGGCGCCTTGGTCTGACCCAGAACTGTAAGTGGTGTAGTATTCTCTCCTACCTTATGGGTACATTGACGCTGGAAAGGCGCGACTGCTGCTTTTGAAGAAGGGTCAAGGACTACGCTTATCTGACACATCATATAGAGCAGACATTAGTATTGACCATGGATGGCCAAAGAAGCTGCCAACACGGGAATTCCGAGATCCATACGTATTGCTTCGGCCGACATTAGGAGAAGAGTAGTAGTGCCTCCCTACTGTTTTATGAGGGGTGGAAAGCAACAACGAGACCGACCCTATCTGCAAAGCTCGAAGGGATTGGTATGATATTCAATACAGGGGCCCATTGGACTCTTATTGCGGAGGACCTTCTCTCCGCTTCTTTCCGAGAATATCTCAAGGACTCGGCTCACGATCCATACCGCTCAAGCGATGGTCTGGCTTTACAGAGTAGCGCTGGCCTAGCTTCAGAACCAAACGAGTCGTCTCTGTTAATCGAACCATCTTGTCTCTTTTGCACCCAGTTCGTACTCGCATCTGTCCTCCCACACCTGAGCCACACAAGCGCCTATAGAACAGCACAAAGTCTAAAGAGTCTCAGTAGCCAATGACCCATACAATAAGCTCATGCTTTAGCTTTATCCACGTAACATCTTTGTGGCAGTGCACTTGGCGTACAGAATACTATGTACGGAATAGTACAGTACCTGTGGTAGTATCAAGTACCTACTGCCTACCAAGTAATTACCTAGTTCCCTAGTAGTTCCCTAGTAGTTCAGGTAGTTATGAGGTATTTATCAGGTAGCACTAAATATCTTTACATTCCTAGGTACCAAATTGAGTGCCTATAGGTAGGTAGACACGGTCTATGGCTTACCGTGTATTTAATTTCCGCTGCAGAAAAGCCTGAGATTCTCGGTAATTACGGTAATTCGATTACCCGCACTGGCCAGGCAGAAGCTCACCTCCTCCTCCTCCCCCCATCGAAATAATCCCAATCACCTCCAGTCTCATCATCAATTGTTGTCCCATCTCTCTCATCTGTCAAGTGGCTTGTTTGCTGGAGCCTGTTTGTCTAGAAATCAGGTGAGCCATTCTCCCTACTCCCTACATTGCAAAGCCACCGGGTGTCTCTTTCGGATACCAGCTCTCGGAGGCTGTGCAGTGTCTCCGTAATCTCCCAAACCCATGGGTGACGGCTCGACGGTTCCCCTCTTCTTTTAACGGCTTTTCATCATTGGACAGCGGTTTAAAACACCTCTATCAGTTGATGGATGCCAGAGAATGTCCGGAAGAAGAACTCGTGGTTTAGGTTACAGACGTCGCTGACTTGCCATCGATGCTACCCCAGTTAGTGGGCTGCTCGTGTATCAGATCCTGATCCCCGGTCCACATAACAAGAGCCTTTGAACGCAGATCGGAATTTCTGGGTCTTCTTCCCTTTTCAATCATGTGTAGGTCTTTGACTCTCCCTTTTTGAAAGACTGTCTTGGTCTGCTTGTCTCCACTAAAAAGTGATCTCATCTCTGGCTGTCCTTTTCTTCCTTCATTCTTTGTCTTTCCTTCTTTTTGTCTTGTCGTTGTGGTTTTCTTCTTGAAACCAACCCCTCTGAGCTCTGGTAGTTCATTTCATCGCTAATCGGGCAGCGTCGCGAAATATTTTTACCTTGTTTCGCCGCCATAGCTGGGGTCCCAAACCGCGCAGGATGTCGTCTGCCCTCACGAGCAATGGCCGCACGCTGGAGCCTAACGAGAACACGGCACTGCTCTCTTCAGACTCGCAACCGGAGCCACATCCGCATCCGCATGCGCATGGGCATTCTGATTCCAAGGACGACCGGCCCTGGGTGCGTTGGCCGTCAATCACTTTTGATCTCGCCTGCTCGACCCTCGGGCGTGACTATGTCAACCTGCTGCTCGTCTTCGTGCCGCTGGGCATCGTCGCAGGTGCTCTCGAGTGGAACTCCACCGCCATCTTCGTCCTCAACTTCTTCGCCATCATCCCGTTGGCCTCGCTGCTCAGCTTTGCTACCGAGGAGCTCGCCGCTGTCATGGGACAGGCCATGGGTGGCCTGATGAATGCGACCTTTGGCAATGCGGTGGAACTCATTGTATGTGGATGATCAGAGGAGAGAGAAGAAAGTCACCAGGGACTAATTATTTATTTTTTTTTTTTTTCTCTTTTTTAGGTCAGCATTATTGCTCTCAAAGACAACCAGATCCGCGTTGTGCAGGCGAGTATGCTCGGTAGCATTCTGTCCAACATCCTGCTCGTCCTCGGCTGCTGCTTCTGCGTCGGCGGGCTGCGCTACTCGGAACAATCGTTCAACAGCACGGTCGCGTCAACCATGTCCTCGCTCATGGCCGTCGCCTCGGCCTCGCTGATCATCCCCGCCACCCTGTATGCCGCTCTCTCCGATTCCTCTGCGAAAGAACCGGCCGGCAACATCTTGTTTGTGTCGCATGGAACCGCCATCATCCTGCTCATCATCTATGTCATGTACCTGTGGTTCCAGCTCAAGTCGCACTCCGAACTCTTCGAAGAGCAGGGAGACGTCCAGCCAGGCCGCCGCGAGGAGGAAGGCCAAGCCGGTCAATCCGAAGCCCAACCAGAGGAAGAACACCTGCTCAACCCCTGGGCTGCGAGCGTCGTCTTGGTCGCGGTCACCGTGGTTGTCGCCATCTGCGCGGACTACCTGGTCGGCAGCATCGACAGCATCGTAGCCTCGACGGGCATGAGCAAGACCTTTATCGGCCTGGTGCTGATCCCCATCGTGGGCAACGCCGCGGAGCATGTCACGGCCGTAGTCGTGGCCTGGAAAGACAAGATGGACCTGGCCATCGGCGTGGCGGTCGGCAGCAGCCTGCAGATCGCTCTCTTCGTCACCCCCTTCCTCGTCATCCTCGGCTGGATCATCGACGTGCCCATGACGCTGCACTTCCAGATCTTCGAGACCGTCGCCTTCTTCATCTCCGGCCTCGTCGTCACCCTGCTCATTCAGGACGGCAAGTCCAACTATCTCGAGGGTGTCATGTGTTTGGGAATGTAAGTTTTTTCTCTTCTCTTTTCTTTTCTTTTCTTTTCTTTTCTTTTCTTTTCCTTCTCCTTACAGATCGCTAACCCCGCCAGGTACATTATTCTGGCGCTGGCCTTTTATGTCTACCCGGATGATGTGGGTGACAACCTTGGTGCCCTTGGGTCTGCATAGTTGACCTCTTTATTCAACCCGGTGGTTATTCTGTCTCTTGTCACTCGCTCACCCTTCTCTTGTCTATTTTTCGTTGTCTGTCTGTATTTTAGATCTTCTGTTGGATCTGGATATACTCCATTCTCACTTGCCGAGAACACTGTCATCTCCTAGGTATAGTAAATGATAATTATATGTCTGAGAGTCACAATTAAAGAATAGAATGAAAATAAAATAAAACGAAATGAAAAGAAAGAAAGAGTTGGAATACACGTAGAAGAATATATTGCTGCCTAAGGCCCACTTAACGTGACACGCTGACTCAGCCGCGAAAACTAGCGTCGAAAAAGCCTCCATTCGTCATTGAACAGGAAAGGCGAAGAAGAAACAGACGACCACCGACAGACAGGCCAAAAAGAAAGAATCAAGAACGATGCCGTCTCGACTCGTCATCTCAACAGCCCGCAAGGCCATCTCGGCGTTGTGTCCAGCGCAGCCCTCGCAGCGATGCATTGCGAGTGCTTCGTCGCTTTCGCTTCCCCTCCGCGTGAGACCCGCGACGATGAGCAGCGGGTTCCAGCGCCGGTTCAATTCGACTTCGAACAAGGACGCGAAAGAAGGAAGCAAGGATCCCGCCGCGCCGCTGCCCAGCGTCAACGAGGAGGCTGCCGAGATCGAGAAGATCATGCATCGCAAATGTGATGGGGGGGTTCCTGCGACGCCGGAGCTGGAGCAGGGGTCGCCTATTGCGGAGGTGAGTTATACGAAAAAAAAAAAAAAAAAAAAAAAAAAAAAATTCCATCAAATAAACCACTACATTGATGTACTGTTTTTCTAATTTGTAGATCCTCAACCGTGACGAGGAAGCGAAGAAACATATGCCCAAGGTGATGCAGGATCAGATCAAGGCTAGCAAGGGAACACGGTCCTTTTCGACTTTTGCACGCCGGCAGACCGACATCGAGGCTGTTTCTTCTCCCTTGTCGGTCTCGGCCCAGACAGAGCTGGAACTCGAGCCCGGGTTGAAGTTTGCGGCTCCGAGTCTGCTGGCGAAGACGGAGAACTTTCGTCGTCGGTACGACACGCTGCTGGAGCAGTTTACCAAGTTGCTGATGCGGGATGGGAAGCTGAGTGTTGCTCAACGGGTATTCCTCTATACTCCTTTCATATGATCTTGCTGTGTGGTGCTGATACTAACTGAACACTCTTTCTAGCACATGTCGGCTATTATTGACCACCTTCGCACCTCCTCCCCGCCCACGCTTCACCCCAAGCGGCGTCTGCTTGCCGGGCCCCCCGGTCCTCAGCTCCCGTTGAACCCCGTGCTGTACATGACGATGATTGTCGACTCGGTCGCGCCGCTGATCAAGATCCGGCAGCAGCGGGGCATCATCGGTGGCGGCGCGGCCATCCAGATCCCCGTGCCGCTATCGCTGCGGCAGCGCCGCCGTACGGCCATCCGCTGGATCGTCGACGCCTCGGACAAACGGCGGGATAGCCATTTCGCGCAGCGTGTCGCCAACGAGCTGATTGCTGTGGCGGAGGGGCGGAGCGGTGTCTGGGACCGCAGGGAGACGGTCCACAAGCTGGGTGTTGTCGGGCGTTCGAACCTGGCTCTCATGAATAGTCGCCGGTGATTGATTATCACTGTCTGTTGTCTGTCATTTTTGTGTCTGTATTATAGCTGGATTGCGAGGTCATTACTACACTACAATAGTTATCAGTACTTATATTTCATTATTCTATTGTCCTTGTATTAAAAAAATACATCAAGCTGTAAAGCTACAAAAGATACTAGATATTTAAATCTGAGAATATTATATAGTTAACTATTCTCAGATCACATATATATATTCCCTGGCAACCACTACATATATTGTTCTCGAAAGCCACCTTTAATATAGTCACTACAGTTTTACTACAACTGCAACTATAATATTTATAAATACTTATATAGAAGATTTAATAGCTATTCAATCCTAACCAATAACTATTATTAAACCAATAGTGATCCTCACTAATATATACTGTTTCACTGGCCAATCTTATCACCAACCGACCCACTCGAGACCCTTCCCTGCACACTGCGCTGAAGCCTCGTCTCTCCCCCCTGTTCACTTCTGCTGCTGACAGCCTGTGCAACTCTACGCTATCTATAAGAACTGTATCCGCCTGCTTCGCACGATTGTCTGTACCACAGGACGGTCTATGTATTGATCGAAGTGGCTGTACCTCTTCCGCCTGCGCAGAGCTTCGAGCTCGTCGAATTCACGCCCCTCACCGAGTCGACCAGGCCACCACGAGAGACAGCGAGGGGGCCAAACAGGCAGGAAAAACGAGGAGGCAGCGAGCAGGCAGAGCGAGGGCAGCGTCGACTGCGTTTCTGGGTCCAGGCGCTCCGATTACGTGCCCGGCGAGAGAATACTGCGGCGGCCAGAGACAAGATGAAGTTTTCGCATAGTTTGCAGTTCAATGCTGTACCGGAATGGAGTACCCATTATATTGCGTACAGCAATCTGAAGAAACTGTACGTGGGTTTATTGAAACAATATTGATGGGTCACTGAAATTGACTGACATGCGAAGGATCTACACGTTGGAAAAACAAGCACACAGAGATGGTCAGACGGCGGCAGATCTCGAATCGGCTCCCCTGTTAGACAGCTCGAGGGATCCGGATAGCGTCTTCCGGCGGGCGCTCGACGTGGAGCTCGAAAAGATCTGTGCATTTTACCGGGTTAAGGAGCTGGAAATCCTGGCAGACGTCGATGAGTTGATCGTTGACCAGGATGCGTTTGCCCTCGACACCGCGGATATGGACATGGGCCCCGTCACCGAGACGGTGATCAAGGCGCGCTCGCGGGCCTCGCGTATGGGGAGTTTGTTTCGTGCCCGGCAGGCAAGCACAGTCAGCGAAGAGGACATGAATCTACGGGCAGCGGTGACGGGAGATGAGGACGAAGACGAAGATAGTGACGACGAGGAGCAGTCGCTGTCCGAACAACAGCAACAGCAGCAGCAGAAGCTGCCCCCGCGTTTACACGGCGATGACGAGACTGTTCCCAGCGAGATGACAGATTCGAACCTGCTCGAGTACTCGCGCACACTGGACCCTATGGGCCGCCCCGGGCGGCCCTTTGACGATCCACGCTTTCTTGCCCTTTATAACACCGGGGTGTCGTTGAAGAAACGCGCGGTAGAGGTCTACGTTGCGCTATGTGGGCTCAAATCGTACATCCAACTCAACCGCACGGGCTTCACCAAGATCCTCAAGAAGTACGACAAGACTCTCGACCGCAGCCTGCGCCGCGAGTATTTGGCCCTGCATGTCGCCGCGGCAGCCCCCTTTCTCGACACGACCATGCAGCGCATTGACGAGCACATCTCCCGCATCGAGCACGCCTACGCCCAGAACATCACCAATGGGGACGTGGGCCTTGCGCGCCGCGAGCTGCGCCTGCACCTGCGCGAGCACGTTGTCTGGGAGCGCAACACCGTCTGGCGGGAGATGATCGGTATCGAGCGGAAGGCCCAGGCTGCCAATGTCGGCATCCGCCGCACGTTACTCGGGGGGGAGCAGGATCCCGCTGCCTCGCGCCGCCAGGGCGATGGCGAGCCTGACGATGAGACTCGTGCGGCCAAGGAGCTTTCCACCCCTCTGGGCCGGTATCGCGTGCCACAGTGGCTGTGTAGTCTCAGCTTCGTCACCTTGCTGGCCATCGTCCTCATCTTTGCCCTGCTGCTCTCCGTCCCCATCATGGACCGGCCCGAGCAGCAGAATTGTCTGGCAATGCTAGTCTTTGTCAGTTTGCTGTGGGCTACTGAGGTAATTCCGCTCTTTGTCACCTCCCTCCTGATCCCCTTTCTGGTTATCCTGCTGGGCATCATGCGAGCCGAGGAGAAGCCGCACGAGCGACTGGCCCCCAAGCAGGCGACAAAGGTGGTGTTTGCAGCGATGTGGACCCCCGTGATCATGCTCCTGCTGGGCGGGTTCACGATTGCGGCGGCCCTGTCGAAGCACGACATTGCGCGGCGGATGGCGATGCTGGTGCTGAGCCAGGCCGGCTCGCAGCCGCGGGCGGTGCTGCTGACGAGCATGTTTGTGAGCATGTTCCTGAGCATGTGGATCAGCAACGTCGCGTCGCCCGTGCTCTGCTATTCGATCCTGCAGCCGCTGCTGCGCAACCTGCCACCCGATTCCACCTTTGCGCGCGCGCTGGTCCTGGGCATCGCACTGGCGGCCAATGTCGGCGGTGCGGCCTCGCCCATCGCCTCGCCGCAGAACATCATCGCCCTGCAGAACATGTCGCCCAGCCCGAGCTGGGGCACGTGGTTCTTCGTCGCTTTACCCGTCTGCATCATCTCCATCCTCCTCATCTGGGTGCTCCTGCTGGTCACTTTCCCCAGCGGCAACACCACCATCGTCCCCATCCGCCCTGTCCGCGACCGCTTCTCGGGCGTCCAGGTGTTCATCAGCCTGGTCACCTTGACCACCATCGCCCTGTGGTGCGCCAGCCACCAGCTGGAGCACATCTTCGGCGACATGGGCGTCATTGCCATCATCCCGCTGGTGGTCTTCTTCGGCACAGGCATCCTCACCAAGGAGGACTTCAACAATTTCCTCTGGACCATTATCATTTTGGCCGCCGGCGGACTCGCCCTGGGTTCCGCCGTGACCTCCTCGGGCCTTCTGCACACCATTGCGCGCGCCATCACCGCCCGCGTCGCCCACTTCAGTCTCTACGGCGTGTTGCTCGTGTTTGGTGCCTTGATCCTCGTAATTGCCACCTTCATCTCCCACACTGTCGCCGCCCTGATCATCCTCCCGCTTGTTCGCCAGATCGGCGCAGGCATGGCTGATCCCCATCCCAATCTGCTCGTCATGGCCAGTGCCCTGATGTGTTCCGTGGCCATGGGCTTGCCGACGAGCGGATTTCCAAACATGAGTAAGCACTTCTTCTTCTACACTCTGGTGGTTTTTTTTTTTTTACTAATCTTTTAGCCGCCATTATGACCGAAGTCCCCCAGACCGGCCAGCGGTACCTCCAAGTACGCCATTTCCTGACTCGCGGCATTCCGGCGAGTATTCTATCCTTCATGGTGATTGTGACGATTGGCTATGGCTTGATGTACGTGGGGGGGTTGTAGAAGTTTTAGAGGGACGTAGAGGAGTTTACGGTTGCTTTGATTTATATATTACTCTTTTATACTCTGTATAGTCAATCGTATATTTATCTCGATCGTTGTCACCGATTTATGAGCACAGTGATAGCATAGATTGAAATTGAGAAGAAAAATTGATAGATTCATTCGGCAAAATTATTTCAGGCTTTCAGCTCTACTAGATTTGGAGAGAATTCAGAGAGGACATTCAAAAAAGACTACGGCTAGGTGGTAGATTTGTCAAGTGTGAATTGAGGTCATGTTACTGTTCATACTAAGTAGGTACAGCAATGCGTACATAGTGGACAGGAGGGAACTAAGATTGGAACATCGTGGTTATTTTTTTCTCGAAAATGCTAAACTCCGAACCTCCGTAGGAACTAGAAGTGGTAAAATTTCTACTTGCGGATGGCACGCTGGTAGAAGGCCAGCTCCTCGCCCTCGAGGATGTAGCCGTCGACACGGCCGCTCTGGCCCGGGCGGGAGGCGATGACGGCGTACAGACGACCGGACTCGAACTGGCGCTCGATGGCGGACTCGACCTTGCCCTGCTCGGCGAAGCGGGCGGCCTGCTTCTTCACCACGCTGTTGCTCTTCTTCTCCTCGGTCGTCTCGGTCTTCTGCTGGCGGCGGCGGCCCAGGGGCTGGCCGTAGTGAGCCTCGTACCATTGGCGGAAGGGGGCGGCGTCGATCTGCACCACGGCCGACTTGGTCAGGGTGTTTGTGCGGACCAGCTCGTTGTTGGACGGGTGGTAGGCGACCACGATCACACGGGTCTTGCGGCTCACGCCCTCGGAGCCCCAGGAGAAGTTGCCCGCATCGAGACGCAGAGCACGGAACTTGCGGTTACCGCCGCGGGTGCGCACCAGGTGAATGCGCTTGGTGCCGATACGGGTGTTGGCGGGTTGACGGCCCTTCTCGAAGGCTCTGCAGCAATCATCGTCAGATCAGATATTCCCTTTTTGGTTTTTTGTTTCCCTTGGTTCCTATCCCGCTCTCTTCTCCCATCTTCCCTGGTGTCCATACCTCTTCTTGCGGTACTGAGAGCGCTTCGCACCGGTGGCCGAGCGCTTGTGACGAGAGTCGCGAGAGATACCCATATTTGCGGTGATGCGGGACTAGATTGGGGATGTCAGAATATATTTCACTTTGTGAACTTTTTTTTGTGGTCTTGTGCGTTTCGTTCGTCGTCTCGAGAAGATTCTGGTATCGTAACCGATCGATCGAATCGTCCGAATTCAACGTCCAAATTGAAACCCGCTCTCGTAAGGATGCAAGAAGAGAAGATAGATAACTCACCTAATCAACGCTGGGTGTCGTCGTCGGTGTCGGGAGTTGTGCGTGTTGTCGGCGACGGGCGTTGAATTTCGCAGTGTGGCTCGCTTGTCGAAATGCCCTACAGTGGGCGCTAGCGGAATCGGGTTAGCGAGCTTAGTCATGGCTGACTCATCAACCGGACTAACTGCTTCGGTCGCATAGGCACAGAACAGTATCAAGGTATTATTATTATTTTATTATTCGTTCCATTTCATAATTATTATTATTATCAGTTTATTATTATTTTCAAAAAATATTCCATATTCATCTACATCATCCTTTATTCCTTCAATTAATTCTTACTAGCAGTCAACGCTGCAGTCCGCTGAAAGCACCCATACCCCTCGATCATACACGAAATCTCCCATGCCCACCACACCCGCGAGAACAAGGGCACCCGGTGTCTTCGCAACCTGGCTGCCAGCAACGCCGACTCGGCGATATGTATACCAAGCATCAGGGTGATAAGAATCGGTTGGATGGTGTAGCAGAAGTCCATGAATTGCTCGACACGGGTGGAGGAGGGTGAGAAAGCCGAAGATAGAGTCTCGTAGAGAAACGATCCGGGGAGAAAGTTCCCCCGTCGGGAGAAAGCAATGTATGTTGCGAGACAGACGAGGAACACAGCGCTTTGTATAACCCCCTGTGGTGGCTGGTAGACTTTGATCTGGACGTCGGACAGGCCAAGCGCGGCGAGACACTCGTGGTGTAGGGCGACGACTCGGGCGCGTGTGTCGGCCAACGAAGCCATCGGCGGCTGCAAGGGAACGCTGTAACGATTCCCATTTGCACTGAGGAGGAGCTGGTCCAGTTTCACGTCGTCAAGGTGGGCAGAGCGGGCGTCGGACGCGGCCACGCGGCAGTAGACTCGGAGGTAGAGGACGAGCGAGTCCTGGTGGTCGTTGTTCATGTGGTTGATGATGAATTGTTTTCTGTCAGCCATCTTGTCTATGCTGTCTTGTCTTCCGTCAACACTCTGATCTCTGTTGGGTATAGATGGGATGATTCTTGTGGACTGTAAAATGCATATCAACAACTGCCAACTGGGAGGGAGTCGAGACTAGAGCCACGGCACTAACTGTTTTGGGAAGACATGTTTACTACGCTCTTTTGACTGACAGCCAGGAATATTTCATAGTATTGAGACAATAATCCTAATTCCTAGAGATAAATCTATTACAGGCTACCAGACGCTCATATGACCATGCAGCTCATCAATTGTCGCGCAAAGGGAAATCGTTTAGAGATACGAAGAAACGGAGATGGATAAGATCAAGCGTAGAAAAGTAGAAAAGATCAACAGCGACGCAATCATGCACTGCAGTCGTTTCGTCAACTCCTATTCATAACTAAGCCGATGCCATGGGAACATTCACGGGGGAAAATAAAACCAGGGAGAAGAAGGGGGGGAAGGGGGGGAGGGAAAAGAAAGAAGGGAACCACGTACAATAGAGACAGAGTCAGGTCGCCGTGAATATGCGCCTTGAGCTCAACCTCGATGTCCAAGTTGAGGTCAAGCTTCAGCTTCATCCCTTCCTGTTCGTCAAGGGGATTTCCCTTTTGCGGTACAGTGTCCATGCCGCCGTTGGCCATTTGCATCCGCTGGTTGTTACTCGGTGGTGACCACGGCTGCATCGCCTTGCCCCGGACCATCGTGTCGTCGTCGTCATCATCATCGTACTCATCATCGTCGTCGAATTCTTCCGAGTCATACTCGTCGGAATAATCGTCGTCGTCGTCGTTCTGGTTTCTCAACTGCTGCTGCTGCTGCTGCGGTCGACGCCGTTGTACCTGCTGCTGCTTCTTTTGTGGCTTGATGTCTTCCTCATCGTCAGAGATATCATACTCCTCCGAGTCGTAGTCATCAGCAGACGAGTAGTCGTCTGCTTGAATCGGAGCAGACTTTTGAGTCTTGGGTTTCTCCGCAACGGCTGCCATGTTGAAGTCGCAATAGAAATGAGTAGGAGAAGAATATTTTTTTTTCTCAGTAACAAGGTGATGAGCCAGATCGCGACCGAGAGATGGACGGCTGCGGAGTATATACAGGGTCCACTCCCGAATAAAGAGAGAAAAGGCCTTGCTGTGTGGCTGCTGGGCCTCGACAGAGCGACATCATCCGCATGGCAACTTCCACGGCCGATCCATGACGTCGTGGTTGACAGTAGAAGCCACAGCACTCCAAGTCTTGTCAACCGATCTCAGTGGAGCTACAAGGAATCCTTGTCACTGCACCCTGTCCAGAGTCTTAATTGTAACTGGCTCCGTGTCGACATACTGACAGCATCGTCGGACGCGTCAACTCAGTCCCTAACCAGTCCTAGGAACAGTCAGTAAAAGTCAATCCATGAACACAGAAACAAAAAACACTTCAGTGGATAAGACATCACATCGACTTACCATGGTACTCTGTCCTCCAGAAGAGCCGTTTGATGCCAGCCACATGGAGGAGACGTGGTGGGTGGAGCAGGGGAAGAGGGAAAACAAACCGGGAAGCGAGATTGACGTCGATCGAAACTCCGCCAACGTCATAAACACCCAGCAAGCCCCCCACGGCCATCCTGATTCCGATTCCACGATTACGACGGGGCAGCGGAGAATTACATGATCGAGAGATGCGATTCGGCATGAATTCGGTCATTGTGTGAAACATCCCGGTCGTGTACCCATGCTGCCAACCCGGGCGAAAGACGTCACGCCCAGGTTGCCTGGTTCGATGACGCCCCCCCCAGGGCTGGTCAGAATGGCTTCTATGGGCACTATGATCAACAGGATTAGGTATTGACGTCGGAGGCGGCTGGAGACTGGAGACTGGAGGCGTAGCGTTGCCTTGCAAGCGTTGACCCCCTGCTGTAAGTCTCACGATGTGCTGTCTCTCATGATATAAGCTCTCCACTGACAGGCGCCGAATGTATTAAGGTGTGATCCATCCCCCGCCCGCCTCTCGACATTTAATATCTCTTCTTTTCCATCATGGCCGATTCTACTCCTCCTGACACCCCTGATAAGAAGCCTCAGTCTCCGACAGTCAAGCGGACTCCACCAAAGCTGAACAAGAAGAAGCCGGAGCCTGTTGAGCAAGATAAGCCTGAAGAAAAGGAAGAAAAGGAAGCAAAGGTAGAAGACAAGTCGGAAGACAAGTCGGAAGACACACCAGAAGAAAAGGAAGACAAGCCAGAAGAGGAACAAGAAGACAAGCAAGAGCCACCACCTCAACCCGAAGCCCAACCGGAACCTGAACCAGAACCCGAACCTGAACCCCAACCCCAACCGGAAAGGGAACAGGTTGAACCTCGCCGCCGCAAACGACGCAGCCGGCCTATGCAGCCCGCCCGCCACGACGACACCGAGACCGAATCCATCCCCCGCGACGACATGGAGACCCAACAGCAGCAACTGGCCGAGAAGCCGCGCAACCGCCGCCGCAACCAGCGCCAAAGCCAGGCCAACGGCCCGCTCGACCAGCTCCCCGGCGTCGGCCAGGCAGGCGACCTCGTCCAGAACACAGCAGGCCAAGCCCTGAACGGCGTGACGGGGTCGGCGGGGAAAGCCGTCGGCGGCCTCCTGGGTGGGAACAAGGAAGACAAAGAAGATGGGCGCGACGAGCAGCTGCGTCTCCGTCTGGATCTGAACCTTGATATCGAGGTCCAGCTTAAGGCTAAGATTCACGGCGATCTCACCCTTGGACTGCTGTATGTTCCCTCCCCTTCCCTTGCTATATATCCTTTCCAGAACTACATGCTGACTCTCTCTAGTAATTGATGATTATGATTATGATAAGCGTTTTGGTCATGGATATGTTAATTTGATTCCCTTCAAATACTTTCGCTGTATCATTACTTGTAGTAGACATGATATTGCAATAACTTATATACATTAGGTATACTAGGTATCCATTTTTAAAAGTTACGTCGTAGAAATAAAAGTAAATATATTTATACAGAAAAGAAAGAGGTATCTCGGTTGTAGACAAAAGAACAGAAGAATTCTGACTTGATCCAGAAGGGTAGAAGGAAACAGAAATGGTCATGCAGGAAGAAATGGCATCTAATGTCCAGACATTAAACAATAATGGAAGGAGTAGAAGTATAAAGTATCAAGAGGGGTGTAGAAGGTATAAAAAGTTGAAAAGTTGAAGTTGAAGTTGAAAAGTATCACTCCTCGCGAAGAGTCATGCCGGAGATATTCCCCGTCTTGTTAAAGTCATGCCGGCTTCCCTTCCGGCCCACCCCCTTGAGCAGACTGAGTCGCTTGAGCACGGTATCTCGCACGCCGCTCGAGCTCGACGACGCCACAGGCATCGACTGTGCAGTCGAGATGTTTGTCGTCAGGGGCCCCTTGATCGACGCCGTCGCCGTGCTGCGCGCCGTCGCCGGCCGGCCGTACTCTTGCGGCGGCGGGATTGTCGACCAGCGTCCGCTCGAGGCTGGGGTGGCGGGTGGTGGTGGTGGTGGCAGCTGCTGCTGCTGCTGGGTGGACTGTTGGTGTTGTTGTTTGCCATGTTCGGGGCCACTCGGACCACGACTGTCGCTCGATACCTCTCGAGACGACGACGTCCCCACGGGCCGAGTAGGATGATGGTCTTCCCCCCCGGCCGTGATAGACACTGACGAGCCATATTTATGATGGGTCTTGTCGCCGCTGCCACCGAACCAACTCCGGCGTTTCTGGTGCGTATCGCTACGGCCGCCGCGCGACCGGCTGGTCGTCCGGCTGTGGATCGTCGCTGTCTCGTCATCGCGATCGGCGGCGGCGGCGGACGTATCCCCATTAGGCATCATCTGGTCGGCGGGAGCAGCCCCCTCACCAGTGAGATGTTGCTTGATATCGGCCAGCGCCTGGATTGTCGCCACCGAGCTCGCGTGCGTGTGGTTCGACCGCTTAAACGGGTTGATGATGCTGATGCGACTGCCCACAGATTGTTTTTGTGAATGCTTAAGGTCGACTCGGGGTTGCTGCTGCTGCTGCTGCTGGTGTTCCGGGCTGATCGTCCGTTGCCGAGCATCAGACGGGTGTCTTCTAGTATTATTGCCGCTGCGGCTGTTTGGCTCGCCATTTGATGGGCCCAGTGGAGTTGAATGAAGATGTGCCGCCAACGACGACAGCTCCGGGGCAAAGGCTTCCTCGAAGCGCCGCAGGAGCTCCGCCTGGGTGGCCTGATGGGCGGGCCGGTGAAGCAGGGCCAGGGCCCGACGAATCTCTAGGGCGTGATCGATGAGCGCGGCAGCCAGAGCGTTCTCCATCGGGTCCATGGGCTTGGTTGCTTCTTCTTCTTCTTCTTCTTCTTCTTCTTCTTCTTCTTCTTCTTCTTCTTCGTCGGCAGCATCGTCATCTTCCGCTTCGTGGATCTCCTCGAGTACGCCGCCCAAGGGATTCTTCGGCAAGAACTGGCGGTAGAGCGCCACGCAGCTGGGCGATGAGGAGGTTAGGTCCAACAACTGCTGCAGGGCATCCATCAAGGAGCACATGCTCGGGTCCTCGCCTGAGGCGGCCCGCTTCTCGAGGATGGCAAGCTCCTGCGTCTTGCGCCAGGTGCGTTCGATGGCGGTCTGCAGCGGCGGCAGCCGAAGCTCGTCAGCGGCGATGATCTCGCTGCGACGCAAGATATTGGGGAAAGGCTCGGCGGTGGTGAAGACGGTCTTCTCGACCCAGTGCTTTTGCACGTCCATGCCGCTCGTGTGTCGCTTGGACGTGACGGCGAACCGGACGGGTGCCGAGACGAGCAGGTGGTCACGGACCGACGCGGGCACGCGGGAGCGCTGGTACACCGGGTGGTGAAGGTCGCGGTGGACACTCACGGCGCTGATCTGCAGGAACTGGCCCTCGAGATCCTGCGTCTCGCCGGGGGTGAGGATCTGGGCGGTCGGGTGTTCGCGTTGCATGCGGTCGACGAACGAGGCCATGCGCTCCGCGGGGGCACCCTCGACAATGAATTCCTTGTCGCGCAGCGTGGGCGAAAAACCTAGGCCGCGGTAGACGACGCGGTAGTAGCGGGGGAACTGCTTGTCCTCGCGGGCGATGGACTCGTGGATGCGGGCCATGGAGCTCTGGGCGCGGGCCAGCTTGGAAAAATCCATGATCGTCTGCTCGTACTGCTCGGCCAGCTCGCGGTAGCAGGCCAGGGCGAGAGCCCATGCCCGCCCGTCCTCCAGGTATTGGATGATCTCAAAGTACAGAGCCTCCTTGCGGTCAAAGGACGTCTGCTCCGGGTACGCCGGGCTGGGCAGGCTGGCCACGGGCTTCAGCGGATCCCAGCTGTACAGGTCGGCGTGAAACTGCAGCGCGAGGCCGGCCTCGGTAGCATTGCCCGCCGCCGCCTGGGTCTGGGCGAGCTCGTGCACGTAGCGGATGAAGATATCCTCGCGGCCCATGTCCTTCATGTACTCCATGAGCTTGAGGGTATGCAGGCTCTGCGTCACGGATCCGCTCTGCGACGCGACCAGGAGCTCTAGCAGCTCGTCCACCGTGGCGATCAGGGTGCGGACTGCCGTGGCGAGATCCTCGTCAAATTCGGCCACGCCGTCGAAGAGATCCAGCAGCTCGTGGATGAAGATCCGCTGCTGCGCCGCGCCCTCGTTGACGTGTTTGGCCTGGAAGAGGCCGTCCAGACTGGAGATGATCTCGGTCTCGACGATGGACAGGTCCTGGTTGAGATCCCATTCGCTGAGGATCATGCTGCGCAACACCTCGACGGCAACGTGCCGCAAGCCCTCGTGCACGCTCAGGCACAGCTCAATCACGGGTGCGACGAGGCCCGGAACGTATTGCACCTGGTAGCCACCGAGCTTCTGCAGGCCGTACCGGTCGCGCTCCTCGTCCGTGGTGTCCCAGCCGATGGCGTCCCAGCTGGCGCGCAGCAGGTCGGCGCCTTGCTCCCGCACATCGCCGGCGATCTTCCAGACGGCGCGGCGCTTCTGCTCCGGAAACGTCTCGAGGGCGAGGACCTCGCTCGACACCACCTTGAGCAGCGTGGAGAAGAACAACTCCCAGAGCTTCATGTCGAAGGCGTCGGCGTCATCCGGCGCCGGGAGGAATCGGTCCACCAGGACGCTGAGCAGGTGCTCCAGGCTCTTGACCGTGGCGCGGTGGTGGTAGACATGGACGCTGAGCCAGCTGGCCGGGTACGGCTCACAGTTGAGGATGGATGTGTAGGCCTCGAGGGCCTGGGTGAGGAAGGTATGCAGCTCGGCTTCCTTGAGCGGGGGCGGGTGCGGGTTCGGGATCTTGGCGATGGCCGCCATGAGGGCCGAGAGCTCGACGAGGGCCTCGTCGAAGCGCTGCTCGCTCGGGGAGGCTTTGACCTGGAAGGGAAAGGAGCGGCTGAAGAGCAGGGAGAGGTAGCTTGTCTCGTCGACGCCCTCGAGGACGATGGCGCTGTAGGAGGCCACGATGCGCGGCATGAATGCGTAGAGCTGCGGGTCCGTGGGCTGCTGCTGGACCAGTTGGGCGATGATGGCGCAGCACAGGCGCACCTGGTCACGGTACTGGTCCGAGACGGTGCCCGTGGCGCCCCAGTAGGGAGCCAGCCAGCCGATACAGCTGGTGATCAGGCTGCGGCGCTCCTCCGGTCCCGCGGCGAACAGGTCGAGTTGGGTGTAATTCTGGATGAGGACCAGCTTGTAGAGGACGAGCATGCCCTTGACGTCCTTGCAGGCGTCAAGGAAGCTGAGGGCGATCATGATCATCTCGTCGCGGCCGAGGGCCTGGGCGAGCTGCGGCAGCCAGGTGTGAAAGTGTTGCACGACCAGGGTCTTGCTGCCGACCATGGCGGGCGACGGGTTGCGCATCAGGGCCTCGAAGGACTTGAAGATGGTGTGCAGATCACGGTTGAAGGTGGACTGGACCTTGGTGATGCCGATGCCTTCCTCCTTGGCCTTCTGCTGGCCGCGGGCGTTGATGATGAACTTGAGCAGATGGCGTCCGACCTTGACGGCGGCACGCAGGGTGCGGGCCTGTTGGGCGTCCGGCGTGGTGGCCTGCAGCAGCCGGAGGTAGCTGCGGATGAGACACGGGGTGGCGAAGGGGAAGTTGAACTGCTGGTCGGCGTAGTGGTCGACGCGCGGGCCCAGGTGGAAGCGGCGGTCGTGCACGATACCCAAGACGGTGACCAGGTCATTGAAGACCAGATCCTCATACTCCTCGTTGCCGGCGTTCTCGACCAGGATGCCGAACAGCGCGTCGAAGACGCTACGGAGCTGAGTGACGATTTCAATCTCGGGCACAAACACCACCCGCCGGAGCGTCCCCAGCACCTCGGCGACGGGGCGCTCGCGCCAGTTCAGCAGACTCAGGAGGATCTGATCCTGGGAGTACTCGGTGCTGCAGAGGTGGGTTTCGAGGCGCAGGGTGGACAGCGGGCCCGTCAGGGCCTCGTCCTTGGCGGACTCATTCTTCCCCAGGGCGCTCCAGGGGAGGGAGAGGTAGGCGCCCTTGCCGCCCTGCTCGATGTTGGAGGTATGTTTGTCGTAGGCGTGCAGCAGGAGGGAATGGGGCCCGTCGCGGATGAAGGCCCGTTGGTCCCACAGAGGCAACCAGGCGAGGGCAAAGGGGAATTCCGGCGCGTCGGCCACGCTCATGATGAGATGGCAGCCGGGGATCTGGTCGGTGGGGATCTTGAGACAGATGGTCTGGTGCCAGGGCGTGCCCCGACGGGCGATCGTCGTGCGCCATGCCGTGTGGGTCGCGGTGTTTGAGGAGGGACAGATGCACCGATCGATGCGATTTCCCGAGGCATTGCGGACCTCCAGCGTCAGCTGCAGATGCTGCAAGCCCGACGCGGTGGGCACCGTGAGTTGCCCCGCCTGAGGGTGCGACAGCAACGCATCAGGCGGGAAGACGGCCTGGTGGAGGGTCACGTAGATGTCGGACCGGGGCTTGGTGGGCGCCTCGGAGAAGCCGATGCGACGGGTCTGGATGACGTTGTGCAGGATGGTGGGATTCTTGCGCACCAGCGTATCCGCGTCCGGGCTGGAAAAGGGATGCAGGTGGAGATGGATCCGCGCCGCCTGACGAGAACGCATGTAGCTGCCGGTAGTGCTGGGCAGTAGTGAGTGAAGCAACGTCTCAAATGTGCCCGAGGGGCTTTCCCCATCGTCTACCGATCCTATTCCGTCTTCCCTCGGAGACCAGATATTGATAACCTGTTCGACATCTTTGTCCTGCTTGAGGAGCTGTGAGATCTCCAAGAAACCGATGCCCACCGTCCGAATGCGTTTGGGGTCTTTGGAAGCAACGGCTGTTGCTGCTGCTGCTGCTGCTGCTGCTGCTGCCGTCGCCGCCGCCGCGGCCGCGGCAGAACCGTCCCTGCCAGTGGCGCTGGTTGAACTGTCGGACGAAAGGGGGGGCCCTCTCGAAGAGGATGAGAAATCTCTAGCATTGGTCATACTGCCGTCGGCGCTACCCGTCGCACCACGAGATTTGGGCGCCCACATCATGCTGCGACGTGTCCGGAGGCTCCCCTTGACGGACGACTGGAGTGGCGGAGGCGACTTGCCGCCGGCGGCAGCAGCAGCAGCAGCGGCAGCGGCAGCAGCCGGGGGGGAAGTTATTTCGCGGGAGGTGGAGGTGCGCGGTAGTATGGATGGGGTGTTGATGGCGACAACGTCGGGGGCTTGCACCTTGACAACCAGGTAGAGCTGGGGTCCGGTGGGGGAGCCGTCACCTATGTCGGTGGCGGCGAGTTCGGTGAAGAGGGTCTTGAGCTTGCTGCTGTGGCCGGTGCTGGAGAACTTGTCGGGGGAGGGGATGTCAAGAATGTAGGGCTCGGAGAGGGGTTTCAATGGGGGGGAAGACGAGGAGAAGGAGGAGGTGGAGGAATGAGCGGCGGCAGTGAGAGGGGAGGATGCGCATAATTGCATGGTCAGAGTGACGGGCCCCGGGGCGGTACCCGAGACGGCATTGACCTCGAGCAGGAGATGGTGGAGGATGGCGGCGTCGAGTTGGGCGGAGGGCTGGGTATCGAGCATGCTCATCTCGGACTGGAGCTTGGTGAGGAGGAGGGCGGAGTCGTCGCCGGTGAGCAGGCGGCCATTCTGCTGGGGGTCGCGGACGATGACGCCGTCACCGAGCATCTTGTTCCCGCGAACGAGCTTCCAGACGACCTCATCGCGCAGGGCGGCTTTCTCTTGGGAGGTCAGGACGTCGTGGAGTAACTGGCGGCGGGCGAGATCGAGCTCGAGAACGAGGTTGGTCATCTCCTCGAGCCGGGCGTACTGGCGGCCCAGCAGCAGCTCGTGCAGTTTAGTGGAGTGCCACTCGCGCAGACAGGAGGCAATCTCATCGACGAGGGGCTCGGCAAGCGACGTGGGCGACTCGTCACCGATCTTGAGCATGGGCACGGGGGCGGCGGGTTTGGGCGCGTCTGGGTCGCGCGGCGAGACGGTGATGGGGGTCAGCGGGAGGGCGACCGAGGTTGTTGTCGCCATCGTGCCCGTCGCAGTGGATAGGGGCGTATGATACGACTGTTGGTGCTGCTGCAGCAGCAGCTGCTGCTGTTGCTCGGCGTCATCGGGCCTGGTATGAATGAAGATCTGGGCGGGTTTGCCCTTTTTCGCGATGACGACGTCGGTCACCTCGTGGGAGTCCTCATCGGCCGTACCCTGGGAATAGGCACCACTGGCGCGCTGATCAGCGGAAGATCCATCAATGGCAAGACGATCGCCATTGACATGATTCTGGTTAGTATAATTGTAGTTTTGTTGCTGTTGCTGCTGCTGCTGCTGCTGTAAAGCCTTTGAAGTATTATCGCTGTCGCCTAGAACCTCGCGGATCTCGACGCAGTTGCGGGGGAAAATGCCGGAGAAGACGCGAGCCTCAAGAGTCTGACCTTCGCCCGAAGTCAAGCCGGCGAGCAGCGACGGGGGCGCAACCAGGTATCCCCTAAACCACTCGCCATCGACGCCTCCCTGTTCGATAATATAGAGCTCGTCGCCAAGCTCGAGGGGCAAGTCCGCGGGCTCGGCGGGCTGGAAGGGGTAGATGGCGACGGCAAAGGCAATGCGAGGCAACGGCCGCCAGGGCATGTCGAGGAGCCCTCAATTGTCGCCCCTATTGTAGAGGGAGGAGGGGAAAAGAGAGAGAGAGAGAGAGAGAGAGAGAGGAATGGAGGGGAGCGTTTCGTCAAGGAATGCGGTCTCGTGGCCCCATGCAGCTCCGTTGGAATGAGAGGAATCGAAGATCGGAAGAATGGAGGATCGAGGAGTGGAAAATCGATCGGTTCGATGGCAAGAAGATCTGCTCAAACCAGTCAGTTCAATGAGTGCTGGGCCACTGGAGACAGAAGAAGAGGAAAGTGACCTGTTCGCGGCCCCTAGCTGACTTGACACGAACCGTGCGGCAGGGGGATGGGCGGTGTCCACTGTGTAGCGAGCGTGTGGGGAGGGGGTTTAAAGAAATGGAGATAAACGTGGAGGAGAAGGAAATGGAGTGATTGACAGGGAGATCGAGGCGTCTCGAGGAGATGTCGTTGACTGGCGACAATTGGAGAAAAAGGAGAGGAGGGAGTTGGGGATAGGAGAGGAAGGAAGGTTGGCTCTAAACAATTGTTTGTGCCTGGCTTGAACCGGAGTTGAAGGGGACTTAGTGTGACGAGGGATTGAGTAAGGATAGAGTCATTCTTATCACAATTATTCTGTAATTACTAGAATAATTAGGTCAATATGATAAGACAACTGAAGACTCAAGAGTCAGTGAAGTCCCTTAATAAGAGGCAAGAAGGCATAGAAGAGGGCAGAAGATTAAGGCAGTAAGGCAGAAGGCATGAGGCAGAAAATTAAGGCAATAAGGCATAAGGCATGAGGCAGTAAGGCAGTAAGGCGATAAGGCAATAAGGCAATAAGGCAGTGAGGCATAAGCGTAAGCATGAGCACAAGGACAAGGACAAGGACAAGGACAAGGAAAGGAAAGGAAAGAAAGGAAAGGAAAAAAAGGAAAGGAAAGAAAGAAAGAAAGGAACAGATACTAACTACTAGGTATGCTAATGCCATTCATGCTCTGCTATGCTGCGTACATCATTTAGTATACAGATGATAGAGGAAGATCCGATTATAATGATTCTCACTTCCAACTACTCCCACTGGTCTTCAGTTATTGAACTGTCATTGATCTAGAGTTGTACAACTGTAGATAGCTCAGCTTAGCTGTAGCTATCAGCGATGCTGGAATACAGCCTGCGCATCCTCGACGCGCCATTCGAGCTCGAGAGTGCCCTCGTAGACGGTCTCGCAGATGCGCTGCGTGCGCTCGTGCGCCGCCTCGTACCGCGCCTCGCACTGGCGCAGCACCTTGAGCACCAGGCTGCGGCTCAGACCCGGGTCGTCCGCGTCGCCAAAGTGCTTCTCGACCCGTTTCTTCAGCAGCTCGATGCCCCGCCGCAGCTCCTTGCTGTCGTGCGCCGCCAGCACCTTCTTCGCCAGCGACCGCGAGTGGCTGGCCCGCGCCGCCACCGTCGTCGGCGGGCCCGGCGTCATCTCCAGCAGCGCCTCCGTCGACTCCACAAAGTCCAGCAGCTTGCCCAGCGGCCGGTGGATCACCGCGTCCAGGTAGAGCTTCAGGTGTTCGTCCAGGTCCTGCTGCGCCCGCTGCAGCCACCGTTCCAGCACGGGCAGCTGCCGCGAGTCCCGCACCTCCACCTCCTCCAGGTAATGGTTCATGTTCTCGATCAGCAGGATGTGGTAGTTGAGCACCTCCTTGTCTTCAGGGTCCCCGGCGGCTGCTGCTGCCGCTGCCGCCGCCCCGCCGGCAGACCCCGTCGTCATCATCACCGACCCTCCGGCCGCCTGGCCAGGCGCCTCCTTGGCAATGAACTTGAGCGACTCCCACATCGCCCGGTTGATCCGGTTGTACGCCTCGTTCACGCTGTTGCGCACCTCGCACGTCGCCGCCGCCGGGTGCGACAGCATGTTCTCCACCGCCACCAGGAAGTTGGGGAACACCCGCATGAACGAAATCACTCCTTTACGCTTGTTGACCTTGACCTTCGTCTCCTCAATGCCCCGGATCTGCTCGTCCACAAACCGATTGAACAGACCCACCAGTCGCGTGTGCAGCTTCTGCAAGGCGTGGATGATGAATTCCTGGTTCGTGTCTTCATTTTCTGAGATCGCCCGCTCCAGGGCGAATAAGATTCCGATGCCTTGTCTAGAGTAGAGCATTAGCAGATGGAAGGTCGCATGATATATATATATATATATATAAAGAAAAGGAAAAAAAAAACGTACAAAGGATCGGTTTTAGTGGCCCAGTCCACCATGTTTTGCAGGTCTGTCGGCCAAAAGTTATAGATCTCATCCATGACCTGCTCCAGCTTCATCGCCATCTCGCGGTCAGGATCGTTGAGCTGCTTGGCGCTGAAATCAGGTCGGCGCCGCTCGTCGGGGTGGGCGGATGCCACCAGGTCCGGGAAGTCAGCATTGGCGAGCGAGCTCAGATGGAAGAACTGGACCAAAAAGTTTTGCTCGTCCGAGATCATCTTCAGGTTCTCCTGAAGGGCGCCGCTGAAGGCTTCGTACGGATCGATCTTGCCGCCCTTCTTGTCGCCTAGGGAGAGTCTCAGACCAGCGTTAGCCCGGACGGTCTTCCCTCGTCGCACCGTTAGCTTGCGCGCTGCCATCGTGAGTCCGTCGGTCTCCTTCTCCTTCTCCTGGTGCGTGAAGAGGAGCTCGCTCTCCTCGATCACAGGCGTCCGGGCGGCCCGCTTCCACACTAGGCTGTTGTCGCGGAACTCGTTCTGATACGGGATCTTGGCTTGCGATTCATACAAGCTGATCAGGCCGTTCCACTCGCTCGTGCTCACCTCTCGGGCAAACAGCATGAGAGTATGGTACATCCACAGCTCCTGACGGAAATAGTCGCGCGACTCGTTGTCCAGCTTCATCGGATCCTTTGCCGTCGTCATCGTCTTGGAAAACTCGATCATCTTCGACTCGGCCATCTTGAAAGCGATCTTCATATACTGATGCAGTCGCTGCAAGAACTGACGTGCGTGGTTGCGGTATTCTTCCTTCTTTTCTTTGATCGCACGCATCTGGCCCACTTCAGTGTCGGCGTAGACGCCCACACTGCCGTGATCTCCCGCGACATCACCCATCCGCTTCTTATTCTGCCAGATATCCGAGTCAATCATGAGCATCGCCTTGTACAGGATTGACAGTGAGGTTTCGGTGTCGTTCAGTCCGTCGGGGTTGCTAAGGGAGGCCTCTCTCAGCGGCTGGAGGTCAGTTGACGAGATGGACAGTGTCTTGAGAAGATTCTGTAGCTCATTTTGAAGTAATTTCTGGTTGGCAGTCTGGACTTGCAACCCTTGCGACTGTGCTTCGATATAGGCCACATCATCATGAAGAGTCTGGGGGGAGAAAAAAAAAAAGGGTTAGCAAATGACCAAAAATTAGAAGAAATGTTACTGGAAACTCACATTCAATTCGTGGGAATAGAGGGTCAGCAGCCCGTCCAGCTCTTCACATTCCTCTATCGTCTTGTCGATTAATTGTGCAAGTTGATCGACTTTCCCCTCCTGCTGCTCCACGTTGCCTAGCCAGCTGGTAGCTTCGACTCGGCCAATCTCTCGACGCACGTCGGCTTCCAGATCTTCGATCCTCTTCTCATCATTTAGACGGCCATTCCAACCTAGATCGGTCAGGATGTCGTCAAACTCTACGCCGCGTCCCTCAAGAAGACTAGGATCAATCCCCAATGCTTGAAGGTATTTTGCGGTGTTATCTTCACGCCTCCGTCGTCGACGCTCAACTGAAGCGGGGGACACCGATCTGGCGGCTTCTTTCATGGATTCTATCGTCGCATCGGTTGATGGCTTGACGATCTCCACCAAAGCAGTGGTCCCATCGTCGGCGGTGACTTCAACAGTTGGAGGCTCTTTCTGTGTATATGTAGTGATGGGAGCAGTAGCAGCAGCAGTAGCAGCAGCAGCAGCAGCAACAGCAGGAGAAGGGGAAGGAGCTTCTTGATCCGGTGTCTCCAATCCAGCGTCCCTTGCAGACTCAGTGCCTGGGCGAAGTGATGGCGCAGGAACAACGCTTGTAATTCCATCTGGCTCATCGGTCTTTGCCTGTTTTGCAGCAGCAAGTAATCGTTCTCCAGCCCCTCCGACTCGTGGTCGGAAGGCCCCGTAAGCGGTCGCGGCTTTACGGAAAGCACCAGCAACGTCTTTCGCCGACTTTTTCTTGATCATGGGCCCCAGGCCTGGGCGATGTGCCTCTGCATCTTCGTCGGCGGCTTCCCCAGAAGGCACTTCAGGAGGACTGGCTGGCGAGATAACCGTTTCGGGCTCTGGAAGGGCAGGCTCCTTGGGCTTACTCTCTTGTGGTGTCGATACCACCGGAGTTGCAATTGCTGGCTCTGAATGGGCGGATACGGGAGTTGCGATCGGATCTGCCTTCTCTGCTCTTGGAGATGGGGGTGGGCGGTTGCTGGCGGCCGAGCCAGGTCTCAGCGAGGGAGGAAGAGTTGACGTGTTGACTTTGAGCGGTGCGTGTTGCGTACGACTTTCCGGAGTAGATGTCCTGTCAGTTGACTCGTTTTGTATCGATCTCTGACCCAAGCTTCCGGCCGGGCTATGCGCAGCGTATCTATTTTCACCAGTACTGGATGCTGGAGTGGCTGGCCGAAGACCGTCTTTATTCCGTCGCAGCTCAGGCGAACTTGCTCCTGAATCATGACTTCGCACAGGTCTGAGCTCTGGCATACCCTTTCCATCCCGAGAAGATAACTGTCGTCCTTCTGTCTGGCTGCTAGCCACGCTGTGCTCATCCGAATCTCCGTATACCCTTGACTTGGAAATGGGCCCAGCCCCAGGAGGAACCCCAGCGGGAAGATCTTTCGCTCTTGAGTCGGACCCTCTCGGCATCCGGTTGTCTGTCGCTGCGAGTCGTTCGGTTGCTCGTGGGGGTGGCTGCTCTGGTAGTCCAGGCTGATTCGGAACCAAAGGAGGGAGAGGAACTTTCGCAGCTGGGCCCGGGGGAGGCCGCATCTGGTCTCTGCTTCGTTGCGCTCGCAACATGGGATCTTCAGACGCCTGTCTCCGGAGGCTTCGAGGCCCGTCTCGACTGGGTGCACGGTTCGAATATGGTGACTGGGGTCGATTGGCCTGGGCCGACGGCGGACGTGGAGGTGCTGCGACGTCGGATGAGGGATGAGTTGGGGGAGCCGCTCTAGAACCTGGAGGTACCAAAGGATCCTGAGGCCCAGATTCAAAGATCATCTGCTTTTCGCGTTCATCGAATCCAATGAGATTCGGGACCTTGCCGCCAGTGTATTTTATGTAGATCTTCACTAGACTGCCAATGAAGAAATCTTTCTCCTTCGACGTCGCAGCATGCCAATAGTAGGGCTTGCCCACCGTCACAACAAATCCCATGTTCGAAGCCCATTGTTTATGCTGCTGCTCCGTCGGATTCGATGCCACCAGGGCGCTGTACGACTGGATAGCAGACAGATCATCGAGCATCCACGTTTTACCGATCGAAAAGGAGCCGTCACTGTTCTCTCTGGCCTTGTGCATCCGGACTCTGCCGGATCTCCGTACTGCAACCACAATCACACGGGCCTTCTTATTCTCGGGTGGCGAGTCTGGAGGGGGAGGGGTAGATGGGTGAGCACCGTCTTCTGTTATCCGAACATGGGTGATATACGATTCAACAACTAAGAGACAAGTCAAATCAGTAAATAGCACTTGCAGCAAGGCAATCAACACAGGAGTAACGAGATTCTGCAATGAGATTGCACGAGTTGTTCGCGAAAAGACGTAGCCCAACGTGGAGCTTTACCCCTGCGCTTCCGCGCTCAGAGCGATTGTCCAACAGACAGTGTGCTGTGCACCACGCGGCACCACACGATAGACTCGAAGGGGGGAATTGTACACATACAAACGCCATCGTTGTCTTTCTTTGAGAAACAACTCTGCATAATCCTTCTCTTTTCATCCTTGAATTTCTCCGCTCTCGTCGATCCGCCGTCTCCAGGCCCCGAGCTTCCATCGCCACGACCATCTCCGCCTCGGCGCGGCTCCCTGAAAGGAGGTTGCTCGCCTGGTCTCCCCCGCGGGCGGTCCTGCCCGTGCTTCAACATGCTTCTGGAAAATGTATCTCGTTCAGGAGGTTCGGGCGGCTAGCTGGGCATCGTCGGGGGGCGATCCACGTAACCCGGGCGGGAAACTGCAAGCTCGACACAAGTTCGACAGGAGTAGATCCCCCAAGAATCGCAAGCCGAATTCGCCGGCGTGTTTGAAAGGCGTGTCCGTGGCGCTGGGCGGGAGGCGTCCCAACTGTTCAACAGTTAATAGCATGGACAGGCAACTGACGGAATTAGCTAACTTAGTAGTAGCAGCGACCTTAGCTCATCAGCCACTCGCGAACCCTGGCGGAGACAGCAGTTGCTGAGCAGTGCCCCTGGAGTGTCGGGGCCGTGCTAGGAGCACACGATGGCGATTCGCATAGTACCAGATCCCAGAAGCGCCCTCTACAGGACTGAATCGACTGCCCAGTCTTTTCCCTCCCCCTGTTCCATGACGCTCACGTTCTGTTCCCCTCGGCAGGCGTGACACCTGGTGCTGAGTCAGCAACGGTTGGTGTGAGTGTGACGGCGACGCCCACGTGAAGACGGCGCTAAGCCTGTTTCTGAACAGCCAATGGGAGCCTTTTTAGCTCTTACCGCCTTGGCTAGTGTATTTTCGCCTTTTTTTTTTCGACTTTCTTTCGACAGTCGCAGCTGCTGTTCGACGGCGAGACAAACACAATTGGGTGCCAGGCATTATGGCTGCGAAGAAGGTGAGTCCTGCCAGACTGGGTTGTTTGCTCACAGGGAGGGAGTCGACAAGATCTGAGTTTGCTGATTTATTCGCGCGTGATACAGACAAAAACCAGCAAAAGCGCCCCGGCGCCTCCTCCCACGCAGCTTGTTGCCTCTGTCGCCGCCTTTCTGACCCAGTATGGCTTCACTGAGGCTGGTAAGGCACTTTTGAAGGAGAAGGTGACCAAGGCTGCCGATTCGGAGAACGCGCCTGATCTGCTGGATCTCTTCCAGAGCTGGGAATCCCAGAACAAGAAGGATTCTAGTGACAGCGATGAAAGCAGTTCGGAGAGTGAGGATAGTTCAGACGAGTCTAGCGACGACTCCGACGTTGAGATGGACGATGCTCCGAAGAATAGCAAGGCATCTAGAGAGTCTTCGCCCGCCTCCTCGTCCGCTTCTTCATCAAGCTCTGATAGCGATGCCGATGATGAAGATGAAGATGAGGACAAATCTTCTGCCCCGGCTCCTGCTACGAAGTCGGCCGGTGTGAAACGAAAGGCGGAGTCCAGCTCATCGGAATCCGACTCTGATTCTAGCTCAGAGGACGAAGCCCCCAAAGCCAAAAAGGCAAAGGTGGAATCGGATTCGGATTCGGGGTCTTCATCGGAGAGCGACTCTAGTTCTGACTCTAGCTCTGACTCCGACTCTAGTTCTGACTCTGGTTCTGACACTGATTCCGAGTCCGACTCCGACTCTGACTCTGATTCCGATTCCGATTCCGATTCCTCCTCCGAGTCTGGATCTGGGTCTGATTCCTCATCCTCTTCCTCAGAGGACTCTTCGTCCGAGTCTGAAGATGACACCAAGAAGGCAACTCCATCATCCGATTCGGGCGGATCCGAGAGCTCGTCTGCTTCTGATGCTTCAGAGAAAAGTGACGCCAAGCAGCAGGCCTCGCAGAACTCATCCACCGATACTACGGGCACTGTCCAGGATTCGGAATCCGACCAGCAGCAAACTACCTCGGCCTACGACAGCCCTGCCCCCGGCAAAGTCGCGCCCAAGAAGAAGCATACCGGCGCCCGGCCGACCCCTCTGGCTGCCTTGAGCGCGCTTCCCCACGACCATCCGTCGAACGAGTATGTTCCGTATGCCTACGCCGAGCGCGCCTGGAAAGATCTCTCTGTCACCCGCGGCAAGGGCTTCACCAAGGAGAAGAACAAGAAGAAGCGCGGCTCCTACCGTGGCGGACCGATCGACATCAGCGGGGGCAAGAGCTTCAAGTTTGAAGACTAAACAATTTTGACTGCTGCCGATTCTTATTCAATAGATCGGACAAAAAGGTTGAAAGGTTTTTGCGGGGTTTTTCTCTTTGCTTTAAGCAAGGCGCTGATGGAGCAGGCGGATTTCTTTTTTTGTTCCTAATTTTTCGTATTGCTTCGATGCAACGCTCTGCTTTGCTACGAAGATACACCTAGATTAAAAGTTTGAAAGAATAGACTAAACTGTCATTTCTACGCTATGCTTTTCCTATGCACCTAACATGAGCATCCATGTATATCAAGTAAAACTATTTATCTTGGGCACGTCGCCTCCACGCTCCATCATCTAAAGGCTCCCATCTTTGATCCCAACCGGACTCCGTCTCGGCCGCTTCCAAAGACTCGAATGGCCGCTGCGTCCTCAATCTAGACGTGGTGGTAAGGTCGTCTGCGTCGGGGCGCTCGTAACCCGATAAATCGAGGATTTTCGTCCGCAAGGGCGCAGATCTGCTCCAGTCCAGATTCAGGGAGAGATTGTCTTCGTACCATTTTCTGCAAGATCCTGTCAGGTCGTCTGCCGAGGCAAAGTCGAGCTGCAAGACGCCATCTATGATTCCTGCGTAGATCGTCGGCGAGGATGGGGAGGGCGAGGACAAGGTGTAGATTGGACCCCGGTAGGATCGATCGTTAGAAGTGCGATGGCGTCTCCTTTGATAATGGATCCCGCGTCCATTCACGGGGGGGTTGTAGGATAGGAAGAGCGAGAAATTCTTGCGTGAGCCGGGATTCCGATTCCGCGGTCCGTCCGCCATTGAAGACATCCTGCTGGAGGGGGTTGGAGGTGGAAGCCCGAGACCATGTTGGGAATCAAGATGCTTGCAAGTGGTTTGCATGCGGAGATCGAATATCTTCAACACCGAGTCGCCTCCTGCTCCCACTAGAAACCGGTCGTGGCCGAATGGTTGGAGGCTGTATACCGGGTTATTGTCTGTCTCGTCACGGTAGGTTGAAACAAAGGGTTCCGGGGAGCGAAGGTCATGGACTCTAAAAACACCGAGTTAGTCTGGGTCTACGAATATGAAAATGATTCAAGTAGAGGTGAAGCATACCGGATAGCCCGGTCTCCCCATGCCGCCAGGAACACGTCTCCAGAAGCCCCGCCTGCTGTCTGGCAAGTGAGAGGCGCTATGCCACTCACAGTGGCTTTCCAGGACATACCAGCACGTTCTTCCAGGTCTAAGGACTCGACACCAATCTCGCGGCACACTGACACCGTCTCAGGCGTGATCGTGCAGATCGACAATGAGTTCATTAGACCACCGGTCCCCACGGCGATTCGACTAGGCGAGAGAAATTTCGAATATCCATGGCGAGTGCCGCTGTCTGCGGACTCGAGCCGGAGGGACCCAAAGGGTTCAACTTCAGCCTCCTCGGAGACTGTATGGTAAAGCCCAATGGAGCCGTTGTCGAAATGGGCCGCCAAGATGGGCTCGTTTCCATTACTGAGGTCAGTTCTGACGAGCTCCTGTCCGTGTGTGACGAACTTCTGACGATACTCGTGTGTCTTCTCCTCCGGCGAGACGGCCAGATGCACAAGATCCCCACGCACACGACCGAAAATCAAGTGTTCGTGTCCATCCTCCCGGGCGCTGTGATGAGTCGGTTTGAGCAGGTGAACACCGCAGATATCGTCGTAGCTGCTGATATGATCCAGGTCATTGAAGACAAGCCATTTCTCCCCAGCGCTTGCACCCGACTCTTTGATTCGGATCATCAACTCATCTGCTGCTCCCCACGCCACCACCTCACGCTTATCAGCCCATTTCCCGCCAGTCCACAACTCGTAAGAGTCGATCGCCGGGCGGTAACCAAGCGTCGGATTGTCTCGTCGAGTCGCCCGATGGGACCCAATCTTCACCGCATCCTCAGCCGGAAGCACAAACCGAGCTATCACAGCGTGTCTGTCCAGCGCCCGGGAGCGAGCCGTCAGGGCCTGCGCTGCATCCCTCCAGAAGGAAGGCGTCTGGATATACGGGAACCGGCTCTTGACAAGCGCTCGGAAAATACGAGAGTCCTCCGCGGTAACGATCTGGTTCAGCCGACGACACGTCTGAGACAGGCTCGCCAAAGCACTTGCTGTCAGGAGATGTGTTGCAATTTCGTAGATAATCTCAGAGGGTAGATCTGCCAACATCGTCTTAAGTCAGGGTGATATCCTTCAGCTGTCGTCTTCGATCAGTATTTGCATACAAAGACCTCCAGACATAAATCCACTGCAAACTCACATGTATACAGTCTATGGAATCTTCTAATAGAAAGAGTCGCTTAATTCCCACAAATACAAAATACGCAAAGGGAGCCAGGACGCTAGATTATCGAGGAGCTGAGCCATGCTGGCGGAATACTTTAAAAGTATAACCCAGCAGTAGACATACTGAAGAGAATAATAAAATAAATCAAAGGTATCAAACAGGCAGTAGTGCTCGTGGAGAATGTTCAGTGTTTATTCAGAATTGTATCCAGGCAGCAAATGGCGAGAGATGAAATCATATTTCACCGCCGTGGGAGGAACGATTTCTCTTATGTCATCCTCTCTTATCATCTGCTTATCACTTCAGCTTCACTTTGGCTGTGCGGGGAAAGCAACCGGGGAAAACGAGACTGAAGATTCTTATCTTTGGTGACAATTACTAACGAAGAGATTGGATAGGAACTGCGTTATCTGTGTCCTTATATCTGAAGGTTACGTTCCCCCCGTCCCGAGTTTCGTCAATCTTGGAGAGAAACCGTCTGCGTTTCTACTGTCTAATAGGAACTATAGACGGGCTCCAAATGGCGGTCTCACCTGTACTGATGATAACGGCTGCTTTGGCAGTGCTTCTGGTTGTCTACACGTACGTGATTCGACCGGTTTTTCTGTCTCCCCTGTCAAAGATCCCCAATGCACACTGGTCAGCCCCGATATCTCCTGTCTGGATTCTCTGGGTACGATTCAAGAGCCGCAACAATCGCACTATCCATGCCGCTCATGAGAGGCTAGGCCCTATCATCCGTCTTGGGCCTTCGGAGATCTCGATCAATTGTGTGGATGAAGGTATCAAGACGGTGTACACTGGGGGGTTCGAGAAGCATGAGTGGTACCCACGGGTGTTTGGGTCATTCGGGTGAGATTGAGGGCCTTTTGTTTAGCTTGTAGAATGGACTTTTTGGTGGCTAATAAGGATGTGTCTAGGACGGTGAGCATGTTTACCATGACGGACAGCAAATCTCACTCGAGTCGCAAGCGGATGCTCTCCAATATATATTCCAAGTCTGTTCTGCAGTCGTCTGCACAGATGCGTGTGATTTCACATACAATCATAGTCGATCGTCTCTTGCCGATTCTGCGCGAAGCAGCCGTGTCTCAGAGTCCAATTGATATGCATGACCTGGACCAAGGTCTCACGATGGATTTTGTCTCCGCGTACCTCTTTGGCCTGAAAAATGGCACAAATTTCCTGCAGAATAACTCCTATCGGCAGACCATGCTCCATCTCTACCAGAGCAGAAAACCGTTTGAATTTTATCATCAGGAGGTGCCGGACTTGGTTTCTTGGGCGAGATACCTGCGGATTCCACTGATACCCAAGTGGTGTGACGATGCAAATACCGTCCTCGATGCATGGGGGTTGGGGCTCTGTGATAAGGCGGAGGACGATGTTGCATCATCGGAGCTGGGTGTTGAGCCAGTGGTCTATAAGCAATTGAAGCAGGCAATCTTGAAAAAGCAGGCCCCAGAAAAGGAAACGGACCTGGGAGCTCGGGAGAAAGAGCGGCTCGAGATTGCGTGTGAGATGTATGACCATTTAACAGCCGGTCATGAGACCAGCGCTGTGGCCCTGACGTATCTATTCTGGGAGCTCTCCAAGGACGCAGATCTGCAAAAAGAACTTCGCAAAGAGCTACTCACGTTGGAACCAGCTATTATCTTCCCACGGTCGTCGTCGACTGCCTCGCCCCAGCTGCCTTCAGCCAAGTCCATCGATGGCCTTCCAATACTCGAGGCGATCATCACGGAAACACTGCGTCTGCACGCCCCGATTCCAGGGATTCAGCCGAGAGTCACTCCGTATCCATCGTGTCAACTGGCTGGATACAGCGATATCCCCCCCAACACCAGAGTCAATGCGCAGGCGTGGTCATTGCATCGAAATCCAGACGTCTTTCCAAGTCCAGAGACATGGCAACCCAAGAGATGGATGGATACCACTGATCCGGTGAAGCTGGAAGAGATGAAGCGATGGTTCTGGGCTTTTGGAAGTGGCGGAAGAATGTGTGTGGGTAGTAATCTAGCTTTGCAAGGTATACTCTCTCTCTCCTTCTCTCTTTCTGAAACTTCATGGCTAATTTATGGAATAGAAATGAAATTAGCGGTGGCATCTATATATACCAATTTCACCACGACAATTGTGAGTGACGATCACATGGAGGAAATCGACGCCTATACAGTCAAACCGCGCGGAGAGAAGCTCGTCCTTCAGTTCAATTGGGCTGCTAATTAGGCAGTTGAGCTGAATAAACTGGCAGCTATTATCTACATTCTAAACACTAGTGTCAGACGCTGGTCGGTCAATGACATGGATGGTATTGGTGATATGCATAATATACAGTGACAAGTGAAATACATATTCTTCGAAGAGCCATAATCCCAAACTCCAATAAACAACTATCGCTGAAAGCTCACTCAGAGGGTCTCCTGTATACCACGACCCCATGAACCCTCTGCAACCCCTTATCTTTCCAAAATAAAAATCATCTCAATCCCAATACTCTAGCCCAGAACACCCTGCTTCTTCTTCGGACCCACGACCTTCGGGTACATTCTCATGAGGTGGTAGTTGATCGTATTCTTGTGCTTTCCCTTGGTTTTCTAGAAGACATGAATTAGTCACTAGATTCACGCTTTTCATAGCTGTCAAACCACATACCGGCGAATCCATGCACTGTCTCAACTGTTCCTCGAACGCCGCACAGCCTTCCACGCTGTAATTGGACGACGCCCAGCAGTCTGACCATTAGTTCCGGCAAATAGAAGACATAGACATTTCTGTTCAAATAGGACGACGTACTCAGAACGGTGGACATGGCGTTCACACACGGGTTCTGCTCATGCTGGTTCGGACGACGCACCCGGAGATGAGGGATGGTCTGCAGACGAACGCCGTTGAGGCGAGTGGGAGCTCCCTTTCCAGGCATAGCGACAGCTCTGGATTTGCGTAGTGAAAGAAACAGGGATGGGATCTGATCGGAGGGTCGACAATCCCAGCAACACAGCCTGTTTCAATAATCCTTAGTAGGCATTGTTGAAGCTGTCGGGCCAGAGCCATATTTTTCTCCGAGGATGACATAAGCATCGAGATAGCAACCACTCAATCAACTACAAGGCATCATTTTAACCTACAGGTATTCCTCACTTCTACAACCATGCCTTTTCCATCGATAGAGTATGGACCGTGTCTACATGCGAGGAGCTCAATCGTTTCGATTTGCACACGCGTGCAAGACGCAGATACTTGAAGGAGCGAGACACTTTTCGGCTGCGACAAGGGAGCAGACAGCAACGACGAGGCAAAATACGGAGGCAACTACACAAGATGAAGGGCCGGGAACAGCAGAAAAACGCCACGAGGAGGGGCCTATGGCCCGTCGATTGTCGGAGATGACTGAACAGGCGATGCTGGAGGGTGGTAAATCGGCTCGCAGAACGATAGACCAGGCGGGGTTCTCGGAGGAGCTGAAGAAACAGCTCGAGGAGCGACTCGCTGCGAGCTCATTCCAGAGCGACCACGCTGCAGCACATTCCATTGCCAATATACCGGTGATTGCCCTCTTGATATGTATAAGATATATGTGCTAGATTTCTCATGCTAACCCATCAGACGAGTGCTGGACAAGGAACCAGAGATGTCGCTGGCGCCATGCCGTGGACCGGGACGGAAAGCGTGCACGATGCCACGCTTCGGATGCTCGATAGCTCCAAGAAACCCGCTCGAGTGCCCTTCAAGATCCCGCAGCCAACTCCTGTCAAATTCCAGATCTCGCCGAAACAGAACCAGTCGCCGGGGCTGCGGCTGGCGCGGGCCAAGGAACACAGCTCGATCTACAGCCTGAGCCAGAACACGGGGCTCTCCGAGGAGGAGAAGCAGGCGATGCACCGGGAGATGAAGGAGCGGTTTTCGCCCGGGGCGCGTGCGATGCCGATGACGCTGCAGGGCCTGTCGTCGCTTGCGAACGAGCGGATCGAAGACGCAATGGCGCGCGGCCAGTTCAAGCGGATTGCCCGAGGAAAGGGAATAAACGTGCAGACAGACCACAATGCGAACAGCGCGTTCATCGACACGACGGAGTACTTCATGAACAAGATTATCAAGCAGCAGGAGATCGTGCCTCCCTGGATCGAGAAGCAGCAGGAGCTCGCGCGCGAGATCGACCGCTTCCGCTCCCGAATACGCAACGACTGGCGACGGCATGCGGCGCGGTTGATCGCGCGAGAGGGCGGGTCGCTCGACGCTCAGATGCGACGGGCGCGGGCGTACGCCGCAGCGGAGACTCGACTCGCCGACAAAGCCAGAGTGGAGGCATCGTGGCGAGAGACTAATCCCGAGAGCTCAGTCAGCCAGCTGAACGCAGACGGACGGATTGTCTCCCAGTCATCCATGCCAACTTCGACTGAGTCTGCTGGCAGCTCTGCATATAATTCCGAATCTGCTCCAGATCCAGATCCAGACCCCCTTCCGATAGTACCTCCCCTCCGCGACCCAGACTATCTAGCCATCGAGCGGTCTTACCATGAGCTCGCGGTACACACCATCAACGCACTCGCCCGCTCATACAACCTGCAAGCCCCACCCATCGCGCAGAAACCATATCTCAACCTCGAGCGGGAGCTGGCGGCGTGCTATGCGGACGTGGCTTCTAGCCTCGCTGACGAGATCTACCGGCGCGCGACGGAGCGTGTTCGGCCTTCGAAACCAGCTGCTTCGCAGACGGCACCGAGGATCATGCAGACATTAAGCACGACGCAGGCGTCTCGGGTCTACGACGAGGATAAGTCCAAGGGGTACGGGCTTAAGGAATTATGGAAGGATCTCTTTTCCAAATAGGTCAGTTGGGTTAATCATCACTCTATGAAGATAGTATAACAATGTGTGTGTACATTATCAGGAAAGAATAGGGGTAGGTCTGGTATTACAAGACTAAGAATAGACCCAAGCACGCAAATAGCTTAATACCTTCCCTTCCACTCCTCACCGTTCATGCTCGATCCAGGAGCTGGATGAAAACAGGCTCGCCACCTACCACCCGACAAAACTCCTTCCACTCCGCCCAGAGGGCACCCACGGCTGTAGCCGAACACAAGAACACAATCGACATAATCAGACCATAGAGAATGCGAACCAGGCCAGTGAAGCCAGCGGTATCCGCATCGGTCGGGTCGACGTGTTGCACCGCAAGCTCCACGGCAAGGTACCCGACCAGAGCGAGCATAGCTCCCACTACGAGAGAGCCCACCGCGGCCCAAAAGTGCGTCTTGAACTTTTTCTTCCATTGCGCCGTCCGAAATTTGCACATGTCGAAAGACCGGCGGTTCTTGCTTCGCTGCAGCAGGACTGGGAGACTGAAGGCCGCCATGGCAAAAATCGTCAGGATGATCGCCACCGCCAGCATCCCCTGTGACACTGATATATCCTTCAACAAGTTCCCCTCTTCTCCCCATCGGAGTTCATTCCCATGGCCGATTCCTCGCCTGACAGGCGTCGTCGTCGTCGTCGTCGTCGTCGTCGTCGTCGTCTCTCGGCGCCGCAGAGGTATGATAAAGTTGTGCCATGGAATTTTGGGCCAGCCGCTCTTAGCCCAACCGGCCTGGGCCAGGTCCGAGTCTCCAAATGGCAGTCGAGACACGATCTCTAGCTTACCCAGCCAGATCTCGTTGATGGCGTTCCCGGGCTTGTAGAAGTGGTCTGACTTGACACCGTGGACTGCGGAGAATTTGTGGCCCATTCTGTAGACTAGCGATTAGACTGTCAATAACTATTGGATATAAAAGGAACGAATGGAGTTCTAGTCAAGACAAGACAATTAATTGTAAAGTAGTGGTTGTCTGTTGATATTCTGTGCTCTGTTTTGTTATGCTCCTGGAGCATTGTTTTTTCAAAAGCTGAGCCGTGCCTTCCTTACCACGACACCTCTCCTCCTCACCTCCTCATCTCCTCCCCTCTACAATGCCTCTACAAGACAGCTCTAAAGAGCGAGTTCTTCTCGGACTCAGAATCAGAGCATATATAATATGACAGGCAATCAAAAAGCCACCCATAGATCCAACCACCGTGCCAAGATGGTGGCTGTGGGCCCGGCGCGTATTCAACCTCTCAGCGAGCACAGGTAAGAGCTCTCACCGTCTCACTCTATATCGGGCCACTCAGTGACTGGGATTGCAGAACATCTTAGTTTAAAGACTCGAGATGTCACAACTGCCCGGTAGCGCTGGGCTGTCATTCGAGCCGCTCCTGCAGCGTGGCTGTTCGCCTGTCACATCGTCACACCCAATCAGTCGTCCATTGCCTGGTGGCAAGGCAGATCCTTGTCACGAATGGCTACGGGCATATATCTCTGGGTCTGTTTCCGGGGGAAGATATGCAAAGGATGCAGGTATCGCTGCGATTCCGATGTGATAGAGAGTTACTCTCCCGAAGAATACTTAAGTGGTTGATCTCTGCGAGGGTAGTACGAGAATGAGGGGCTTCCTACCATTCTCGATGCCTGCGGTGGTCGTTGCTACTACTACTACACTTTTATTTCTGCTTCCGTCTCTCACTACTGCTGGACCGGCGGCTGGTCGAGTTGAGAGCCGGTCGTATCCTCCTCTGGAACCCCTCGATAAACCGTTGCTGGCCATCCAGGTGGGCTGCATCGTCGGGGCGTACCTGATCTCGGTTGTTTTTCTCTTGACGCTATTTGTCTTCGTGGGCCGTCGGTTACGCAGAGCAGTGCAGGCATCCAACTATTCGCTTCAGGTGGAAATGATGACGCCGTTGAAACCCTCGTTCGCCGTGAATACCAACCCGGTTGGCACTCAGGCGACCCAGCCTAGTACCGTCAGCCCTAGCCGCACCAGTGCTTTCACCGGCTCGTTTAGTAGTCTGGTAAAGGGCCACAAGCACCAGAACTCAGGCAACACCAGCGTGGTCACCATAGATGAGACGGTGGTCGCGTCGGACCGGCGTCGGGCACAGGATGAGATGGAGAAGCTGTACGCGGCGGTGATGGAGCACGACGAGCTCAAGGCTGCCGGCCTGGTCGATACCAGTCCAGTCTCCTACGCAGCCCCGTCCCCGTCCCTGAGAGAAGAGGAGCCAACCACCCCGCCTCTCCCATCTCCCCGTTCTGCCTCCTCTCGTCGCTCCAGGATGTCTCCGCTGTCGCTCTTCAGCTCGTCGGGACGACCAGGCAATCCGGTGAGCTCCGACAAGCTCCACTCCCCCCGCTCCATCCGCAAGTTGCCCATCATCTCGCCGCCGTTCCGCTCGCCGGTGGGTTCGACGCATGATGAAGAACACATCCCGCTCAGCCCTCGGATGTACAAACCGGGCCCGCCGCCGCCGGCGCCTAAGGCTGTTAGCTGGGCCAAGCCCTCGCCGCGCCCCAGTGAACGGGCGCCAGCGCCAGCCCCCCTCAACCTGAGCGCGGGCAGTCAGCCCGGGTCAACCCCCTCGTTGCCCCTCCGCGAGGCATACCCGCCATCGAGCGCGCCCGCGACCAAGACGACCATCCTCGAGCGACCGGAGAACCTGCAGCGGATGGGAGGACCTCGGACGGGACTGGCAACGCCATATAGTCCGTACATGCCCTTCACGCCAGTGACGCCGATCACCCCGAGTCACATCGTGACCAAGCGGCAGCGTCGCCAAGAGGGGCGAGAGAAAGGGCTGCAGGTGCTTCTGGAGGACGACATGGTCAAGGCGAGCGATGATATGTGGGGATATTAGCATTTTTTCTTTCTTCTTCTTTCTTCTATACCCTGGACACGCAACTTACTACATAACTTTTCATGACGAACTGAAGAGTACCTACCTAGGCATCACCATAATTAATTGCCTTGAGTTAACTAAACATGCATGCAGGATGCACGTAGTACGGAGTACCTTACGTATGTTGCTGTTAAAAAAAAAACGGACTCGCCACCCCCTCCTCTCTCTTTCCCCTCCTCTCTGCCATCCAAGCTCCTATCCAAGCTCCCTCTCACAACGAATAGGCCGCCATGACCGCCCCGTGGGCTCTCTACTACTAGAACGAAGCATGGAAACACAGCCATGCAGACGGCCCAAGGCGCCCAGGGCTCCTGATCCCTGGTTCTGACGCGATGGGGGCTGACGAGTACCAGGAGCGACACGCCAGTGCCAAGTGCCCCGCTAATCATGGTGTTTCTAAACTGTAAGACTGAATAGATATTAAATAATAATTAACTCTTCCCTCTTCTAATTCTCTCTGTTTGTCCTTATTCTATCTCTGTGTTTATTTGATTGGATTTACTGCTGTCATGCTGACGATCCTCTCCTCCTCGCAGTTGCGCACGCTGCTCCTCTCGCTGACCCGCGAGGAGATTCTCTCTCTCCAACGGAACCTGGCTAACGCTCTCCACGAGTACTCGACGGGCACGCAGGAGGCAGGCTGTGCGGCGTCGTACCAGCCGCCGCGGACGGCCATCACCCGGCAGGATGGACGGACGACCCTCTTCATGCCGGCGAGCACGGGGCAGACGGTCGGCATCAAGATGATCTCGCTCAAGGATCCGGCTGGGGGGGACAACCAGGCTGGCTGTGTGGTGGATACACATCTTTCGGTACAGGGGAGTTCCTCGCGAGGAAGTCGGTCGCCGCGTGGACATAATCCGCGAGACTCGATGGCCTCTGTGGCCTCTGATCTAAGCGATCTCTCTATTTCCTCTCAGGAGGACAACAATTACAACAACAGCAGCAACTTGCTGGGTTCGAGCGTGGCGAGTAGCAGTGGTAATTGGAGCAGTGGGGAAACCAGCGAGGCTTCGTCGTTGCCTGCGTCCGGCTGCGTCAACCGACAGTCGGTCTCGTCGACGCTCGGGGCGTGGCCGGGAGCAGGCACGCGGGATACAAGCCCCCGGGGCAGCGTGACGCTGTTGGACGCGCAGAGCGAGCCGTTCGGCCTGATCAGCGCGCAGGAGCTGACGGCGTTCCGGACGGCGTTGTCGGCGCTGATGCTGTTCACGCCGCGGCGGCGGGTACGGACGCTGACGGTGTTCGGGGCCGGGCGGCAGGCGTACTGGCACATCCGGCTGGCGCTGACGCTGCGGCGCGACGAGATCAAGCGGGTGTACATCCTCAACCGGTCGTTTGAGCGGGCGGCCGCCCTGCTGCGAGACATCTACTCGGCGGAGAACAGCGGGTGGCGCGGCGGAGTCAAGTTCTCGGCGATGAGCAGTGATTTCGTCGAGTACACACGCCTTCGGCGCGAGGCCGTCCGCAAAGCAGACGTCATCTTCTGCTGCACACCCGCCGTCGAGCCCCTGTTCCCTGCCGAACTGCTCACGGCGCGCGAGGGCCGCCAGAAGGGGCGTCTCGTCAGCGCCGTCGGCTCGTACAAGCCGCACATGGCCGAGCTGCACCCGGATATCCTGCGCGACGAGGCGGACGGGGCCTCGGCCTCGCACCGCCATTACCACAAACATACGCCGCGCAGTGGCGTCGTCGTCGTCGACAGCCTCGAGGCGGCGCTGCAGGAGGCCGGCGAGATCGTCCAGTCGGGCCTCCAGCCGCAGCAGCTCGTCGAGCTCGGTGAGCTCCTCATGGTGAAACGCGCCACTGAGGGAGGATCGGACGAGGAGAAAAGCCTGCACGACTGGGTCGAGCGTGGGAATGTCGTCTACAAGAGCGTCGGCCTGGGGCTGATGGATTTGGTGACGGGGGGGGATCTGATCCGCCTGGCGAGAGAGAGAAATATCGGCACGACAGTGGAGGATTTTTAGCTTCTGCTCTCTACTGTTGTTTTATTTCTATTGTGCCTTTGCTACCATGTTTTCTTTCTTCTGTCTATACCCGTTGCTATATCTATCTATCCATACCTATACCAGATCATCGATCTACGCCTCGACTATCTTTTTATCAGACCATAACATATTGATTCCTATTATTTGAGTCACTAGTAAAACTGGATCTCTAATCAGTTCCTTGCTATTCGTAACTAATTATTAGCTATCAACCCCTCGCGGGGCACATCACCCCACGCTATCCGATAGATCGCTCTCACTTTACCACCACCAACTTTTATTTTCGAGGAAACTTCCTTTCTATGTGACTCTCTTGACTGCAGTATATCCTCCGTTCCCATCGGCACCCCCAGTCTCTCAGAATGCCCTCCTCCGAGTGCCATCTCCCGAATGGCCAGACCTTCACCGTCACGCCAGTCTTCGGCGGGGTCAACTTCAGGTCGCATGAGATGAACCTGCACCACTCGGCCTTTCCTCCCGGCTGGACGGTGATTCTGCAGACGAACAAGTCGAAAGAAGAGGGGGGAGCAAGAGCAGGAGCAGGAGTAGGAGGAGAAGGGGGGGAAAGGAAGAAGAACAAAGACGAGAGGCCCGTCGTTGTCGAGGAGAAATCGAACCGCTTCACGCAGCCGACGTTGAACGACGACTCGCTGTACATCTCGTATATCGTGAGCCCGCCGAGCAGCGACTTTCGCCCGCCGCACTCGCCCAGCCGGCAGATCGCCGTCATGCTCTGGGCCACGCTGTGGTGGTACTTCCACGAGCCGGAGCCCGACCTGCATCTCAGCAACGAGCAGTGCGCCCTGACGCCGCCCAGCGGCCGGCCCCAGGGCGCCTGGCGGGTCAAGATCCGCCGCGAGGGCATCTTCCAGGGACGCAACCTGCTGCAGAAGCTCGTGCGAATGGGCCTCATCGCCAACGAGGACTCGTCCGTGGGTCTCGACCCGTTCGAGTCCCGCAACGCCTCCTCCTCCTCCTCCTCCTCCAGCGGGGAGAACCTCTTCGTCAGCCGCCGCGCCTTCTGGCAGCTCGACCCGCGCATCTTCCTCTTCACCCTCTCGCCCAAGGGTGTCTCCCCCTTATCGCCCGCTGCTCTCTCGCCATTTCCCTCGCGCGGCGGTTCCCCAACGCCAGACGATGCCGCCAGCGGTGGCGGCACATCAACCGCCACCATCACCACCAGCAATACACCCACCCTCATCACCGTTCCTGTCGCGGCGTCGAACCCCTTCTTCTCTGCCTCGCATCTGCCTACCTATTTCCCCCCGCCGCCAACACAATACACCTTCACCAACGGCATCCGCCACCCTCTCCGCCCTAAACCGCCTCACCAGGGCGAGGTGTTTTATACCCGCTACATCCCCAGCGTGAACCAGTACCTGTCCTTTCGGGTTCCGTACCTGCCAAAGCACGGCAGAAATTCCGCCAGTGCTAGTAGTAATCTTAATACCTCTTCCTCCCCCCCCCCCTCCTCCTCTGCCTCCTCCGACCTGGAGATCCTCCACCGGTGGATGAACGATCCCCGCGTCTCAGCCGCGTGGGGCGTCCAGGGCCCGCTCCAGACCCAGGAAACGTTTCTGCGCGATAATCTCTCCTCCAAACACAGCTTCCCCGTCTTCGGCTGCTGGGACGGGAAACCCTTTGGCTATTTCGAGATCTACTGGGTCAAAGAGGATCCCCTCGGTTCCCTCCTGAGCGGCAATTCAACCTCCCCGGTCGACAACTACGATCGTGGCATCCACTTGCTCGTCGGCGAGCAGGAATTTCGTGGGCCGCATAGAGTCGCCATCTGGTTATCTGCTCTCGTCCATTACTGCTGGCTCGCTGATCTGAGGACCCAGACCGTCATGCTTGAACCGCGTGTAGACAATGCAAAGTATGTCTCCCCCCACCCCCCAATTCTATACTCTTTTTTACTTTTTATACACCGCTTGATAATTTCTAACATGATAATAAATAGAGTCATCAACTATCTCACTCAAAGTGGCTTCTACAAAGAAGGGGAGGTCAGCTTCCCCCATAAACAGTCGGCCGTCATGAAGATCAAACGCGAGTACTGGGAATCCCCGGCCTTATGAATATTAATACTGGCTTTATATTATCTCATACAATTACTTGAGTACGGCAAAGTAAACTACTAGAGGTAAAATATTTAAAAATCATCATCATAGTACAACGCCATCTACCATACATACATCCCATCGTACCTGATCCAGGGAAATGGCCATCAAAAATCAAAAGATAAAATAAAATCAAAAATCAAAACGCAGGGTAGGGGAAATTAACGCCGTCCATGCAGAGGGAGTGTTAGGAAATGCATTAGAGCACGTGGGGTGGGTGGGTGTATTATCAGAGAGAGACGAGGTGTGGGCAACCGGCATCAAGAAGACGCGCAATGATGCAACACCCTTATTAAAGTTGTAGTAGTTTAAAGTTGTAGTAAACGATTGAGACCAGCTCAAGCGTGTGGGCGGCCAATCCGCCCGCCCATGTATGAGCCTGCAGCCGACGCAAGGAACCTGGCAACGAGGCCTCCACCATGGGTCCCGCCCCCCACCTTCACCTTTTTGCTAGGTTGCTGCTGGAGTTCATGGTGAGAGGCTTTGGCGTCGACATAGCGGTAGTTCATAGTTGAAGAAGGTGCCGGGCTGTGGCTGGAATCTGCTACCAGGACCTCATCCGCGCTTTGGGATGAACAGGTGTAGATGCTGGCCGGGGTGCCTCGAGAGCTAGGTGCCGTGCTGGAGCAGCGGGAGCTCAAAGATGTGTAGGTTTCCGCACGCGACAGGCCAGGCACATCGTTGACCGAGGGAGGCGAGATCGATCGTCCGGACCGCTGTGGAGAGACCCGAAGACGCGGGTGGTAGGGGGTGTAACGTTCCTGGTCGATCATCGCATATGACGAGGTTTGCATGTTTATGCCCGAGGTTCCATGGCCATAACCAAGGCGCCTGGAGCCATGATCGCCTGCCCGTCGACTGTCGATACGGGGTTCTTGTTTCTGACGGCGGAGGCGGCTAGCAAGGAGCTCGGCGGAGGCATGGAGGCGGCGCCTAAAAAGTTAGCAAACAGGGACATAATCGTACGGAAGAAAACCAAAATGATCACGCATGAACCGAAAACCAAGGCGGATAAACCGAGTACATACCATTCACGGTGGTTCTTCAATTCCTCCTCACGTTCCCGCTCCTCGTGCCGACGACGAATCGGGGCCAAAAAGGGCTCAAGTTGTGTCAGGAGGTCATCCTCCGTGACGCGGGTCTCCCAGTCCAGGAGGAAGAGGAACTGCCGCTCCATGAGATTGACCTCGGTCAGAGAAAATCCAAAGCCCTCGTACCCCTTGACAATGGTGTACTTGGCCCAGTGCTTGTTCTTCGGGCTGGAGTCGTTCAGGTTCTTGGCTGCCAGGATGAGAGAGGCCAGGAAGATTCGGTGGACGGTGCAGCGCATGCCCTTGGCCACAGGCGGCAGGCGGGCGCGCAGGCGGGCGAGATACACCAGGGAGGACATGAGGGTCGGAACCTGAACCTGCGAGCGGGTAACCAATGAGGCAATGAACGTTTCCACGGATGGCAAGGGAGGTGTGTTGTCAAACGGGTCCATCGGCGGTGTGCTGGGAGGCGTAGGTTGGCCATGTCGGTTGACCGATGAAGTGGTCACATGCGGTTCGCAGCGGATGACCAAGGAGGCCTGCTGGGCCAGGTAGGAGATCATCTCCCGCGAGACGGGCATTGTGACGAACTCGTTCAGAGCCGCCCGGTTCTGAGCCAGCGTAGAAGAGGTGTCCATGTTGACGACCGCGTAGCCAGAGTCTTGTTGTTGAATCATACTAGAGGCAAATGAAAGAAGTGCAAAGTCGAGAGAGAGAGAAAGCGTGGCGGTCAGATAAATAGTTGGAGAAGAAAAAAATCAGGGAGACAAAGGAAAAAGAAACCCTCTTCTCTTTCAGTGCAGGGTTTTTTTCCCCCTCTTTTCTTTTTCAGTGAATGGTTCGAGCAAGCAGTTTCAGTGAATGCAGTGAGTGGTTGGTGTATTAAGCCTGCAAAACAATGGTCTTTGTTTCAGTGGCTTGTACAGAAGAAGAGTACACAAACAAGATATCTATTGAATACTGCCAGTTGTGAATAGGGTTTTGGCAAAAAAAAAAAAAGAAAAGAAATCAAGTAGTGACTGGATGCGAGGTGATTGCTGCGAGTTCCCGGCCAGCAGGAATAATTGTGGTGATCCCGACTCTTGAAAGAATGCTGTAAGGATAATCGAGGTTGTCGTGTCAACCCAACGAAGAGTGCAACTCTTCGTGATCTTATCGCGATAGGTTCGTCAGGAAGATCTTTGTCTCGGCAAAGTAAAGCGATCTCTCATTTTTTATTATTTAATCGAGTGAAACCTGCCGTGGAATCGGAGATCCGAGAGAGGTGAACTATTGATCGGATCCAGACCAAAGTGAAACAGATCTCCAAGAGAAAATCGAGAAAATTGGGTGTAGGGAGATGGGGACAGACAGTTCAAAAAGAAAAATTAAAACAAAGAGAGAGAGAGAGAGAACACAGTGACGCTGCTGTGCATGTGGATGAACCTCGTGAAGAATTCCAGCGAGACCAGCTGAGCCTATATTATATGTCGATGATAGGTAGGGTTCGGATCTCCCATTCTAGGGCTGGGCGGCTGGTGAAGGAAGCGGTTGCGCTGCAAGGACTGCTACCATCCAGTTGTTGGATGTGGGGAGCCATGACCCCAAAATGGTCTGCGCAGGGGGTGCATACCGAACGGGCGGCCAAAGAGAAGGGACAAAAATACTCGGATCAAGATCGAGTTGGCGTGTCAAACACCCAACCTTTAGCGCGCGACTGGGATCTTCCCAGGGCCCTTGTAAAGAAAAGAACACGACACGCGCGCCGTCTCAACATGGAATGCAGTGCTACTCCGAGGGCGTTTCAAAGAATCCACCATGGCATTTGCCTCGTCACTGTCAACCGCTTTGTCAGGAGTCCAGTCGTCTGAGCATCTGTGTCCGGAATTAACACTACCAGGCAGAGATCTCCAGTGCCAGTATCGGGGGATCTGCACAGCGATAGGTGGAGGAGCCCATCGGGCAGGCGCGTCCTCTCACACGCGAGGAGTGGTAGGACCGTAGGAGTGTGGCTAGAGTCTCAGCTTGGGCAAGCTCCCCACATTCGCGAATCAATCAAACGATCGATGAACCACTTCTTGGGCAAAGCTGGAACGCCGCAGGTCAGTTTGAGATCTATTGACGCCAAGCCAGAGGGGAAGCCATACTCCTGTCAGAGAGTTCCCCTTCTCTCTACCAACACATTCTCCTAGTTATCCTCCTTCGATGGATTGTACCTTGGATAGGGGTTCTTTCCCCCTCTTTCTTTTCTGAAAAATCATCCTTGATGGGATTGTTTCTTTCTCAGAGCGAGAAGAAAAAACACGACGAGACGTCAAGAGAGACCGACAGGGTCAGGCCAGAGTTTAGGGAAGGTGCCGCCCACTGTCCAGTTTAGGAAGCGGCGTTCCAAGGGTGGGTTTATTTTGGGGGAAGGAGCGAGCCATCAACCTCCTATTAAAACAACGTCGAGGATAATCGATCTTTTACTCCGTACAGTATTTATTATTTCCTCCACTAAGCATTGGAGATATTATTAGTTGCCTATCGCAGTTCTTTCTCAATGAACTAATTACAAGCGAATCGACTGGTTTGTTACTCAATGCCAGGTTGATGACTCGACATACCAGCGCGTCTTGTTAGCGTTTCGGTCAACCAATACTGTTTCCACGCCTGTCGCCTGTTCTTTTCTATCCCTATCATGGAATAGAGGGAGCTATAATTATTTCCGATCCCTGATTGACCTTGAGAGGGGTATTATTCATGGATTGAGGAGACGAGGGGCATGTGGCGATTAACACTCCTGTACTGCATAGTCCCTAGATTCATAGGAGAATCGCCGCATTCTTTGTGGTCCATGCTTCATTTGACAGGTCTTCAAGGGCGGGGTATAGATCAGAATCAGGAATCAAAGTCTCCTCCGTCTGTCTATCCTGTCACTCCTGGAAAGGAGATCAATCCAGCGATGGTATGTACCCATCTAAGTACTACCTTGGTTATAGTGGACTAGTTAACTAGGTATGTAGTACCTAAGTTATAGGTGACTTGGCGCCAAAATGAAAAAATCATGTCAAGGATATGGTATGGTCAGACCAGGGCTATGATACGAGGTAAGAATGCTCATTTCCCAACTGTATTTAGTTCTTCATAATTCTTACAATTAAGTTACGGGAGTAAAGGTCTAGCTTCTGACTACCGTTCGAGACGACAGTTGATCCCAGAGTAACCACACCACCACGGCTTGGACTAGAGCCGGCGATTTATCGGAGAACAATACAGGCTCTGCTTGCAGTATTTGTCGGCAGACCTCCTCTGCTTCACTCCTGGTCCTGGCACCACAGTGCTGCTCGCCTATCCGAACGATCACGATATGTCAAGCTGAGGAGGAGACAATAGACATATAGTTCCCCCGCCTTCTACAAATCCTTCCCCTCTCCTTGGAGCCATTCAGAAACTGAAGATGATGCGGAGAAGCAGCCGTGGGCTGCCGATCAGCAGTCTTGCAATACCATCACTGGATAAACCCCGCTCGCTTTGATTCCGGATTGCTAGACGAGCTTTCCGGCAATTAGCATAGCTGCGAAAGCGGGAAGGGTTTGCTTATATATCAAGGAATAGCGAGCGGTCAAGTCTGGTTGCCTCTCCCATTTAACCGTCCGTAATTGACTTAATAAAGGGCTTCAATTTCAGATAGAATGATTCCGTGTCTTTTCAAGTACTTATTCTTCCTGCTGCTCGTTGGTCTCCCCTCATCCGTCTCTGCTGTAACGGTGGAGAGGAGCAAGGGAGGCAGCACTACGAACAGTGCTCCCAGCGGCGCTCCCACAGTGACGGTGAAGAATGGCAGCTATTATGGCCTCTACAACCCACATTATAACCAGGATCTCTTTCTGGGGATGCCGTATACTCAGCCCCCTGTGGGTAACCTTCGCTTCCGACGTCCACAATCATTAAACTCGTCGTGGTCTGGGTTCAAGAACGCCACGGAATACAGTCCGGAGTGCATTGGATATGGCAGCGATACGTGGGTGCTAGGCAATATCATCTCTGAGGATTGTCTCACTGTGAACGTCGTTCGCCCCAGCTACATCCCACCAGATACCCTGCTGCCTGTCATTTTCTGGATCCATGGCGGTGGTTTGGTCGACGGTGGCAGTCGGGACCCTCGGTACAACCAGTCATTCATGGTCCAGCACTCGGTCGAGATGGGCCAGCCGATCATCGGCGTCAGTATCAACTACCGTTTATCCGGTTGGGGTTTCCTCTGGGGAGAAGAGGTATCTGAAGAAGGAGTGGGCAACCTAGGTCTCCGCGACCAGCGTCTGGCCCTCCACTGGGTCCAGGAGAACATTGCAGCCTTTGGCGGCGATCCGTCCAAAGTAACCATCCATGGCGAATCCTCCGGTGCAGGGTCCGTTGGAGTGCACCTGGTCGCCTTTGGTGGTCGCAATGACAGTCTCTTCCGTGCTGCTATTGCAGAATCGGGTGGTCCAACGGCCCAGGCCTACTACGTCAACGCCTCTGCCTGGGAACCCAACTACCAGAACATCACACGGATGGCTAACTGTAGCGATGCAAGCGACACGCTTTCCTGTCTCCGAACCGTCCCGACCGACACGCTCAGCAACATTTTCAACACCTCGGGCGTCAACCCTTCCGCGGGCGTCGTGATTGACGGCGACCTGCTCCCAGAGTCAGCCACGAGACTGACCAAGAACGGCAAGTTTGTCAGAGTTCCCTTCCTGATTGGCACCAACTTCGACGAGGGGACCCAATTCGGCGTGCAAGGGATCAACACGGACGCCGAGTTCATCGCATCGGTCAAATCAAATGCTCCTGGCCTCAACGACTCGGTGCTGAATATCGTCGCCCAGCTGTATCCAGACATCCCTGAAATAGGCATTCCGGCAACCCTGCACGGGCGGCCAGCTAATGACACCCCCTGGGGATACCAGTGGAAACGCGCCGCCGCGTACGGGGGCGACCTATACATGCATACGGGACGCCGCATCTCAACGCGAGCGTGGGCGGAGTACGGCGTGCCCGCGTACTCGTACCACTTCAACGTGCTCGACAACGGCGAGAGCATGTACGAAGGGAGCTCACATTTCATGGAGGTGGCCTTTGTCTTCGACAACATCCATGGGCTCGGCTACAACACCTCTGTAGCGGTGGACCCTTTTGCCAACGAACCCGCGACCTTCGACCAGCTCGCCAGCATGATGTCCGGGGCCTGGATCAGTTTCGTCAACACTCTTGACCCAAACCGCCACTCACTCGGCGTCAACGGCGTCAACCTGCAGGGACTGCAGTGGCCGATCTACACCGTGCCCAACCCTCGCAACATCGTCTTCAACGTCAATGTGACGGGCAACGCCTACATCGAGCCGGATATATACCGTGCCGAGGCCATCCACTATATGGCGGACAACTTTGATACAATCTGGGGAAGGTAAAGAACGTGGTATCACTTTTAATGAAATGATTATTACTTGATTTTTTTTCTACGGTAGTACGAATAATAGTTTAAATCCTCCGTGCACTAGGTTCGATTCAGAATACATACTATTGAGAACCTTGTGGACGACTCTACCTCAAGGTCCTTTGAAACCATCTCTTATGACTCTCTCTCTACTTTGAACGTATTCGCAGTCAATTTTCAAAGTAAAAGAAATTTTTTTTTTTCATTCATCATGGTCTCATGGCTATTCTTTTTCTATCCATGTACACGTTTTGTTTATCATCCCTGGCATCTAAACCAGAAAAACAGCAACACCAGAAACCACAGGGGGGTGATTAGCAGTTTAACCAAATCCACCAGTTTACTGACGATGATCTAAACGTGTACCGATATCGAGAAAATTTAATCAAAAGTGATGGCAGCCTTGATGGCAGACTTGTTGCGCATCGCCTCGAGGCACTCCTCCCACTGCTCGATCTTGAAGACCTTGTTGACGATCCCGTCGACCTTGACCTTGCCAGAGTCGAGGTAGTCGATCGCGGCGGGGAACTTGTACACCTCGGAGAAGGAACCGAGGATGGTGATCTCATCGCCAACTGTTTCTGTTAGTAAATAGAGAGAGAGAGAGAGAGAGAGAGAGGGAGAGAGAAAGAGAAGAGAGATACTGACAGATCTTGCTAGGGGGCCAAGAGACGCGGTCCTTGTTGGCATACACGCCATAAACGACGAGCTTACCGCCGCGACGGACATAGTTGATGGCGTCCTCGAGGATCTTGACGCTGCCAGTGGCCTCAACGACGATGTCGAAGCCATAAGGGTTGTCGGCCTTGATCTTCTGGAACTGGGCACTAGGGTCCTGGCGGGAAAGGGCGATGTACTCGTCACCGGCACCGAGCGACTTGGCCAGGTCCATCTTGAGACCCTCCGGGGCGGCGACGACGACCTTGCAGCCACCATTCTGACGGAGCATCTGGGCAAGGATGAGACCGGTGGGGCCGGCGCCGAACAGGAGGACAGACGAGCCCATCTTGGGGGCGATCTTGTCCAAGCCGTGGGCGGCGCAGGAGGCGGGCTCAAGGAGGGTGGCGTCAACGTCGGAGAGGTTCTTGATCTTGAAAACACGACCGGCCGGGTAGGCACAGTATTCGGCGAAGCCACCGTTCATGGTGACGCCGTGGGCCTCAAAGTGCTCGCACAGCAGCTCCTCGCCCCGACGACAGTAGAAGCACTCGCCGCACAACTCTGAGTTGTCGGCCACGACGCGGTCTCCGATGGTGAAGCCCTTGACCTTGGGGCCCATGGCGGCAACGACACCGACGGTCTCGTGACCTAATCATTCTATTAGCTTCTCCTCCTTTTCAATATCTCTCCGTCTCCAGAAGTTGAATTCATTCATACCAGGGACAAGAGGGAACTATCAGAGACGGTTAGTCGATATGAACACTGTGGAACACCGTGAATAGATGACGACGTACCTTGGCCAGGAACTCTCCCTCGTGGATGTGCAGGTCCGTTCCGCAAACACCGCAGGCCTTGACCTTGATCTATCCAGCAGGTCAACCAGTCAGCCAGACAGGAACGATGACACTCTCTCTTTACTGAAGGGGAACCTACCAGGACGTCGTTCTCACGGAGGGTGGGAAGAGGAATGTCAACGAGGCCATGCACCTCTGGCTTCTCATATCTGAGAGCTTTCATGGTCTTGGGAAGGTTAGCCATTGTGAAGGGAATAAAGGTCTAGATTTTAAGAAGAGCAAGGAGTGTTGAAGGGGGAAGATGATGCTGAAAGAGGAGGGGAATAAAGCTGAGGATGAAGAAGAAGAAGAAGATGAAGAAGAGAAGAGAAAGAAGAAGGGCAAGGGGAGGTGAAAAAGAAAATATAAGAAGGAAGAAAGTGAGAGAAGAGAAGAGGGGGGAGAAGCAGAGCAATTACTGGGTGGGGTCACTGACTTCACATGTCTGGACCAGTTTAAGTGAGAGCAAGTCCTGGCACTCTACTCTCAGCTACTCACCTGTCTGTCTACCTGACATGTCATCTCTCTCTTTCTCACCTCTTCCATCTGGTTCCTGGCTTCCCTTTTTTTTTCCCCCCCCTTCCCAGCTTCCAGCCACTATCCAAGGCAATCCTCTCTATCAGGGATCCATACTGACCTCATAGCTTTACCCAGGTACCCCCACAGGGCTCCGCAATGGTCGAACCGTCAGTCAGTAGCGTACTCGGTACCTGAGAGCTACAAAGGCAGAACTAACCACCAGAAAAAGTGAACCATATGCTTATAACTAATCAAGTAACTCTCACTGTGTTGAATAATCCCTAAAGCTAATCATAATACCTATACAGCTAGATAAGCCAGCTTTCACCGCTTCCTTGCTTCCTCGCTCTCCTCCCCCGCTCGAATAAACAGAAGACGGAAAAAAAGCAACCTTCCAAGATCCCCCCCCCAGCAGGTTCAAGAGACAGCCAACTAACCTACTAAAACCACGCAGAAACTCATTGCGGTCTTATGACCGGTGCTCACCCTCGACCCTGCAGCTTTCCATACGACGAGTCCACTCGCCATGCGTGCCATCCGACGATCCTGACCGCTTGATAAGCGGGGGACACAGACACCCCGCACAGAGATCACTTGGTTACTACCTAAGTAACTAGGTACTATTCAATGTTGGCTTCATCTTGCTCAAGAAAATTACAGGCGAGAGACACTGGTTTACACTCTACATAGCCTACGATGAGATAAAATAGAAAGAGAGAGAGAAAGAGAGAGAGGTTATTAATATTACTTCAACCCGAATCCCTCGCTGTTCACCACTGCCCCCCATAGCATCCGCTCCAGCTTCTCCCGGCTCCCGTAGCGGTACAGGCCCAGTGTGTTGAAGCACGTCCGCGCCGTCGGATATCGCGGCGAGTCCTCCCCAAGACATGCAAGCTTGATCACGAGACTGGTCGCCCCCATCGCGGGGATCCGGTCGCTACCCGTGATGAACGAGAGAATCTTGCGCTGCGCCGCCGGGCTCGCCTCGCCGAAAAACGCCCAGAACCACTGGACCACCGATTGCGACTCCGGCCGAGCATTGCTGCCCCAATTGTCGTACGTAGCGACAGCCCGCAGCGAGGTCACATCCAGAGGCTCGTCCGAGCCGCGCACCAGAAGCTCGATCTCCTCGGGCCGGAAGAGCGACAGCGCGTTGCCGCCACACACTGTGAAGAACCCGCGCTTAAACGGCTCGAATTGCCGCGTCACCGCCGTGTCCAGTAGATAATGTACGTAGAGGTCGACAAACTCGCGTCGGTTGGCGTTGGTGACGGGCCGTTTCTCGCCGCCAGCACAAAGAGGTACCTTGACCCGCTCGCCGTAGCGATCAACCTGCGCCACAAAGTCGTAGCAGAACGTCTCCGAGACGTCTCCTTCAAACTCTAGCAGTCCGCGGAGGCCCTTGGCCAGGGCGGGTCGATACTCCGCCAGGTCGTCCAGACTGCTCTTGAAGGCTGGGCGCGCCGTTGATGTTTGCACTCCGCTATTAGACGGCGGTGCCGCCGCCAAAAGCTTCTTGAACGCAAAGGGCGGTAACGCCACGTCCAGAATGGTGGAGTTGTAGATAGCTAACCCCAGCAGGACACCTACCAGGAAGAACTGCTCTGAATTTTCGAAACAAAAAGGATTGAAGTAGCAGTACCGAGAGTCTTCGTCATAGAGGAAAAGGCCTGCATGTATTAGCACAGGCGATTTTTTTATAGGAAGAGAAAAAAGGGAGAGGAGAGAAGAGCGAACCGTGATGAGGGTCAAACACTTCTCTGACCAGGAGGAGAAACCATTCTTTGCGCAGGCCTCCCGCGTCCACACCTTCTTCACCGATAAACTCAATACGGAGGCCCTTTTTGATATCCTCTTGGCCAGACCCGACAACCTCGCTAACGTTCTGCAGGCTGTCTTCCACTAGGCAGTCCCGTCGAACCTTCAGCACTAGATACTGGCTGATCGCCTTGCGGTTGAGAATGCTTTTGAAGAAAGCCTCTCGGGCCTTGACCTCCATCTGCCGGCGAGCATCGTGCTCCAGGACATGAATCTTGGCCCAAATGCTGAGAAGGAACGGGTACTGGCAAAAGCAGAACTTGGAGGTCTTGGTTTCCCACGCTTCAAAATCAGCCACCAGATCCGAGTAGTCCAGCAACGTGTTGTAAAATGTGCTGATGGGGACAACATGGCCATAACGAGCTGCTTCTTTATTATTGTTGTTGTTGTTGTTATTATTGGGATGATGATGATGAGTACTTTCCGCCGGGTTATCGGGTGGTCTCCGTGAGGCGCTTGCATTGTTCGCCGTGAACAGTAGAGACATCACCCGAGCAGCGGCCCGAATCTGCCAGTCTTCCTCATAGACGACCGGTTTCTCCTTCTTGTCCTTTCCAACTTTGGGGGGGGTTCTGCCATTGATGGCAGCGTGGAGTTCTGCAGGAGTGTTTCCGGTAGCGCTGGAGAAGCTGGGAATCAGAGTATTTTCGTTCCTGGACGACTGTCTCCGCCTCCGGCCATGTTGACGGCTCAACCGGTACGTCACGAAGCCCCCGACGACGTCAACCAGCTTCTCAAATTGACCTACAGACAAACGAGAAAACCATGACACGAGATAGTGGTGACAGTCGTTGGGCATGTTTGACAGCTGACCCAGAATTCGTTTGATGATGCCTGAGTGATTTTTGGGACCGCCGTCCCGGGTGGCAGAGGGCGTCGGGGGCAGCTCCTTGCGAGAGGGCGAAAAGGGTTTTTCACGGGGGGTCGGACGGACGACGTTGTTGTTGTTGGTGGTGGTGGTGTTATTGGGATGGGAAGGTCGTCTTGCTCCCTGTGGCACGGGTCGTAGTGTGAGCTGCGGGCTGGACGAGTAGAGGAGGGGATTCATGAGTAGAATGATGAGGAAGCGCATCTCTTCTGGCTTCTTGAGAGGCTGCCGGGGCCTCTTGAGCAGGTTCTCCGTGGCTTTGAGCAGTGTCCTCTGGACGTGAAGCCGTGCTTCTTGAATCTCTCTATCAATCATAGTAGTGTCAATGGAACGCCACCTGACACATTTTTCGTTATTCAACGTTGGACTTGGTTGCATTGCCGACCACTTCTCGACCCAGGAATCCCCGGCATTGATGATGAGCTGATACCAATGGGCGAGTTCGGCCCAATTGATTCGAGGACTCCGCGAGGTAACAGCACGATGCCCTCGTGGCATCGCTTTCTCCCCCCTGGGATGTGCATGGGCATCGCTCGACTGCGCCCACTCATTCATCCACCATGTGGAATTCTCCGCCACATCACCCAAGAGAAGAAGTTTGGCGTCAGGTTCAAAGACGGGAATTGTATGGGAGGGGGCTGAATCTTCTTGGGATTCATGCTCCAGATTCATTTTAGGGGGGCAGCCGTCGCTGGCCGCACGGGGTAACGGTCGCGCGGTGCTAAAGGAGCCATTGAGGCACTCACAACCCTTGAACGAGGCAATCAGGTAGTCCTCTAGCGCTTGGAACAACCGTTTAGATGGATGCCTGTCCGAATCTCTGGGTTCCGAATCCGTCCCAAATCGAGCAGCGTCGCGAGGCGATCGGTCCTCGTTGGGGGTATTCTCCACATCCAACTTCCGGCGAGCGCCCTCTACATCCCCAGGTTTGACATCCGAGCGACGTCGTGGCGGCGGTTGTGGTGTCAAATAGTTCTGGTCCGTCTCCGTATGGCCATCATCCGATCTTCCTGATGGTAGCCTGGTCGCAGACAGACTCCGGCTGCGCAAGTCCCCTGCTCGTGGCGGCGGTGGCGGCGGTGGCGGCGGCGGCGGCTGCTGCCGCGGGTAAGCCGAGGAAGGATCGAAGAAGTGTGAGTTGGATGGGGAAAGATGGCCATCGCTCGTCACCCCGTAATGCCTCTCGGCCTTCTTTTCGTTGATGGTGAATGGTGAGGCTGCGGCTGACGATCCTAGGCCGTCTAATAGCCGCTGGAGGTATACAGATACGCACTCGTCGATGATGGCCTGAGTGCGAGAGATTGACACAGGGACCGCTTTTCTTCGAACACGGTCGCCGCCTCCTGGTCCCGGATGAGCATGACCAGGGGTGTTGCTGCAGCCGATCTCCTGCGGTGCATCAACGACAGGCTCCAGATCATTGACGGTCAAGCAGTTGGTGCAGCGAAAGACCTTGAGGTTGCGAGGCCACCGCACCGTGGAACTGCACGTCATGCACTTGCCCGTCAGGAAGTCGTCGACAACAGGCGGCTGGCCCCCCGCCCGGGCCTGTCCCTTCCGCGGGCTACTCGCGAGCGGCCCGGAGATGTAGGTCACCTCGTCGTCGTCATCATCATCTGAATCAAGAAAATGATTCTTCAGAACGAGCCGATTATTGCCTCCTCCTACTGCTGCTGCTGCTGCTGCTGTTCCTCCTTCTCCTGCCGCTGCAGCCCTACGCCCTGGTCCCGAGAACGGCGCAGGTGAGGGATGGCTAACGGACCGCGAATGACCTCGACGAGACAGAGGAGAGGCTGCAAAGAGCGAAGGGCTCATTGACGGGGCAGCTCGGCCGGGCGGGACATCGCGAGGGGAAGAACGCAGCGCCGTGCGTTCCAGAGGGGCAGCAGGGGGGATGGTGGTGATGGAGGAGGTGGGCTGGTTGGAATTCGAGGGAGAAGGAATGGACGGCGAGCGGGACGACCACGGCGGCATGTGGCATTCGTAGACACTGTAATGGTGGAAAAAGGGACTTTTAACAACAAAAATAACAGTTGATTGTGTTCTAAAGTCTTCCGTAAAGTAGTTCGAGTACACTGAAAGGCAGTGTTGTCAGTAAAAGAAGCGGAGGGGACGGAAGGCAGGAAGGTAGGCTGACCGCTTCAAAGACAGACAGAATAACCGACAACAAGAAGCAACCTAGGCTTTGGTGACAGAAACAGAGAAACAGAGAAACAGGGAAACAGGGAAACAGGGAAACAGGGCAAGACAGCAAAAGTAGAGCAAGAGCAAGAGCAAGAACGATGATCCAATCGACTCGGATGGCCGCATTAAGCACGACGACGCCTACTGGGCTGAGCTGCCTGGGGCAGTCGCAAACGTGAGTGACATGTTCGCCAAGGTAACCTCGGTGGAGACTGCAGTCCCTTCTGTGACCTATTACTACATAATTATCTACCTAAAGGTACGCCGCCGTACCATATAGGGGGATGGCTATTGACTCCTGCTACGGTACTCCTGCTTGCTGAAGTGATCTGCTGGAACTGTCTCAGTCGTGGGTCTGAGTGTCTTGGTTGATACCGAGCTTAGTCCGACTTGTTACGGAGTAGTAGTTAACAGTAATTACCTAGGTACTCCGTAGGTAACTAACTACCAGGTAACTAAGTAGTTAATTATAGGTGATCACTATTAATAGATCATGTTTGATACTGACACTCCCGTCGACTCGGAGTACGGAGAGTTTCAGATTTACTCGTAGAACTACTCCGTACAGCAGAGCAACTGAAGAAACTACATATCGTCATTAACCACGAGAGGTATAAAAAAAAAAAGAGATGGCTCTGTAAAAGAAGTTTTGCAGATTTGCTACCGCCAAGTCTGCGTTATGCTCAAAGGTCGATGGTATTTCCATGGCCGTAGCCGTAGCAATTCTGAATTTTATTGAAAGAAAGACATCCCCAGCCCCATTGCCAGAACGATTCCCAGAACGATTTCCATGCCCACAATCCACGGACAAGGCATTTAACGGTATCTCCAGTAGCTCTGGGTGTTGTGGCGCAGCCAGGTCTTGCGGCGACCAGCGGTGGTGTGGTTGAACTTGTGACCACGGTTCATGCCACGGGACTTCTTGCCGGTAGCGGTGAGACCACGGCTCTCGCGGTGCTAAAAATTCGATTAGCAGGTGAAATTGAATTCAAAGAGTTTTCTTTATGGCTTACCTTGTGGACAGGGTTGCAGATCCAGTTGATACGAGCATCACGACGGATGGCCTTGTGCTGGGGGTCAACGAGGATGACCTCGAAGTACTTGTAGGTCGAGTCCTGGTTGATCCAGTAGGAGTTTAGGACGCGCAGGTTAGCGCAGCGGCGGCCGACACGCTCCTCAGCGGTGGCCTTGAGGGCACGCTGGTACTTGAGCTGGTTGACACCCTGGTTGGTGGGCTTGCCTAATAAAATATAGTAGATAAGTATCAAGCAGGACGAATTGTTCCAAGGTGCTTCTTCGGGGCTATTTACCGTAAGTGGCACCCTTGGGAACGGGCTTCTTGCGACCACCACGTCTCACACGGACGCGGTAGACAACATAACCCTGCTTGGCCTTGTAACCAAGACGACGGGCCTTGTCCGGGCGAGAAGGACGGGAGGCGCGGTGGATGACGTTGAGCTGACGGAGCTATATTATGCACTCTCAGCAATGTTCAACGAGTGTATAGCAAGACACGGATGCCACAGTCCTTTTGAGACCACTCCAGATCGAAAGAAAAAAAAAATCGATTATTCATTCGAAAGTCTGGAGTGATTTCAAAGGAGCTCAATGCTTTCGCAATAAACACGACTGTATCGAGCAGTTTATGCAGTTCTCGAGAAATCGAAATCAGGGACAGGAAAAGCTCACCTCCCAGCAGCGCACACGCAGAAGGAAGCGAATCACATCGGACTGCTTCTTCTTCTGGATCTCTTCCACGTACTTGAGGGCACCCATCTGGACGATCACAAATAAATTAGTTCAGGTGGTTTTCCTCAGATGTATCTGTAGGGTGCATGTGCATACCTTGTCGTTGGCGTTGTCGGTTGTCGTGAAAAGTTCGTGAGAGATCTTCGAGACGGGTTTGTGTGGGACGAGAAATTAGGCGAGGTCCACAATCATCTACTGCCTAAGGCAAAGAATTGCTTTAAACGGACTAGCGGTATCACGTGGTTTTAATAATCAAAAAGTCGACCAGACCCGGAACGGTGGAGGTTTGTTCCGGTCACGTGAGATTTCAGATGAACCGACGAGTACAAAAGAAAAAGTATTAATGAGTGATAATACCTAGCAGCAGAAGTTGCAGTAATTTATTAACAGTCTAATATGAATACACAGTATCAACAGGCCGCCTCGTATCCTTTAGTTTTTCGACAAAGTCGAGCTCAAGTACGAACAGAACGAAGAACCAGGCTGTAATCGTGAAAGGTCAATTTCGTCGACAACGTAGTCTGCAATGCGTAACATGTCTTTTGGAGAGAGAGAAAGGAAGAGGCAGGTGAAGAAGAAAAAAACAAAAATGGAATAAAAAAGAAAGCATGTAAAGAGAAAGGGAAAGAGAGAGAAAAAAAGATCAAGAAATCAAAACCATGCTTACAGGGGATCTCCATTCCATTATTTCATCAGGTGTCTATGGGCGTCAACAGTAGAGACTGGGAAATCCGTCCAGAACGCAGTGCAAACTCTAGGGGTAGTAAAAAAAAAAAAGAAAGCCGCGACAAGAAGCAGAAGAAAGGAGCTGAAACCAGAGGAGGAAACCAGAAGGGTAACCACCCCAGAAGAAGAAGATTCGAAAACTATCGGAAGAACCAAGGGGATATTCAGAACATTCGAAAGAAAGAGAAAAAAAAAAAAAGAAGGGGGGTGGGAAAAGCTAACCATAGTCTAGGGGCACGGCCGTTCACTCGAAAGGAAAAAGTAGAAGGAAAACCAGAAAGAAGAGAAAAGAGAAAAAAAAAAAGAAAAAAAAAAGGAAATGTTGATACATCAGGAGCCGAGCGAGAGGCCTTGGAAGCGGTTGACATAGTCGCTCTGAGTTGGGTGCACGCGCGGCGCGCCGGCTCCGTGGTCCGCGTAGTCGAGATATCCGGAGTCCAGATTGCCGTAGGCGGCGGACGAGTATGCAGAGAAAGGGTCAGGTTGAGCCTGGTGCATGGGGGACGGGAATCCGCCCAATGCCCCCAGGTCGTGCTGACGAGCAACAGGCTGGTGGAAAGAGGCGTAGGAGGAGGAATCGGGGTACACGCCGCGGCCGCCGAGTCCCATCGAGGGATGATCACCGCGACCGTCGCGACCGGCATCGAACGACTCGCGGACGGCACCGCCGTAGGACCGGGAGTCATGGCGCTGGGTCCGTCGGTCGGTAGGCGCAACGTCCTGATTGTATCCCAGCGGGCTGTGAGGACCACCGCCCGAAAGCAGGCCGGCTGTTGGGGGGGTCACAAACGACGCAGGGTTAATGGCCGACATCCAGATTCTGGTCTTATAAATTTTGAACAGGTCGGTGACCAGGGAGTTAAAATTGATGTACGAGTCCGCGAAGTAGTAGAAAGTAAGCTTTTTCCAGTCCCTATATGGTCAGCATGGAGATGAAAGAAGGAAAGGGAAAAGGGAGCCAAGGGATGGGGACGTACATTTGAAATTCGGCGTCGAGGATCTCCATGTTGAGACGGTGTTCGACAACCTTCTGCTGGCAGACGCGCTTGGCCTTGGCCTCATTCCCCTCCTTGTCGCGCAGGGTGAGGATCTCGTGGTTCTGCGCCAGGCGCTTGATGAGCTTCGGCTTGATGTCGGCGGTTGAGTCTTGCGCGCCATGATGTCCATGGGGGCCCATACCGCCGATGGCACTACGGTTCAAGTTGGAAACGCCACCGGAAGGGTTGAGGAGGGTCGAGGCGCCACCGGTCTGGCCCTGGCGGGAGAACATCATGAGCCACTTGTAATGCTCCTCAGCGTACTGTTGCTTCAGCTCGCGGGCCTTGGGAAGAGAGATGTTTGAGTGCTGGACAGTCCCCAGGTCGGTGCCGCGATCGGCCTCGACGATCACCAGGTCGCCTGCCTTGACCTGCAGCCCGGTGTCCTCCTGAATGTAGAAAACATCGGCGCGGTGGCACTTGAAGGTGACGATGTACAGAAGTTGGTTCTGGTGGGAGTGAAGCAGGCCTGACTGGGGGCGACCGTAGGGGTGGGGGGCCATGGCGTAGGCCGGGTGCAAGGGGTTGTTGCTGTTGTTGGCGGTGGTGGCGGTGGTGGTGTTGTTGTTACTGCTGTTGTTCTCGGAGGCCGCCTGCGCCGCGGCGGCGGCGCGGAGGACTTGTTCGGGGGAAAAGTAGTTCTCTGCAAACATCCGGACGTGTAAACGATCCAATTTCATTCTGAGTTCTTCCAGGGGACCAAGGGTAAGAAAAGTGTCGTACTCACGGTTTGAACCGGGGCTCACGAGGGGACCTTCCCCGATGGGCGTGGCATATGCCTCCTCATGCTCGGCCAGGCCGGAGCGTGGGGCCAGACTCACCTGCGCATCGTTCGGGGCGCTGATCGAGGGGTGGCGGACGGGGATATCGGCGAATGAATGGCGACGGCTCTGGGGCAGGTCGGCGACGCCACTGAACCCCAGGGATGTCTGCCAATGGGCCTTCTTGACGTTCTCCAGGGTACGGTTTTCGAGGGAAGTCAGAGAGGTGGGGAACTGTTTTTCTAGGTTGGAGGAGTGCTCCGAGAGACGGCGACGGGTGCCGCTTCGGATGTTGCCGTATCCGGGGATGTCGCCTAGTTCGTCGAGGTCTTCAACTGCAAGATCAGTTTCTTCCAGGAGACTACCGCGAATCCGATTCGCGGCGGCGGGAGCAGGGGCACCACCACCCACTGCGCCGCCATTTGAAGGAGCCGAGACAGAAGTACCGGCAACATTAGCAGCAGGAGGAGGACCGCTGGCGAGAGGGTAGCCACTGTTAACCGAAGTGGAGGACATGGCGCGGTCCCGCAGGCGGCTATCCATCTGTCCAGCGGCTTGGCGGAGGAGCGCGTTCTCCCGAGAGAGTTGTTCGATAGTGCGGGCCTGATGAGCACTGTAATTCAGACTTCCATCCGAGCCATTGGCGCTGCCCCCTTCCTCATCGTCGCCGTTGTCATCTTCGCGCACGCGGCCGAGCATGGCGGGATCGTGGCCCAACTCTCCGAGTAGACTGGGGCGCGATGAACGGTGCTGGAGCGCTGAGAACTGGTTGCCACCTCGGGAGCGGGCGCCGGCGGCAGTTGGGGGGGGATATGGGGCGTTTGGTGCCTTGGTGGCCATGAGGTTGAGAAACTCTGGGTCCATCTGGCCGACGGAGTAGGATTGGGAGCGGTAAGTTTTGGGGGTGGGATGAAGGGGAATAGAGAAAGGGATGGCGGGTTCGCCGGAGAAGGTGCGGCTGGTTGGGCTCATCATCTCCTCTGCGAGGTGGTGGTGGTGGTGGTGGTGGTGGTGGTTGTTATTCACCATCTGGGCGCTGGTCATAGTGGGGGAGGGCACGAGCTCCGCCAGGCGCGGGGGAGGCTCTTTGCGCGACTCACTGTTCCAGATGCCCGAGCCCCAGGAAAACGAACTGTTGGCTCCAGGTGCCCAGGCAACGGATCCGGCGCCAGCACTACCCATGCCGGAACTGGTGGTCAGCCAGCTGGGCTGTTCGATGGCGGGACTGGTCGGGTTAGAGCCGCCTCCGGCGGAGAGCGGGCCGGTAGCGGACATGGAGGTCTTCTTGGAAAGCGCCAAGGGCACCTCGTTCAGCCAGGAGGTGCGTCTGGCAGGTTTGGCCGCGAAAAGAGCGGCGGTCGCGGTCTGGTTAAAGTGCGGCTGCTCTCCGTCGTCGTCGGAAGATGCCAGGGCCTCGGAGTCAGGAGTCGACCGGCGCACACCCGGATAGCTTTTCTCCAATCTCGCGGAGACGCTGTTGGTCGGAGTGGGAGAAACGGTCGCCTTGACCGCATGGGCAGGCTTGCTCGATGGCGCGGCCATATTATGTGTGTGATTTTGCTCTCAACAAAAGGATTTGGAGATGGTAAGGGTGCAAAGCGAAAAGGACAAGAAACTGGCGATGTGTTAGACGAAGCGAGAAACCGTCGGTTTGAGGAACAGGAAAGAAACAGGATGAAGGACGAGTCCGGAGAGGGATTTGAATGGATGAGGAAGCAGAGACGAAGCAGAGACGAAGCAGTAGAGATAAGGAAGAGATGAAGGAGATGGGAAGAGGAAAGAAAGGAAGAGGGCAGGTGGGAGAGGAGTCTCAGAGCTTTATAGCCTTCAGGGTAGAGCGGAGCATGTATCGCATCATCAACTGTGAATGAAGTCATTTCCTCACTAGGAAGATTTGTCGGGGTGTCGATTATGAGATCACCCAGGAGAGTCCAGTTGATGAGATGATGACAGTACTGTATACACGACAGGCGAGAGAAGAAAGAGGCAGGAATTCTTTGTCTAGCGCATTCGCGACTCCGACATACCTATAAACCTATAGACTGGCACCAAACTGTACTTTTCCAACCGTATAGCAGGCGGCGCAACGTGTGGCCGCGGAGATCATATATAGCAATCGAGAATCGCCTCGTGTCTTATCCATAAGCCTGAGCTGAGCTGAGCGTGCGATGCGATCTGGCTCGATTTCTTCCGACTCACCGTCTAGCGCAACCTTTTATTATTTTTTTGTATATTTTTCTATCCCAGAAAAAAGACACCCCAAAACAAGCGATTATAATTTCCTCACGCGATCGAAGCGACCCGGCTTCTGACGATCGTATTAGATAGGGGAGGGAGAAGAGGTGTGTCACGGCGAAAGGCAGGTAGGAGAGTGGCGAAAGACTTGGAGCGCGCGGAAAGGAGTCGTATGAGCCTCTTGTCTAATCTCAGGGGTTGGTTGTTTTGCGGTGGGTTCGTTTTTTCTCTTTTTTTTCCGTCGTCTGACAGTCAAGTCGGATGAGCTTTTCCCAGAAACAACTTCCATACACGAGCGACGACAAGAAGAAGTGGTCGCGCGCAAGGTAATCGCACCGCGCGGACTGGCGGAGGAGAGAGGGAGGAGAGTTGAAGGTGAAGGAGAAGGAGAAGAAGGAGGGGGAGGGGGAGAAGGAGAGGGGTTGGTGGTTGTTGGACAGTGTGACAAAAAGGACAAGGCGATAGGAGGAGGAGGAGGAGGGAGCAGTTGGTAGCGTGACCTCGGATGACGTTACGAGCAGCCAGAGAAGGAGAAAAAGAGAGGGGGGGAAGAGAGGGGAGAGGAGGGGAGAGAGAGAGAACAAGAAGAGGGGAGGGGAAATAGACTTGAGGGGGAGACAAGAAGAAGAATAATATAAGAAGAATAAGAAGAATAATAATAATAGGGAAAAAGAAAAATCAGGAGCAAGACATCGTGGGAAAGGGAAAATCTGGGGGATCAGCGGCGGGCTGAACAGAAGCGAAAGAGGGAGGCGACAGGAGAGAGGAGGAGAGGAGAATGGAAGGGTCGAGTCGAGTCTGAGCCGGGCCAGGGGGAGACAAGCTGCAACGGTGGCTACTACTGACGAAAGCGTAGTGGCAATACAGGAGTAGTTACTACTACATAGTAGGTACTCTTCTTACTCTGACAGAGTATTACTTTGATCATTTACTCGGTAATAATATAGCTGACTCTTCTGTATTTAATTGTTTAATCTATTATTTTTACCTGGAGGCTAAAGTTAGACGCCCTACACTGTAGAGCTACCTAAGTACCTGGTAGGAAGCTTTATATATTACCATGTAATATACTAGAGTCAGTACTACATAGTAAGTAAGTACTAGTTAGTTAGGTACTCTGTACTAAGTAGTAGACAGTCTGTTGGCCCCTAGTTAACTAGTAATAGACTAATAATTACTACTATGTAGTATGCCATATACTAGAAGGACGCATCCGGAGATCTAGAGCTGGTGTGGGGACTATAATACAGTACAGCTCTGTATCAGGTAGAAGGTACCTACTAGGTAGGTAGGTAGTAAGTAAGTACCTAGTTACTAGGTACCTATAAGAATACCTAATGCCACTGTCTAGTATTATCTTGTCTAATAGCTGTCTATTCATTATTAATCTTTATTAAAACTACATAGAGACTGAGGTACCTAGTATTATTCTGTATTATACAGGTAGTAGTATGATACACACATCCCTGTGGAGCGCCACTATCATCTTTGCGGGGGACATACTACATACATACTACATAACTAGTAGGACTGGCAGTTAGGTACTCTATAGTTACTACCTAGGTAGTTACTATTACTCTAGTAAATACCTACTCTGTAGTAGTGACTGAGTGGTATTAACAAGGATACCTTCTATTTTTTGAATATTTACCTCTTACTATATATTGTTAACTATTATACTATAATATACTGTCCCTGGCTATTGATGTCTAGTAAATACCCCGCAACAGACATCAGACAGATCAGATGAGTTGTAACATGATAATAGCCAGATATAATACTACTACATAATACTACAAATACTACAAATACTACTCATGGTACATACTCTAGACAAGTCGACGCTCGTGCCACCCCCGACGCATTCCGTGGTTAGCGCTCGTATTCCTCCACATGGTTGGCATCGCTAGCAGGCAGTCACAGCAAATAGCCAATTGTAGTATGTACTAATATATTAATGAATAGTAGCCGGGTATCCTGCTAGTTATTAATTCAAGCTTGCTTCGGTACCTGTATTTGAACGGAAACTTATCTAGGTATATGGTGGCATGGTGTGGCATGACATGGTCTAGATCATCCCATGATCGGTATTTAACTTCCTAACTCCCTGGTAACTTTGGTTGTTGGATGATGTATCCGGCAGAATACTATGGTACAGAAGAATTAACTAACTAGGTAGGTGCTAAGTACTACCTCTAGGTGGTTAAGCAGAATTGAGACTCCTTGCGGCGTGCTTTTGCTCCCGCAGCTTCTGCTCAAACTTGGCAAACTCGAGCATGGAGATCTGTTCCTCCTCGTCGAGCACCTGTTCCACTCCCTTGACCTCTTCGATCTGTAGAATTAGTTAGGACATTGGTTTACGACAGAGAGGGTGGAACTCACGTAATGCATCAGCATCGATTCGATGCCATTCCGCAGCGTCACCGTGCTGGAATCACACGTCCGACACGCCCCCCGCAACTTGAGCTTGACGATCCCCTCCTCGAACCCTCGGAAATCAATGTCCCCCCCGTCCTCCTGGATCGCCGGGCGGATCCGCGTGTCCAGCAACTCCTTGATCATCCCGACCACTTCGTCGTCGTCCTCGTTGTACGCGAGCGAGTCCACCTCGCCGCCCTCCTGCGCGTCCCCGTGCGGCTCGCCCGTCCGTGCGACCGTGTTGACAATCGCCTCCCCGGACGTCACCGCCTGCGTGATCAGACTGAACACCTCGGGCTTGATGTGTGCCCAGTTCGCGTCGCTCGCTTTGGTCACCGTGATGAACTCCGGCCCGTAGAACACAGACGTCACCCCTTCCACGTTCAGTAGGTTCGCCGCCAGCGGCGACGGGTGCGGCGGCGCCAGCGTCGACCGCGGGGACAAATATTCCAGGAACGTCGAGGGGAAGTCTTCGGGAAGAACGCGGTGGTTCGGGATGAATTTAAGGGCCTATTCTTTTAATCAGTACTTTCCTTTTTTTTTTTTGTAGAGTATGCGTCACGTACGTCTGGATTCGGGGTGTTCTCGGTCTGAATAAAGATGGTCCGTTTAGTCGCCGGCGACCCGTTGGCAGGAGCTCGCGCAACAGACTGCTGGTAAGGGCGCAGCATCGGTCGCCGCCGCGACTCGGACGCTGTGAGGGTGGGCAATCTGGCCAGGTTCGACACCGTTCGGCATGGCGGCAGGCGGACGGACCGCGCGGCCAACTCGGCGCTGAATCCCGGGGCGAGGATTGTCTTGCGGATAATTCTGGAGGCTGTGTGAGACATGGTGAAAGCAAATAGAAAGAAATCTGCCTCTGATCAGATGGTGGGTTGTTCTTTTTCCAAAGTTCAAAAAGTCATCCTCGAATTCTCCGACCCTGACGCAATTTTGAGTCACGTGGATTCTGTTGATGACAAATTGTCCCTCTTCGCCACAGCCAATGGCAGTGAGCTATTTATAAGGCGGCTTACCACTTGCCGAGGTCCAATGGAGAGTACTTACTAGGAGGTTCTTATATTGGATGAGTATGAAGTAAGGGTACCTGGTAGTTAACTAAGGGACGGAGCAATGATATGCGTGCTATAGTAATATGTAGTATATGTTGAGAGTGGCAGTAGACTGATAGAAGCAGTGGTTAAGCCAATGCTTTGCAATGAACTGTCAGTCTTGATTAATAGACATATAAAGTAGTCTCAAAATATCTATTTATGATCTACACTGTGCTAGACTTCCATTAGACAAATGTGTATAATATAAGTATTGAAAGAGGTGTGGGTGGAAACATGCAGAGAATAAGAGGGCGATATATATCTAGGACATACAAGGTAACTAGCTACTAACTACTAGTATAGAGTAACTAAGTAGGAGGTACATACTAGATAAATATACTCTATTATTACTCATTACTGCATATATTATAGAATAACTATATCCACCCTTTTATCTATTTTTATATCAAAAAAAAGTAATAAAGGGGGAACCGGTGCTAGCGGAACATTAAGACAGGGAAAATCCCACCTATAAATCTTAATCTCCTAATATCAAGTACAGTAATATCTCCCATCTATCCATTATTATCTTTATGTATCTAGTAGATCGTTGTATTTCTGAATCGTAGAGTCCAGGTACTTGCGACCAATCATACCGACCCGAGTGGATCAGAATTCAAGGCTGGATGGAGTACTTTTGTCCTGCTCGACCTCCAGTGTCTCCTGTCGATATACGAAGTACCTGTGTCCTTTTTCTACCAGCACAAACATGCTGCAGAGCAGCCCTGCAAACACACAGCTACCCTGAAAGACGCGGTGAATCGAGACAAGAATGGCCGGGCTATGCGAGGTGTGTTCTTCGGAGCCCTCCAAGTATCGGTGCCCAACCTGCGAGCTGATGAGGTAGCTTTTTTCCTACTATCTCCCTTCACGCATGGGATTTTCGCTAGACCATACTGACCGAGGAAAAAAATAAAAATAAAAATAACAGCTGTTCGCTGGTCTGTACACAGTCCCACAAGATCTACTGTACCCCGAAAGGCCCCGGCCCCTCTCCTCGACCGTCCGAGCAGGCAACAACCCTCGGTGATTCGCCTGCGCAGACGAGCGACCACCACCCACCCGTTACCCCAGCTGCTCTCGGCTCTTCCCAGGAGCTCCAGGCAGTTTTCGCCCAACACCCGGCGCTCCGAAGCCAGCTACTGGATATTTACAAGTCGACGCGTGAGGAGGCCTGGGTCGAACAGCCGCGCCGGCCTCTGGGGAGGGGGCGAGGAGGAGGAGGAGGAGGAGGAGGAGGAGGCTACCGTCCTTACAGAGGCCCATGGTCAGCGGAGAAGGGATTCAACCGAGGCCTGGGTAGGGTCCGCAAATGGAGAGAACAGTGTGAGGGCGGCCTCGAGGTTGGGAAGACCGCAGAGGGATTCATGCGGTTCATCGCCTTGGTTAATAAGAATGGAAGCTCGCAGGAACCATGAGACCTGCGATAGAAAGCACTGACGAATCGGTCTGTGTCTGACTATCTACTGGAGAATACCCCGTACTCGGTACCGAGCATCTCTCGACCATGACTGCTCCCTCAGAAGAGGGGTACGAGCTAAGCGTCGTGGTGACAGCCGGTCGAGATTAGCAGCGGCTCTAAGGATGTCAATTATATTGCACGCCGAGCACGCCGTGGGCCTATGAAGAGCCAGGAGGACGCTTGGACTCGACCGACAACATATGATATCAATAAGACAGGCTTTCCGTGACTCTCACCTTAGTATTTCGTACGGAGTACATACGGAGTACATACTGCCATAACTATAACTCATGACGAGTCATTTCAGATGCTCAATATGCACAACGGGGTTCTCTCCAATACTCCGTACTCTCTACTCTGGAGACATTCAATAGAATCAACGATCTGCAATAATGTGACACTCGGTCCGCGTTTGCACATATCAGCAGCTCTGCCTCCAGCTCTGGCCTTCCATTGGACCTGTCAACCAGCATCCATCACCGTTTCGTAGTCCGTTTTTGCCCACTGCAAGTAAGCGACGGTCACCTCTCGAGGCGCCGTCCGTCGAATTAGACCGACCGGCCAGCCGCACGTAGCTGCATTTTCCCTTTCCCCTCGCAAGCTCAGCTCCAGTGCTCTACTCCATAGTCTCCCAGAACCGACGTATCGTTCGAGCTGCTCTGGCTGGGCCCTGTCGGTCGCCGGAATCGTTTCCGGCTGTCACTCCTTGGCTTTTTGCCCCCTCCCCGCGGCGCTCGCCGGTGCCTCCACAAAAGAAAGACCTAGCACTTAGTAACTTGGTACTACAGGCTAACTATTGCCTACGGTACGTCTAGCTTCTAGGTTTTATCTAGTCTTCATATTATTATTGATCTCCCTTTCCAAGCTTCGTCGAAAGGGGTTGTCGTCGAGTATCTGATTTGGGTGGTGGGATTGTACCACCCTGTTCTGCTTGCGTTGGAATTCCATTGAACTTTGGCTCCCTCCATCTTTTTTTGCACGCCCGCTGGTTCGACAGCGTGTTCATCAAGGCTACATAGTACAAGCTAAAAAGCATTTCGTGTGTCTTTCTACCAGAAACTATCGAACAGAAAAACAGAAAACCAGTACTGTCGCTGTTTTGCATCCCCGAGTCACCACCTGTGGACAACAATGGATGCGTCCTCGTGCCTCGATTCGCGGTCCCCATAACGGTCAATTCTTCGTCAGATTAAACTACCAGCAATGGCCGCTCCGTATCAGTACCTGCGGAGGGAACGAGCGGCCAGCGACCAGGCCCAAACGCTGATGAACCTCGTGCCCTCTGCGACGCCCGTCCGCCCTGGACCCCCCGCCCGGACAACCTCTGCGCCAGCGGGTGGCCTCTTCCGACTCGGGCGGTCCAATTTGCCGATGGACGCAGGTGCGAAGATGGGACATGCGGTCATCGAGGAGGACGAGATCCCGCCCACGCCGGACGAGGAGGCTGCAAGGACCCCGCGTGCTGCGAAGAGCAGCGATGATGTATGAAGCTTCTTTCTTTCCTTGTGGTGTACCTAGATGGGGAACCAGTTAGACAGGGTTGGGCTGACTTTGCCTTCAGGTAACGATATCCTCGAGCCCCGACCGACCGTACGTGACGATTGCCGTGGTGGGTGGAGATGGAGTTGGGAAGACCACTTTCATCCGATGGGCCCTGGAGCTGCGCACCGCGTCCGATTCACGGGTCAACACCAGGGAGATCCCCGTCGATGGCGCCGTCTTGGTGGTGCGGGTGCTGGAGATTGCCTCGAGAGATGTCGTCGTCGACGAGAAACGATCGCTCATCGTCTGGCCTCGCTTCGGAGAGTATTCTCCCAGACCCGCCATCGATGCCGTTATCGTGGCTCACGATGCAACCCGCCCGGCCACTCTAGGGGAGAATGGCATTTTAATCGGTGAGTTCGACCTGAAGGAAACACCGTCTAAAGAAACACCTCATGACGATCGCTGTTTCATGCCGTTGATGCCCCCCCCCCAATTTCGGATGATATTCCCCGTTTCCGTTTAGAAACCCGTGGGTCATCAAGTTTACTATGCAGTACGTACTGATCGCTACAGATGCTCTACACAGATCCTCCATCCCGTACGTTCTGGCCGCCTGCAAATGCGATCTCACCAGTCCCACCAGCCAAGGCTCCCCGACGTGGAGAGACACATACAGAACTTCCCCCAAACTGCCCCGTTCCCAGAGAAAGTGTCTTGTTGCTGCTTTGCGGCTGACCTCTGCGGGTCGATATGGTAAGTTATGTTTTATTTGGTTTTGGCCACCCTCGGAAAGAAAGCAGCAAGAATGGGCAAGAAAAAAGAGCAAAACACAAGAAGCCATACAGGGGGCCCTTATTCCACAAAAATCCACACACTCTCCTATCACATTACGTATTTCTCCTCCCCCCCCCCTGCCACCGCAAAAAAGTCTCCTTTAGTCTCGCACATGGCGCTCGCATTTCGAGACGGCCAGCCCCTTTTAGCCGCTCCACTGTGGTTTGCACTAAGGCATTGGCCACAAACACTAAGGGACTCCTACCTGTCATGGCGGGCGGGTGCGCATGTGTAGCAGGACCGAGGGTTGGCCATTAAAAAAAAAAAGAGCAAAATCCCCTTGACTGCGCTTGTGGGAAAAAAACAAAAAACACTGCATTTTGTTTGTTGCTGACGACTTGCGCTATAGATCGCCAGAGCCCCGTCCGCCCGCATCGCCACCCGACCGGCGATTCCTCATTGCCGCAGACTCAGGTCAGGCAATATTCGACTCAGGATTGGCACCACGCCCGTGCGAGGTCGGAAAACCCCGCCGCTGCCGCCGTACCGCCCGGCCGCGACACGGCAAGTGCTGGTCCTGCCTTTGATCTGGGCGTGGTCGGTGGGCACGTTGACCGCCGTCGTCCTTCCATCGACCACCTGGCGGGCACTTCTACCACTCCTGGGACTGCCCCGAGCTCGAGATATGTGCGCAGTAATTCGTACCCGGTGCGCCCGCAGACTCCTCCTTCCGCGGTCGGTGTAGACCTGCGCAGACCCCCAACTTCGGACTCGCTCAACAGCTCCTCCTCGCCTAGTCGAGACCGCCATCGCCAGCATCGCCTGCACACGGCCTGGCGCTTCAGCGCGGGATCGGACGCGTTCAACTCTTTTCTCGACATTGACGATGAGATGGACCAACCCACCTCCGCCCCCGCAAGCCCGGAGGTGAGCAACGCCAGCAGCAACAGCACTATCCCCACCAGCAACACTATCCCCAATCGCAGCAGCAGCGTCAAGGACCGAGGCAGCAGCGATGGAGGCGTCACAGTCGACACCGGGCCTACCTTCGACGAGCTGGTGGACCGCCTGGTATCGGTGCCCATGTCCAAGCAGGACTCCAAGTTCGCCGCCATTTTTCTCTGCCTGTACCGCAAATTCGCCGCTCCCGCCACGCTGCTCGGCGCGCTGGTCTCGCGCTTTGAACGCAACGAGCGAAACTCCGCCGACCAATTGACCCGCATGGCAGACCAGCTGCGGCTGCTCAGCGCCATGGCGCAATGGGTGTCGGAATACCCGGGCGACTTTGCCTACCCGAAGACCCGGAAAAAGATGGCTGACTTTGTCTCGACCCTGGAGAAGAGTCATTTCTACATGTTCGCGGCCAAGGAAATCGGATCCTACCTCGAGACCAACGCCAAGGAGGATGATGTCGGCTGGCCCTTTCGTGATGGCAATACGGAGGAATTTGATCCGGACCGCGTCGAGACCTTCTTTTACACCTCCGGCCGCAGCTCCCCGTCTGCATGGCTAAACGGGCCGGTGGAATATGACGAGGAGTATGTTGAAGATAGTAATGAAGAACAATCACAACAACCACAACAACCACAACAACCACAACAACAACCGCCGCCACCACCACCACCACCACAGCAACAACCACGAAAACAATCGCAAGAAGAAGAAGACGTGGCGGAAGAAGAAGAGGATCCATTGTACCATAGTATGGGAACGCTGGATATCCATGAGGACACACCAGACACGTCGGTACGGCTGTCGGGCACGCTGACGAATTCCAGCGCGGGCAAGTCCAGCAGCACGTTGAACCAGTCGTTCACCTTGATGACCATCGACAGCGCACAGAAAGAGGCGGCCACCCTCGAATTAATGCCCAAATTCCCCATCACCAAGACCCTTTGGCGGCAGTTCATGGAAGTTCCCGACGAAGAGTTTGCGCGCGAGCTGACCCGCATGGACTGGGTCATGTACAACTCGTTTCGCCCCCGGGACCTTGTCCGCCATGTGAGCATTAGCGGTCCGGAGAAGGAGCAGGTCAAGAGCCTGCAGAATGTCAACCGGATGATCAAGCAGTTCAATCATCTGGCCTACTTTGTGGCCAGTATGATCCTGTTCCGAGACAAGCCGAAGCATCGAGCGAAGGCTTTGGAGAAGTTTATGAGCATTGCTCAGGTATTTTATTCTATTATCTACTCGGTTTTCAGTTTGCTTGCTAACTATTTAAGAAACTCCGTCGGCAGAACAATTACAACTCACTCGGCGCCGTGATCGCCGGCATCAACGGGACGCCCGTGCTGCGGCTGTCGCAGACGCGTGAGCTGGTCCCGCCTGCCGTGCAGAAGGATTTCATGAGGCTGGTCATCCTCATGGGCACGCAGAAGAGCCACTTTGCGTACCGGCTCGCGTGGGAAAATTCCTTCTCGGAGCGGATCCCCTTTCTCCCGCTGCACCGGAGGGACCTGGTCTCCGCCGAGGAAGGGAACCGCACCTTTGTCGGCGAGAACAAGACCAGAATTAACTGGAAAAAGTTCGAGGTCATGGGCGAGGTTGTGCTGGGCATACAGCGCAGCCAGCAGACGCCGTACACCTATCTGCAGAAATCCGAAGACGTGCAGCGCATCGTCCTCGAGTCCAAGCTCTCGGGTGTTGAAGAGGTACCGTACCTCTCTTTTTTTTTTCCCCCATTGCAGGTTGTTATTTGTTCAAGGTGCTAACCCATCCCGTAGGAACTATATGCACGCAGTCTACAAGTCGAGCCATCCGCCGGCGGCGAGATGAACCGCAGGAAGTTCAGTTGGCTACGCTAGATGCTTAATGACGACACGCTATGCTCTGGCATGTAAATATTAGATAAATAAAAGTACAGTATAGTAGTTAAGTAACGTCTATAATATGTTAACTTTTAACGATCGTATCACCCTTAAGAACAAGTCACATGACGATAAGATAGTCTCGACTCTCAACTCAACCCTGCCTGCAACCTCCAACACATCCTCCACACGATCAGATCTAACCCCCCGAGAGACAGAAAGAAAGAAAGAAAGAAAGAAAGAAAGAAAAAAATGAGCGTTCAATCCGCCTACCGCGCCCTCCTCCGCGAACTCCCCCGCCGCAACCTCTCCAACCCAGCGCCCCTCCACGTCCACGTCCGCGACCTCTTCCGCGCACCACGCCCAGCCTCCGAATCCGCGAGTGAATTGTCCTATTCGATCGCCCGGGCGGAGCAGGTAGCTGCCTACGCGCGCGCGCAGCGCGAGTACGTGAATCTTCTGGATAGATATAATCCTGGCATTGAGATGGGGCAGGAGGAGAGAGTCCGGTTGACTGCTCGGCGGGTGGGGTTGGATCTACCGAAGCAGAGTGATTGATTTCCAGGTTGAAAAAAAGGTATGTGTAGTGGACATATTACACTGGATGATGTTGTCTTTTATCTTAGTGATGGTACTGATTATGTAGTGTATGATAGGACTGTATAATATGTCTTAGTTAGACTGAATTGGTGTACATTTGATTTGTTTCTAGGTCTTTCTATTGTTAAATGCCAGGCATTTCTTTGTGCCATGTCTATGTATATCCAGTGATAGTCATCGAATGACCGAGTGATACGTCAATCTCGATTGAATGACCTCATGTATAAGTGGCTTAGGTAGCCAGTTAGCATTAGTGCGGCGTCTGCCGCGTCCTGAGCAGCTTGCTGAGGTTCGCTAAAGCATATAGCCTAGCATATAGGCAGCGGCAGCGGCAGCTGGCAGGTTGACAGTTGTCTGAATATGCAGATTGAGTCTGTGTGTTATGCTCAGGTGGTCAATTGGATACGCTCCATCTGCCTCATCAGCGTTGTGCTGCCCTCTTCATCCTCGGCGGCAATTTCCACCTCGATCGCCGTCTTGGGTCGATTCTTGTTGAGCCCTTCCAACAGCGCGCATGCCTTGCAGATCTTCTGGCTCGAAATGTACCCGCACCGTTCACATTTGCCCATGGTTTGAGTTTTCACCTGTTTGCCCAGCGGCGTACCTTTCTGCGGGGGCTTCTTGGCCGTCTTTTTGTTCGTTGTTTTTTGTAGCGGAACGGACCCGTCCGGGAGCTGAATGTCGGATAGCTTGATCTCTGTTTCGTGGCTTTGGGCGTTTTCGTCGGCTGCCAGTTGCTTTTCCATGTCTGCCATTTCCCCACCACTCGACCGTCCGTTCTGGCTTCCACAGCCACCGGTTGTCTCTTCCTCTGTGGCCCTGGCAACAGCGGTAGGGTTCTTTGCCCCACTGACCTCCGGGGGAACAAGGGTCGCCATGTCTTCGCCACTCCTCACGATGTCCAGGATAGAGCTCGGCCGGATCTTCTCGAGATCCTTGATCAGCGTGCGAGCGCTGCCCCGGAACGCCTCCGGCGAATATATGCATTCTGTGGTGAAGTAGTCGAGTTTCTTGTGGTGCGCGTACAGCACAATCTCCTTCTCGTAGGCATACTTGAGAGGCTTGCTGCGTTTGATGTCCGACGCTTCGGATCCCGTCACAATGCTCGTGCCCCGCGACAGACGAGGTAGATCTCCTCGCAGCAGGTTCATCATCACCGTCTCCGCCACGTCGTCCGCGTTGTGGCCAGTGACGACGTGTTTGATCCCTAGTCGCGCCGCGCCACGGTCCAGTGCCTGCCGACGGAATACCCCGCAGTATGTACAGTTGCCCTTCTTTCCAACCTGCGCCACCACTTGATCCATTGTCCATCCGTAGAGCTCGTCGTATCCCACAATTTCCAGGGGCATGGTATACTGCACCGCGTTGCGCTTGACCGTCTCGAGGCTGTCGTCGCGATACCCTTTGATGCCTTCGTCGATGGAAAGCAGCATCAGCTCCAGGCCGTAATCGTAGCGTTCGTTCAGCGTCTTCAATACCGACGCAAGCACTGTGCTATCTTTGCCGCCACTCGCACCGATGGCTACCCGCTCTCCGCGGTAGAACAGCTTCGTCGACATGATCGTCTCGTGGACCTCCGTCTCGAACACCTCCAGAAAACAGTTTCGGCATAGTTTGTGGCGGTTTTTGGGCCGGATAATCACTGCCCGGGCCTCGCGGCACCGTAAACAAGGCGTCGGAGGCATGATATTCTTTTTCAAATTATATTTAGCACTTAAAATGATGCTTGCAAGAGTTGACTTGAACCCCGCCATGGAATCTTTTTTTTATCAGTAACCAAATGTGGCACGTGCAGTGCTTATCTCAGCTACCAATAGCAACCAAGTTAAATAGTTCTTCATGTCCATTATTCATCTGGAAGTATTTGGTGTCTATTGAAAAGAGGATTTGAAGCAATATGATCTACCTAATGAATCATCCAAACCCCAGCCTCATTGTAGCTATTCCGAAGTAACCAATTGGACGGTCTATTATAATAGTACATCACACCAGAGTCCTGGATGCGCAGTAATATACAGTTTAGTCCTCACGTAGTGGACGATCACATCTTGAAGTTCAGCAGGTTGCCAATCATTTCCCGGCCGGTAATGCGGGTGGTAGCCCAAAGAGTCGGGAAGTCCAAAGTGCTCGAAAAGGTATCGGCGTAGCCGAAGAAAAGCATCGGCGGGATCCAGCCCCGGGCGTATTCGAGGGCAAAGCAGGATTCATCCATCTTGTACTGCTTGACCTCGCCGCGACGCAGGTGGTGGACGGTGCCTTGAGGGTACACCTCTGGCTCGTACTCGCCAGGGACGTAGGCGAGCTGGGTTCCCTGGAGGATATTGAAATAGTCATCCGCGGTATGACGTCCGGTGTGGCCTTCTGTACCGATAGCGGTGCCTATGAAGTGAAAATCAATCGTTAGAACAGGCCATTTGCGGATAGCAGGTATTGGCTACACTCACCGAAGATGATCAGGTATTCCGTGATGCCTACAGCGGGATCATATTAGCAATCACAGTCCACGTCTCGAAGGAGATAAAAGAATAGCGACTCACTAGCATGGATGATGTACATCGCACCCATAGCACCGCCAGCGTTGTTGAACACCCATTCCTCGTCCTTGTTGAGATACTTGCCCTCCAGTTTCTGGTCGAGCTCGTTCACAATGTAGCTCACCACAGCGCGCGTATCATTTCCATGAGCACTAATCGCCCGCTGAGAGAGGTCGTGCAGATGGTTGGGCTCGAAAACGTAGAACTGCTCCAGTCGCGCGTCCAGGTAGCTGTACAGCGCGGCGAACAGGGCAAGGAAAACCGCGAAGAAGCCGAGCGTGCGCGTGGAGAAGCAGCTGCAGGAGCTCTTCTTGGAAGATGCAGAAGACGATTTGGACGGCATCTCGATTGAATTGGCCTGGAAGGATTTGTCTGGAGCCAGGGCAAGGACAGCGAGGGGGAGCGGATTCCAAGACGCGGAAAGGGAGAAAGTCAACAAATTTCCCTCAGGAGATGATTTTCTTGGCGCTTTCTTCTCCGCCTTTCTTACCACGACAACACTGGACAACACTGGATCTACAAGAGTTGACTACGATTCCTAGGGATATATTGCCATGCTTTCATGGCGATCTTACATATGCCTGTTATTTGGGAATAACATGTGTGATTTTCCAGGAGAAGTTGGGTACAGATACCCAGTCGGTGATACTTTCAAGATCTCTCAACGACTACAAACCACTGAGGCTGACCCTTGTCAATCATTCAGAGCAAAAGAGCCGTCACTGAAGGATTTTGACTATAGGTTACCCCATAATAGGATTAAATAGCAAGCAGACAAGCCTAGGAAAGCAGACGAACCGTGACCTAGATCCTGGCTGGTCTGTTCGGGTATGTTCATCGGATTATCTCCAGTCATCATATCAGCCGCTGGAAGATTCAAGCAGCAGGAAACAGACGTGGGATTGCAGAGATCCTGGCTGTTTCTGGATAAATTCATGAACCTCCTTTCCGGCGGCAGGTTAGATCTCTATCACTACTCCACGAAGAGGGACCAGATGCGGCCCGTGTACCCGAAGGCGCTACAAGAAAGATTGAATGACAAATAGGGATTGAGATTGATCATGCAGATTCATTGCAGAGTATCCTTGTGTCCTTGAAGCCCCGAGGATTGACGGACTTAGCAACCACCACAACAATAGACATATCCGCAAAGTGCTATGAATGGAAATAGTAGCCTCTCTCTCTAATCAGTCAAACCTTTACCAAGGTACAGTATGTACTATGTTCTACTTTCTTTAATCTGGCAACCAAAAATATGTGTACCGCAAATAAAATATAGAGTATTCAAGGGGTTCACCCCAATATCAACAATGAACCCGTTGTTGCCTACCCAGGTAGGACTAGGCTACAGCACTTCTCTTCAACTTCTCCATCTTCTCTTAACTCATCTTCCCTTTAAACCGCTCTTACTTTCAACCAATAGTCCATCATGTCACCCTTCAAGAAACTCAAAATACCTAGAGTTTACCCTCTCGACCCCCGTCAGCTTTATCACACCAGAATCCTTACACTCTCAATTATCAAGATTTTAAACACCCTTTGGAGGAAGGAAAGTTTGTTCTGCTGTACAAAAAGAAGAGATACAATATAAGAAGGGCTATGATCGAGGGGTTGGAGAAACAGAAGACCAAGCTTGAACCATTCTCTTCGGAACATAGGCATCTGCTGGCTCCGGTTATCAGGGTTTCAAGGAGAGCATTGCCGTGAAATCCATGGACAAGACAACCCTAGACTAGGCCTTGGTGGACATAGTACCGGCACGGAAATCCCAGAAGACTTCGGTGAGTGCTCGATATCCTTAGGGCCAACATCCCTCTTTCTCAAATGGCTAAGTATGGACAGATACATCCTTATCCCATGAGCACGACGTGTTTCCGCACCAAATAAACCTATTCGCGGAATTAATACAGGAATCCCTGCCGAGCTAGATACAGTCACAGTAGGAAGAACGATGAAGTACACGCGAGGCTAATATGAAAGACTTCTCCAAGCCAGAACTGCACGATACAGGGTCAACGGGGCGGAGGAAATTAAGTCCACCCTGGAGCATAGCATAACCCGGGATTTCTCAGCGCCTGGAGACTCATGCTCTCTCGTCCTCCATTCTTTAGGCTACATAATTGCTTTTATCCTCGGCGAATTCCAGAGTAAGTCGGCCACTTACTTCACTCACGCACGAGATCGAATCAAAGACATCAGAGAAGTAACAGAAGCCTCCAACGTGAGCGTCATGGGGTGTGATGGACTTCTAGACCCCTGCTCAAATCGAACCATCATGGAGAACGGATCTACGCATGCCTCTGGCCTCGCCGTCACCGTCAAAATTGCAAAGGAAACAAGGGACTACCCCAGAGTTCTAGACACCATGATAATGCCGATAGGCTAGAAACCAGTTTCTTCCTAGAGAAATTAAGAGAAGCTAGGCCGATTACTTTCAAATCCTGAAATACAGCCTAAATGGGCCTGTGAAGAACATGATTGCGGGGAAGGGGATGCCAACCTGGTCACTTATTTCATCAAAGCAACAGTGATGCAGTCTGCAGAGACTCTGAAGTACCGATCTGAACCCACCAATGTGCGCAGTCAGAAGTCTCGCGATGCTGTGGAGCGGTGGAGCTGACGCCATGGGGGCTTTTAGTATCGTCCCGTTTCATTGATGTTTCGGGAGACGTCCGGCTAACAACAACCCCCGGTCTAGGAGTCCCTGAAAGATGTCATGGTTCGATTTGACTGCGAAAATAGGGGAAGTATCGTCGTCTTCAGTGGAAAGATGTTGTGAATTTTTTAAAGAAAAACGATTGATTGAGAGAAACTATTCGAAACGGCATGATTTATATGGAGTATTACGAGGTTTTGCAAAAGCGTGCAGGGAGTTCCTGGGCTTGACGATCTTTTCGCGAAATTGCACAGTTCGCAAGGGAAATATCCACCAGTGGCAGACCCAGTCGAGGTGCTTTTTCGATCCATGTGCCTCTGCGGAGGTCTCTTGGTCATTGCTCCATGTCATTGCTCCATGTCAATTTCTGGTGCACTAGATCGTGATGGATATACTACTTCGACCCGGGTTTTCCACCCAGTGGAGCAGGCTAAATGACCTAACAATAGGCAATAATGGCAGCCATTATGGCTTTACCACGGCTGTTATTATTCCACTGCAATGAGTATAAAACCGACCTTGGACCCAGAAGCTGTCAGGAGTGCTCGCTTTCCCTTCTTATCCAAATTCACGAGACTGGCTCTCTGATCACATTCTTTCCTTCAAATCGACTCAACTACTTTTCTCTGTCTCTCTCTTTCTTTTATCTCTCTTTCTATATCTTGCCTCAACCTATTCCTCACCATGAAGTCCTTTACTCTTGCTCTGCCCGTCGCGGTTCTTGCCTCTGTGGCCAGCGCCAGTGTCGTCCCGACCAAGTCGATCTCGAAGCGTGCCTCTGAAACTTGCGAACAGTATGGCGAGATCACCACCGGCAACTTCATTGTCTACAACGACCTCTGGGGTGAGAGTTACGCCTCTTCCGGCTCCCAGTGCACCACGGTCGACGATGTCAGCGACAACAGCATCTCGTGGAGCACCAGCTGGACCTGGGCGGGCGGCTCCGACGACGTGAAGAGTTATGCGAACGCCGAGTGGCAGTTTGATGCCACGGAGCTGAGCAGCATCACCAGCATCCCCACCACGTGGGAGTGGAGGTAAGACTACACAAAGCATGAATGATAAATGAGTGTTGCTGACCTTTTAGCTACACCGGCACGGACATCGACGCCGATGTCTCATACGATATGTTCCTTGCCCCCAGCGCCGACGGCACGGACGAGTACGAGATTATGATCTGGCTGGCCGCGTACGGCGGTGCTGGCCCTATCTCGGACGGCTCGGCGACCTCGGTCACCATTGGCGACTACTCGTGGGACCTGTACTCTGGCCCCAACGGCGACACGACCGTGTACAGCTTCGTTGCCTCGTCCACCATCACCAGCTTCTGCGGCGACATCCTCGATTTCTACACCTACCTCATTGACAACGAGGGCGTCAGCGACAGCATGTATCTGATGAGCATCCAGGCCGGCACGGAGCCCTTCACCGGTACCGACGCGGTGCTGACCACGACTGCCTATACTGTTAGCGTGGAGTAAAGTAAGCTCTGCCATATTGTGGATTGGGGGGGGAAACAGAGGTGATGGAGTGCTTCTTTGTGCAAGTATGTCTTGGCAGTTACTTTGTGGAGGTATCCTTCGATCTTGATACTGCGTATCCAAGGTTGTATTATTGTCTATTCTTCTAGTATAGGTACTAGGCACTGTTGGGTCAAAACTTGCTTTGCGACTCTAAAAATAAGGTAGTCAGCAAATAAAGCATTATTAATAGTTTTACACCTTACCATTGTGTTAGGAATGGATGCCTCATACTGTGAACTTGTATTTCTATATGGCACAATGCCTTCTCATCATCATCTCATGATTCGTCGTGTAAGCGCCAGCAAGTAAAAGGAGGCGAGCTTTGGCCCTGAACAGGAGATTATAAAATTTGTTACCTTAGAAAAGGAGATTTTTCGTCTTTTGAAGGACACGGTGACGGCCTGACACCGGGAAATCTGCCCGTCTAGAGACAGAACCCACGGAGACGACGGACGCTCACTGCAAAGTTACTCTAAAAAGTGCCATACAGCCACAGCCTCGGAAATGAAGACCTTGCTAACAGTCGATTGAAGACTCAATGGGGAGGAAGGACAGAACGTGCCGAATCTGGGCGACATATGAGAAAACCCTGTCGACTAATCTCTAGCAGGTACCCTAGAAATGAACCGTATCACCATACCACGACGAGACCGAGACGAGAACCTGGTTGATTCAAGAGACTCTGGTACCTCGTTGCAAACACGCCATCCTCTTCCTCAGTCTCGCATACTGGTATCCCCAGATCATCTCTGTCCCCATGCCGAGACTGCGCCTGAATCAGATAGTATCACAATACCAAGGAAGATATACCACTATAGATTGTCAAGACAGTTAGTAGGGCTCGATAAAGTTATTGTCCAGTGGAATGTAGTCTTGCCTGCTTGTTGATGACGGCCATTGAAGGCTAGTCTTGCCAATATCTAAAGCCAAAGAAAAGGTACAGCTGTAGATGGCTATTGTCTCTTGATGTCCAGTCATGCCAGAAAAAATTGGTCACCAGGTGAGAGTAATTGTTAAACTGATTCAATTCTCTTAAATGAGAGTATATTTCATTTCTCTAAGTGAGAGTAGTTTGATTTACTTCAAGTGAGAGTAGTATGATACACTTTAAGTGAGAGTGGTTATTATCAGAACCATTCACTTTAAAGAGCGATGGGTCAACAGTGAGAGTAGTTTATAGCCAGTGACTCGTCTCAGCCATTCTATTTCTGAGTATAAATACCTCTATTTCTATCCAGAATCCTCTCTCATCCTCCCACCAACTTCTCTTCTTTCCTCCTCCCCAGACCATTTCAAGATGGCCCTACATACCGATTCTTCGCTGGTTGACATCCAGCAGCAGGACACCGTCCTCCTTGACCTGCGAGCCGAGATCATCAATGGTCTGTCGGCGTCTCCTCGCACGCTGCCCTCCCTGTTGCTGTGGGATGAGCGTGGTCTATCCCTGTTCGACCAGTACACAACCAGCTCTGCCTACTATGTGTACCGGAAAGAGCAGGAGATCGTCAACCAATACGCTCTGGAACTGGCCGATCTGGTTCCGGCAGGGTCCATCCTGCTTGAGCTGGGATGCGGGTAAGATTGTGTTTCTCCAACCAGAGAAAGCTTTGCTCCATGCTAATATATGAATCCTGTTAGGAGCCTGTCCAAAACAGCCGTCCTGCTCGAAGCCCTCGAACGTCTTCAGCGCCCCGTCACATACTACGCTCTGGACGTTTCCTCTGCCGCTCTCTCGCAGAGTCTGGCCCGACTGACCCAATCAATGGGTGTGTGTCGGTTCGTCAGCATCCAGGGCCTGCTCGGCACATACGACGACGGACTAGCCTGGCTGCGCAGCAAGTCTTTGTCGGAGAGAACCAATACCCCAGTCACCATCCTCTGGCTGGGCAACAGCGTGACCAACTCCGGCCAGCAGATCGCCCGGGACACCCTCGCCCAGTTCTCCTCCGTCTGTTCCTGTCAGTTCCTGCTCGGCGTGGATGTGTGTCAGGATGTCTCGGCCGTGATGCAAGCCTACAGTCCTGCAGACCCGTCGCATGCCGCCTTCATCATGAACGGTCTCGTCCACGCCAACAAGGTCATGGGTCAGGAGGGGGACACATTCGATCTAGACGACTGGACATTCACTACGACCTTGAATCCAACTTCACACTCTCTCGATGTGGCGTATTGTCCTCGTCGTGACGTCCAGGTCACTATCGACGACGACACGAGCCTGTCAATCTCCCAGGGTACACCTGTCAATGTGGTCACGAGTGGGAAATGGTCTGACGAGGATGTTCGGACTGTTGTTGGCGCTGCCGGGCTACAGGTTCTCCAGGTGTGGAATGATGCAGAGGGCAAGTGTGGTCTCTATGCTTTGGGGGCAGAAAGAAAGGTCTAGTCACTGAGATACACAATGCACAATTGATCAATAGATAGAATAGATAGAATGAAACTATCAATAGGCTGGTCATCTTCTGCATTAGTAGAAATTAAATGGCTTCTATTGAACCAAGTGATATCAGAATGAAGCGTTGACATTATCTTACTCCTCCATTTATATTAATATTCTACTATTCTAGTACTTTACAATTCTACAATTATATATCTTCAAGCCTACCAGCATGGTCTCAACATAAGAGCCAGGGTCAGAGTCGTCTGGCTACGAGAGACTATGAACCTCCAATGCTCCAGCCAAAAGGACTCCGTACCTTCCCTTTCTGCAGATTCTTTAGTCGTGCTTGCCTCCAAAACAAACATTTTTTGCTCAGTAGTTATAGGGTAGCCTTGATCAAAGGAACCTCAACCAGCGAGACCAAGAATCATTCACTGTAAGTATTATAAGTCTACAGCTTTATAGACTATGCCTGATTATATTGAATACCTAGGTAGTTAAAATGCCAGCTTCTGAGCCGCCCATCTCGATCCCCCTTGCCCCTCCTTACCTTCTGCCCCGAGGCAGAATCTGGACCAGCACTAGACAGCGAGGCCAGCGCGTTATCAACGTGCTGGCAGAGCTGGTCCAGGGATCAACCCCACAGAATTTGTTCAAATATTTACTCACTCTTGCTGTGTGTTTTTTTTTTCAATGCTGCATACCACCACGATCTTTCCAAAAGCTATCAGATACGCCGGAGAAGAGCTTGCCTCAGTCTATATGTCGTGCGCTCGTCTTCGTGAGGGAAATCCTACGTGGACAGACAGGTGACCCATCCTGGAGCAAAGCCCAGGAAGTTCTGTCAAACGAAAAGTACGAAGCCATTGTTTTGGCAAACTTGTTGAACAAGACCCTCCAGAATATATATCACAGGTATGTTGAACCATCCTTATCTTACGGATGACAGGCACTAAGTAGCTATAAGTAGGAGATGAGGCAAGAAGACAACCAAGAAGACTAACAACAATATAAACACAAACAACGACATAGACCAATAAAGAGAAAGATTGCAGCAGTACTACTGATGAGCCTAATCTAAAGCATCAAAAGTAAAAAAGATTCGGCCTACAAAGAACTGGTACGGCAGACTATATTCATTGTTATCAACAAGACTATGACCTTCTTATACCAAAACTACCATTTAGTCAGTTAGTAAGAGAAATATCGCCTAGCATGATTAAGGGCAGGGTAAGGTTTTAAAGTATTGCAATTTGCGCACTGCAGGAAGCTGCAGAGGCAATGCTTATTACTAAGTTTATAAGTATACTTCTCTCATTATATTTATTATTAGAATTATACTAATCAGTGTCATAACTAGATATAAATCTTCTTGCAATTCATGGGCGGCGAGTGATGATTCAGCAGCGCGATATGTTAATGCTGCGACAACTCAAAAAAAACATCACAGGGTTTATATTCCCCGGAATGACTGAGTAGGGGCGGTGAAGAGACGGCGTTCCAAATTAATAATAGTCTAGTTAATAAGATACATTCATTCATTCTACTGGTCTGTGTGCACAGCAGTAGTTGACATGAGCATATGTATTTTTGGAAAAAATTTTGATTTGGCGGAGTCCAACCTATAGTCCGCCGTAGTTACGTCAAATCTCCGCAGTTTTCAATCAAGCAAATTACTCCAACGTCACATCAATTATTAGGGAACCCTGACCTTAGTCTAGTCAGCAAACCACATTATTAGCTAGTTAGCGGCCAAGAATAACCTAGACAATACAGACCATTATACTTGCATTCTCCTACATCAATCCCAGAGACAAAGAATGGTTAAACCGCTTATCTTCAAAGGCGACAAGCCGAAAAAACGCAAACACCGCGACGCCGACGAGCGTGACTCCCGCGCCAAAGCCCCCAAAGCCAACCACCTGTCCGAGACAGCAGCAGAAGACGACACCGAAGCAGCGGCAGAGGACCAGAGCTGGGTATCCGCCGACGTTCCCTCCGACATTGCGGGCCCTATAATCTTCGTCTTGCCCTCAGACCCGCCGACATGTCTTGCGAGCGACGCGAACGGGCAGATCTTTGCCAGCGAGCTGACGAATTTGATTGACGGCAACCCTTCGACGGCGGAGCCGCATGACGTGCGACAGGTCTGGGTTGCGACGAAAGTGGCGGGGACAGAGGGCTTCAGTTTCAAGGGACATCATGGGAAGTAGGTAAAGCCTTGAGTTATATATAAGAAGCCCTGCCTTGAGACACCTGGTAGCTAATCGGTTGGTAATAATTAGGTACCTGAGCTGCGATAATCACGGCCTCCTATCCGCAACCGCCAGCGCGATCTCGCCCTATGAATCCTTCCTTGCGATCCCCCCCCCAGATATTCCCGGCATGTTCTCCTTACAGACAAGCGGAGGCGACAAGGAGACCTTCCTAAGCGTGCGCGAGACGACCAGCAAGAAGTCTGTCAGCGGGACTGCCGTTGAGATCCGTGGCGATGCGACGGCCATCTCCTTCGAGACCTCGCTGAGGATCCGTATGCAGGCGCGGTTCAAGCCGAAGTTGAAGCTTTCGCGTGAGACCAAGGCGCGCGAGAAGATCAGTCGGAAGGAGCTCGAGGCTATCGTCGGCCGCCCCCTCGAAGATCATGATGTCAAGAGACTGCGGAGAGCGCGCAGAGAGGGTAACTTTCACGAAGAAGTCTTGGATGTGCGAGTGAAGGGGAAACATGATAAATTCGCCTGGTGGGTTTTTCCTTTCTTATCCAACCTTTCTTCTCTGACACATCACCTTTTTAGAGTCCTACATTTGTTGGCTCGACCTGAAAGTGTGTCAGCACATAAACTTAAGAGCTCTCCACAAAGCATTATATCCAGAGTCAGAAGCCTGAGGATTCTCCCACGGGGTAGGGACAGCACAGCATCTACCGCTTAGCTGCCAAGGCATCGAACACGCCATCCATCACAAAGCAGATGGGCCGCGTGGTGAAGAATACAGGCTCTGGAGTGGTTAAAAGGATCCGGAAGTCCTAATATCTACAATTGGGCTACAGCATGAGTTGCTCAATACATTAAAGAACAGATCAAGTGATTTAGACTCAAGTCTTTGCGTTTCATAATCAGATAATGGGTATCGTAATCTCACAATTGGCTCAAAAGACCCTCCCAGAACTATCGCATTCATGTCCAGACCATATGCACATCGTGAATCGAGAACAATCTTCACCATCCATATCCATCCCTTACTCCAACCGGGATCTAGAATACAGAGAATCTAGAGGTGTTCTGCATAGGAGGAGGCTGCATGGGGAGGACCGCTGGTAGATGGGGATAATACCCTTCCGGTAGGACACTCTTCTTGCATAGGGGACAAAAATTGCCTCTCTGCATAAGGAAGCGATCAATGCACGCAGAGTGGAAGATATGGTTACAGGGTAGCTCTCTAACCATGGACTCGCCGGCGGTAAATTCATCCAGACAGATCGCACAGGTCGTCTGCGTTTTCCATGGCTGGCAACCCTTTGGCTCTTCTTTCAATTCACCTTCTGCAGACAAGCCGGCACCCCGAGTCGTCACTGTAGAAGGTGCAGGCAAAATAAGGTCTTCAGAGTTGGGCCCGTTGATTTCTCTCCAAAAGGCAAAGGTACTCCGCTTTGGAGCAGGGTCAGTGGTCTTGTCTTCGTGAAGCAGAGCCTTGGAACGACATTCTTCGGCTAGAATCGCTTGCTGCGGGACGGCGAGGTCCGGATACTTGTATAAGGGAAGGCTTTCGAGAATCTCCCGGGGTACTTTCTGCTCTCTGAGTCTTCTCATGCGGTGACGCTCGAAATTCTCCTGTCTGACCAGTTCTCTTCCTCTTCTGTTTGTAAGAAGTTCCTCCTGCTGGAACCAATGACGACAGTGTACTAACCACCAAACGACGAAGATCGTTATGACTACAAAAATGACCAAGACAACCAGCCAAGTTGGCCAAAACACCGTGCTCGCTGGCTCTGGACGAGGTTAGAATAAAGGAGCCGACTCGCCCGGGGGGGGGGGGGGGGGGTCCATCTTACGCAGGTAGATCATCGTGAAAAGTCTGATGTCCCCCAGTTGACCAAATGGTGAAATGTTCGTGGAATTGGCATGGCTCGCGTTGCCATAGATAGAGTCTAGTGTCTTGTTTCCCGAGTACAAGGCGAGTTGGTCCATCAAGTAGTTTCCCGACGGCCCTGGAATTGCGTAGACTGGGTAGTGGTTCTGAGATCTCCAGAGCCCCTTATCGTCGAGGTTCCAAGAGTTGCTCTGCGGGATAGGAGGCTTTTTAGTCTGGTTGTCTGTTGGCCGGTAAACAACCATCGCCCCTGCATCTGCAGCGCGAGCAGCGGCGAAATAGGCCTGAGTACAGTTCACAGAAATCCATGGAGCCAGCCCGATGAGCTTGTATCCGTAGTCGGCCACGTCCTCTTGCCGGGTCACATTTGAAGGCACATATCGCGCCGTAGCCTCATTGCACGGATCCTTCTTGTCGAGAGTGGGGACGAAGAAAAGGCCTGTTATAGTCCCTCCTTCATCAGAAGTATTCTGGCTGGACAAGGTCCGCACCTTGCCGTCGATGACAAAGTGGAACTCGACACTTTCCTATCCCAGAGAGCTGTCAGTATCTGCAGCCATCTATCGTTTGAAACAGACAAAGCATTCTCTTCTTACATTGACTGTTGGAGTGCTGTTCACAGCCCGGCCTTCACCAGCAAAGAGTGTGGCAGTTGTATCTATCTTATTTGCCGTTGCTATATATTAAAAAGTAATCAGTTAGTCTAGTCATCGATCTTCCTTAACACTACCAGGTCTTAACCTAGTGTGTCCCCCACACCAAGGATCCTTACACATATTGGAGATATCCTAGGGGCTACCTGGGTAGCTACCTAGCTGTATGTTGATAGATAGTATAGAAGTTATTCAGCTCATCAGCATTAAGCATCCAGCACGCTGAATGGACGTCAACTTTTTGTTTTTGGAAAGGAAACTGTAACAATTCGCTCAAGAGAAAAATCAGCGGAGAGAGGAATGCATTGGCGAGGGCGAGGTCGAAGAATGTAGAGATTCTCGTTGAAATCGGGCTTCGAAGCCCTTGATTGCTAGGGTCTGTACCAAGGGAGTCCACAGCCTAAGGAAGGGGATGCAGAGAGGTGTTGAGGAGGCGCCTAAAAGATTGTAGGGGGTGAAAGAGAAACGATCAAGCAAAACAAGTGAGAGAAGTGAGAGAGGGTCTGTGAAGAAATTATCCTATTGTGAATGTAAACAAGAAGTATGCCTGGTATCGCAACCTAGGATACTAGATAAATTAAATCTCATTTCTCTGAGCCTAAAGCTGTAACAAGCTTCAAAAATAGCGGCAATGAATTCATGTTTACTATTTCAATCATCAGACAATATGTATAGACTGATTTCTATTACTTTGTTGGAATTGATGGCATAGCTATACAACCAGTGCATCAAGCACAGCCTGTGAGGCGCGGTAATCCACGCGTCGAGCCAGGACAGTTCTCGCAGTGGCCATAAGATGGATCTGAGACGATACTAAATACCTAGAATAGCTGTTGGAATGAGTCCAGAGAGAGAAATAAGAGTCCTGTAGATAACTTGTCGCTCAAGGTAAATAAACAGTAGAAGATAAAGGAAGATCTGCAGGGAAATCGGAAATCGCCTCAATCATCACGTGATGTACACCAGCAACTGCCAACCTCATCTCGTCATCCTCGGAATGGACTGCGGTCGCTCTGCATCTGAATCACGCTCTGCTGACCATCCAAGAGGCGCTGTCTTTGCGATAAAGTGTTCTCTAGAGTTTGACTGGACGCTGTTTCTGGAGGAGGCCTCAGAAATATGGTGTCTACTGGTTGAAGGGTTGATTCAGCAAGCCTTGCTGATTATCTTTTATGACAACGATATGTGCTATTGAGCATGAGAGCTCTAAATTAGTATTGTTCCCCATTAGTTCCTCATTTTCTAATCACTCACCATCTTTTATAGGTTATATCTCTCCTTTTACCTTACAAATCGATATATATAGGCATCAAATTGCCTTCTACAGTAAGCCAAGATGCCATCTGCGAACAAGGGAAAGGGGAAGGGTCGGGAGTCACGCCAGTCGCACAGTCGGAATACTACACCAAGCTCCGGTCTAAGCGCTGGCCTGCCCTCAAGCGCTCCTGTTCCAAGCTATCTCGATAATGACGTCTCCAAACTGCTCGTCCCGACGAGTATACAATACAATGATCTGCTGGAGGGGGTGGGTGGGGCTGGCTCGATACCCGACTCGAAATCGCTGGAGTCGTTGATGGAACATTTGAATTCTCTCAGCAAGTGGGCAGAAGCGCGGGAAGATGCGTGCAATGCGTCTATGCGCGAGCTGTCGCAAAGACGCAAGGATGTGCTCGAAGAAGAACAATTCGAAAGCGTGAGCGTGAAGATGAAACGAGAGGTTGACGACGAGGATGAGCCGAGCCGCGCGACTAAGGGTACGAAACTGAAGAAACGTAAGGACCGCGGAAGTCTCAAGGAGGACCGGCCACTGGCCCACGGAGCTCATGAGGTCTCCCGCCAGGACGGAGCGGAGACCAAGGTCGAAGGTGGTGAGTTTGCTGCCTCCCCCCCCGCCCTCAGAATCCACCCCAAATTGTTTGCTCTTTCTTCTCCCCCATTAAAGCTTGCTAATCTTTTTTCTCTCCAGCTGCGTCCCCTGCCTCAAAAAAGCTGAAGAATATTGCGTCCGAAAGCGCGTCATCTCTCTCCCCCCCGTCATTAGCCTCTCCACAACGAACTGGCCCAGGTGACGGCCCTGCCACAGCTGCATCACCCATGTCAGACGACAGTTCCGACTCCCACCAGCCTGAGCCAGCACCCAGTGTGCCCCAGGTTCAGGTTTTTGGGCCTAATCCCCTCAAATTTGACGACCCCACCATCTATCACATTCGCGATATCACGCCTGACATGAGTGATGATCATAAACGTCAGATCTACTCCGTTGCTCGCTTCCCACGAAGCGACTTGAAACATATGATGGCCGGTGTTCTGCCTGACAAGGACTTTAGCAACGCTAAACCCACCAACCAGGTCAACGCTAACACGTTCCTAACCTACATCGACCCTTTTGTTCGTCCATTGATGGAAGAGGATATTGCATTTCTCAAAGAGAAGGTTAGTCAACCCTTGCGAACCATTATCTAGCCCAACAAATCCCTGACATGACATAGGGCGACCGCGCCACTCCTTTCATCATGCCACGACGAGGCAAAAAACACTACTTGGAGACCTGGGCCGAAGAAGATGGGGCCTTGAGCATCGACCTGGCCAATTCAGATCGTGAACGTCTTCCCTTGAACCAAGGCCGTGGAAACATCGACCAGGTCACCGACGACACTGTAGAGACTGACAAAGTTTCCGTTGGTCCGTTGATCAGCCGTCTGTACTCCTTGCTCCGCTATGAACACCGTAATTCTCCCGAGGAACCCTCTACCAACGGTGACGGCACGACCAACGGCTTCATAAACGGCGGCGATTCAATGGATATTGACCACCCTCCCCCGACCGAGTCAGAAAACAAACCCCTTCCATCCGCGACCTTGTTTTCGGACGCTTCTTTAAGCGATTTCAAGGTGCCTGCTGTCAAGCTCGACCACGCCCAGCTGGACGAGCGTCTCAAGGCAGAACTGCGCCATGTTGGATTCCTGGGACCCGACGAGAACCCCGACTACGACGCACACTACGACGACGACATTGCGCAGCGCCTGCGCCTCCTGCAGAGCGAATTGAAGAAACAGATGATCACCAACAGCGCACGCAAGGTCCGCCTCCTAGACATTGCGCGCGAGCGCATGGCCCACCAGGAATTCACAACCATCCACGACGACCTCGACTCTCAGGTTCAGCAGGCCTACCTGAAGCGCACGCGTACCCTAGGAAAGAGCAAGAAGGGCTCCCAGGCCAAGCACCGACCCGGGGGCGCCGGGGGCGGCAGCCACGTCGTCAGCGCCGCGGGGCTTAGCCGCCCGGCGATCGGCGACGTCGCACGAACTCTGATGGACCGTCGCAAGCGCTGGCGCGACTGCATCGGACCCATATTCAAGGACTCCAAGACCAGCGTCCCCAGCACCGGGGAAACCGTCTTCGACCCCGTCGTCATGGCGGAATATGAAAAGGTCGAGCTGGAGGGCTGGGACGAGGAGCAAGAATGATTCAACGAAGTGATTTCATGCAATTTTTCGTTGTTTCTTTCTTTCTCCTTTCTTTCGTTTCTTTCTTTTTTTTGGAAGTTCGGTTGGCGTCATGAGACACGTGGAGTTGATACGGCCATAATATCATACCCTTTTTGAAACTAGCTAGTTGAAAGCTAATGCAATTGCTTCTCCTATGAGACAAACGGTTCCCAGCGTCCTTGCCACACAAATGGTGTAATTTACCAGAATCCTTTCTGAGAACCAGACGGAAGATCGAAAAGTTGAACCTCAGCCTGATTGGCGAACACACCTCAGTATTCTAAGGTTGTTCTTTCTCGACATATCTCATGACTCAGTATCTTTTTGTATCCATTTAGACATATTATACAGAAGATACCAATTGATGCAAGGCTGCTCAATTGTATTTCTTTTCTTGGGTAGATTCTCGTCAAATTGCCTGCATTGACTGATTGATCAATCTTGGTCCTCCTCATCATCTATGGATGATCAGGATTTCCCCGTGATACCGCTTCAGCCTTCCAGTCAGTTCTTTCTCGCTTATTTGTAGCTCTGTGCAGATCTGATCGAAAGAATGCTTCCCATCCAGATACTTAGATAGCGCCCTGTCGTCGATTGATTCTTCATCTTCATCCGGGGCGCCGTTTCGACTCCCACTGCGAAGAGACGCAGAGGGCTCCCGGCTATGACCGTCTCCGCGATCACTCACTGGACGACTAGTAACCATGCCCCCAGGGATAGGCCCGGACTCATCGATCACACTGCCAGCATATGGACTCACGGCACCTCCGTCTCTGACCGTGGATGCTGACGAAACCGGCTGAGAATTGTTGGCGGTCGAGGCCTCCGACTTGAGAGGGGGAGCCGGGTTCCCCGTCGCAATGGCGTACTTGTGTACTCTGTAGAGAAACCCCTTGATGATGCCGAAGGTGATGAAGCGGCGGATATCGATGTTGGCCAGTTGCCGGCTGTGTTGGAGATACCACTGTTTGACGTTCTGGCCTTGCCTCAGGCTTGCGTAGAGCTCGACTATCCCAACACCGTCCACGATATCCCGGCTTTCGGGTCCTATGTTTATACTGCCCTTACTGCTTGTGCTGGTTTCGCCTACGGCATCACCAATGGCCGGCCACACGTCGTCTAAGTCTGGGTGGTGCCCGTTAGAGATCACTGGGATCATTTCATTGCGGGAGCTTGACATGGGACCTCCGACAGAGCCTGGCCCGGTAGGCGGTGCTATGTTCAGGCCATGGTGTGGAGAAAAGCGGGTGTTGACGTATCGGGCACATTCCTGCTGCATCTCTTCGTCCGATGCGATGGTACTATTGAACTGGGCAGTAACGGCATAGATGGCAGAGAACGAGAAGATGTCTAGAATGAATAGACACCCGTAGTACAGAAGATGGCGGATGGCACGGCAGGTAAGGGAGAAGTCGGCGTTGGCCAGTATTGAAATTATGCGGACGCTGTTGACACCATTAATGTACGGAACGATCTGCCAGTTTCAGTAAGGTACAGCAGAGCCGGAGAAAGAACCACCACCTACCCTTTGCATCGTCAGGTCCCAGTTGTCATCCATAAATGCATGGTAGCGGACAGTGAACAGCGGAACATGCCACGCCTTGACTGGTGGGGGTGGGTGATAGCTCGGGAAAAGCTTAATGTTGAGAGTATTCAACTCATCTGAGCAGTTAGCCAAATACAACGTATAAAATCATCAGAGACAAGTGAAAGACCGACTCACCGATTGGAATCATGCATTCGCAGTAGTTGTTCAAGTCCTCCATCATCATCTCGCATAGGCTGTACACCTTTCCCTCACCGCTCTTGGAGAAATCTCGCGAAAGAAACCCATTCTGCTCCTCCAAGCCATGCATGAGATCTGCAAGCTTCTGCACCACACTCCGGTATGTACTGAAATCCTCTTCTTCGGCCAAGACGATACAGAAGTTGAAGATGAACTCGTTCCGGTCGTACCGCGGCGATGACATGCAGATTGGGTACCCCAGTATGCGATAGCCATTCGAGCACACCTGGATAAGATTGCCGCAGAGTTCCTGGCGGGGAATCACAAAGAACGAAATGTCGGAGAAAGTGAGGAAGAGCGGTTGCGAGGGAGCGGTTGCGGAGGGGACAATGGCTCCATCGGGGACTTGGTGGACGACCTTAGGACCTGTGGATGACTGTCAGAATATCATAATTATCAATTATATTGCAGAAATTGTGTGTAGCTACCCTCCAAGGTGTCGAATTTGCTGTAGAAGATCGCTTTGATCATGGTGACGGGTTTAGAAGTGTGAGGTGTCTGTCTTGGTATCGCGGAGAATTGCCCGCATTCACGCGTCGAACAAGATCATGGAGAGGTCACGAGAGGATGCAGACAGTGCGATTAGACCGAAAAAATTCTTTGACGCAGTACAACATTTTGTCGAGGGCAAATCGACCAGAGACATGCGATTGTCGCTGTTGAGAGTCGAACAGGTGGGGGAAGCTTTCGAAGACCGCCCGCTTATCGAACATCTGGGTCTGCAAGGAGTAGTATTATGGAGTATTTTTGTCCTTTACAGGGAACAAGGTTCAACAAGGTATTCCTAAGTGGTATGGACTGGAGGTTGAGTGTAATTTATTATATAAGTGACTTCTAATAGTTAACTAATGCTTTGATCCCCGAACGTAAAATTTCCCCCCCCTTTTAAAAAAGGGTCAGTCAACATGGCCTCCTGATCAACAGAAGTGCATGGGGAAGAGAACATGTAAATCGAATCAACCTGACCGAAGCGATAAGAGTGAGCAACATGTCCCTGAATCAAAGCGTTCGAATAAGAATAAAGGGGGTATTGATAGGCAAACAATAAGACCAGACAACAGAATTAGAAGAGCTGAAAGGAGAAAGAAGAAACAAGAAGAAATCTATCGACTGCAAAGCCAGACGGAGCGCACACTAATTCGCAGATAACTCGCAAGCAAGGATGCGCAACAAAACGAGTTGAAATAAGGAAATATGAGATGAAGAATGAGCGATTGAGAGGAACGGAAATGGTTGAACGATGATGGATACCAGTAACCACGCTAGAAATGCATAACCGATGAAGAAGGGCCCCGGAGAGAATCAATCAAACAGCCAGCTAGAAGTGGGAATTCCGATGAAATGCAAAAGTTGAAATGGCAAAAATGAATATTGGATGAAAAGGGATCTCAATCTAGACGAGCATCGAGCTCATCATGCAGTGCCAGATGCCTGGTTGGAAGAACGCCGAATGGCAGTGTTGGAAGCAAGCAGATCCAACGAAGAGGGCTGCACATAAGAACCCGTAAAGTGTGCAAGCGCAGTGGTGAGATTCGCGCCGTTTGAGCGCGGTAGTGGAGAGGTCGGGTTGTTGGAAGCGTAGTTCAACGGTCGGCCGGTACGGATTGCGTTGATCATCTCGGCATAAGCACCTCCTCGCTCAGAGGCTTCCTTCAGCCATTGTTCCCAGACCTCGTCAAGGGGGACATTGGCGCCTCGCTCGCGGGCTGCCGTGGCTGCAAGGAGTCGGTTGTTCAGCTCGACTCCGCAGCTCTCGATTTCCTCGTCACTTGACTCGTCGTCGGATGATTCTCGAGACACGTAGTCGACGACCACTTCGCTCATCTCGTCGGCAACAACGGTGGCCGCGGGGGATATTTCGAGGGGGGAGTCCAGATCGCCCACCAATTCCGTTCCTTCGTAATAGTGTACTTCAGCAGACGGCGTCGGGGCCGGTGCGGCCGGCTGAACAGTGTCGGCAGTGGTGTCCTTGACCTTGACCCCTTCTTCCTTCTCGTAACGTTCGCGTGCGGACTTTGTGCCTTCCCAGCGGCACAGCGAAGAGATCTCCGCCTCTGTGAGCCCCAGGTGGTCGAAGACTCGAAACAGTCGTCGGTGCCAGGGGAACCGGCTCAGTCTCAACCGATGAGGCTTGTACGAGTAGTCCAGCCCCGGGTACTGGGCTTCAATGGTATCCAAGCCACCGTAAAACGTACACGTCTCAATTCGCACTTCAGGCACTAGATTTCGGGTGATATGAGCTGCAAAGGACGCTGGGTCGCTGGCTCGGGGTCGAGGAAATGTTGCATTGTAGACCAGCTGGGTCAGGGATGGTTTGTGCATGGCGACCAGCGAATACTTTGTTCTGACTCGGTTGCTTGCAATTTCGTGTCGTCGGTTTATTTATATCTTTCTTTCTTTCTTTTCGATGATTCGGAGAAATGATCGTGAGGATGGACGCGGTGGAAAGGACGGAAATCAGCGTTGACGGTTTCAGAGCTACCAGAGGAGGAGAGACCGAGAAGGGGGTGGCAGCCAGGAATTAGTGAAGGAGGCTGCAGGCACAACAAGACTTGGAAGGGCAAAAGCGGCAGCCAGGGCTCGTCTCTCGCCTCGTGAGAAGATCAGGGAGTGTGTGAGTGTGTCTGTCTGTCCGTCTGTCTGTCTGTCTGAAGGAAAGTGATGCTCTAAAGGGATGATGAAGCTTAGAGCCTAGACCCAGGCATCTGCCTCGGTGGGGCGGCCCAGAAAGTGGTCACTGTCACTGGTGGGTATAGTTAAACCTGTGTATACTGTAGAGCATACGATCATCCTCTCCCAGCGATCTCCCTCTCTTGACAGGCTATATGACCATGGTAAATCAAGGTCGGAGACGAAAAGGAGGAGTGTGCTCCTTTAGGGGCCCTGTGTTCCTGGCTACTCTCAGTGGAGGCGAAATCAATCTAGTCGGGGCAGCTGACCCTGGCAGTTCAGCTGCTCTGGAATGAAGATCGCTGTCTGTCTGTCTTTTCCTTTTTCTTTTTCTTTTTCGCCCCTCGATTGGAATGTATTTCCAACCTTGTTAACTATATCGAGTGGGTAAGTTGCACCCCCCTGGACCAGGCGTTTTGTCTAACCTCTAGGAACGCGAGCCACAGGCCCCCGATCGCTTCCACAGAGATCGACTGATGATGAGATCTTGTAACGGTACTCCACTGAACAGGGTGTTAGTTGTCCATCGTAGGCGTTATGCCTCGGGACAAGGTCTTGTACAGAAAGAGGGGGTCGAAGGAGAAGGGCCACAGGATGCAAAAAAAAAAAAAAAACTACAACGATGGCGGGTATGTGGACGGCGACTTTATATGCTGTTCCCTCAGCTCGGTGGGACAGTTGGATCATGATGGTCGTGGCTGAACCATGGCCAACGCATACCATGGTCTGTCTCCTCATCTTCCTGTCATGACAAGCGACAGATGCTGCTACTCCGACAGCCCTCAGGATTGTTGAGGCGAGACGAGGTGCTCCACTGTCGACCTGCAGGCGCTGAGTCCATTGCCGACCGTCCACTAATCACCGCCGGGCGTCGTGACAACAACGCTTCATGCAAGGCCACTTGGTTGTCAATAAAGCCCTTGCTAACTCAGGCGCCACTGTCGTGGCCACCGCCTTGTCGACTGCTGCCACAATCCCTGGTCGGGGAGAGCGATTTCTTTGTGGGAAAATGGATGAGCACGCGTTGGTTCTATGCATCAGGGGCTTTGGAAGGAATAAATTCTCTAGATAGCTAATGGGAAAAATTCCCTCTATTAATTTGCCCTGTGATTCGACAACCCAGAGAATTTCCGGTTCAAAAATCGCTTATTGGCAATATTGTCTCGGTGTCGAGTTTCTGTGCAAATCTTCAGGTGTAGCTTTCCTAGTTCAGAGTTCTACAGAGGTGTCACGTGTCTGCTTCTATCTGGAGACAGCTCATGAACTGCTTCTCCTTCCCTTGGGCATCAACCCCAGTCCAGATCTATGCAGTGAGTCAACCGTCGAGCTGGCCCCTGACGTTTTGGATTATTGCCAATTGTCTCGGTGTGATTACGATGCAACTTCACCCGGCGCTTGGTTCTAGAACGTCCAGCCAATGTCGACTTTTGACGGGTTTGTTGAAGGTAAGACTCCACAGCACGTTGTCTTTACATCTTCGAGAATCTAGGCTCACACAATGAAAATATAGAATTTCCATTCATCCAAAGTGCGGAGAAAGGCAATTCCCTCTCATGTCCGATGCTGATAATCATACCTCAGTCGATTATTTCCGGAAGTCGCTTGATAGACCACCTCCGCTAGCCTGCTTCCTCAGCCATGTCCACAGTGACCATCTACAGGGCCTGGAGTCCTTCAGAGCCCCGTTCATCTACTGCTCAGCAGCAACTAGAGAGGTACAGCTCTTGTGCGTTGGTATTCTACAATGTAGTTGCTTTGTACTGACAAGGGCCAGCTACTGTTGCGGCTTGAAAAGTACCCCCACCGTATGAATTTCAGTAAAGGCATCCTGGAATCACGGAGGCTGCATTACAAACACTTAGCGAAGCTTCTGGTTCGTCATACCCTTGCTACTTTCAGAAAAAGCACTTGCCTAACCCTGAATAGAGACCGATTCCCTTGGATACCCCAACAGAAATTGAACTAACTCCTCGACTACGGATCAGAGTCACCCTGTTCAATGCAAATCATTGCACAGGGGCAGTGATGTTTCTCCTAGAGGGTCAGGGTAAAGCAATTCTATATTCAGGAGACATCCGAGGTGAGTGGCTTATGTTTAACCTTTATGGGCCGAAGAACTGTAGAATGGGTATCGTTATGGAGAGACCGTCTGATGAGATATTTAGCGGAGACCTGGTGGGTGCAAAGCCTTGCCCGAAGTCCGGTGCTTCTCCCTTATTCAAAGGGCAGTAAACAGCTCGATAGGATCTATCTGGACACTACCTTTGCCCGAAGCTCGAATGTGTACCGTGAATTCCCACCCAAAGCAGAGGGAATGGCCGAACTTTTGCAAAAGGTTGGCGAGTATCCAGATGACACTATCTTCTACTTCAGAGCCTGGACGTTTGGTTATGAAGATGTTTGGATGGCTCTTTCTGCAGCACTTGATACAAAGGTCAGTATCTATACAAGAATGACAATGGCTGTTCTATCGCTAATAAGAAGGTAGATCCACTTGGATCCATATCAACTAGGGTTGTATCGTTCACTTGCTGCAAAAAAGGGTATCGCAGGACAAGCTCAAGAAGCGTCCTTCCTGTGTGGGTTTGAGCTAGGTAATACATTCATTCCTGGTTGTCTCAGCGATGATCAAAATTGCCGTGTCCACAGTTGCGAGCCGGGAGTATCATGTTCCACGATTGCATCTCGAAAAACGGTGTATATCACCCCAATAGTCAATCGCATGAAAGATGGATTAGAGGTTCCTGAAGCAGGTGCTGGTGGAGGCGATGGCGACCTCTTCCAGGTCCATGAGCTTGAGCTACCAGATCCGGAAGCTTTGGAGGAGTTGAAGAAACTGTGCTTTAAGCATATCCATGATGACAATCTACTCTCTCAGACTAATGAGGCCCTTTCTCGGGCTTTCAGATCACAGAAGAAAGCGCTATCATTGGAAAGATATGGCGTAAAGAATGACGGCGAGATATCCCTCGAGTCTCTCGTCCAGATACTTGGCCGTGGTCATTCTATTGCCACCTCTGAAGAAGATTTACCTAAGATTTCGCGTGTGATACACGACCGGTCAGGACGACCGCTTCCGAAAGAAATAGTATGCGTGCCCACTCATCGTCTCTACTTCATCGAGGAACATGGCTTAACAATATTCTAGCACTTTCCCTACTCTCGCCACTCATCATATGCGGAGTTATGTGAACTAGTGTCAATTTTCAAACCCCAAGACGTCTACCCCTGCACCGTTGATCCTCTCACTTGGAATGAGGACGTCTCGATGCGTCATCTGTTCGGCCATCTCTGTTCCGGGGACAAGTTCACACACGACACCTACATGAGAGAAGTCCTCGCCAATGAGGCATTGACTTCTAGAGCAAGGCCGCATAATGAACAAGAGGATCACTCTCAAACCACTCAGAGAAGCAGCAGCAGCTTTTTAGATGGGATATACGAGACGCAGCACGGCGCCTCTCTTCCTAGAAAACGATCGTTCGATGCCCATTCGGCACCAGACAGCAGCCCTATCCATATTCCTGAAAGTATTCATGCACATGCCTGTAAAAAGAAAGGCTCTTTGCAAAAGAGCCCGCAGGCACAGCATCTACCACTTCAAATCTCGGAGTCATTTGTTTCGTCGGATCGTGCCGAGACAGTAACAACACATCAAGGCAATTCCAGTTGGCCAAGCCAGCCGTGCTCGATCGCAGACCCTTCTATGGAAGCCCAAAGGGCCAAACGCAACTATGTCCGACAAGCATGGCGATTTTTGAGGAATCATGAAGAAGAGACAGCGTTCCACATCGGCCCGCTTCCCTCGACATGGCCGTCAGCAGAGCAGGACGGTTTCATACCGGCCGAGACGGACCATTGCCTTTCAAACGAGGATGCAGCACCAGAGACATCGCCGATGCAACCAGAAGAAGACAGCCAGCTGAGCACTGCCGCGGTATCCATTTCCGAATCAGCCTTTTCCTCCTCGCAGCAACATTCGATTGACTTCGATGACGATCTCGACAATATTCCATCCTCGATTCCTAGAGAGCCAACGTCAGAACAAACCCTCCCGGCTTCTCTCCGCCGCACGATTTCTGCGCAGAACCGACGAGCAGCGTACCTCGCCGCCAAGGCGGATAACTACGATGCGTGGAATTCCGTCTCGATCATCTCGGCGGGTGACAACCATACAGAGCCAGAGATTGAACTTTGACATCAACAACATTCAATCATATATAGACAATCATCATTATAAATACTCGAGCTAAATGGAGTGGAAAACGGGTGCTCGTTGGCATCTTTTGATACCCTCTAACTCATTAATAGACAAAGTAATTCTGCGTTAGAGGCAAGCTCTCCGCCGGAGCAGCTTCGCAGAGCATCCCGTCTGCTTCGACCGTCTAGACAAGAAAAGTCATTAGATTATTCTCATAGAGAGGGCTTTTTTTTTTGTCAATGAAAGGGAAAGATAGAAAAACATACGTAGCTCTCCGGGTCGACTTTCATCTTCGGCATCGTATCGTTATACTTCATATCCTGTTTACCGACAGTCCGACAGTTCTTGACGGCCTCGACGCGCTTCTTCAACCCGTAGCTCTGGATGATACCCAGATCGATCGAAGCCTGTGAGACGAAGATGATGGAAGTACTAGGGACGAGAGTCTAGTAAAATGTCAGCCTGTAGATTCTAAGATGTATTAAGTGAAGGAAGAAGGAAAGCGTACTGCGAATTGCTTGCGGGCTATTATTGGCTCGACAGTTGGGATTGATGCATTGGGGTCACCCTGAATGAAAAGTCAGCAGGTGATTCATGCTCATCGCGAATTACCAAGGGAAAGGGGGGGTGGGAGTGTAGAATACCATCTGCGATACGGCAACCATTCCGCTCTTGAGAACCAGAGCGGGCTTGGTGCCAAAGTTGCTGGGGGTCCAGAGGACTAGATCGGCGAGCTTGCCGACCTCGACGCTGCCGATGATATGGGACATGCCCTGCGCGATGGCTGGGTTGATGGTATACTTGCTGATATACCTTTTCACGCGGAAGTTGTCAGCACCGGTGCCCTGGTCCTCGTTGAGCGGCCCACGTTGCAGTTTGTTCTTGTGGGCTGTGTTCCAGGTTCTCAGGATCACTTCACCGCAGCGGCCCATGGCCTGTGAGTCGGAAGACATCATGCTGATGGCTCCGAGGTCGTGGAGCACGTCCTCGGCGGCGATGGTCTCGGCACGGATCCGGCTCTCGGCAAAGGCGACGTCTTCGGGAATGTTCTTCGACAGGTGATGACACACCATCAGCATGTCGAGATGTTCGTCGAGGGTGTTCAGGGTGAACGGCCGGGTGGGGTTCGTGCTGCTGGGCAACACGTTTGGATGCTCGACCACTGAAATGATATCCGGCGCGTGGCCGCCACCGGCTCCCTCGGTGTGATAGGTGTGGATGGTGCGGTTCTTGAACGCGCCGATGGTCTGCTCCACGAATCCGGACTCGTTCAGCGTGTCGGTGTGGATCATGCACTGCACGTCGTATTCATCACAGACTTCGAGGCAGGTATCAATGGCGGCAGGGGTGGAGCCCCAGTCTTCATGCAATTTCAACCCGCAGGCTCCGGCGCGGCATTGCTCCTGAATGCTTGCCTTGCCACTGTCGTTCCCCTTTCCGGTGATACCAACGTTTATCGGCAGACTGTCACAAGCTTGTATCATTTGCCGCATGTGGTTGGGGCCCGGCGTGCAGGTTGTAGCATTGGTGCCGGTAGTTGGGCCTGTGCCCCCTCCCAAAAATGTGGTGATTCCGGACGCAAGAGCCTCGTCCATCTGTTGCATGGAGATGAAGTGGATGTGAGTGTCAAAGCCTCCGGCCGTGATGATTTTGCCTTCACCGGCAATCACGTCCGTGGATGAACCAACCACGAGGTCCGGGTGAACACCATCCATAACATCCGGGTTGCCAGCTTTGCCGATGCCAACGATGTTGCCATCCCTGATGCCAATATCAGCCTTGTAGATTCCCGTCCAGTCGATGATGAGTGCATTGGTGATCACGGTGTCTACACATTCAGATGCGATTCTGCCCGAGGCCTGTCCCATCCCTTCACGCAAGGTCTTGCCTCCGCCAAAGGTGCACTCGTCACCATAGACGGTGAGATCCTTCTCGACCTGGATCCACAGGTTGGTCAGGCCTAACCTGACAAGGTCACCAGCGGTCGGGCCAAACATTCGAGAATAAGCCTCTCGTTCCATGGAGAAGGGTGAAATGAAAGCACTGTCCCCAACAGGCTCGGGCTCATGGGCAAACCCAGCCGCCTGCAAGCGTGTCAGGATTTCCTCTGCCCTGCTTAGATCAACGGCCCCGGATGCTAAAAAGTTGCCTCCACGAATAATCTTGTGGCCGCCAATCTCCACCAGCGTAACCGTCTTGGTATCGCCAGGTTCGAATCGCACAGACGTGCCAGCCGGGATATCCAAACGGTACCCGTAGGCTTTGATGCGGTCAAAATGCAATTGAGGATTCGTCTCAATGAAATGGTAATGTGATCCAACCTAGCAGGTCAGTTTTTTTTTTTTTTTTGCCGTTCTTTTTTTTAATACTCAGAATAATGCAGTTACCTGAATTGGACGATCTCCTTTGCTCATGACTTTGAGTCGAATCCTCTTCCTCCCCTCGTTCAAGGTTATCCTCCCACTCCTAACCGGGATCACCGCACCTGGCATCTTCTCTGGCTCGTAGTCTTCTGGGTTAGGATCAGGGAACGTGTCCGGAGGCGGGATTGGGAGAAAGCTGCCGTAAAGAGCCTTCTCCAGGTCACCATCATCACTACTAATAGGATGGTGGACTGTGACAAGGTATGTGCCACTTGGGAAGGTTCCCTCGACCTGGAGCTCAACCAGAGTGGACACAACCGAGGGCAAGACATGTCGACGGCCCAGCATGGTCTTGCCAATGGACATCAGGTCCGCAACCGAATAGATACCATCGCGAATCAACTTGAAGCGGTGTCAACAGAAAAAAAAGAAAAGTCAAAATCACCACTCTATAAAGCTTGCGGAACTAACCTCCTGCAGGTTCGACGAAATCAAAGCCTATCCTGAATGTCAGTGCTTGTCTCCTCTAGACCTAAACAGAGACACAGATACACATACCACTGCTTCCGCATGGTTCAGGCGCACCCCTCGTGCGAGACGCCGTTGAGCCAAGAACCCCAGCTGCGAAATGGCAAGTTTATCAAGCTACACGCACTGTCAGCGAGTGAAAAAGAACGACGACTGAGGGAGGGAGGGAGTGAGTGAGTGAGTGAGGGGCCTCAACGCCCCTGTCTCCCCATCCCTGCTTTCCAACGTACCTCCTTGGGAATAAGATGCATCTTGATACAATAACAGCGGTCCTACTCCATACCATCTGAGATCGATCGTCTTCTTCTCAGAGCCTGGGCCTCGCACAGGATTTAAGCACGACTGACGTGGTGGGGTAGTCCGATTAGACGCTGATAAGGAGGGACTCGGTTATCGAATGACAAAAAAACCTCTACAACAATAATAATAACAATCATGGTTGTATCATTGAATGGCTGTGGGTATTTCTTGGGTAGAATGTCTATCTTACTGAAAGAACCCAAGTGATATCTGCATGGTAGGGAACTGCCGCTGCGTCTTCTCTACTAGTTATGTTTACAGAGAATAGATCGCCTTTGGTTTCCCAGTTTCCGCGAGAGGAAGGAGAATATATCATTACATTTAACAGGGTCTGCTTGAATCTAATCTGAACAGCCTGTCGAGCTCGGTTTCCGATCTGTTTGCTCCGGCTTCGCGTTCAACCTGGCCTGGATTCGATTCGAAACAGGGCTAGGAATCGGGAAGATGCATGGATATGCATGCATAAACCTTGAACAGATGGAGAACAGCTTTTCTGATAGAGAGATAGATATATAATAGCATATGGTATACAGTATGGAGACATATAGTATACTATTTGGAGACATAGCTGAATGTCATCATGTATTATAACTCTTTCCTAACATCCCAACTCCTCAGAGAGCCGCCAGTATAGACAAAGATAAAAAGACGGACAAATCAACAGGCCTGAAAAAACAAAAAAAAAAAAAACAAAACAAAAAGAGAGCTCGGTGGAAAGGATCAAACTACTCCTCGGCAATCTCGCTCTTGCGCTTCTTCTTGGTGGCCCGCTTGTTCTCGGCGGGGGCCTTGCGCGTGGACGCCGGGGCGGGCTGCTCCTCCTCCTTGTCCTTCTTGGTGTTGCGCTTCTTCTTCTCCGGCGAGGCCTTCTTGGGCGTCTTGGGCGCATCGCTACGGCGGCGCTTGTTGCTTGGGGGAGGCGTGGGCTCCTTGGCGGGTTCAGGCGAGGACTCGTCCTCCTCGGACTCGGAGTCGTCGTTGGATTCCTCCTCAGTCGGCTCGACAACAGCCATATCCTCGTGCAGTTGCTTGGCCGCCTGGTCACCCTCGGGCACCGGGAGACCGGCCTTGTAGGCCTTCATCTTCTCCTTGTACACGGCGAGGTTGTCGGCGTACAGCTTCTTCCAGACCTTGGGGGGGGGGGGGAAAGGTTAGTATCAGATTGTAACGACAAGAGGAGAGAAAAGGGATACCTCTTTCTGGGTTTCGGGCATTTCGGCCCAGCGGCGAGTGCCCTCGTCGGCGACATCCTTAGGGCGGGATTGGGGACCGAGCTCCTCGGCAATGCGGGCGCGATTGTGCTGCATGTAGAGGAAGTAGGGAGTCAGGGCGCGCTTGGGGGCATTGGGATCCGGAGGCGCACGCTTGCGCTTCTTCTTCTCGCCCGTCTCGGATTTGGCGCCGGGGCTGGCGGCGCGCGGGGGCGCCAGCAGGCTGGTCTCCAGCAGAGAGGTGAGACCGCCAGAGAGACCACCGGCGGTAAGGCTACTGAGGTCAAGACCGGTCGGCGGCCGGTTCAGAACAGTGTTGGCATGATTGATGTAGGCGCGCGACAAATCGGAGACCGCCGCCTGCAGCTGAGCAAGGCTGATGATGACCTGGGAGTACGTCAGATGAGCCTGGTCGGGATGCGCAGTGATGTGCTGCACGCCCGAGGTCGCAGCGTTGGCCGACTGGGCGGCGAGGCCAATACAGGCGAGCAGCTCCTGGGCGGCCGGGTTGAGCCCCTGCTCTGGATGGTTGCTCATGACCAAAAAAAAAAAATAAAAGATAAAAAAAATAAAACAAAAACAAAAGTGGAAGATCCCAAAAAATAAACAGTAACGAGAAAATACTGCCCAGGTGGTGGTGGTGGTAATCAATAGAGGGGGATACAGGGTAAGGAAAAACGGGAGGGCAAAAGACGGGCAGAGCCTTTGGGGGGGGGGGGTTGGAACTTGGAACTGGGAACTTGGGGGGGCCTCGAGGCGGTCCCACGGTTTGTTTACGCGTTGGCGGTTGGGCGCCAGCGCGGGCGACACCAGCACCGACCGCCGCCAGACAAAACAACCTAGACCAAGATCTCCTCCAGCTCTTTCAAAAGAACATGCAACCCAAATCAAATCAGAAGGGGGGGAAAAGAAAAAATAGAGCTTACACTATCACGAGTGCGAGTGAAATCATCGATATTCACAGTCAACAGGGCATCCTGGGCCTTGGAATCTTCTTTGGGCGCCATGGCGAGGGATTGGGGGGGGTTGTTACAGAGGTAGCAGAAGGTGACAACGGGACAAGAGGGAGAAATTTTCTCTCGTGGAGGGGGGGGGGGGAAGCGCCAGAAGTATTAGTTAAAGCGGGGGCTGCCGCAGTCGTCGTGTATTAGTACCACCTAATGGGTGGTCCTACCGCCCGGCCATTACTGCCTGCCCCTGCCTACTGCTTAGTGCTCAGTGTTCAGTGCTCACTGCTCAGTGTTCACTGCCCACTGCCCACTAGAGTCTAGCACCCGTGCTCCCACCCGTGCTCTGGCGCCTTTCTTTGAGGTGGGCGGGCATGCCCAGGTAGGTGTTTCAGATTACCCGCCTAGCAAAGGCATTCAGCGCTGTGGTAGGCTTGCCCACACCTGGCATGTAGTACCTATGTAACTGCCCACTGCCCAGGGCCTTAGTAGAGGTACAGCGTACCCCTCGGCTTAGCAGTGCTTAGCTACATTTAGCTACGAGTCAACTGTAGCACCCATAAGCAATGAAGCATATAATAAATACTAGGTGCTGGAAATATTTATAACCTCTATAAATGAAAAAAAAAATATTCTCCAAATAAAAATTGTGTGTGAATTCTAGGCCATAGTTTTATAATATATACAATTAACATGTCACTAAAGGATGTTGATTTATTCTGGTATGCTGTACGCTGTAGCGATATAGTATAAATGCTTAGTGAATGCATGCCCAGAGGGTCTAAGCACTGCTGGAGGGTAGCCGGGCCTACCTTGGTACGATACTTGGGCAGGACTCTTAGGTACTTAGCTACGGTTAAGCCAACCATGAGTCCTCTGTCCCAGTACCAACTCTAGTCCAAAGGAACCAACAAACACTCTTCTCATAAGACTTGTAGCAGCTACTAATCACCAAGTAAACCACTTCATTCATTGTTAAAGTATTAATGAATATAGTATAGAGTAATAAACTACATTATTCTGATGGTTGCAGGTCTTAAGCACTGCCCATTACTACCCCGCACCCTAAACAGTGGGACTCTTTGTTTACTACAGCCTACTACATACAGCTTTCGATGCATAACTACCACTCCCTCTCCAAACTGCGGTTATCTACCCCGGACATTGTCCGAGGACCACCCAGGCACAAAACTACTACTATACTACTAATCTATTCCCTGGATGAAACCACCTTCAATGTTGTCCAGCATCCCTGCAGAGCAGAGACAGAGACCCATACAGAGCGAGGTGAGAGTGGAGGGCTGTCGTCAGCATTGCTGATCTAGACCCAACCCCTTCTTTTCGAGTGTTCTTGGTTCATGATGGAGGTAGGGCACCATATCAAGGTACTAGAAGACTCGATAAACCAAATGGATTGCTCGGTAGAGAAACAGGTGGGAATATACTATTATATCTATACCTATATCTATAGAGAGAGAGATATATATATATATATATCTCCTAAAGGGTGCAGATTGTAAAGTAGTTGAATCTCTATAATACAAGGGACATGTCTAAAACTTGAACACCTGCTCCTTGTCATAGCCCAGTTCCTTGAGGATACCGGTGAGCTCGCCCTGGTCCTTGGGGCTGACCTTGGCGCCGCTGATGGCCTTGTACAGGCCAGGGGGGCCGCAGACAAAGATCTTGATGTTCTCCTCCTTGGGCTCCGGGAGGACAGTCTTGAGCAGCTCCTTAGTGATGAAGCCCTTGCCGCCGACCCACTCCTTGGGCGGCTTGTCCAGCACGTAGAAGGCCTTGAAGCGCTGCGGGTACGTGTTCTCCAGCTCGTTCAGCTCCTTCTTCAGCAGGATGTCCTCCTCCGACACGTTGCCAAACACCAGCGTCACCTTGGTCTTGTCCTCGGGGTTCTTGAAGATCGCCCGCGCCAGCTGGTACATAGGGGTGATACCCGTGCCGCCCGCAATCAGGCAGATGTGGTCGTGCTTGTTCGCCTCCCACTTGTACTTGGGCAGCGGGCCCTTGAAGCTCAGCTGCTGGTCCACGGCCATGTTGTGCATGTGCTCAGACATCGGGCCGTTCGGGTACACCTTGACCACCAGGTCCATGTAGCCGGGTTGATCTGAAAAAAAAAGAAAAAGAACGGATTAAAACCGGAAAACACAGCAAGCCAGCGAAACACCAAGACAACAAGACATACCTTCATCGCTAGTAGGAGTGTAAGGACGGATGACAGGCTTTCCACCATCGGCAGGGGTGAACTTGGTCAGGAGGGCCGCTATGAAGTAGTTAGTTAGTCGTTGTTCCAAAAAAAAAAAACGATACTGGGATCGACCTGTTCACATACAGGCAACGTGCATGCCCGAAACGGCCTCCTTGTCAGGAAGCTCGAAACGCAGTCGCTTGGTGTTATGGTTCAACACCTCGATCTCCGACAGCTTCAGGTCGACCCATCCCTGGTCACCACCAGTGAAGGTGCTCTCGCGCTGCTTGGGGGCCTGCGCAGTGGCCGAGTCGGAGCTATAGCGGTACAGACCGACACCGAGACCCGCCAGACCGACGGTCAGGTACAAGGGGGCCAGCGACTTGCGCTTGGGTGCCTCGGTGGAATACGGGCGGAAGCTCTGCAGCACTCGTCAAAAGACATTAGCGAAGGGGGACTGAGGGACCTAGAAAAAAAAATATCCACGCAAGGCTACGCACCTGGCTCAATGGCCGAGCACAGCGGAAAGTCTGACGAGCGAGCATGATGGCAAGCAAAATGAAGGTATTGGCAACAGTTCAAAGGGCGTATATGTAATGGAATCCCCGCAGGAGTGTTTGAGGGGGAGAGAGAAAACGAGAGTTGTTGCGGGAAGCGGAGAAGAGAAAGCACCCGCCAGTCAACAATCTTCCCGCAGGTTCTTACGGAGGATTCTCTTGTCGGGGGCTCCGAGCGTGCCTAGATGACGCAATGAGCCAGCTACAGATTACTAAACAGAACGAGTACGATATTGATTCGGGCTTGAAGGGTGGCAAGTGTGATAGGAACGTGAAATACCTGATAAACATGCTGAGATCTAATGAATTGCCTATTTTTAGTGACAATCTGGTACTTCAGTCCGGAAGAGCCGGGTGTACCTTGGTACCTTGATTAGATATCTACCTGGGTTATTATCTTGGGAAACCGGTTACTAGAGCCGTAAATCCGAAAAAAGGAACCAGTTATCGTTTCCCAGCTTGTTGGAATACATACAACTGTAGAAGGTGTTATCAAATACTTTATTAACTGGACTAGGTGTTGTGGAGAGCTATACTGGAGCAGGTTGTATGGACTCTGGGGACACTGGACAAGACAAAGATAATTCTCCCTCACTCGACTGTAATTCTGAAGAACCAGACTCGTTCAGTTTACTTCTACGGCCGACCATTCGATACAATAAACCACACAGTGGACGTATTGTAAAAATCAGAATGAAAACCCCGTTTTTTTTTAAATAACTTGGAAGGGTCGCTGCAGAGGACTAAAGAGACATCCAAACCATCCTCCCCACAAACGGGGAAATCGATACACGCCTTGTTCTTTCGCGCGATCCTTGTCCTTCATGCATGCTATGGCCATTACACAGTCATTCACACTCCATCCTCCGAAACCCAACAACCTCATCAAAACACCCTCACATTTACGCAAAGGTGGCAGGACGGGAGTGGGCGAAGAGGTTGTTGCTCTTGGGAGCACGGTGGGGGAGAGGGAATTTGAGGTTCTTGGTGAGGAGCTGCTTGATGTAAGGGCGGCGGATGGTGTCGGCCTTCTCGATCTCAACGACCTTGAGGATCTGTAAAAGAAAAACCAGTTAGATCAGGGAACTATCATCTCTTGTTGCCGGGGAGGATCCGTACGTGAATGGAACCGAAGCGGGCACGGTGACGGGCAGCCATGTCCTGGTAGAGGGCATCAACGGCCTCAGTTCGGCTCATCTCACGGAACTCCTTGTACATGTTGTGAGTGCCGGAGCGCGAGTCGTAGCGGATCCAGATGCCAAAGTTCTTGACCTTGAGAGGGCGCTTCTCGTGGATCTAAGACGGAAGAAAGAAAACAAAAAGTCAGACCGGTTTTCGAGCACGCTATCGCTCCTGTCTCCAGAGGGCTAGACATACCACGTTGATGCTGACGATCTCACCGTTGGCCTTCTTGACCTTGCGAAGCTTGGTCAGGAAGTACCAGAAGCGCGACTTGGCCACAACGGTGTTGGGCGCGAAGATGCGCATGCGGTACAGCTTGGGGGCGGGGTTCGCCTCCGTGGGCAGGTGACGCCCGATGACCTGGTACTCGATGAGACGCCCTGTCACAATTCCAAGTCAGCCATCGTCCGATGCCTTGAATTAAATCGAGTGCGCATGTTGAATCCAGAAAAGCGTGGTGTTCCGCCCGTCGGGTCCTCGTGAGATGTTCAAACGAAATTTTCAATTCAACGGTGGCTCCCCCCCTCTCAAAAATTCATCCTGATATTCCAGCTGACGGCGGAAGGAAAAAAAATCCAAATCTTTCTTATTTCTCGTTTTCCTCATATGTCCTCGTCAATGGCGTACTCTAGTCTGCCCTGATGTCCTGATCCATCTTCGTGTCGTGTAGGGGGAAAATAATGCGCACTCGATTTCGGGGTCTAGAAAAAAAAAAAAGGGAAAAATTCCACTCACCCATCTGTGAGATATTATGTCAGTAAACAGAACTTCCCTAGATTATCGTCCAGAAGATAACACTTACTGTTGTTGTCGACTTGGTGGTTGAGTCTCGAAGGAGAGGTGTGCCGTGCCGTTGACTGTCGCCAAAATTGAAGATTTGTGAACTGGGTTGTGTTAGGGCTGCCGCCCTCTAAGCGAGTGGAGGCGTCGACTCCAGCGCTAGCCGTTTTCGGCCTCCTCAGCCACGGCCGGCGATAAGACTTCAAGACGACAACGACTTACCGCCTTTGGTTCCCCACACCGTGGAAGGGTTATTGTTGGTGTATAACATAGCCCAGCTACTATATCATCGCTCGGTATTCAGGCAATGGAGTGACTGAAGCACTTGCTATTTTCAGTCATAGCGACCAGGCTGGTCTAGCCCCCCTCAAATCATCATGGCTGCTTCGATCTACGAGGATTTCAAGCAGGGTCACAGCCTTGGTTCTGGCGATCGTCTGGCAGCTTCACTTACCCCGATCGCTCCCGCCGAGTACCCAGACCGACTACGCGCCTTCTACCATTCAGGGTCAGGAGACGTGCCGGATTTGCATCGCACCTTGTTCCGGAATCACAAACTGAAGTTGCCAAAGCAAGAGCAGGCTGCGTGGGTGGATATATACACTGCTTATTGGAAAGCAGCGGGGGAACTCGTCAAGCTTGACGATGGTACGGAGGGCGCGAGCTGGTCGAAGGTATTCGATGCCTGGAAGGCGACTGCCAATGCTTTGATACGAGGGTACTCGACATCATCTCTCCAAGCGTGGACCTTGCCCTGTCTCTATGTCATTGGGAAGTACTTGCGGCTGTTTGCGATGCGGGCGGACGCGGAGCAACCATCACAGGAGTCGATCGGGTTTAATGACGACCTGCAGGATGATGTCGTTGCAGACTTTGAGAAGAGCGCCAAGCTGGAGGAGGCTGCTCGTATTATGAACCGCATGTTCACTTTGTGTCTCAGTGACAGGTTGGAAATTTTATCCTTGCATGCAAACGTGGTCAAGGAAGACTAAATACTGGTATAGGGCGCCGATCGAAGACTCGAGAAAGTGGGGGATCTACAGCACGACTAATCTTCTGTTCAAAACATACTTCAAGGCAAGACCCCCAGCTTGGTTTGGGGATCATAAGACTGACTTTTGGCTGAACCCCGTAGTTAAACTCGGTTGGACTGTCCAAGAATCTCCTGCGAGCTTTAAATGCCTCTTCGGCGGATACACCTGAGCTGGAAGCGTTTCCCAAGTCGCATATCGTTCCTTTTGAATATTACGTCGGAGTGATTCATTTTCTAGATGAGAAATACGCGGAAGTATGTTGGTACATCTTACTTGGGCTTTCGTGCGGAGTGGGAAGCTGACCCCGTATTTTCAGGCGGAACAACATCTCACCTATGCATGGAAAATGTGCCACAGAGATGCATTCAAAAATAAAGAGTGGGTGGCCCAGCCCTAGACTGAGCGTTGACCTCCACTAATCCGCATAGGCTCATTCTCACTTACCTCGTACCCTGCCATATCGTGACAACACACACCCTGCCAAGTAAAGGGCTTCTTGCACCATTTCCGCGGCTAGAGAAACTCTTTCGCCCGCTATGCGACTGCATCAGAAAGGGCGATCTGGTTGGTTTTGACGCAGCCATGTCTGCCGGCGAGGAAGAGTTTGTGAAACGGCGTATCTATCTACCCCTCGAAAGAGGTCGCGATATCGCTCTGCGGAATCTCTTCCGACGAGTCTTCATCGCAGGCGGGTTCGACGAATCCAAGAACGGACAGCCCCCGATCCGGCGTACCCGTGTGCCTGTTGCTGAATTCGGCGCGGCGATGAGGATAGGCACTCACGCCGACACCAAATCGCGAATTGACATGGACGAGATTGAGTGTCTATTGTCGAATCTCATTTACAAGGCAAGGATTATGAATGCTGGTTCATGTTGTAAGCTGCTTACTAACGGTCAATTCCAGGGTCTGATGAAAGGTTATATCTCTCGGGAACGCAGCATGGTCGTCCTGAGCAAGGGTGGCACTGCGTTCCCCGGGACAGGCGTTTAAGTCTTATATGATGCTTGTTTGCAACACATGCATTTCAATTATTGAAGCGTGCTGGCAAGGGGTATTCGGACGACGCGGCGTCCAAGTAGTTATTGTTTATGCTTCGAATTCTGCCTTTGTCTGCCCAATGGATAACCTTCGGAGGTTGAGCGCCTAGATACGTGCTCGCTTTTTCGCCTGGCTCTAGACTCGTCAGGCGTGTTATTCCAACCCGGGCTACCCAGGTATAAGTCAGGGTCCATTAGCACTTAAAGCTAGAAAGGAATTGTCTGGTCATATCTCTGACTTTGAAGGCATGGTGATTAGATTCTGATAGTTTATATAAGAATCCATGTCCTAGCTAGATGCCTGTCCACTCTCCTGATCCCAAACTAGACATTTCTTCTACTTCAAAGTATTGAAGCGTAATTTCATTCGTTTAGCATGGTGATTTGTTGATATTCTAGTAAGACAGTATTATTTTGATAGTATTGCGAAATAATTGGAATTGACTTGATAATCAATTTGGAAATAATTCTTATGTTACATGAAGCAAAAAAACACCTAGGTTCGAAAAAAAAACATCAAGCATGTCAGGGGTATAAATAGAGAGGGGAATATTAGGTATGCAGACCGAGAATATAAATACAGTCAGAGTCAATAGTGATTTGGGAAGGGGGGGAGGAGGGGGGTAAGAAATCAGATAGAATGATAAGCAGAATCATCAAGCCAGCTTGATCACGGTAGGGGGTCGTGATGAGTCGTACATGCCATGCTCAGCAGGGAAGATGAGCTTTTGACGAAGTAAGATCATCCATATGATTGCACATTGCAACGAAGAGATCGAAAAAGAGCTTCCCGCCCTCTTCCATCTCCATCTGCATTGTGCCGCTGCGTTTGAATGTATGTCTGCACCGAATGATGAGGGCAAGGTAATGGGCGCGGAGCTTCGAGTCCGTATCCGGCGTGTTGGCGTAGGCGTATCGGGCGCTCGTAAGGATAGTGCTGCACTGGATACCTGAGTGGAGGCCTTGTTTCCTGAGGGCCAGCCGTTTCAGCTGGTCAAGTCCGTACTTTTCGGCGGCGCAGCTAGAGATGTCAGTCAGTCATGGTGCCTGTTATATGAAAGTTTCGGACGGAGGTGAAGGAGACATACTAGACTGCTGTATCCTTCAAGATTGTGAGGCCTACACCTTGATGGAAGAAAGTTGCGTCGCTCGTCTGTCCATCTGCGGTAACCGTGACGCCTTCCAGCTCCCAGGTATCTAGACGTTCATTGTGGAGCAGTCGGGGGGAATAATCTCCCTTGTAGAGGTACTCGAGGACGCAAGAGAGGATTTCTGGCTGTTCGTCAGGCAAGTGGATGCGTCTTCCATGCGCTTCCAAGAATTGCCCACGGCAACTGGTTGCGAAGAACGGCGAAACGCAGAGGATTTCTTCGTGCGCGGCGAATAGTCGGCGAGCAGGTCCGACACTAAGTGTGACCATGGGGGACCTGCGCGGGCTACTACTAGACATTCTGTGTCAGCAGGTTGGTTTAACCTCGGTTGGAATGATGTGTTCCAAATGACTCACCTGCCCTCGGATGAATTGTCTGGCTTCCGGTGTCTCCTGGAGACCAGGGAACTGTCGCGCAGCGATCTCCTCACCCGGGAACTTGCCTTCCCAGCCCGATACTTGGACGAGAGACTCTCAGTAGGACCGACAGATGGGCGTTTGGCAAGCATTGTGAGAGTCCAAGGGGAAGTGACAAAACCAAGGAAGAAAAGGAGTCAATTGAGAGAGGGTTCGTTCTTTGCAGATGCATCTCTGACTCGAAAAAAAAGGGCACTCTGTCCATCTTATGCGGGTACAAAGGGGGGCGCAGACGGGAATCCTGACCCAGTCCTGATACTCCATAATCCGAGGAGCCGGACAGACAATCTATACTAGACTAAGTCAAGATCGGATCTATTTGTGACGCGTATTGTCGCGTAAAGTGGTTTTGTTGAGTCGCCAAATCGACGCGATATCACGGGACCAGATATCGGCCAGTGAGAGAACACTACTGTATCCATTTTGGTATCTACAGCGGGGCGGGCTACAAACAGGCTGCAGTAGTCGCACCTCCTGGAGAACTGCAGGTGAATCACCCTCAGCTCCCTGTTCAAGAGACGAATCATCGTCTTCGGTCGCATGTTAGTTCCTGAGGGGAATAATGACCTGTCTATATTGCATACGACACACCGTGGCGAACTGCCTCAATGATCGGATGCAATCAGGCAAACAGGACTTGACATTAGTTACCGCAATGTCTTGTCTCCACCGGAGAAAATGCCCAAGTGCCCCTTAGATTTGGGAACTCTAAGAGGTTGTCAGAATAAAAACGATCTCACAGTGGAGAGGAGCCTCGTTGGTTTCTGAAACAGCCGACTGGATACTGACTGGTTTTTAGCGACCAAAAATACGGAATACACATCCCGCATCCTTCTTGAGCAACAATTGGTACCAAAATATGACGGATCATTAGAATATGTCTCTCTGCACATCTTTATATTTCAACTGGGCATCTGAACAGCACTTCCTCGATGGGGTATCGTCGAAAGCACCCTCTGAAATAACTGCCTGAATGCTGACCTGGACAAATACCAAGATCCCTGTTGTTGCTGCAGTCTCAAGACCCAACATCAGACTGGCCACTGATAGTCGACCACATCATAGAAAAATGAGAGGAGGCGTACATAAACAAAGAGATGAATTTATTTCTATGCCACTTTCCTCCATGGAATGTATTCCCTCCTGTAAGGCTATATTTTTCTTGAGCAAGATATCATTCATGTCCTCCAAGCTTCAAAATAATATTATGGAAGAGGCAACCCATATTATTGACCCGGAGGGCGAAGTGATCATAATTCTACGAAGTGCAGCCGCTCCATTTGCGCCCTGGGATGAAGGTAAGAGCAAGTCCCCCATGCCATAAGAGCGAAGTGTCCGCACGCAACGGCACTTCTCACAATAAGACCTATGCTATTTGTCGAAATGGATGAAAGAATGAAGAATCCACAGAGACAGTGCAGGAATTATTTGATCTAACACCAGTGAAGCTTCTAAAACGCCTATTGACCCTGTCGCCTCTGACGAGCCGCATACTAACGAGCTTCTTGATATTGATTCCACTGCCGAAGAGCCACCCATTGAGGAGATTTCAGATCATGAAATCCCTGATATTGACCCAGAGATTGATGAATGGCCTGCTGATGAACAAACTGCCGATGAGCCGGCTGTTGCTGAACAACCTGAAGAAGCAAATACAGATGAAAACCCGATAGAAGACTGTGACGAAGAAGGGGAGGCTTCTAAAAAGGGCTTTAGAAGCGAAAGTCATATAGAATCTGGCTGTTATCGCATCCAGGTGTCCGCGAAACACTTAATGTTACCCTCTCCCATATTCAAGAGAATCCTCACTGGACCTTGGAAAGAAAGCCATCTCCTGACCGAAAAAGGGTCGGTCGAGATTCATGCAACTGGCTGGGATCTTGAGGCCTTCTTGATTCTGATGAACATTCTTCATTGTCAAACCCAAAATCTACCTCAGGAAATAAGTCTCGACTTGCTTGCCAAAGTCGCCGTTCTGACTGACTACTATGGATGCCATGCGGTCATTAGATTCCTCGCGAAACGATGGATTCTTATGCTAAACGCAAGCTTTCCCCAAGAATATTCCCGTGATTCGATGCTTTGGATGTGGGTATCCTGGGCCATGAGACTTGATTCTCAATTCAAACAATCGACATTACTTGCTATTACTCAAAGTGATCGAATAATCAGAAGTCTTGGGCTACCAATCCCAGTGAAAGTTATTGGTAAGGCCTCGAACATCCTAAATTCGCCAGAAAAGGGCATATCTCACCATGAGACCACCACAGATGCAATCAACAGTCGCAGAGAGGCTAGGATCGCCTCCATTCTCTTTTCACTAGAAGATTTGAGGCATGACTTTTTACAAGGCCATCGCGGATGCTCCTTTGAGTGTAGCTCCATTATGCTGGGGGCTCTTACAAAGCACATGCATTCCAATGCTCTGCTTTCTCCAGAACCTGTAGCGCCTTTTTCAGGCTGGAGTCCCGACAAACTCCAGGTGACAGCGAAGACTTTCGATCGCCTGAATCGACGTTGGATGTATTATTGTACATGCCGTCATGAGGGGTCATCTTTTTTTGACCTGATAGAGTCCATAGAACCCCCCACTGAGGGCTTGAACCTGGCTTCTTTTTAGGGTTTGGTGTTAACGAGGACGATAGCTCATTCTCATAGCATTCTATTTAGATGTAGGAAACGGAAAGTTCATGTACCTACTACATAGTTCCTATGATTTATATGATTCATATTGCTTTTAGTCAAGTTTGACCTTCCTGATAAAACCTCGAGGATACAAATCAATTGCAGCAGACAAGGTCTATAAGCCAGAGAAACAAGGCAATGATTGTCAATGATATATCCATAAAGAAGCACTATGTACCTTACTCCGTAGAAGCAGCTAAGCTAGTGATGACGCCGGAACCGAAACCCCCCAAACAGATAGACACAGGACATAGAAGAATCCCGGACAACTCGAGCAGTTACACTATTTTGGAAAACCCGCACCTCAAGACGCCCTTTTAATACACTAGCTCGATCTTGAAATATCCGAGCCTAACTGATCCGCTACAGGTACAGCTTCTTTGCTTCTCGCGGATGGCTTTCGTTCGGACAATACGGGCACTTGAACCGGTTGCCTCTGCTAAGTCTGTTCAGGGATTCTTCGGCAATCACATGGCCGCAGGGCATCATCATCGGGGGGTTTTGATCTGTGGCCTGTTCTTTGGACACGGGGCAGACGAAGATTGAATGATAGAGATATGATGGGGGGAGAGGGATTTCGACCTTGAATTTTTTTTAATTGTTCGGAACTTTGAACCATTTTTTAAGGGGGGATGGGGCTGCAAAATGACTGTCTGACTTACGGGTAATTCGTTTTGTGTTGTCCATTCCGTCCGTTTCGCCTTCATGATGGTTTGCAGCTTGAGAAGCGTTGGGAGGGCGATCGCGCCCGCGGTGGCGGCTATATATAACGGCGACTCGGCGCAAAGGCCGAGCAGCGAACAGAATTCCCGAGTAAAGGAATGGGATACATCATACCAGGCGGAGGCATTACTGAAGATAGCCCTATAAGGCGAGGCTTGGAGGTTGGGAAAGAAAGCCATGGCTCCCATCAGCTGCTGAACCTCCCGAGGGTATCGGGATAGGAACGTATGGAATTCGCGCCGGGCGTACTCCAGAGCTGCCTGTCGACCGGCGAGAGAGGGGCCCTGTTGGTTCTGTCCTCCATGGAATAACCAGACATACTGTAGCCTGCAGAGCTCGAACTCGAGATTGCTTCCTCTGGCTTCCAGGGCATCCTTGTGTTCCCTGGACCACTCTATTGCTGGAAGCAAGTTATTGTTTTCCCTCAGCTCACGAAGGATGTAATGCATTGTTTCGAACTCGTTGCGGATATCGGTGGAAGGAACATCGCCGATTTTCAGCAGCGCTGCTGCGGTATCGGTGTGGGTCAACGCGGTCGACTGAGATGCCCACAAATGTTCTTTCTGTTCCATCTCTGAAAGGAATGTCGCGGCGACGGGGAATTGCCCTTCTCGGAGAAGGTGCATGGCAATGGCTCGATTGATGAGGTGATCTTGGGAGGACAAAGCATCATGTTCCGTACTAGGCAGCGGTCGATCTTTGAAAAGCTATCAACCGTGTCAATAGACATATTCCCCCCCCTTTGCCATACCTCATGTTCATACCTTGTCTAACGCTTTGGTGTATTTGTTCAGGCCGCTGTGTGTTTCCTTCAAGCTGTCGTTGATCGCATCGAAAGACGCCTTGACCGGGTTCTGGAGTTTTGCAAGAGTGATTGATGCCTGGCTCGGGTCTAGGGAATTACATTACTGTCAGTAGATGAATTTCCCGAAGATAACAAGATATGCATCGAGCAGCTTGAAGGACAGCGGAATCAACGAACCCGCAGCAATGGCATCCCGAGCCGACTGAAGCATATCTATCGTAGCCTGCACATGATTAATGCTCTGGGATCCCTTGCTCTTTTTCAAGAGACGTTCGTGTTCTTTCTGGACGAGATCCATCGTGGTCCTCCGGGTTGAACACTCAAGTGCGGAGGTAGACGGTGACTACAGATCACCATGTGGGATCTACTGGGAGGAGAGTTTGAGTAAAATCTGTCATAAAGCCCAATGATCGCAAGGAGATAGCTCGCGGCAGCTTTGGCCAGACCATCAACATCAGACAGGTACCGACCGTGGGGAGGGAGATGGGGGGGGTGAGCTGTTTCGTCGGCTGATAACGGGCGGAGAGTCGGATTTCCCATTTGCGGGTCATGCGCTTTGAAGCATTACGACATTAATGTATCAACACGTGACCCGACAAGATGTCCGACTGCCCCTCGTGCAGGAGCCCAATGCCCTGTGCTGGCAATGTGGTGATTAAGCGAGTTGTTTACCTATGAGCGGTGATGCCGGCACGAAGAGACATCTGCTTTCAAAGTGTTATTTTTATAAGGGAATTCATTATATGCACCAAGTACTTACCAACTACTAGATGATGCTTCAGGGGAGCTACCCCTCAAAAAAAAGACCGGTTCTGCGGCTTGCTTCTAAATAGACCAGTGACCACCTGACAATTTGAAAGTCTGGAATGAGTCCATTTGAGAGGCAAGATCCAAGGATTTTCTTTGTCTCCTCGACACCTCTAGTAGTACTCTCAACCTGAATGTTGGCCTGGTTTTTGCCTGAGGTGTCAATACGCCACCTGACATTGGAAGCTACTATTGTTTCGCTTAATGGCTAGCGTCACTAGCGGCTTGGCAGGGGCTATAAAACCTCCCCCCCACCGACCATCTTTTCGATTTCTCTTTTTTTCTTTTCTTTTCCCATCCTAGTGCACGGGTTTTACACGTATCAGTGAGGAGACATCCGAGATCGTGTTTTTGCTAGTTGAAAACTACCTATATGACCGCTTCAGTTGGTCCAAGGATCGGCTGGGAATTTTTGAAGAAAAAAAATACTGTCATCTGCTTTGCAATCAGTATTGCTTGCTACTTGGGCTGCCCATGGCGCCTTGGTTGTTTTGAGCGGCGTGCTTAGTTATCATTCGAATAACTGGTCGCTCAGCTCAACATATCGGTCTTCTTTTCACTATCGTTGCCACCCAAGTTTGGTGGCCTTTAGAGAAGGGGAATTCGAATGAGCTTGGTATCACTATCTAGTACAGAGTAATGGAGAGAAAAGTAGATTGACACGTAAAATGCTGTCATTTTAATAGTTTGACTACACTCGACAAATCTGGTTCCTTTGTTTCTTTTTGGAAGTAGAGTAGCAGGTATATAACTATAATGGTTATTTCATTCTATCATCAAGTCCATGAATCATTTATTTATATACGGTCGCTCCTTGTTAGTACGTCCGCTTCACCACCTCCCGTGCAAAGTCCGCAAATGTTTTGCCCGGCTCAACCTCTTCTCCCAGATTAGGCTGCGTAAAAACGGCGAGGGTATTCCTAGCGATCTGGGCACCGCCGGTCGTTTTGGCGCCCTTGACAAAATGCGGTACGGCGCGGAACTTGCCCTGCGTGATGAGCTGCAGGGCCTCGCCCGTCTGAAAAGCCAGATAGTCCTTGGGGATGTTGACCTTGACAACCTGGTCAGTCCGCGAGCGGATATACAATCCAGCCGATGGGTCGGGAGACTGGGCCAGTTCTGGAAGAGGTTTGGTAGCGGTTGCGTCAAAGGCAGCCGGAGAATTTGCATCTTCGTCAATGAACATCGCCGACGTGAGACCCGTCAGGCAGCCGTGGTCGAGGTGCGTGGCGCACCAGTCGTCATCGTCGCCCTCCGCGGCGGGCTCTGCGTCGCGGGAGACAGGGGAGGGGAAATAATGCAGTAGACGAGCTTTGGTGGTCATGCTGGTCTTGACCACATGCTCGATGTATCCCTCCTTGTACCCGTCGATGGTGGCCAGGGCATAGCGATCGCAGGCGCGTGCCACGAGGGCAGCCGTGTCGATGATCAGCGTGCAGAGCTCCTCGACACTCTTCCGGAACGTAGGAAGACGGTCCTTGGCCGGCCAGATGTTGTGCGCCGTGTACTCTGACAGATCTGGGAACCCATCTGCAGGAGCGCCTTGCAGGTCTGGATCCTGGTAGAAAGCACAGTTCACATAGTACGAACCTTTCAGCGTGTCGTAGTGACCAGAGCGCAAGGTCTCTTTTCCACAAGACCAGCCGACCAGGTACTTCGCTTCGGCACTCGTGAGGGACTCTAAACCGCTATCAGTATTTGAAATTTTCGTACAGCCAGGAAGGTTAGGTAGTATTTACCCAATTCGCCCTCGGAAAGGGCAGCCAGGTAGGAAGCATTGGACAGCACCTGCGCCCGCAGCTCTTTGAATCTCGCGTCAAGGTCTTTCACCACAATAATGCCCAAGGAAGAAGGACCGAAAGCTTCTGTAAGGGTTTCAAAAGAAACAGAGCCTGGGAACAGAAATACCCTGGTGGTCAACGAAATGCATATGAGTGGTAGAGACAAAAAAAAAACAACCAATGAAGATTGAGGTGTTTTTTTTTCCGGCATCACTCACCTTCAATAAGCTCATGGAGACTCACAGTGATCGCTTGGGCCTGAGGCCCCTCCTGCAGGACCATTTTTAGTGATATAGGACTGTTGAACAGGGAAACTGGAGATGGTATTAGAGTCTCAGTGTGTCTGGAAGCCAAACTGTCAGAAGATATCGGATATGCCCTCTTCCCCGCTCCTTCGACGGCCGGTTCCGTTGAAGGCAAAAGAAAAAAAAAATGATAGCGGTTACCAGCGGGTCCTCTTCGATCAGCCAGCTAATAGCTAGCAATTGTTCTGTGTTAGCTGCTTTATTAGTCTTCTGGGCCTTTCTAGTTGTTGATTTGCTGGGCCAGGATGCTGAGGTTGCTGGTTTGATCCTGAAGAGCCTTGGATGAAATACTGAGCTTTGCTATGCACCTGCCCTCTGATCTGGCCAAGAACGAAGCCTCAATCAACTTGGAGGAATTAGAGGTGGCTGTTGGGAAAGATGGTCGAGCTATATATAATCACCAGTTGGGGGGGCATGGCAAGAATACGCCATAGGATTATAGCAGCAAGAACCCCTCTATACCTAGAGCCTAAAAGGTACTGTCTAGTGCCTGCTCTACCAGTTTACCGGCATTTTGAATTGGCCGGCAATCTCTCGAAATATCTTGCATGGGAGGAACAAGGATTCGTTACAGGTGATATCGAAGTTGGGGGGTTGTATTCAGTGCCATCGAAACATATAATACAATCGCAGAGGAGCCACTTCCCAGATGACGCTCCCGAGAGGAAAATGAATCTATCAATAAACAGAAAAAGTCCATAGACTATCTACTACTCCTGCTGAGGTGCCGAGCCGCTGCGCCCGGTATAAGGCCTCGTCACGGTGCGGATGTTACCAAAAGGCAAGACATCCCCGATATTCTTTGCCCCCGTGAAGAGCATGCACAGCCTGTCGATTCCGCACCCCCACCCGCCCGTAGAAGGGAGCCCCCATTCAAGGGCTTCGATGTAGCTTTCGTCCACTTCTGCAGACTCGTCGGCCGATTTGCTGAAGCGAACTTGGTCTTCCAGCTTGCGGCGCTGTTCAAAGGGCGAGTTCTCCTCTTCGTAGGTGTTGACTACTTCTTTGCCTTCGATGAACAGCTCGCCACGGGCGGCAACGCGTTGGCCGGTCGTGGGATGGGTGAAGGTTTTGGAAAGCGGGGAAAGACATTCCGGAGGGTTGATGATGAAAGTGGGATCGATGCATTGTGGCTCGATGTATGTGGCGCATAGTTCGTCGAGCAGCCGCGGGAGAGTAGGGTTGATGGGGAGTGGGAGGGACAAATCGGCGAATAATTGCTTGACTTGAACCAGCGCGTCGTCGGCCGTGAGCTCAGGGAGCCGATGTCCTATCTTTTCCTCGATGGCGGGGATGAAGTCGATGCGGCGGAAGGGCGTGCTGAAGCTCACCTCTGTTGGCTTCAGGGTGCCATTTTCATTGAAGGTACGTATATGCTCTGCCATTCCGGACAGCAGACTCTCTGTTATCGACATAAGGTCCTCCAGGTTGAAATAGGTGTGATAGAATTCACACGTTGTGAACTCGGGGTTGTGGGTTTTGTCGACGCCTATCGGACAACAATCAGCATACATACCGTCCAAGTTGCATATGGTTGGTTATTGTCTGGACATACCCTCATTGCGAAATGACGGACCAATCTCAAAGACCTTATCAAAGCCCCCAACCACCAACCGTTTCAACCAGAGCTCTGGAGCTATTCTCAGCGACAACTGGCGGTCAGGAAACTCAGTGGCAGAGGTGTAGAAGGGCCGGGCAATGGCGCCGCCGGCGATAGAGGCGATGATGGGTGTGCTGACTTCCATGAAAGCCCGGTCCAGGAAGAACTGGCGGAGATACTGGATGATCGAAGCCCGAGCCTTGATGAGATTGGCAGTACTTGGGTCCGCTAGGAATTGGACATGACGGGCGTATGGGGAGACTTCGTGCTCCTTTGCATCGAGCGGGACATCATGGAGACAAGGGGAGAGGAGACGAGGCAACTCTGTTGCATCCACGGTAAGCTCTCCTCGTCCGGTACGATGAGGTTTGCCTGTGATGGCTGAAAGAGAGAAAAAAAGGTTCCGTTCAGTTCAAAGTACGAGAAGGACGTGTTGTTGAAAAGAGCAAGACCTACAGAAAGCATCCCCACGGCGAAGGAGCCGATAGAGCTTCTTGAACTCCTCTGGGGTTACTCCGGAAAGAAGACGTTGATTGCATTTTATTTGCACTTTGTGGCCATCTTGGACGATATCGAAGAATATCAATTTGCTCCCGGCAAGTCTATAGCCGCGAATCCTACCTACTTATCTAAGTACAGGGTACAGGACTCGGGAGAATTGGAGCCAAAAGCAGACCAAGACCTACCATTAATCACGACCGTGTCTTCATCTACTGTTTCATTATTATCCAGACGGCTGTAGCGAGCGCGGAATTCCGCGCAGCTCAGGGTGCGAGCATCTGTTGCGAGACGCGGATACGGCTCGGGACACGAGTTTTTAATCTCTTGCAACCGAGCCTTAAATGCGTTCTCCGGAGACGGCGCGGTACTGCTACTCCTAGTGCTCAGGACATGAGATGTACACTTTGGTGTTATTCGGGGGAGAGGGTGGACGGTGCCACAGGAACGAGGGAGTCCCGAACTAAATCTTGATTGTCAGCCGCAGCTCATCAATACAAATGCAAAAAAAAGAAACAAAAAGATGCCAATTAACATTGTATATCAGATATGGGTATCCAGTTGCATTCAGTTGCCTTCAAGATGAACTTGCAAGCATCGTACGCAGCGGTTCTATTTGCAGGAGTGGTTCATCATACAAAGCCATGGCTTCGAGGAAAGAGAAAGAAACAGAAACAAAAAAACATCATTGAAGCTTACCTAGCCCGGAACCTGTCGAAGGAAGCCCACCGGGGGCGAATTGGACGCATTTGCACGGGTGAAGTCGACTACGTTCACATCCTTACGAGGGAAAAAATTATCCAAGCTGAGTGCGAGTCTTAAGAACTGACGCGCTAAATCGCCTTAGTCATCACGATCTACCAGAACAGAAGATGCCCATACTACTTGCTGTACATACAGAGTACTCCGTCCAGCCGTAATTGAGAATCTTAATATCCAAGCATCAAAACTGGGATCCTGCAGTCTATCTAGGTCATAGCTCCTATAAAACTCCTCCAGATCGTTGTCGTGGCACCTTTGCTCATACTACGTTCCCCCCAGCCCTTCGGAAGTCGTTGGTCCAAGCTTCAACGCCGACATCGAACTTGCAGATTTCCCGGTCAACATCCAGAACGCCTTGAACCAGCCATACCCCAGCTCTATCACATCTCACCGTCGTCTTTTTTTTCGAATCTAATTTTCGTGAGTACTTATTTCCTTTTTCCCTGGAATCTAGACATCTCATCTAACCGCTCAACAGACTTAGTTAATTTTTTTTTCGCGCATCGATCCGTCACCATGTCTTTCCTCTTCGGCGGTCCCCCCAAGATGACTTCGGAGCAGAAGATCGCTGCTGCCGAGACGGAAGTTGAGATGGTCTCCGACATGTTCAACCGGTGAGAAGCTGTCCTGTTGGACTTTAGGCGTTGTTGATCTGGGATTCCACTGTCTTGCTAACAGTTGCCCGTCATCGCCTTCTAGCCTGACCGAGTCGTGCACCAAGAAATGTATCCCTACCGATTACCGCGAGGGCGACCTGAACAAGGGCGAGTCAGTCTGCCTCGACCGCTGTGTTTCCAAGTTCTTCGAGGTCAACATGAAGGTCAGCGAGAAGATGCAGGGCGAGGCGACGGCCAGCAAGCAGAGCGGAATGGGATTCGGCATGTAAAAAACCCTCTCTGATCATGACGCAAATGATGCAATGCTGGTTTGGGGTTTTTTTTTTCAATATCTCCAATATCAGTATTGCTGGAGGATCAGTTACAGAGTATGAGATTTAAGTTGCCATTGACTGGCGCATAATTTATGCTCTAGATGACCGTGGACAATCCAGCACGGGATATAGAGGAAAAACCGGTTCTTTTTTTTTCCTTCTGGATTATCATTATGTACACTAGTATGGGATGTATAGAAAGAAATATTTACAAATCTATCTCTCCGTCAGATCTCATGCATCAGAACAAATCTGCACGCATGCCATTATAATTTATTGTCGTTGCGTCGTGAGTCCGGCTATGCCTCCCAACCAGGAGAACCATGAAGTGTTCTTGGTCTTCTCCTCGCCCTGGACTAGTCTCTTGGTCCTCCCCTCCACTATCGTGATATGGTTCTCGAAATCTTTCAGTCCGGCCTCCACATCCTCAACCCTCGACTCGAGAATCTCCAGCTCATAGTCAAGCTTGGCGCCCAGAAGTTCCACCCGTTTGACGCTCTCGGTGAGATAGGAGCCTTCCTTGGACAAAAGATCACTGGACTGTGCTCGGGTCGCCTGGTACTCTGCAAGGCGCTCAAGATACATGGAATGAATGTCTTCATGGCGCTCGTGCAATAGCTGATTAATGCTATCGACTGAATCGACCTGCCGCTCCACCCAGGGCACAGTGACCCGGTTGAGCTCCACAATCTTCGAACTGAACAAACGGGCATCGGACGCCATCAGGTCTTCTTGGAGTATTGCCTCTTCCAGACTCAGATCGAGGTTATCGCCATCAGGCTTGCCGTCTGCAATGTCGTCCCACCCGAGGATGACATCTTCGACCGTACTGAACGATAGTTGGCGAGGCCAGTAATTCTCACGTTTTGCCCGTTCGCTTTTGGAAGAAAGCTCTTCATAGCTCTGGGACTTGCGAAGAGACAACGCCGCTTGTCCAGGAAGGGGTAATTGATCGCTTGATCTCTCCGTGGACCGCGACCTCCAAGGCTCGAGATCGCTGACCTCACCATCTGAATGCAGCAGAGATTGATCTATTACCTCATGCGAAGATTCCCAACCCGAGGCCGGGTCCGCATTGTTGATTGTAATCTCAGGTGGCTTGGATTCAAAGGGGGAGGATGGTGAAGAGATCAAGTCTTCAGGGCCTTCCTCTTCGTTGGGATTATGTTTCTCACTATCCGCGAGGCTTCCACGGTGTTTCAGAACGGTGAGATCCGTATCTGTCCTTAGTGAAGTCGCTCCAGCATTTGTGCTTCCAGAAGGGGCGAAGGAAGGGTCGGCGGAAAGTTCAGCCTCCTCCTTTGCACTCTTGTGGTGAGAGCGAAGACCCGGCAATCCCACGGCATCCTTGAACTTGCCAAAGCCAATTCTTGCATCGGAAACCTTCTCACTGACACCCTTTAGGACCATTTTGCTTAGGTTCTGATCTTTGTCATCCATGGTATAGGAGGAACCGGGCCTCAAAGGACGCTGTATCCCTTGCGGTGGCCGTTCAGCGGAAAGAAAGTCGTGTGAATTTCGTCTCCGACTGGTCCAGACGTAGCCTCCTTGCTCGTCTTTGACGAAAACCATATCAGATGACCCTGGCACGTTGGTAAAACTGTCACCAAGGGCACTCTTTCGCGGTTTCCCAAGCCATAGCCATTTAGCCCTTTCCCCATGCACGAGGTGTGAAAACCTTTCTATATCTAGAGTTTCGATATCGGCTATGCCGGCCTTTTCCCGGGCTCCTACCATACCCATCACCATCTCACCCCCTTTGCCGCTAAGCTCTGCCATGGTCGATTTGACAGCACCGGTCCAACCCTCTGAATTGGCGTATTTGGCCGTTGCCCGATGCAGCTTGTCCAAGGTCTGTCGATCCAGCCGTCTGGTCCGTTCCAGTTTCTGTGATTTCTGGAAGCTCCCAATGCCACGCTTCATGCCGGAGACATCAAATGCATCTTTCGGAACCGGGGCACCGTAGGCATGCAGCCGGTTCCGAGCGCCAAGCAGGGTCCCAAGCAAAGCCGCAACGGTCGTTGGCCCTAAAACCCCATCACTCGGCTCGATATTATAAATATCGATTCCGATATCTGCCCACCAATCCCCGATGGCGGTTTCCGTCACATCACACAGTAAGCCATCGACATACTCGGCCGCCAGCTTGTCGAAGATGACCAAGGCGATCTGGCACTGCTTGACCAGTTCGACAACAGCAGAATAGAGGTGCACTTTCTCGCTGGTCCGATAGAGCAAGTGAAACTTGGCCTCCGTCGCTGGGGAGGGGTACTGGAGCTTCAACCCCGCTCTACCGGAGCAGCCTAGCCTCTTCAGATTCTCGTTGACAATAAAATCATCTCGATGCTTCCTGATATCCCCAGCCGGCACTAGAACGACGGCGAGCGTGGACGGGAAAACGCTCAGATCCGTAACCATCAAATTCCCCAGCGGTGTCTCCTTCATTCGAGCATGGTACTGTGTCATGGCGTTAAAATAAAGCTTCAGGCGAGGCGACCATGCTGTCTCATCCGTCGGCACACTCAGAACGCCAACGAACACTGTGTGTGAAGCGTCCCCCGTGTAGGTTGTGATCACGAACGTCGGATGGATCCGCGAGTACGCCCATTGCTCGACGAGGTATATCTCGTACCCCTGCAGCGATAGTCTTCGATGAAGCAGGATCGTCGAAGGATCCTCTTCCAGGTACCGAAGCGCAACGGGGTCGGTGAAGACCAGCTTCTGGTGGCTGGGTCGAGGGGAGTGCTTGTCGGGTCCGTTCGAAGGTGAGATCGGACCATCTCTCGACGCGGTAGACGATCGGGTCGCTTCGTGGTCGGTCGCCGTCGAGGACGCCGGCGGGAGGGTCATGGCAGCTGGCATGACGTACGTACGGGCAAAGGACGAACGATTGGCGAGCGAGTCAGTTTGAGGCGAACAAAGTTCACTCGCGGTTCACGGTCCCACCGGAGCAGTGCGTCGTGCACGCTCGCGTCATTGCAGGATTCGCAAGACCTTGTTCCATGCAGAAAGAAACATGGACGAGGGAGGAACCACTTTATCTTCTTGGTTGGGTTTGGTTGAGTGAATGGCTGTCCCAGGATAGCTTAGTGCCCACGTGACGCAAAGCTGCCGGCCTTAACTATAGAAAATTGCTCTGATTGGAGGAGGTACACAGGTACTTCCTCTAGTAACACAACTGCTAAGGAACCAAGGTACCTTACTACCTAGTACTCTACAAGTGATGTACGTCTGTCTAGTGAACTAATTGCCTGAAATATTCTGGCTAGTATTGCATCACTATAACTGCATGGCTGAAGAGTTCAAAGATATCACCATAGAAGAATGCCCGCAATTCCTCGTTAGGGTCTCTATTTTCAAAGTCTTGGTCGTTTGGGCTCTGGTTCATCGTCAGGGATGTAATCTCCCATCTCAGTCTCTTCGGTACCTCCTCTGACCGGGAGCGGTATCGAGAAGTCCACTTCGGATTCCGAGTCATCGTTCGTCTCCTCTGCGGAACTGACGTTGGTACTCAAGTCTGTAGCAAGGCCGGTATTGACGAGCTTGCTGATCTTGCGCACCTCGGCGAAGGGTAAGCTCGGCTTGGTCTCCCGGGGAGGCCGCCCGACATCCTGTGGGATCTTCGCGTCGCGGACGTCTGCGTTTGTGGCAGTACCATCGATAACTTTCAGTGTCGCGCGCCACATCTTGACGTCTCGCGCATCGCTGTAATGACTGACGTCTTCTCCATTCAGAGTATGAAGCGCAAGTGTTTCGGCGCGGTAGTCGCCCCAGAACCAGTGTTTCCCTTCGGGGATCCGGGCGTCTGCTTGTCTTGAGAACTCCCGCATGCTTACCACGCCATGTAGGTCCATTTCGGACGAAAGGGTGCCGAACAAGAGGTTCATGGCATCAGGCTCGTAGCACCGACCGATGATCATGTCTTGCGACACTTCCACGCTTTTCTCGGGAGAATGGGTGCGATACCATGCGCCGTATCCTCCCATACCCACGTACTGGAAAGCATTCACAATCTCGTCGTGAGTCAAAGGAGTGAGTGGTGACGCTTGATTATCTGCTCGTTTGGGAAACCTCGTGTAGACCTTCCCCTGGAAGCGAACGCTGTATTGCTCCGCGAGTTGTTCCGCCTTGGTAACATCCCCGGCACAGTTTCTCAGCACCAGTCGGATGCTATCTATGACCATAACATCAACAGCATCGTTTAGTACCTCGCTATCCACGTCATACCCTCGTGGCTTGAGCCGCACAGCATCCCCGACAACCAACAGCTCCGCGCCCAGAAAGATGCCTCGACAGTATATCGACCCGTTGGGCCAGGTGCCTTTGAAGCGATATTTGTCTAATAAGCTGAAGGAAGACATGACAACCATGGCATGCCGGATGGATGGGTGGGCATGTTCTATATCTTCGCAGAACAGCTCCAATGAATTGAAAGGCTTGATGCATTTGAGTGGAATGTATTTATAATGCAAAGAGTAGCTTTTATCGGTGCTGTTCGGGTCTGGAAAGGTCTCCACGCGAAACCCAGAGTAGTTAAGGTCCCAAGCCTTCTCTGTAGTGTGTTGGAGGTCATGGATTACAATGGCTTCCTCCGGAGTCTGAGTGATGACGCCGGCACACCACTCAGGGTCGCCTAGCCACTTCTTCTCGTCACGCGAGAAGATCTGAATCCGGCTTTTGGCGAAGTTCCATCTTAGTTCACCGTCCAGGCTCGGAATCCATAGTACCAACTCGCCCGCTCGAGGAACATAGGACGGCTGCAGGGTAAGTTTCTCAAGATACTCTCCAAGGGGCGTACGTTCTGCTCGCCAGTCCATACTACCTGGCTCTTCAATCGGTTCATCTAGGGTACCACGCTCTTTGAGCTTTTTGATTGCCAATCTAAAGACATCCGGTGTCCCTTCGACATCAGCGATTGGGCGGACCCATGGCCTGCCGGGCCCTCGTCGTACAACAGTAGTATTATTAGCAGCAGCAGCAGCAGCGGCGGCGGCAACACCGGTTTTTGTCGTGGAAGTGGTGGAAGTCTCTGTTTTGATAACAGTCAGCGAGGCGCACGGAAATCCAGGATGTACGAACTTTTCTGGCTAGGAGCCTTGTACTGCTTGTGCTTGTCCATCTTGGTACATAGTACGCATTTACATTGAGAAGTCCCACCAGTCATTAGGTAGTAGAAGTGCGGGAAAAATTTTACACAAGAATCGAAATAGTAGCCACTTGGATGACCATAGAGGAACCTATCACGCTTTTGAAGAGCAATCAGAGTCAGCAAAGCAATCCCCTCTCAACTCCAGCCTGTATGCATCCGCGAAAGAACATACAATTTCCGGATTGGCCCTACGTGGCCTGTCAATCATTACATAGCCATCTGGAAGCTGATCAACTGTGTACTCCACTCCTGAATGGGCATGATTAGTAGGAATCTTGATAGAATGGTAGCATTCAAGAACTAAAGACTGCAGTCAAAGGATAATGGTGTAGAAATCTCGAAAAAAAAAAAAAAAAAAAAAAAAGGTGGTAGGTTCAACATACCCTCCTCAAAAGCACCAATCTTCTGCAGCCACAGCCTTGCCAATTTCTCGCGAAAGCGAGTGTCATCAGCGGCTTCCTCCCAGTCAAAATGCTTTGGCCATATCTTCTTGTCCCCATCGCTGAAGGCGCGATCAATCGGAATGGTGATCAAGCCATTCTTTTCTGGGTCCTCCGAGTCGGACATGTTGACAGGGGGGGG